AAATTTGTGAGGGACCTCCTAATCCATAATTCACCTTCCTCCCCTCCCTTCCCTGACTTCTGTGAACCCTGCCTGGCTGGCAAGCAACATCGCTTTCCATTTCCACCTGCTGCCTCTAATAGGAGAACTCAACCTTTGGCACTTGTGCACTCAGACCTCCATGGGCCAGTCTCAGTCCCAACTCCCCAAGGGCACAGGTACTGGATAAGCTTTGTTGATGACTATTCTCGCTATAGAAATGTCTACTTGCTGCACAAGAAGTCAGATGCCTTTCTTGCCTTCAAGGAATTCAAGGCCTTTGCTGAGAAGCAGACTGGATTCCTACTCAAGGCTCTCAGAGATGATAAAGGTGGAGAGTACATGGGTAGGGAGATGGACAACTTTCTTAAGACCCATGGGATTGCTAGGGAACATACAACCACTGCCACACCCCAACAGAATGGAGTTGCTGAGAGGTCAAATCGGATTTTTGATGAGGGAATTAGTTCTATGCTGAATGAGGCCCATCTCCCTGGTTCTTTCTGGGGCAATGCATTGGGGTCCTTTATTCATGTTCTCAATCGTTCTCCTTCCTCTGCTGTCAAGGGGGTCACACCATATGAGGCCTGGTGTAATCGCAAGCCCTCAGTCTCGCATTTTCGTGTTTTTGGCTGCCAGGCTTATGTGCATGTGCAAAAGAATAAACACCACAGCTTTGAATCAAAAACACGAAGGTGCATCTTCATTGGTTACCCCCCAGACTTCAAAGGCTGGAAACTTTATGATCCATCCACTCAGCAAACTCTAATTTCAAGGGATGTGATCTTCGATGAACAGACTATGCCTGGTACGAAATCCAGCCACTCTGATCTCCCATATCACCCTCTATCTTCAAATCAAGTGCCAGAGTCAGGGGGAGACAAGCCAAGTAATAATCGCTTCACTCCCTTCCTTGATGAAATTGATACTTTGACTTCTGCCACTGATTCTAATCCACCTCCAAATTGTCCTCCTTCTCCCTCTCCCTCTCCTTCTCCTTCTCCTTCTCCTTCTCCCACTCCCTTCCCTTCTCCCACTCCTAATCCTCCCTTTTCTGGTGCTTCTCCTTCGCCTGGCCCTTCCACTCTTCACAGGACAACTCGTTCCACTGCTGGCAAGCCACCTGGTGAGTGGTGGAAGGTTAAGCCAACTCCTTCACCCCCTGTCAGCAAATGGGAAGCCAGAGAGCCCACTCCTGATGTTGAGTCACAATCAGACTCTGATAAACTCGATGAGGAATCAGAGGATGAACTTGCAATGGCAGCTGGCTTTACCAAGTGGCAGTCCAAGGTCTTGTCGATGGAGCAAATGGTTGAATTTGCCTTTGCAACTTCACCTGCTGAACCAAGGTCTATGAAGGAGGCTCAGAATCGTGATGATTGGGACTTGTGGTATGAGGCTGCCCTCAAGGAGTACACCCAGATGCTTGCACACAACACCTGGGAGTTGGTACCTCTTCCAAAAGGGAGAAAACCAGTTGGTTCTAAGTGGGTATTCAAGATTAAGGAGAATGCAGATGGTTCTATCGAAAGGTATAAGGCCAGGATCGTTGCTCAAGGATTTTCCCAGAAACCTCACCTTGATTACACTGAAACCTTTGCCCCTGTCACCAAATCCGCTTCACTTCATACCATTCTCGCCATTTCTGCCATTGAAGACCTGGAACTCCACCACATGGATGTATCCTCAGCATTTCTCAATGGCGACCTCCAAGAAGACATCTACATGGTGCAACCTGAAGGGTTTGTTGAACCTGGAAAGAAACACTTGGTCTGCCATCTGAAGAAGTCGCTTTATGGTCTGAAACAAAGTCCTAGGCAATGGTACCAGAAGCTACATGGGACCTTCTCGGATTTGGGCTTTAAAAGGTGTCCCAGTGATAACTCCATCTGGGTTTGGGCTAAGGATAAGGTCAAGGTCATTATTCCTGTCTATGTTGATGATCTCACACTTGCATGCAATGATCTGACTGCTCTCAATGAGCTCAAGTCAAAATTGCAGTCCAAGTTTGAAATGCGAGATCTGGGGGAGCTAAAGTACATCCTAGGGCTTGAAATTCGTCGAAATCGCTCACATCACAAGCTCTGGCTCTCCCAACATAAACATACCCTTGACATCCTTCAACGTTTCCACCATGAACACTCCAGGCCAGTTTCTACCCCCCTTGATCCTTCCATCCCCCTTTCCAAAGTCGATTCTATGTCCCAGGAGAAGGAGTTCATGTCTGGTGTTCCATACTTGAGTGCTGTTGGGAGCCTCATGTATTTGGCTATTGGGACCAGGCCTGACATTGCATATGCAGTTGGGCTTCTAAGTCGCTTTAATTCCTGCCCAGCCAAGGTTCACTGGAAGGCCATTCAGAGGGTATTCCAATATCTTAAAGGTACTTCAGATTTCTGCCTTGAATTTGGTTCCTCAAGTGTAGGGGGAGTCAATCTCTCAGTCTTCTCTGACTCTGACTATGCTGGTGACACTGAGAAGGCTAGATCTACCTCTGGCTATGCCTCCTTCATTGGGGCTTCTTGTGTCAACTGGTCAAGTCGTCGCCAAGATGTAGTGGCTAAGTCCACCACTGAGGCAGAGTTAATTGCAGCCAATTCTGGTGCATCTGATGGGACTTGGCTAACCCACCTACTGGAAGAACTTGGATTCCCTCAGGCCTCATCATTCCCCCTTCAAATGGACAACCAATCGTCTATTAAGGTGGCAAAGAATCCAGAACACCATGGAAAGATGAAGCACCTTGACACCAAGTATTATTGGATTAGGGATCAGGTAGATTTGGGGAAGTTGAGGATAGAATGGGTGCCATCAAGTGATAATAGTGCTGATATTCTGACAAAGGCTCTTTCAAAAGACCTTCATCAACAACAATGTTCTTTACTGGGACTTAAAAGACAGGAGCTAGATTGAGGGGGAGTGTTGTAGTCTATCTACCTCTTGTTTCCTTTGTTTCTCTTCTATTCTTCTCTATATATAGTCACATGACTGCAGAGTCAAACTTTAACTGTTACTACTTGTGTATTAACACTACAGTTCAACTCAGGAGTGCCTATAAGCTGAGCTGCTATAATTTTCAGATAGCAAACATTTTATGATAGAAAGGTGATTTCAATTTTTTAAAATTATTTCTAAATGTCCTGAAATTTCTCTCCCTAACATTCCCCAAGATTTCTGAATTTTCCCTAATTTTCCCTGATTTTTTAGAAAATTTCCTTTTCTCAATTTTTTTTGAAAGTCCCCCATTTCTCCCTGAATTTTCTGAATTTTCCTTAATTTTCCCTGACTTTTCCTTAATTTTCCCTGACTTTTTTTCAAGTTTTTAGAAACCCCCCAGTTCCCCCTCATTTTCCTCCCATTTCCCCCTTCATCCCCCCCCTCAATTCCCCCCCCCCCCCAATTCCCTCTGCAATTCTCCTCCCATCCCCCCCTTCAATTTTCCCCTCATTCCCCCCCCCCTAATTCCTCCTTAATTTTCTCCTCATTTCCCCCTCATTGCCCCCTCCAAATGTCACCCCATTCCCCCCCTCCATTTTCCCCTCATTTTCCCCATTTCCCCCCTTTAATTTCCCCTCATTCCCCTCCCAATTCCCCCCTCATTTTCTCCCTCATCCCCCCCCAATTCCCCCCATTCCCCCCCTCAATTTTCCCCTCATTTTCCCCCCCTTTCCCCCTCATTTTCCCCCTCATTCTCCCCCCCATTTCCCCCCATTTTCCCCTAAGTAATTTCGGATTAACCCTATTTATAACCCTAAATTCAGTGTATATATCAATTGGGTTGTGTAGGAACTTGACTGTGGCCAGTCACATGATACTGTAGTCAAGCTTTTTATTTTTTTGAATTTTTGTGAATTAAACATGGGCTCAGGGTGCTCATAGAGCTAATAGTCCACTGTGGGCAAATATATCTCTATGAGCTCTCAGAGAGGGGGACCTGCAATTTTCAAAGTTCATAGCTCTGTGAGCTCTGTGAGCTCTCATACCTCCTGGTTGGGTTTGCTGATGTTGTACACTCAGACCTTTGTGGTCCTATTGTTGTAGTTTGAGTTGTCTCTTTTCATTTCAATCTTCACTCTATATACAGTCATGTGACTTTGGAGTCGACTTTATCCTTTCTACTTATTGTATCAAGGCTAAAGTCTACTCCAGACTGCCCCAGGGCTGCTCACCTGAGTTACTACACCTATCTCAGTTCAAACTCCCCAGCAGCACAGGTACTGGATCAGTTTTGTGGATGACTACTCTTGCTACAGAGTCATCTATTTGCTCCAGAACAAGTCACAGGCCTTTGCTGCTTTCAAGGAGTTCAAGGCTCTTGCAGAAAATCAAACTGGTTTTCAGGTCAAGGCACTTAGGGATGACAAAGGGGGGAATATATGAGTAGGGAGATGGACCAATTCTTGAAGGAACATGGGATTATGAGGGAACATACCACCAGAGGGACCCCACAGCAAAATGGAGTGGCAGAAAGGACTAATCGAATATTGGGTGAAGGTATTACTTCTATTCTGCACCCATCCCTGACACAGGTTCACACTCCAGTACAAAAAAGTGTAACAGACAGTTAAAGTTTGCTACTGTATAAACAAGCAATAACACCCAACATCAATTATCAGACATCTCACCAACATAAGGTATCATGATGCAAAGGTAGCAAGTCAACCACTGCTATCTCACAACAAAGGAGAGTAGTTGGGAGCCTGGCATCAAAATTAGGTCACCTTTGCTGCATCATTGGTGGGGATGCCTTGTACCACAACACATTGCCCCAGTTTTATCCTCTCTTGCTTCCTCTGCAATGGCTGGGCCAGTGGCAGTTTCATGCCCCTTGCCTTCAAGCCCATCTTCAGATACCTCAAGACTTTTCCAATTCCCTGGTGTTTATATAAGGCAAGTTTGAATTTACATGCCAGTACTGACAGCCTAGACAAACAAGGGGTACCAAAACCATCCTGCACCACAGTTAATGCAAGCAAACCTTTTCAATCAATAATAGCGTTGCACTCCGACATAATCGGTGGGCAAGAACTGCTTGTAAAGACAACATCTGAATCATCAAGCACGAAGCATCGGAGTGGATAACCGACGTCAACATTGTATGTCTGTCCGTCCAGTGCCTTGCCGGCTACTAAAGCATCATCACTGCTGACGAATCGAATCAACGCGGCATAATGGCGAGAGGCGGGCAAGGTTCCGTTACAGGCATTTACCGCCGCGAGCCCCGTACCGAGCAGCTTTACGTTGCGAATGGATCCATATGGAAGAACTAGTGGTACGATATCGGAGGATGATTTGAAGATGCGTTGGTGCAAATTGAAAATGAGCAAAAACTCGGGCTGAGACGGGGTATTGTCCATGCTGTCTGAAGCTAGCGAAAGAGATTTGGTTGACACAGGAGCAGCAAGCAGTTCGTTGTCAGAGGTAGTGGTCCTTTGAATTTCATACAGCACGGAGCGAGGAGTACCGAGGATACGGGTAAACGATGCACGATCAGTGCCATCCAAAAATCCTGCCGAGAAAACAGTTGTTATGAGGGTTATGCGCGCATGAAACGAGGGGCACTGACCATTAGAGCGTTGCACGACGGCCCAAGAAATGTGCAGCTTATGGCCTCTTTTGCAGAGTCAGGTGTATGCTTCTGCCTCAATGATGCCGAACCACATACTGAATTACTTTCCCAGACAATCGTTTCATTGCATTCACAGCTTCATGATTAGCGGACATCACCACGAAACCTCGGCGACGGGAGAAGGCATCGAGCACAGCAAGAATAACGGCATGCAACACGCGCCCGTATGACTCGAATATGGATCTAAGCTGTTCTAGAGTAAAGTGTTGAGGGATGCCAAGGACGTAAAGATTCCTTCGTTCATCAAGTTGCTGGCGATTATTGAAGTCAACCGAACGATCAGGGCCAGGTTCAGGAATTTTCCTCTGACGCTCCCTACCAGACCGCCAAGTGGTGAGCTCGGGTTCCATTTGCTAGATGTTCACCTTACATCTATCGCAGTCAATGAACACGAGAACCAAGACGAATGGTTGACGTTCCCCAATTTTGCTTGTTTCAAACAGAAGTGTTCCTTTTGGGAGTCCGTGGGAAAGTTTAGGAGGCTGCCGATTGCGTCGAACTACCCAATGACCTCCCATCCCTTGGCTCGTTACGAAGCATTCTTGATACAAAACTCCCCCATAATAAACACAATAGAGTCGTCTCTGCGATCTCTAACATGGTTCCTCCCTGGTCGTTTTAAGGATGCGGATCTCGCTTCCGAGTCATGTATGTCATCGTATATCATCTCGGAAGATTTAGCCTTACCATTTGCCTGCAGTGACTACCGGTCTGAACTTACTGAGTCTATATCATGATGTTTTGCTCGCGCGCAGACTCAGCGGAGAGAAAGTGAAACCACTCATTCCTCCGAGTGAACATTCCAGATACACACGGGCGTGGGCAGACAAACAATCAACGTACAAATATGCCGCTCGAGCCTTGGAAATTATCAGGTTTACACAGCTATTATTTGAGATGGTGCTTCGACGACGTACTGCTAAGCAAAACACATGGAGAGGCATAGTGGTGTTGGAATTTATCAAGTGCGAAGTCAGCATCCCGCGGTTTCATGGATTCCGGTTCAATCGTTCCCTTCTCTTTTAGGGCATTTCTTCGTATTGTTATACTTCAGACAACTCGAGGCCTCTTCTCTTCCCAACACTTCCTGTGCGCGAACTCGACCCTTCCAACATCGGGGACATGCTTTCGACCTCCAGAGCCGAGCGCCAAGCTCTAGATCGTCCTCGCACGCCAGATCACATCAAGAATAACCGAGCAACATTCCCTCCCGTATCTTCATCCAAACCCAGTGCGTTATTTCCTCAAGGCGCAGGAAGTGCTACGAATCAACACGTCGATGATTTGCTGTTTGCCAAAGCTTTAACACCGGCTTCTGTTTCCCCCCAATCTCATTCGTTCCACCCCTCACCTCCCCTAAAGATTGGTGTTCCGAATTGCTCTTCGTTCTTCACCCCGTCATCTATGGTGCGATTACTCTGAATATTGTACATCACATAACATGACGGAACTTCTTTACCACAGTTTTGCTCTCATCCCGAGCCGAGGAGAGGGACTAGATATTGATCCAACGGTGATCTCCTTGTCTATCGAACTCCTTTCCCGCTACTTGCGCAGGAGCCATCTGGACATTCCGTCATTGAGCGTTCTGAGTATGCTCGCCGGGATCGAGAAATGTTACGATACTTCCTCAAAGGCTCGATTTGGATCACATATACCAGGCATGTGTAGTTAAATTTCCCAGTATCGCTTCCTAATGCACGTCACCCAGACTCAAAATTGTCGGGGTGATGAGGGTGTTCGAAAGTACCCCCATACTAAGTATTCTGTCTGCTTTGGTCAGGGACTGGATTCCTCTCGTTGATGAGTACCATTATTGTGAGCTGGAATCTATCTGCGATGTCATCAGATCCTGATCGATCCGCTCCAGATTCCGCCACGTAACCTACGTCCTTCACTTGGAGCTGTATGAACGTAGTATATCTGCCGCATGCACAATGGGGTTCTGAGACGGTGTCTGCTCTTCGAAACTATCACATTTATGTCACCTCTCGAGACAAGGTCGTAGCCGCTGCGGTGGACATACAGCAGCAGCCGGGCGCAGTACTCCGGCTATTGATGATTGATCTAGCACCTTATGAGTTAATACCACATCCAAGGGCATCATCACATGCACGCCCCTGAGATAATTTTCCTGTCGAGACCCCTCCCTTGGCGCTCATCAACTGCAGATTGCTGGTTAAATTTCAAAAAGCACTGAAAGACAACTGATGCAGGGCTTTTACACGAGTCATATTTGTTCGATCTATGGCAAATACGATGATACCATAACAGATGCGATGGATATCTCTTGAACACATGAAACTTTTGCCTTTTCCGCTAGCTGCTCAGCAGTGTGTAGCGTCGGCGGGACGGTCAGATTTGTCACTGCGAAATGCGGTCACATAAATGCATTTGTCATGTGACTGAGATTCTGAAGTGCACTGCCACCTTGCAGTTCTTCATTTTTGCCTACAGTTGAGCATTCACTATGTCTGGAGCCGGGGCCAAGAGAGGGGGCCTTTCAGGCTATAATTATGGAGCCATGTCATCCCTTGTGCTTATGGCCGGTGAGAATTTATCACACCTCTCCATTCTGTTCTCTTGAGCATGTTTCCCAGATAAGCGCTCCCTCCCAAGACGTGACCGCGAGCCCGACGGTGCACCTGAATCACTCGTTGGGAAGATTGACCCCAAGGAAATGGGTTCTCGCATTCAGAGAACTGCGCCATCGGATATGGACAAAAAAAAGAAACGAGCTGCTGTCGAAGATGCGGACCATTCACAGAAGCGTAGAGCGCCCGTGGACAGTGTTGGCCACACTGACATTATCGAAGCAACGCAGTTCGTAGAAGGAATCCTGTATAGGCCTAGAACTGCGGAAACTCGAGAAGTGTACGAACTCTTTTTGTCTACAGTCCATCGTATCCTCGGTGATCAGGCTCAGGATGTTATACGGAGCGCAGCAGATGCGGTCCTACAAACTATGAAGACCGACGTGATGAAGGACTTTGACAAGAAGAAAGAAATTGAAAACGTCCTCTTGGGGTCTATCTCCAATGAAATATTTGCTCAGCTTTTTTCTCTTGCGAAAAAGATCACTGACTATCCGACCGACGAAACAACTGTTGTGGACCCTGATGCCGACATCCAAGGGGCTGAAATTGATGACGACGTTGGAGTCGCTGTCGTTTTTGAAGATGATGAGGAGGCGGAAAACGACGACGACGAGGGGTATGAAATTCGCGATGACTCGGATGTCACCGATGAAGAGGGAGATATTGGGGTGACGGACAATGGAATCGATCAAGAGAATGAAACAGCCCCAATCGTCGTGGGCGAGGCTCGCAAGTCTCAACAAACGTCCGCCAAAGTGTCCAACACTGTGTCACCTCACGAAGTTGACGGGTTCTGGTTGCAACGGCTTATTTCGACTGCATACCCCGATCCTGTCACCGCTACCGACAAGACTGCGTCTGCCCTCAATATCCTCTCATCTGAAGCTAACCTGCGTGACTGCGAAAACGAGCTCATGGAACTGTTTGATTATGACAAATTTGACCTGGTGCGGATCCTGACGAAGAACCGTGATGTGATTGTTTGGTGTACCAAGTTATCCCGCAGTGATGAAGGCGAACGTCTCAGCGTCGAGGTGGCAATGCGCGAGAAAGGTGTTGGTTGGATTTTGAAGCAGCTTTCCGGGGACCGCACCAAACAATTTGGTGTTGGTGAGCATGGCATTGACATAGAGCCGCAGAGTGGTCAGGCCTCGCTGCATTCGAATTTTCAAGCGCAGGCCAGTCAGCCCCGTCAAACTGTGGACTTGGACGGCATGGCGTTCAGCCAAGGGGGTCGCTTGATGTCGAATAAGAAGGTTACCCTCCCTGATGGCTCTTTCAAACGGTCCAAAAAAGGATACGAAGAAATTTACATTCCTCCGCCAAAACCAAGTCCACTCAATCCTAATGACCTCGTCCCTATCGAAAGTATGCCTTCCTGGACAAGACTGGCATTCAAGGGAGCCAGGACTCTGAATCGAGTCCAGAGTAAACTGTACCCGATCGCGTTTGGGTCCGACGACCCTATTCTTTTGTGTGCACCAACAGGAGCTGGCAAGGTACGCCTTGGGACGATTTTTTCAGTCACTCCGGCATTCATCAAGTACCACAGACCAATGTAGCTATGCTTACCATCCTTCATGAGCTCGGGAAAACTCGTGAAGAATCCACTGAGGCCTTCGATTTGACCCAGTTCAAAGTTGTCTACATAGCCCCCATGAAAGCCTTGGTTCAGGAAATGGTATTGAACTTCTCTCAAAGGCTAGAGTCCTTTGGTGTCCAAGTAGGGGAGCTCACCGGAGACAGTCAGATGACAAAACAACAAATAGCAAATACTCAAATCATTGTGACAACTCCCGAGAAATGGGATGTTATTACCCGGAAGAGCACTGACACAAGCTATACCAACTTGGTGCGCCTCATCATTATTGATGAAATTCACCTTTTGCACGATGAGCGAGGACCCGTTCTCGAAAGTATTGTGGCTCGCACGATTCGCCGCATGGAACAAACCCAGGATTACGTTCGGCTCGTCGGACTGTCTGCTACATTGCCGAACTACGAGGATGTGGCCACCTTCCTTCGTGTGGATCCATCCAAGGGGCTTTTCTACTTTGATGCGTCGTATCGCCCATGTGGTCTGGAACAGCAATTCGTAGGCATTACAGAGAAAAAGGCGATCAAGAGATATCAGATTGTCAATGAGGTGTGCTACGAGAAGGTTTTGGATCAGGCTGGCAAACATCAAACCCTTGTCTTTGTCCATTCCCGCAAAGAGACAGCCAAGACGGCAAGATTTATTCGAGATATGGCCCTCGAAAAAGAGACGATCACCCAATTTGTCAAAGCGGACTCGGCGACTCGAGAAATTCTTCAAACAGAATCGGAAGATGCCAAAGATCCTCATCTGAAGGATCTCCTTCCCTTCGGTTTTGCCATACACCATGCGGGTATGACTCGCGAAGATCGCAAGCTTGTTGAAGATCTTTTCACGGATGGTCATGTGCAAGTCTTGGTTTGCACAGCGACCCTTGCTTGGGGTGTCAACCTCCCAGCCCACACCGTGATTATCAAAGGGACACAGATTTACAACCCAGAAAAGGGTCGCTGGGTGGAACTTAGCCCTCAAGATATGCTTCAGATGCTTGGCCGAGCTGGGCGTCCTCAGTACGATACCACTGGAGAAGGCATCATCATCACTAATCATGGTGAACTTCAGTACTACCTGAGTTTGATGAATCAGCAGCTCCCCATCGAATCTCAGTTCATCTCTCGTCTCGCCGATAATTTGAATGCTGAGGTTGTACTGGGTAACGTCCGTAACCGTGAGGAAGCCGTCCAGTGGTTGGGATATACTTATCTGTGAGTATGTCACGCAGTCATTCTCTGATGGCTTCTGACTTGATGACAAAGTTACATACGCATGTTGCGTTCCCCTTCCCTCTATGGCGTTGGTGTTGATTATCTGGAAGATGATCGGCTCCTGATCCAAAAACGTTTGGACGTGATTCACACGGCTGCAAGCCTATTGGAGAAGGGCAACCTCATCAAATATGACCGTAAACATGGTTTTTTCCAGTCGACAGAGCTTGGCCGCATATCTTCCCATTACTACGTGACTTACGCGTCCATGTCTGTTTACAACCAGCATCTTAAACCCTCGATGACCATGATCGAGCTTTTCCGTGTGTTTGCATTGTCCAACGAATTCAGGTTGATCCCGGTATGTACCGCTCCGCCCTCCCGTTTGATTAAACTGACAGCGGATTGTAGGTCCGCCAAGATGTAAGTGCTGTAGTCATACTATCCTCGTTGGAAAGACTTACTCCGAATTAGGAAAAGCTGGAACTGAGCAAGTTACTGGAACGAGTCCCGATCCCGGTCAAGGAAAGCGTTGATGAGCCTCCAGCTAAGATCAATGTCTTGCTCCAGGCCTACATCTCCGGACTCAAGCTTGAAGGTATTCCATACGCAATCATGTTGGTAATCCGATACTCACTCTTGGAACAGGGTTCGCCCTCGTTGCTGATATGGTCTATGTCCAGCAGTCGGCAGGACGGTAGGCTGTCAACCATGAGTAATCTGTATGTAGCTAACGGTTGGGATTTTCAGTATCCTTCGGGCCATGTTTGAAATATGTCTAAAACGAGGATGGGCTATCCCAACCAGAGCAGCGCTAGATATGTGCAAAATGGCCGAAAAAAAAATGTGTGTTTGACAAGTACCCAGCCCTGGACATAGATTAAGTCTTTGTTAGGTGGGGATCAATGACGCCATTAAGGCAGTTCCACGGCGTGCCTTGGGATGTTATTCGGAAAGCCGAGGGCAAACAATTCGTGAGCTGTCATCCCTGACCTCCTGCCGCAATGCTGAGTAATATTTAAGCCATGGTATCGCTATTTTGATCTTGTAAGAATCGTATTTCTAAGAGAAGTAACGTTTCTTCTCATTTGAACCCCCAGCTGCCGCCAGAGATTGGAGAATTGATTGGCATCCCAAACGCAGGAAAACTGGTCCATCGCCTTGTTCACAGCTTCCCCAAATTAGAGTATGCTATTCCTCCATCTCTCTGTGCTGGATTAATTGCCATTGTTCTTCTCGACAGACTCCAGGCCCATGTTCAGCCTATCACACGTTCACTCCTGCGCATAGACTTAACAATCACACCCGACTTCCGGTGGGATGAGAAGATTCATTCAAAGACGCAAGCGTTTTGGATTCTGGTTGAAGATGTAGATGGGGAAATTATTCTGGTCCATGACCAGCTCCTTCTTCGAAGCCAATTTGCAGAAAATGAACACATCGTGACCTTTACAGTGCCTATCCATGAACCAGTCCCCCCAAACTACTACGTATCCGTCGTGTCCAACCAATGGTTACATGCTGAAACAAGGTTGCCGATCTCGTTCAAGCATCTCATTCTCCCGGAAAGGTTCCCAAATCCTACACCCCTCTTGGATCTTCAGGCCTTGCCGCTGTCCGCCCTCCACAATTCAGAATACGAAGCCCTCTATTCCCACTCCATTACTTCGTTCAACAAGATCCAGACTCAGGTTTTCCAAGCCTTATACAATTCAGACGAGAACGTTTTCATTGGTGCACCAACTGGCAGTGGAAAAACAATATGTGCAGAATTCGCCCTCCTGCGGCTTTGGTGTAAGCCAGAGTTTCGCCGTGCAATCTGCATCGAACCCTATCAAGAAATGGTTAATCAACGAGTGAAGGATTGGCAGGCAAAGTTTGGAAGCTTGCAAGGCGGGAAAGTCATTGTTGCTCTCACTGGAGAGACTAGCTCCGATCTGCGTGTTCTAGAAAAACAAGTTCATGTGGTCGTTTGCACTCCATCACAGGTACGTGCTGGATGCGATCCCGGTGGTCGATGCTGACACGTAATGTCAGTGGGACTTGCTGTCAAGACGGTGGAAGCAACGCAAAAACGTTCAAAATATCGCATTGGTGATCGCCGATGAAATTCAGCTCATAGGAGGAGAGATTGGACCAGTGTATGAGGTGGTGATTTCGCGGACTCGGTATGTTTCCGCCCAAACAGGGAACCCCACTCGAGTTGTTGCTTGTGGAGTGTCACTTGCAAATGCTCGCGACTTGGGAGAATGGATGGCAGTCAGTGCCCAGAATGTCTTCAACTTCGCACCAAGGTGCGTTCCATACTTAGTGCGTGAGTACTGCGAGCTAACCATTTTGTGTCGGGTTCAGTGCAAGACCACTCCCCTTGCAAGTCCACGTGCAAAGCTTCGATATTCCACATTTCCCATCTCTCATGATCGCAATGGCAAAACCTGCATACCTTTCCATCGTGGAGTATGCCCCTGCTCTACCCACCATCATCTTCGTCCCTTCGCGTCGTCAGTGCCGTCCCACTGCCTCTGACATATGGACTTATTGCGTCGCCGATCAGAACGAGGACAGATTCTTAAACATTTCTCCAGACCAGCTCGCTCCTCATCTGGCCCACATTGCAGACTCGAGTCTGACCGAATCGTTGAAACATGGAATAGCATATTATCATGAAGCAATGGATCCTCAGGATAGTCGCATAGTTGAAAGGCTGTTTCAATCCGGTGCTGTGCAAGTGCTCGTTGCGTCCAGGGTAAGTCGGAGCAAGGCGTACAAAATGGACGAGCTTAAGTTATCGTTCTCAAGGAAACCTCATGGAGCCTCCCCCTGTATTCGTACATGGTGGTAATAATGGGAGTGCAATTCTTCGAAGGGAAGGAACATCGCTACGTGGATTACCCTATAACAGACATTCTTCAAATGATGGGTCACGCGAGCCGTCCACTTGTTGACAACAGCAGCCGTTGTGTTCTTCTCTGCCAGCAGACTCGCAAAGATTTCTTCAAAAAATTCCTCAACGAGGGTCTCCCCATCGAGTCTCACCTCCCAACTCACTACCTCCATGATTACTTCCTCTCAGAAATCACAGTCAAAACAATTGAGAACAAACAAGACGCCATGGTAACGCGGATATGAGCAGAGCAGAGTCAGTTGCTGATCAAGTTTATACGTGACAGGACATCTTGACGTGGACGTACTTCTACCGGCGCATGACTCAGAACCCCAATTATTACAATCTCAATTCCACAAGCCATAGACATCTGTCGGATCATTTGTCCGAGTTGGTTGAGAATACACTCAATGACCTCGTGGTCTCAAAGTGTATCGCCATTGGTGCGTTCGACTGCGTCATTGTTGTACCCAACCACTGCTAATCCTCTGTCACAGAGGATGAGATGGATGTTAGTGCGTTGAACTTGGGGATGATTGCGGCATACTACAATATATCCTGTGCGTCTTCCTGAAGATGTCTTGAGCATTCAGCTCATAAACACCCTAGACGTCACAGTGGAAGTCTTCAGCATGTCCTTAAAGGAAAAGACAAAACTGAAGGGCATTCTTGAGATTGTTTCTTCTTCGGCAGAATTCGAATCTGTACCGATCCGCCACCGCGAAGACGTGATTCTGCGACGCATCTACGACCGCGTTCCCGTCAAACTGGACAACCCGAGTTTCGACGCACCATATTTCAAAACATTTCTCCTTTTGCAGGCGCATTTTTCCCGTCTGCAGCTCCCACCTGATTTAGCCGCTGATCAATCAGTAATTCTCGGCAAAGTTTTGAATTTACTTGCAGCATGCGTTGATGTGATGTCTTCCAATGCCTATCTCAACGCACTGGGTGCAATGGATTTGTCTCAAATGTGTGTTCAAGGACTTTGGGAAACCGATTCGCCATTGAAACAAATACCTCACTTCGGTTCAGACGTGAGTTATGAATGCGATGCTCTGATATTGATCAACTCATGCCATTACAGACCATTAAACGCTGCAACGATGCTGGCATTGATACCGTTTACGACTTGATGGAGATGGAGGACGTTCAGAGAGAAGAATTGCTACAAATGGAGCACTCACAAATGTAAGACCCACCATTCTCCCAATCACATCCGCTGAGATCTTTTGCAGGCGGGACGTCGCTGCGTTCGTCAATTCATACCCCAACCTGGACGTCTCCCACGAATTACAACAACAAGAGGAATACAATTCGAATACACCACTCGTCCTCAATATCACGCTTACCCGAGACGCGGACGAAAGCGACAGTGATGATGGTCAATTGGTCGTCGCTCCATTCTACCCATCCAGAAAGATGGTCAATTGGTGGCTAGTTGTCGGCAACTCGGGCACGCGCCAACTCCTCTCCATACGCAAGGTGACCCTACGCCGAGAACTCACAGTCAAGCTAGAGTTCACCCTTCCCAAGGGCCAACATAAGTTGAAGCTCTATGTCATTTGCGATTCATACATGGGAGCGGACCACGACATCAGTCTCGACTCTATCTCTGTTGTTGAAGGGGAAGAAAGCGATGAAGAGATGGAGTCGAGCGATGAAGAATAAGTCGAAGGCCTGTGTTTCACAGAATGCAGCCAGAGATATTTATGTATGATATTTAATACGTCGAACCGCTCGCTAACTCGACAGTCCCGAGCCCCTTCTCTCCCAAATTACATTGTACACGCTTGTTCTTAAAACGCTCTATAAGTCCTGTTTGGACTCCGGCATTCTCCGTCAGATGTAACACAAGATCGTCTTCAATTGTACAGCCGAAGAGCACTCACCAAGCTGCCACAGCAAATCCAGAAACCACTGTGGAATGTGCCTCTGGGGGGCATACTCTCTATGGGCTAGTCTCGGCGCTGCGTTTATTTTTCTTTCTGCTCCTTCAACCTTTGCGGGTGGAATTCATGTTCCTATCATCAATTTGGATTCCTCATCATTGAAAACGCGCTCACTTGGTGTTGGGGCCATAGGCTTAGGTGATTTCAAAGATGTGTGCGCGTGGCTTATGGTCATTGTTACTATTTATCTGAAAGTACACCATCAGCTCGTACAACGTTCTCGTTAAGATTGGCGTTGTCACTTTACCCGTGATCTTGGACACTGGAAGCGCGGATCTCTGGATTTTACTTGATTCATGTCAAGTCAATTGTTCTCACAGTCTTCCAGTATATCCGCATAAGTCACTCAAGTATAGTGGTGTTGACGCGCGACTCTTCTATGGAGATTCTACCAGTACGTCTGAACCAAGTGGTGAAACTCCTAGAATCCCTGACACCATTCTAGCGGGGACATACGCCTTTGGGCCCATTGGGAAAGATACAGTAGCTGTCGCCAACTTGTCCATGCCCAACCAGTGCTTCGCTGGCATCAGTGAGTTTTATCGATGAATCGCACGCATGATCAATCTGTTGAACAACTTGTGCAGATCAAACGGACACAAACGTTGCTACGATGAACTCCGTTGGGATTTTTGGGCTCGGATTCCCGGTAAACAGGTAAGGTGAAATCCTCATTCCACGCTGATCTGATGCCGAAAAAGTCCTTACAGCGTCATCTGGAATGCACTCTTTAACCATCAATATCCATCTGGAATGATGACCTCCTCCAATCGCCCCTCTTCCACAACGTCGCAAAGCCCTCGCTCATCGTCTCTGGCGAAGCGTGGTAAATATAACGAATTGCTGCACCCCCGGAAAGTGTCTCCAGATATTGCTTTTGAATTCATGCAAAGTTTAGCGACCGTGGATCAGTTGCTCAGCACCTTCATCACTAATGGTCCACTCATTGCTCGGATGGCATTCTCCGGGCTTCTGTTAGAGCCAAGCTTCTCTGTTACTCTGCAGCGTGACTCTCTCGATATAGGAGGCAACATTGGGTTGCTGAGCATGGGTGGACTCCCAGGTGCGGTGAAAAATAACAGTCTGGTGGTAAGCCCTTTCCTTCACCGATGAAGACTCATCGTTCACTGGAATCAATGGAGTGGACACCCGTGCGTTTGTACACCACTGAACAGGGAGGAATCCCAGCCTCGCCGGCTGCCCCAAATGAGGTATGACAATATTCTCTTTCCGATTGCCCATGCATGCACCGACGTACCTTGTAGACCTATCCAATGTAGGTAACCTATCAAACCCTAGTCAGAACATAGGCTCAACACAGGGAAGATCATGGGAAGTGCCAATCACAAATGTGTATCTTGACGGAGAACTGCTGCCAAAAAGTACCTTAAGCACTGGGGTTTCTCTTTCTGCATTAATTGACACGGTAGATCTTCTCGATATCTTGGTATATTAGCGAATTATTGTTAATGCTTCAATCAGGGGAGTTCGCTGATTCGTGGTCCAAGCGACGTTGTCAGCTTCATTTATGGGCGAATATCAGGCTCATCTGAGTCGAGTCTGTACCCTTGCACAACCGCCCATATCCTGGAGTTCGAACTTGGGTGAGTGCAAAAACTTTCTCATGACATTCGATTCAATTGCCTGGGCAGTGGTCAGCGCTTCCCAGTTGATCCTCGTGATTTTGGCAGGCAGGCCGCGAATAATGATATACAGACTTGCAACTCCAGCATAGTTGCTACTGACCCGCCAGCAAGGGGTTTTTATATGCGTGGAGTCTTGGCGCCCCTTTCTTGAAGTCGTAAGCACCATCTTTCAGGGTAACTTCACTCATTCAACTTGTGGAACTTCAGTGTGCTGGCTTCTTTCTATTATGGTAATTTAACGCATCCATCTGTTGACCCTCCAAGAATGGGTTTTGTCTCGACTGTTCCCCCAAATTCCAAGGACCTCTTTGCAGCAGCAATCAAGACAGCGCACAATAATTTCCCTGGTGTGTTCAGTTACATGCAATGAAGTGCAGTTGATTGATGTCGGCATGAAGCGATTGTTCAGCCTCCTCCTCAAAGTGTCCCAAACACTACCCTAACTGGGATCGCCGGTGTCGCTCTGGCTCCAACTCTGTCTTCAACCGGCCCGACCACCGTATTCTCCATCGTCTCTAGCCCCAGTCCAAGCTACACGCTGTCGTTATCACCATCTCAATTCACGTCAACAAACAATTTCCACAATTCTGCCCTTCGCACGACACCAAACATCGCTTGCGTTATCACCATTGGTTCCATCCTCGCCCATATATATATCTGATCATATATCTCTTGTAACCACACCACTACTTCCAAGCAATGACATCGCTCGTTATGGACTCATATCGATATTGTGGCGCGCAGCCAATATATCTACTTTTAAACCCTCCACTCATAGCCAGAGAGGGAGGCGACCAATGATGGTAAGCGCGCCCCACTGCTTCAACGCTTGAGCACGCACCCCAAGGAATTATAAGATAGATATGTTTTTATAGTCAGGCGCTATGAATGCGCACTGACTTGGGCAGCGACCGTTCCAAGAAAGGAAACAAGAGTAGATCATAAGCGCCGCTGGACTCAACATCAACAAACGTGAGTTGGCATCAGCGTCCGCTACGATCCCAAGAATTCTAATAGGAATAGCTACGAAATCTATGAGGCTGAGAAAGCAGAACGTGTTCAACCTGCCACGCATAACCATCATCCAGCCGAAGTTCTCAGAATTGCCTCGAACCAAGAACCAAACCGCAAAGGAACCGAACTCAGTTCGGTTCTCAGTTCTGGTTCTCGAAGATAATGTGAACCGGTTCTGAACGGCAGAACCATCGAAAAGATTGTAGTCCTGTCACTGTTGTGTATGCATTGATTCATGGAATCCATAATGGCCTCCCCTCCGAAAATCCTGTCACGCCCCCGACGTTGGCACGCGCTAGTTGCCGGGTGTCAATTTTGGGACACTTCAAACGATATGCGTTCACTCGGTATACAATGGCGTGAGTGCTCCCGTACGGACGGAGGATCATCATTTGCCTTTGGTGTGCAACATGTTGCCTTGCTTATGCGACACCCCGACATAACATTAATTGCCAGGGGGGACGAAGGCACTGGCGTCTATGTCTGGCCCCATTGAGGTTTGTGATTGATGGCATTGAGTTGGATGGTCTCGGGTTGACGAATTAGTTAGGCTCGAGCAGCGGTAGAGTCTTCCTCTCATGCATCTCTCGAAGTGTTGATTCGGCCAGTTTTTGGGCTCCCAAGTCCGTCGGGATGAATTTAAGTGCGCAAAGCATGCTAAATGACCGATCTCACAGGTACGATTGAAAAAGAGCTGTCGAATAGGATCAGAAAACTCTTGGAACAAGTTCTCCTTCTGAAGTTGCACCCTCGGTCGTTGGTGCAGGTGACAATCCAATTGCAAGAGTCGACTCGGTCAACTTCCAAGCCGAGGGGGGAGCTAAAGGGCTTTTTGCATGGATCCGTAGTAGCAGCAATGATTAATGCCGCGTCATGCTGTTTACTGGACGCGTCCAGCATAGCCACGGGTGCGATGGTGTGTGCCGTGGGTATTGGCCGAAAGCGAACTACTGGGGCATTAGAGGTTGATCCTGATCCGGTGGATGAAAGGTGTGAGTCTATAGGTTGCTTCGCATTCGTCTACCGACAAGGAAACGAGGGTGATATCGCCTGGGTGGACTGGCAAGGCAATGGTGACGCTCATGTGAGTGGAATCATGGGGTGATCCGTGGTATTTGCTCACGAAAGGTGTTGCTCCACTCCGCTAGTACGCAGCTGGATTGGAGCTCGCCCGAACGGGATGCGCGGCAGTGCTAGAATACATGAGGCAAAGCGTGGTGGGAAGGGTAACGATGCAGCACCATTAGTGTCAAGCGAACGTGCCCCGTTGATATCGTACTAAGTCTGTCGCCATCATCCTCCATTTGGGTAACGGTGGTTAGATGTGACATTGCTGCACATATGCTCAACTTTGGGACGGGCTGTGGCTCAGTCCATTAATGCGATACGCGGTGTGGATTCTGAGTGACAGCTGATGGTTATTTCGATTCGGATCTTTTAGTTAATACCGGCGCATCAGGGAATGACATGGTTCCTTAACATTAGATAACAACCGGTGAAATTCGTAGTATTGCTGTTGGCCAAACGTGGGGGCGTCAGTCGACCACGAGAGTACTTTCTGATCTGGGAGCTATCTATCGGAGTGTGTTCATATATGCCGTGTACGAGATGGACACAAATTGATCCATACGTGTATTTAGTGATCGAAATGCTGATAAGGGTTGCGGACCCTAGAGAGGGGATAATACGCTGGTGCTGGATATATAGCTCATGCCTCATCGTCATCCACTGCCTAGATATATATTCAGATAAGCACCATTAGTGCGTGCTTAATCCTCTGTGTGTATAATACACGAGATATGATATGAGCAAATCAGGAAGGGTTGTATCCGAGCTGGAAGGGATGATACTCATAGGCAGAGTAATATGGGATGACTGCTTCAGCAGGCCAAGGTTGATATCGGGGGCAGAAATGCGCAACGATATATAGCAGTCCCAACTGCAAAGGCTCACGATAAGCCCACGTGTTTATTTACACCGAGGTTCAACATTAATTGTTTGAACGTTACCACAACGCGGATGTGGATACATACTCCTTCCGTCCGAGCGTGGCTTGTTTTCCTTCTTTCTTTCTTTCTAAAAGTGGACTGATTATGGACCGATTTGTTTCATTTCGCTCTTTCTCTCGTCCATTCACTAACACCGGATCCGAGATCATATTGTTTTGCATCCGTAAAGTAGCGGACGCGCGGTAGATAAGCAAATCAAATCAAGTGTACCGCCGTCAACGGGCACAAAGGCCTGTTGAGGGCAGGAGACGTACGTGTACAGCCGATAGGAGCTGTGACAAGAGCAGGAAGGGTGGATTGTCAGTGGGATGAAACTGAGTGCCAGACATGCATAATTTATTATTTCCACATTTTCTTCCGTTCGTGTCATGTTTACAGGGGTGATTTCGGAAATAGCCTAATGCTCGCTCTCCAAACAACCATCAACAGCGACATCCCCGGGCTCTCTCATAAGAATGCATCCTTAACCAAAGCAACTTGCATCAACCACCCAACGCCCTGCCTCCCAGCGGCAACCAACAAGACCAGCTTTAGTTCCCGCCTTCCTCCTACTCCTTACTCACTCACACCATTATCCCCTCCCCCACTTTTCGCTTCTCTCACATCACTTCCCATCCTAGCACCCGCTGCTTCCCCTGTCCTCTAACCCACCTCACTCTTGGCTTAATGCCTCTCAAACCATGCCTAAAGTCGGGTCATCATAACCCTTCCAGTGGCTGCAATTCTAACAATCATCCACCAATACCTATCGACTCGTTCGTCTTTGTCCCCAAGTTTCTGGACCCTGCTGACCTCTCTTTCCTCCCCCTTCGCAACCATTCTTCATCAGAGCGACTTCGACTTATGGTGAATACTCTGCTCTCCCCTATGCCCAGCCATTTGTCCACTTTCCACCTTCCCCAACTTTGACAAGCACACATGTTGTCGACGATTCTCGCATATATGATCGCACTCCCATCGTAGTGGCAGAAAATGATTGTGCTCTTCCCCAACGAGGCTGCCCGGGCCGTACTTACATCGGAATCGAGCGTCGTTCAGCGCCCAGGTCGGCTTCACCTGGTAATCACCTCCATCCCTCAGCAGCTCGATTTTCCAACTACTCCATGTCTCTGCATGCCGACCCTTCCCGTGTGCCCTCACTAACGAGCGACGAAACAAGTTCGGACGACTCGGATGGGGCAGTACCCACGCCACCAGAATTTTGTCATCCATCTTCCTCTGGAAGTATGTCTCCGCTGTGTCACTCGCTGTGTAACCCTGATCATCACTCGCCCTGCTGTCAGACCCAACGCGCTACTCTCGGTCTCTCCTTTCCTCTTCCTCATCCTTCTGATCCTCCCCGCTCATCTTTTCGGACTCCGATAACTTCGAACACGTCTTCGAATTACGGTTCCTCTAGGTACAACCATTCTAATAAATTCGCTCGTGATGGTCCCACGTTTGCCTCGGCGTTAGATAGTTCATGTTTAGGAGGGTTTTGAACGGAGAAACGGATCATGGCGAGCGAAGAAGGGTTGTTGATCTGATCTTTCCTTGTGCCCATCTTCAATTGCCTTGCTTTCTTTCCACCATTTCACTCACGACAAATATACCCTCCCCCATTACGAACTCGCACTTTTCATTGTAAGACTACTGCCACCACTATTTCAGTTTATGCCAGTATCATTTGCTGCCAATTCACATAGAATGTTGTCATCAACCATTAGAGGCTGGATTACCCCCTTACGCTCTGCTGTCCATGATCTTAAGGCCTTCACACCGTTTCTTCCCTGAATGTAGATCAACCATTTGAATACAAAGACGTGCGTGGCACGGTAAAACAAAGAAGGGTAACAGCAGCTCTGAACGCGTTCATTCCCTTCACTTCTCACCCCTGCCCCCCGCAGCTTCCGATCAGAGCCCAAGCGAAGAGGATGCGGTATTTTTGCTACATGCAACAAGATAGATTAATGATCACGCGTTATTGTATTGGTTTATGTGCAAGTGGGGTGTGTTGCTTCAGCGACCTTGCGGAGCCCACACACACATGGCACAATAGAGCCCTCATCATGATGCACGCGTTCGCTATCATGGGACAGGATCTGGCTCACGAAACGGGTAATCAAGCAGTGTTGCGAAGGACTGCACGAACGGAACACCTCAGCATGGTGCACGATTCACCAAGCCTGGAATGAGTGACTCACTGAGAATGACAGAGTCTCCTCTGGGGTTCCGCAGAAGAGTAGAGGAACGTTGAGATCAAGAATTCAGGAAAAAGAAATTCGAAACTCACCGTAGAAACATCTTGCTTATGAATCGGTCCTTATTCACGGGTTTCTTGTTTTTGCCTTTGGGGATTTCTGTCCACATCTGTGACCGGTAGGACATGAGCGACCACGTGGAATTGGGGAGGTTTGAGTGAGAACGCACCTCTTTCACATTCTCCAAAACCTGAAGCGGATCAGCGCGTCAATACACCAACGATCGCTGCAATTGGACCTCTTACCATGTTACTATGTCTATCAAACGCCTTCACACGTGCCAGTAGCTTCTTGTTGTTACGGAGGGAGATAAGAATCTGGGTATTGTTGCGAACCGCTTGTTGCAAGACGGACAATGGTCCTTGACTTATTTCGTGCTCCTCAAGCGCTCGTATCTGAGCCTCATCGAGCTCTGAGCGCGGTACATTGGCATACTGACTATAAATCTCATGTGAGAAACTGCCCAATAAAAGGGGAGGCAGAGCACACACCTCATCGTGGTTTGAGATTGACGCTCGGCAACCTCCGGGCCACAAACTTGTGTCTAAAGCACAATGGGCAAACTTGTGAAGAAGGGCACCAAAGGCGTCGCAAAAGCTTATGTGACGCGGGGAGCGGCCCTTAAGAAGCTTCAATGCACGCTAGCAGACTTCAGGCGTCTGTGTATCCTTAAAGGTAATGTTGCAGCTTACGAGATAAACCAGCAAGTCGATTGTTAACCAATGGTGAAGGTATCTTTCCTCGTGAACCACGGAATAGAAAGGTGGCTCGCCGAGGGTCCACAGTTTACACAACATTCTACTATGCGAAGGATATCGCGTTCCTTGCACATGAACCTGTGCTAAAAAAAATGCGAGAACAAAAAATCTTCGCCAAGAAGATGGCACGAGCAGTGGGACGTCGCGACTGGTCTCTTGCTAAAAGCTTGAAGGAGAATAGGCCATTTTATAACCTGGACCATATTGTGAAGGAGCGGTAAGTAGTACATTGCCTCCATTCGTTTTGTCCGAGTCACGCTGATGTCGTCGATATTGCATAGATATCCTACATTCATAGACGCCCTCCGGGACATCGATGATGCCCTGTGTCTCGTTACACTGTTTGCTTGCCTCCCTTCAATTCCCCGAATTTCTCCTTCTGCCGTTGAGCAGTGCGCGCGTCTGACCCATGAATGGCAGCTATATGTCATGCACACACGGTCACTGCGCAAGGTCTTTTTATCCATCAAAGGAGTTTACTTCCAAGCCTATGTGATGGGTGAAGAAATCACCTGGCTTGTACCGTATATGTTCTCTCAGACAGTAAGAATTTCTGCGAAATCTTTATTATTTTATCTGTCTCATTGTTCTGCTATTAGATACCCGATGATGTGGACCTTCGTGTCGTGGGGACATTTATAGACTTCTATCGAACTCTATTAGGTTTTGTTCTCTTTAAATTATATACGGACGCAGATCTCGTATATCCTCCTGCCTTGGACGCTTCTAAGAATGATGGAGCAGGAGGGTTGAGCGCATTTCGTTTGATCGATCTTGGGACTCAAGCCACCGAGCAGTCTCTAAGTGACCAGAAGACTACAGTTCTGGACGTGGAGGGCCGTCAGGTGAAGCCACATCGCGTCCAACAAGCCATTAATGCGTTGGCTCACGTTCCTGCACCGACTGAGCCTCCCGAGGTTGCAACGAAACCTCAGTCATCCAATGAGCCTTCGGCAACCTTCAATTTCCCCACCAACGGTTCACCTTCAGTCACCAATCTCTTCACTGGTCTCACATTTTTCCTTGCACGTGGTATACCTCGCCCGTTGATGGAATTCATCATTCGTTCGTTTGGGGGGCGCGTCGGCTGGACCCCAACTGCAGGCTCTGGGTCACCACTTCAAGAGGATGACATGTCTATCACACATGTGATCATTGATAGACCGCTTGACAATACAAGCAAAGTCCCAGGGGAGCTGCTGCGCTGCCGCAAATACATACAGCCACAGTGGGTTGTCGACTCGATTAACGCCCAAAAGCTCCTTGTGGAGGGACCGTACGAACAAGGTCAAACAATGCCACCGCATCTAAGTCCCTTCGGGGAGGCAGACGGAGCCTATGATCCTCACTCGGCTGAAAGTGCAGCCAACGAAGTCGACGATGTTTCTGATGAAGAGGCAAAGGAGCCCGCCGAAATGTCGAAAAGCAGTGATGACGCGTTGCAACAATCCATTTTGACTGCACGGTCAGAACCAACTGAAGCGAATCTACGAGCAGCGGAGATACAAGCCGAGCGTGCCGGCATGGATGCAACGACTTTCGAAGCAGCCATAAACAAGCGTCCGAATATTACCCAGCCAGAGAAAGTGACAGACTCGAGCGCTCCTTCAGACATGAACAAAATGCTAATGAGTAACAAGAAAAGAAAACTCTACGAAAATCTCAAGCGTAGAGAGATGAAACAGGCCAGCCAGGTCAGTCTCAGATTTTCTCCAGTGAGATGTTCGTCTGACTTCGTTCATTAGCGCGAAGCCTTACAGGCGAAACGTCTCGCCTTGCAAAGGGAGAGGGCAAAGGGATTAAGAGCAGCCGTTCGCAAAAGCTTGTTCGAAAAGCACAATTAATGTGCAATCACTAATACCCATTCTCTCACGCGGACTAGATAGCATACGTGTAGAGTAGCACATTGTTATCTTACTAAGTCGAATAAATTGACATCCTCGCATGAGGTGACGAAGCGGGAAATATCAACACCAACGGGGTGTCCTTGATTGTAAAGCTTACAATAGGTTGGGGAAATGCGGCTGATCCAGAGGACTGGTCGGAATGGGCACAACAGTGTGTGGGAATCCTTTGATTGCATCTGCAAATTCAACGTCGAGAGCGGAATAGAACGATCCGCTGGAAGATTCGGGTCGTTTCGAAACCTGGCTTATTGAGAGGGAAGACACCGCAAGTTCCGCTGATCTGGCATCCCGAGGCTTTGATGGGGCACCCAAAGAGGCAGGGGACTCATCGTTGGCGGGATGAGAGGCGGAGGGGGAAGGTAGTAGTGATTGCGAATAGTCCAGGTCATCGTGTAGCACAGTTTGATATAGGCACAGCCGAGCCATTTCCAGGCGGAGCTGCTGAACTCGCTTTGCTTGTGATATTACAGCAGCTTGTATCCTGTCTCGTGTTGTGCGGACAAATGGTGTCATAATCTCGAAATTACGTATCAGTCGCATTTCTGCATCAAGCGCGGTTTTCGTTGTCACGATTTTCTTGTTGAGATCATCCAATTTACCTCGCAAGAGACCAACTCGATGACGGAGGGTATGCGAATCCCAGGCTGCACGGTATGTGTCCAGGCCGCCTGGCGCAGCAATCGTTGAACCTTCATCCACACCAGAAGAATTCGACTTGTTTGGGAAATTGAATCCCGAAGATGCAGCACCATCTGCAACAGAAGATAGGATTTCAGGCGTGTCGGGTTTCACATCGTGATGAACTTGGGCCAGGACTTGCTGGTTGGGCGCAATGTAGTCAGAGGTGAACTGAATTCGCAACCCCAACGACCTGAAAGTGCTTGCGAAGTTAATCAAGCACATCCATTCCAACGCTTCTTCACGACTCTCGGCCTTAACAATGAACTGTCGGCCGCTGGCCAACACAAAGCGAAACGATGCATCATCCTGATGATGCGGGGTCAGTATGGACAAAGCTCCTTTGAGGGATATGTACAAACCATGTGGTAGGAGTGGTCAAAAAGAGCAACTGCATCATGCAGCGAGATGACCTCATCAGGTTTCATATCGATGAGCACCGTGCCCTCATGCAGATCCCGTTCTTTGACACCAACAAGTAACGAAAGATCTCTGAAGAACAACAACTGAGACCCGGTCAAAATAACACGCCATTGCCTCCACTTCCTATTTGAGGCCTTCCGATGTTCGTCCATGACATCTGTTGATCGGTCACCAATATTCATCAGCGCGGACGGTTCAACAGTCTGGCTGAAGGTTTCCTAACCTTTTCTTGCAACCGTACCTAGCTTCGTCATCCCAAACTTTTGATGGCTTTCTGGTGATGGCAAATCGGATGTGGCCCCATATAGAAGAGGGATGCTTCGCCTGCGAGTCTGTTCAAGCACCCCCAGCCGGGGAGCAGACTGGAAGCGTTGTATCCTTTCGGAAATCGTCAATGTCCGGTCAACCCCTCCAGGGAGAACGGGATGGTATGAGGGATCCATGAACTAATGTCCACGCGTAATTGATCTAAGGAATGCTGAGGCCAAACCGAAAATCAACCAATACGTTACTGGGACATTTGACTGAACTCACCTCGGATATGAGGACATACGGATCCAGACGCCGCCTTGACGAAGTGGGGGGGTTCGGTCCAGGTTTTAGACCGGAAACAAGAGTGGACGAGCGATTCCGGATTGACACGGGAGTATCAGGCAGATACCCAAACTGTCCAGTTATATCAAGATTATCCTCCACAAATATAAACGGGGCAAATGTTGTATTGTCATAAAAGCACTGGGGTCCCCGTAAATGAAAGTTCATCCATTGAAAAGCAGCATCTTACCTCCAATACTTCGGTGGCAACACCAGGCAAACGGGTGTTCTTGACATAATCAGCCTTCCTCATACGGGTTTTGTTAGAAGGATTGAAGGCGTCCGTATGCAGCATAATGAGACTGAAGGACAGAATGTATGCATGATCTATGCAACGTTAGGGGGTGATCCCTAATCATATCTAAGCTTGAACTGACCGTTGTTGGCGAAAAGCCCTGGATTGCAAGTCTCGTAGCGAGCCGAAAATGCTTCAACAACTCTGTCTATCTGCTGAGTTTCGCGAGGTAAGCCCACATCCATCAGGAACTTCCGTAGCGCTATGTCCAGCGGATCAGAGCGGAAATCAAACTTGGACAAATAAAGTTGCAGAGTTGTGGTATAGAATGGCTCTTTCCTGAATGACGGAATCAGCGAGTAAGGATGGTTCTGTTATCATAAAAGGCACACCTTGACGCCAAGATGGACGCAATTTCAGCTTTGCTTACTGCCGCAATCAACCTTTTCAAGTATAGCTCTGGTGTCTCACGATCTTCAATGGGCGGCGGTAGGCATTTCCTATCAGACAAGGGAGTGGAAGGACGCTCAAGACTGGAAGATGAGCGCCTTGTTTCGACTATGGCGGGAGACTGAGTAGTTGCGGGAGAGAGAGACGAGCCCGTAAAGAGGAAAGATTTTGTGAGTTTCCATACAAGTGATGACTGCCCAGTAGATATAGGAGGACGTAAATGCGCCACGTCGGTCCCTTCAACTGATGCCGACAATATACTTTTTGAAGGGGGCTGGGGAATTGCTCTTTCATCGCCTGTTTGACTTGTGGGAAAAAATGGAGTTTTCGGTGCAGTGGAGTGGAAAAGAGACATAGAACGGTGGCGAGACGGTTCGAAGGCAACAGATAGTCGAGGAGTCGATGCAGACCGGCGAGGGGTTGGCCCTCCATCGGGGGGAACTATGGTACTGAGATGGGCTTGCTTGTGTGCAGTTAGAGAAACTGGTGAGTTCGGCAGATCAGTGTCTGCCGGAGACACTAGCAAAGAAGGCGGCTCAGTGGGCAAAGACGCAGCCCTACCTCTGTCGAACATATCGAATGAAGTGGAAGAGGGGAGCTCAGCTGCGTCGGGGGGACCTTGGAAGTTCCCTACTAAAGAACCGCTATTGACTGATGTATTGGCTAGAGTGGGGCCCTCTGTCTCTCGAATCCTGGCGGAGCCAGGATCATTGATAACCTGTACTGCAACTTTGTCGAGATTGGGAGCCAGGTTTGTCGAACTAAGTGAGCTAGCCGGTGACGAGTTGTCTTCGTCAAGGCTGTTGCAGGCTGTTGGTCGGCCAATTGGCGAATCGCCAGTCTCACCAGCTGACACGTACTGGCTGGGTGCATATTCAGCTGTCGATGAATCGATAAATGTTGAGTTCCTCCAGGGAACGGGCGCTATCACAGCAGGAGTGGTCAGGGTAAGTGCGGGGATGAGATGCGACTGTGGCTGTTCCCCTAGCCGATGAGTAGACGCCATGAATGGATCTGAAGAATGACGTTCATGGTGAAGCAACAACATGCAAGAAACAGCCACTCGCCTTTAGAGAGAAACTGCGCACCAACGCTTTCATTCGATATGGATGTACCACCCGACGCAGAACGGCGCCGAGGGGATTCCTGCATAGAGCTCCCCCCGCCGAGATCTGTGCGTGTCGCTTTACGAGACAGAGTCAACTTGCGAAATGGAGACCCGCCAAAAATGGACTTTCGAGCTTTCGAACGCTTGGGGAAATGATGGTCCGCAAACCCTTCATCAGCATCAACATCAACACCACTTTCGGCGTGGCGGAGGGGAAGGGATGGATTTGAAGGGGAGCGGAGGAAATTTGATCGAGAATGCAACAGTGCTGCGGCGCTGACTCCGACATTGAAAGAAGCTTGCGCTAGAGCCATGGTGGCGCTTTTGGGGTGCTCGGAAAATACAGAATAGGGAGTCGAGTCCTTGCTTGATATTCGTTGCATTTCATTGGCCGGAGGCGGCGGAATAAAGGCACGCCATCGGGCCTGTGGGCCCGTCAGCTCATCCACATCGGTTGGAAGTGGTGGAAGATCCTTCTCTACTTGAAGGTGGTGAAGCCCCGTTTCTGAGTTTATCTTCTTGTCAGGCACATCGAAACCTACAGACGACTCTGCCTCGGTGGTCAGGAAGCGGTGATAACATCAATAAGAATACCTGATGGTGCGGAATAAATGGTCGTTGTTGTCCTTTGAAGTAATGTGGTAACGGTGGTGTGCACGGCGAGTCGACTTCGTTGCTCGTTGCCGGCAAGGCCTGTGTTTTCAGCGGGACCCGAGTATCGAGGTGGAGGGACAGCCGGAGGAGAGTCAGCATTCACAGCATGAGCATCCCATCCCGACATGTGGCCTTGATGTGAAAGACTGTGATCAAGACGAAAGTATCCAGCGTGATAGGAGAAACGTCAAAGGCTGGTTTCCTGAGATCGCCGCACTGACGCTGGTAAATGAGCGTGCAAGTCTACAGGAAATAGAGCATAGGCGGGCCCAATTGCAGCAAGTAAGGCTGTTCGAACGACTTTAGCGCGACCCACACGGAAATAACAGTAATGAGAGGATGAGAAAGTCCTGGCTTCAGAATAAAGGTCCAATGAGTCACATGACTTAGTCAGCCCTGGGGATTGACAAACCAGCAGGAATGTTTCGTCCGTTTGTTCACTTGAGGCATGCCTTAACGCGAAGGGGTCGGCTTCTCACCCAGAACCCCCATGGGATAGTTTCCAATTCGCTGGCAATCCCGGAGGCGCCCGGGGAATGAAAATTAGGTCTTCGATAAAACTCTTCTGTGATGGTTGTTCTGTGGTGAGACGAAAAGGAAAACTGTATGTGATTTGTTCAAAAGACCCAAAGCACAAACAGGTCAGTGTAACATTTTTAGTCATACACCCTAGTCTCTGAAAATTTGTAGCGCCAGGGTTGAGGTGTACAGATTGCCCCGCTGGGTTCGTTCTAAACGTTTGTCCTCCCGATGCCTCTGGTACTCCACTGAGCAACAGTGTATATGCCAGATGTCCTGATATTGATACTGATACACGATGCAAAACAGTAGTCGTAATGTCTTGGGATACAACAATTTCAAGAACCCTTCACTATTGTCCCTCACCCCCGGATCTTTCGAATCGAGTCTGTGTTGGCGCACCTTGGGATGATTCCGAAACAAACCTGAGCCTTTGTGTAGCATAGTTCATCAGAGCAGTCTCACTAGAAGGTTTGTGAGAGCCTACACGGTTATGATGTACTTCGCCAGTCGATCACATTCTTCGTATTCAAACTCGTTCGGTTCGTTCGCTGCATGCCTGGCTTGCTCGATGAGCACATTATACTTCTGCAGGCAGGATGGTTCTTGAAGGTTGATTAGAGCCTCGAGCGCTTTCAGATGGCCTTCAGCCGTTTTATGCGGCTTCAATGGCGGATAAGATGACAACAGAACACGAGCTTCGCGATCTGTCCCATGGTCAGAGGCGCCCCTTCAAGATCAGAAATTGAACTGACCTACGTCCAACAGGGTCTCAAGCATGGCCTTCCTGAAGAAAACACCCTCGAGAGTACTTCCTTGCAGCAACCATAAGACAGGGTGTCGTTCTTCTTCAATAATGCTTACCTGGAGTGCCCCAACCCTCCTGAAACTTTGCTGAGGGTTGCGAAAGCCTGGCGATACCACACGCCCTGTCATACTCCAAAGAAATAAGCCGTGCAACGCTCTGCAGGAGATATGAGCGAGGGGGGGAACAGAGTGATGGAGCCACTCACTGATGGAACGTCCCCGTCCTCCAACGGCATGCAGCTTCTGGGGATTTGTCTCATACTTCTGATCGTCGTAATTTTCCGGCTAGTATAGACTCCAAGTGATACGATAGCCTGTTCTCGCTGTGAGGTATCGATAAATTTCACATACGCCAGCTTGGCGTACCAGAGCTACGTATGAGCCAACTATCGCGATGACGTTCCAGTTAGCCACAGTGTCAGAAGCGCTAAACAAAGCCTGATATCCCAATGATGCACCGGACGCCAGGACGGAAGCCCCCGTCAAGAAGACAAAGAACGCAAATGACAGATCATAGAGGACGCCCATCGACACATTCCCGAGCAACCGACCCAAATCAGGTGACCCCAAGTTGTGTCAAGTATGAGACGATGGCCAGCTCATCTCTCGCGCCTCTTGGACGCGCCGAGACCCAGGCTTTCGTACACATGTCCTCAGAGCCTTTTTTCCGGCGCGACTTTTCATGCTATGCATGTAGGAACAACACCGCTTTCACCCAACTTGTTTCCGATGAATCTCCATCGACTTCGGGTCGCTGTCGCTCAAGGACACGTCCCTCGAATATACGAGTATCTGAAGCTTGTACTATCGCCTGTAAACCAACCACCCCCCTCGTTTCTCAAACACGATCTCAAACACATTACCCAACTGGTTACGAAACGCATCGGATCACCACAGGCCACTGAGGACCATAGTATCCAGGATATCGTTATTCTCCTCGCGTCCCTGGAAATATATCATCCTCTGGCGTCTTATATGCTTCTGCTGATAAAAAGCGGTTGTCCCGAACGTGTCCTTCGAGTGTGGGAGCTGGCGCAAGGTCTCCCCCACACAGCAAAAAATGGTTCTATCCATCTCCCTGAGCAAAAATATATCTCGGACGCCCTGGGATATGTGACATCAGCTGCATATTTGGTCGATGGCCGACGATCGGTGCTGACCAACGCAGTTACCTATCCCTCACATCTCAATACTCGCTCCATTAATGCTTTCCTTCGTGCAATGAATCTGGCCCGGGGTTTGGAGGCCAATACGCTGGCCTCACTTGTTTCTCATATGAAAATGGCAAAGCTGCTTGCGCATCCATCCAAAGCTGCCCAGCATTTGAAGCACTTGATTCGAAGCGCGAACCTGTCTGCCTCCATCAGTTTTTCGAAACCATCGTAGAAGGAATGCGCGGGGAAGACCCATGGATCGCGCCCTCTGGTGTTACGCCATTTTCAGATGATCCTCGATACCTTGTGTCGTTCACTGAATCCCTTTGGAGCATTCTGCTGTCCGGCTTGGCGAGGCTGGGGTCGATGGATACAGCGCGTCTCGCCTGGAATGCAATGACAGAACTTGGCGTAGAAAAGACTGTTATTTCATGGAATGCGCTCTTAGATGCATTCGGACACCACAGACTGAATGATGAGCTCGTGATGATTTGGAGATCCATGGATCAAGCGAATATCCGCAAAGATTTCTTCTCATACACTACCATGATATCATCCTTGTTCCAATTACGTCGATCCGATGACGCGATGGCTGTGTTTGAGGAGATGACAATGCTTATCGAAAACCCGAAGGCCGCCACTGAAGACGATAGTGTTTCCACTTTTCCCGGACTCGATCTTCACGAGGAATCGATAGAATCAGCAGGGGACATATTGCGACACTCCGGCGTGCGAGGATCCGCTACATTTGCATGCAATGCCGTCGTACATGGTTGCCTGAAGTCATCGCGATTAGACGACGCCGAGAGGGTCTTGGCGACCATGAAGTCGCGTGGTCCCAAACCAGACATATCCACTTACAACACATTTCTTCGTTACTACGTTCGACACCATGACTACTCTGGAATTGCGGCGACCCTCCGTGAAATTTCACTTAATGGATTGCACCCAGATGTCTTTACCTTCACCTCCATTGTTCACGCTTACCTCCGCCGTGGCAGGGACGGCACAATTGAGCAGCTTGAGAACCTCATGAAGAGAACAGGTGTCAAGCCCAATGCTGTTACGTACACAGCAATCATCGATAGTGTTGTCAGACAGGGCGGAGAAGCGAACATTGAAATGAGCTTAGCTCTTGTTCAAAAAATGGTTGAGCAGGGACTTTCACCAAACGAAATCACTTATACATCAATACTCGCAGCATTATACAGAGATTCGTCATTAGGCACCAAATTCGTTGCGAGTAAAAGAGACGATATCGAGATGCAAATGCGCAACGCCGGGATCCCAGCAAACCGCGTCACATTCCATGTCCTCATCTCCGCCCAACTCGAGACTCCAGGGGTGATTGGGATGTCAAACGCACTCCAGAAATATCAGGAAATGGTTGAAGCTGGTATCAAGCCTCGGGACGACACGTTTTACTTGTTGTTGCGGGGTGCCATAATGCGACGGGATGTAGAAAGCGGTGCGAAGATTATCTGTGAGATGGACAGAATTGGCTTTGTCCCTCAAGGTGCTGTAGCGCGGTTAGTGAGCCAGGTGCGAAAAGAGGCATCACTTGCATAGACACGGCATACCAGCGACCCATGTGCCCCCATGTAATACTGTGATTAGGATCGAAGTGATGGTTGCCCGAAGAAAAAAGACGATGTTAGGCCATATTTAGCATAGCGGACGTAGGCTATGACACCATAAATGTCATTAGACTCCTCTAAGCACGCGTTTCCAGAACCACAAGATGAACGCACCCCAATGACTCCATCTTCGCCCTAACCATTTCCCAAGGAAGGGCATAACCACAAGAGTCATGAGAAGTTGCAGTTGTTGGATGCTCTCTTCCCATTCCTGTTGAGCAAGCCTCAGGTCCTCAGCTTCTGAGTCGTAAGAGGCGTCATCAGAGAGGATGTGGACGTCGTCCAAGGACTCAAGTGAGTGGGAAGACATGTAACGCTTGGAACTCGTCCGGTAGATCCCGTGTTAGGGGCCGAATTGATATTTCATGTTCAAAAAACCTTAAGTCATTTCCCGACACAAAACACTCAGGTCACACTTATTTCCTTCTTCTCGTCCTTGCGACATGGTCCTTGCGATAGCTGGGGTTCCTGGAGCAAAAAGCAAGATGGTGGGGCAGCCGCTGTTATATGCCATCTCCATCTTCGCTAGCATCGGCGTGTTCTTGGTGGGTCCCCACATATGAGTCTCAGAACTGGCCTAACAGTGATGCACACAGTTTGGCTATGATCAGGGGTGCGTTTTCTTAGACATCTCACTTGCCCTCTATCCCTGACGTCCACCGGCATGTCCTGTAGGGTCATGTCCGGTATTATAACGGGCCCATATTTCCTCGCCTACTTCAACCGGCCCAGTCGATCGAAAATAGGGACTATGGTGGCCGTTCTAGAAATCGGGGCTTTTAGTATGTTTATGCTCCTTCGCGTGAATGACAACCGTCTGCTATCCCCACTCATACGCCTTTCATACCAGTTACATCTGTGTTGGCAGGCCGATTGGGAGACATTCTTGGTAGGCGACGTACCTTGTTCTTCGGCGCCAGTGTGTTTGTGCTCGGAGGCGCAATTCAGGTAAGTTTATGCCGCTTTTGGGTTGACATCTTTTCTGAGGCTCATTCGCCGCCTGAGTCTGGGGCGACTAGCTATGGCATCATGGTACTCGGACGACTCGTGAGCGGCGCTGGCGTTGGCCTACTATCGTATGTCTTTTGAGCTGCTGATTCATTGGAAAATTATGCACCAATCCATCGATCAGGACGATCGTTCCGATATATCAAAGTGAGGTATCCCCGGCGGACCATGTGAGTGTCCTCGTCAAGTCGCTTTAGTTAGCCTTACACTGCCCATTAGCGAGGAAAATTGGCATGCATCGAATTTACTGGGAACATTATCGGTTATGCGTCTTCTGTTGTAGGTGGCATCTGATGAAATGAACCGGGGCTGTTTACGAGACAATTCGGTAGTGGTTAGATTATTTTTGCTCATTCATACAGTCCCACATGGCATGGAGACTTCCACTTCTCATGCAATGTGTAATTGGGTCTATCCTCGCAATAGGATCTCTACTCATGCCCGAATCCCCTAGGTGGGTATCTCGAAGTGATTCCCCACCATGCCTTACACCTTACACCTCCCGTTTCTTTGTACCGCAGGTGGCTCATTGATCATGACTTTGATGAGCTCGGGAAGGCAGTAATTGTTGACCTTCATGGAGGTGATTACGATAACCCTGAAGCTTTACGTGAGTTCCAGGAAATAAAAGAAGCTGTGATGCGGGACGTGCGTATTTCGATGACACATTTCTTCTGTAACTTACCCGCGATTCTATACTGGCAAAGCGTGAATCCCCAGACCGTTCATATGCTATGATGTGGAAAAGATACAAAGGGCGCGTGCTACTGGCGATGTCTGCGCAGGCGTTCGCCCAGCTGGTAAGACCGAATTTCTTTGTATGCATGGAGCTTGGCTAATGAATGTGATAGAATGGGATAAATGGTAAAGTGTTGCACAATGCTGTGTTGGGGACAGAATCTAAAATTGATCTCGCAATCATTTTCAGTGATCTCATACTATGCACGTACGTTCAGTTGAGAAGCTCTTGCCTAGCTGTGAGACCCACCTCATTGTTTCTCTGCAGCACTTGTATTCGAACGTTGGTACAGTCACACAACTGCGCCATTGATTTAGGCTAAGCACCTCCAATCCTCTCAGAAGCTGGATGGATCGGAAGGGATGCACTTTTGATGACTGGCATCAATGCCTTAATATATATCGCTAGCACCATTCCGACGTGAGTCTGAGCGTAGCATGACTACATCAATAACACTGATACTCAGAGCTCTACAGGTGGTATCTAGTTGATATGTGGGGGCGGAGGATTATTCTCATCTCAGGAGCTGCTGTGGTACGTCTAGTGCTATCTAGGAATGTTTTTCACTAAAATATTTGCAGATGTGCATAGCCCTGTCAGCAACTGGCTGGTGGATTTATGTTGACCAGCTTATCACACCAAAAGCTGTGGTAGTATGCGTTATAATTTTCAATGCCGCTTTCGGCTACAGGTAAGGCGCGCGACCCAATAGAAGCACAGTTGAATGTTGACACGCCTTGATCCCGCTAGCTGGGGGCCGATGTGCGTTGCTTTCTTATTTTACCTTGGATGTGAACACGCTGACAAAGAAATTACGCAAAGTCCTTGGCTCTATCCTCCCGAGGTCGGTATTTTACGCCCGCTGTGTAGTTCATGTACTGAGGTCGGCGTTCACAGATTATGCCTTTGACAGTCCGAGCGAAGGGCGTATCCCTATCAACGGCTACTGTGCGCCAACCCACTCGCCGCTTTTCGATCACTAACTTCTAAGCAGAATTGGGTATTCAATTTCATCGTCGGCGAGGTTACCCCTTCGTTACAAGAACTGATCGGCTGGAGACTCTATACCATGCATGCATTCTTTTGTGCCTGCAGTTTAATCCTGGGTTCGTTTGTAACGTTCATGTTCCCCAAACATATCGCTGACACTTAATTCGAAGTCTATTTCTGTAAGGCGCGGACCCTTTGAACGAAGATGATGTGATTTACGTTTCGGTTAGTGTATCCTGAAACCATGGGTGTGCCTTTAGAAGAAATGGATGCAGTGTTTGGTGAAGAAGGCATGCCTATTTTCTCCGTTCAAGTGGGTTCAAGCTGACCCCTACTTTCCAGACATCCTGAGTGATGATGATGATGATGACGACGACGAAGACGAAGACGACGGTCTCTCAGAAACCACCTCATTGGTGCGCGATGCAAGTGATGCCTCATACAGTAGTCCTCGCGAGGGTCCTCGTTCACTGAGCCCTGTCGGCGGTGATAACGCAAAACGTAGTAGAAGATGGTTCAACGTTTTTCGGGCTCCTGGGAAAGCCCACTATACCCCAGTACAAGGGAGCGAAGTGGGCTAGAGATCCATCAGCATATCCTCATCATCACGTTGCCCGACACTTCTTGCCTCGTTACCTTACGCATCCCATGTCTCGCTTATGCAAGGCAGACTTTCTCTGAATAAGGAACAAGCTGGCGGTCCTATATCGAGACACAGCTATCGTGTATTCATACATAATGCTTTATTCCCTTGGCTTGAGTCCGTGGAACCGGTGCTAAATGTGCTATGTATGTGGTTTGCAAGTGACCAGTAGGGGGCGGGCAGTTTACTCCGGAAGAATATGACGAGGCAGCACCTCACTTTCCGAGCGGAATGCAAGCGAAGTCAGGGCAGGGCCTCCACCTTCGTGCATCCGGCAGAACCCGAAACAGCACGGACCAACTCGAGCTTGAACGTTTGACGTAACTAAGAGAGTTGAGCCTCAGCACGGGTGCCAACATCATTCGTCTGGCGGCGTCCAGCGTGACACATAAGAAATGGACTTTACGGAGATTTACAAACAAACCTCGGGCCTTGTCGCGTCGAGTCCTCAAGATGCACGGTACATACTCATCGCCATCGAAAACAGGCTCATCGTTCGCCGTTCTGATACGTTTCAAATAACGCATGCGTGGACCGTAGAAGACAAAGTGGACAGTGGACCCTCTTCTCAAAAAGGAACAACAGTCGGTGTCGCGTCCACCATGAGCGCCAGCGGGGATACAACAATCACTGGAATCGGATGGTCGTCCGATTCGCGGTACATCCTTGCGTGTTCAGCTGGTCGAGGTGCCGTTAATGTGTTTTCGTTGCTCGATGAGGCATGGACGGCTCGTATTCAGGGTGGGGTTGAAGGGATCGTCAAAGCGGAGTGGGCGCCTGAAGGGAGGAACATTGTGTGCTTTTCGGATTGGACCGTGCGTGATTTCTTCTTTCTTTGCCCCGTATGGAGCTCATTTACGGCGATTCAACAACAGCTGAGAGTAACGATATGGTCCCTCTCAACAGGCAAAGCAACGTATATTCAATATCCCAAGTACGGTGGCAAATGCAAGCCTTCATTGCTCTCCATCCACTCTTAACGTGAATTTGATTCGGGGACATCTTGATCAACAGGTTTTGCCTTCGTTCCCGGATCGAATCTTTTCATTCTGGCGGAACGTCACAAATCAAAGGATTCAATTGGGATATATGACACTAGTTCAGGATATCAGCTTTTGCGGGTGGGTTTTGTCTTCATACCATATCATCGTGTTCTTACTCTATTCGTATGATGGTAGCACTTCCCAGTCCTTACCCAGTCCTTATCCTCCCTCTGTGTTTCAACTAACGAGTACATCGCCATCTCTGAAAATACTCTCGAAGTAAGGTCTTTCCTTCCCCTACCTCAAGGTATCTGATGAATGGTGGACAAATTAGTTCAAGGTTTATATCTATAATTTTGCTGGGATTTTGCTGGGTACGTTTTTACCCGAAGAGGAAGCTGGGATGGGCGTTCGCCATATGTCGTGGCACCCTTCGGGGACTGTGTTGGCAGTGAGTGGTTGGAGTGATAAGGTATGTGAAGTTGGAAGGTAGAGTGTTATCCAAGTAGTTTTGACTTTTCTGGGATTTCCCGCATATAGATTTATCTCTTGAACCATTTTAATTGGGCACCTATAAGCATTATCGAGTTCCGCGCTCGGATCCCAGCTGAAACAGTGAGTTATTCTCTTTGGATCAACTTTTCTGATGACGGCGAACCCGGAGCTATTGGCAGATTGTATGGAAAGAGCCAGTTGGTTGGTTTGAGGCTACGCATGGCCGGGGATTCCTACCCTGTAAGTTATTCCTCTGCGAAAGATGGTGGATGATTTCCCGATTACACGACACAGATGACAGGGTGAAGCGGACAATGATCGCGCGGGATACGACAGGAAGTGCGAGTACGGGAGGATGTTTACAAATGGAGTGGAACATAAAAGGAACAGGCTTGTTGGTGATCTGGGGTACGTACGGCGTGGTGCTCTATTGTGGAATTAGTTCATTGACGGTTTTCGGCTCGCATTGATTACCGGATGGGTTCGTGGTGTCTACGGGTGGGTGGTGGGTATGTGAAACACTCGGTGGATCAGAGAACAGCCCGACAGCAGTGCATGTCTACCAGAATGGGGAAAAGATCCGTCCGCAGCTTGGAACAGTGCTGTTACACTCGAATGCGGTGATTTGTGCTGCATGGAATCCGGTAAAGGAGTGGAAATTGGGGATAAGCTGTGGGGGATGTTCGATCTATACATGGTGGAAAGCCGATGGTGATGGTGAGATAGGGGAGTGCATTGGGGTTCCAGCCAGTGAGTTACAACAGTGTGAGCGTGGAAATGCAGATTTGTTCCCACGTGCTGAATTTACAATGGCTCATTTTACATTTATATTCCCCAGAGAAATTCTCGGTGAAAGAACTGCGATGGACAACGCACGGTAATGGTTTCCTGCTCGTTGACAAGCATGCCTTTGCCTGCGCGTTTGAAGTAGAAGATGACTGATAGTGGATTCTGTACAAAAAAAAAATAACGATGATGATAATGTATTGCTTGATTTGGGATTCGGTCTCGAACATGGGATGGATTGGGGTTCCGGAGCCGTTGTGCGAGAACATTCCCATTTGTCGTTCCATTGTCCCCATCTATGTTTATATAAGCGCTTCAGCTACAGTAAAATTGAACCCTTCAATCACATTCCCCATAGGTTTTTTATATTCACAATATATAAAACGGTAATTTACACCTCTGCCTCATTCCCGCCATCTCCTTCCCCTCCCCCTCCCTTCTACCAACATGTCACAATCACTCTTCCAAAAACTCACTGCCTTCATTCAGACCCCTTTGGGTCTTTCGGTTGCCCTCGGCGGTGGTTTTATCCTCGTCTTCTATTTCCTCCTTCAAACAAAGCATCATCGCAAGTCTTATTCCTCTCAGCAGCTTTCACTTCACCAAAACTAACCGATCATTATCAGGTCGTGAACCCGTCCTCAGCCCAGATGCTTGGAGGGAGTTCCCTATTGTAGAGAAGATCAAAATCTCCCCAAACACAGCTCTCTACCGCTTTGGCTTACCGGATCCTGAGGATAATTTGGGTCTTCCTGCTGGACAGCACATTACTATTGCTGCCGAGATTGATGGAAAGGATATCGTTCGAAACTACACTCCCACCACCGGTAATGATGATCTCGGGCACTTTGACCTCGTCGTAAAGGTGGGCGCTCCCACTCCATCCAGGTGGAAGGAATTTCATAAATCTAACCACTGTAACTCCATTTTCCTCACCTCCTTTTCTAGACATATGAGAAGGGCAACGTCTCTCGTTACCTTTCTCTTCTTAAAATCGGCGACAAGGTTCGTATCAAGGGCCCAAGGGTCAATTCAGATACTCCCCTGAACTTGCCGCCGAATTTGGCCTCATCGCTGGCGGGACGGGTATCACACCTATGCTTCAAGTCGTCCGCTACTCCCTCTTCAACCCTGGTGACCCTACCAAATTCAGCCTCATTTATGCAAACGTCAATGAGGAGGATATCTTGCTGAAGACTGAGTTGGATTACCTCGTCGCCATGTTCCCCTATCGGTTCAAGGTTTACTATGTTTTGAACAATCCTCCTGCTGGCTGGAAGGGTGGTGTTGGATTTGTGTCCAAGGAGCATATTGCAGAGTACCTCCCCGGTCCTGGTCCTGAGGCCAAGATTCTCGTCTGTGGTGCGTACACAATTTCATGCTCCTTTAATTTCTCTTGTTTACACATTCCATCCTTCAGGTCCTCCCCCGATGGTTACTGCTATGAAAGGCCACCTCGATGCTCTTAAATACCCTGCCCCTCGCACAGTCAGCAAGGTCGATGATCCTGTCTTCATTTTCTAGAACACACGACACTGGACGAAAATTGCACGGGAGTGGGGTCTACTTGTTTTTTCGTATCAATAGTTATTATTTAGAATTGATGTCTCATTGCTTGCTCTCACTCTCGACCCAGCGTTGGGTTGCATACGATGTACTTCTGCATTGCAGTGCATTACTAATTGATAGAACATTACCCCGATGAAACTCTTCGGCCTGAATGATTCGGAACAATGAAATGCGGGTCTCAATCGCTGCCTTTTAGGTGCTTTCAAAGGTGGATGTGATATCCTGTTCATTCGCTCTCATCTATTACCGACTCTTCTCTATTGCGCCGATCTTTCAACACCGCTTCCAGAATCAATATCGAAAATGCTCCAATAATCATCGTCGCACCGGCGAGACTTAAAAATGTCACCGCTTCTCGAGCGTGCCCAAATAAGGTGTCTGAGATGAGAACCAGGACGATGGTAAGCAGGTTTCCGACGGATGCCACAACGGGTCCCCAGAGTGCGAGTAGAATCTGGAGTGGTATGGTGCCGAAACGTTGTTGAAATTAGGGGATCCCTGCGTGACAAAGACAGGAAGCTTACCATGAATCCACCATAATACGCACAGCCGCAGAGTGCCACCACGACGATCGACGCCCAGGTTTGAAGATCAGGTGGCGATCGCCATCTTTCTATGCCTAGATGATGCAAGATTGGAATGGGGATCCAGAGAAGAAAGAACGTGACGAGGCCTAGACAGCTTGTGATGAAATTAGGATGGAAGCCGAACGTGGGTGGAATCGGGGTATGGGGATCATTGAGATCTCCGGACGAATTCAAGAGGGAAGATGCACCTGAGGGGGCTCGGGCTCGAGTTGTAGGTGCCAGTGGCGGTATACGTTGCGTGCGGGTAGTTGGGGATGGAGGGTCAAAGTGGGAGGTAGCAGGGGCTTCTGGATCAACACTGATTCGTTCATATACGGGCGAAGAAAGTACCGCACTTCCTGGATCTTGTTCCACAGGGAGTGCGATGTAGACTTTATACATTACTTGATAGACAGCATATGCAATGGAAGCAATGAGCGCGAGGATGTCCCCAATGACATCTGTTGATGTGAATAGGCTTTGGGAGTGTTTGAAAGTAACGCTGGTGTTGATTTTGGAGGTGGAAGTGGCTCCGCCGTAAACAATTAGAAAGACTCCAGAGACGGCCACGACTACCGAGAGAAGGCGATGAAGTTCCCACTTTGTACCCACGAGGAGCACGGTGAGGATATATGTCCACATTGCGTTACAGTTCAATATGGCAGTGACATCACTTAGGCTGGAAAGATACTTTTGTAGGCTGATTGAAAAGGAGCGAAATGTGAAGGCTTACGAAGTCAATGACACTGCGATATACCACAACAACCCAGGAACGGTGACTCCAGTCGTAAGTAGAATTATTCTTCTAAGAAATTTGTGGAGAGGGAATGCACGAATACGCGATGGCCGTCCTGTGGGCTCCATTTGACTGATCAACGCTGCTCGGAGACCCGTCAAATAAGGGGTAGGTGGTATTTTGGTGTACAATGATAGCAGCATAACGTGAATAGGGAATATTATCATTAGGCTGCATTCAGGCGATCGCGGTTGAGTAATATAAATAACGCTTTGTGAGTTGTACTGACCTAGAATGAGCAAAGTAGCTGAGTGTAGGGGGGTGAAGAAGGGGAATGATTAAGTGACAAATTTTGGTGACCACGGTACACACAACAGAAAGTAAGGTTGTCGATAGCCAAGGTCAGCTTGAACGTGTTGTGTTACTTGAGATTGGACCACATATCCGGACAAGGACATCACCAGCTGCAGATGGGGCATTTATTCGTGAGCTGAGAAGCGATCTGACATGAGAGCCGCACATTACCATTGACACAGCACGCCAGCCACCAAAGGTAGTTTCCATCTCGGAAATTCTATAAGAGTGGCTCGCAACCAGCGCAAGTGCAAGCGTTAACCGAAAGAGAATGCCGGATCGTGAGAACTTGAGGCCCAAAACGGAAACTGCTCCCCGTGTTGTGCCCAGGACAGTCGGGAGCAAATGACCCAGTTCTAACGCCGTGTCTTGCGTGGTTGAAGCCACAGATGAGCTTTCCGTTCACGGCCCCACTAGAAGCGTGACTAAAAATAAAGCCTCGTGTTCGGTATGTTCCAATACAGAAGACTCATAAGAACTCTTCCATGAATCCCACCTGAGCACAGGTTCGATCAACGGTAGAGTCATCCGCTGAGGCCATAACAACTGCCCATAATGCAGCGTCCATTACATGCTCGAGTTCGTAGACCAAACCCTAACCCTCCACCTCCAGATGACCATGCATATGTTCCAACGTATGGCTCTGTCCCAGCTGGGACCTGGACTGCAGAATATCCCACCTACCCTGCATACTACCCGATGCACCATGCCCCTGATTCCTCCTCCCCTCGTGAAGACATATTCCCTACTACTGCTACCCTAAGAGAAAAGGAGCAAGTCGTTCTACCTCAGCCCACCCAAGTCAAGTCGCGCAAGCAGTCTACCTCCAATGCCGAACCACGGGAGAAACACAAGTCTAGGCCGGTCTACGATGGCCCTGTTACCTATGGTACTCCGCCGGTTTCAGCCCCTCCCCGCCATAAGCGCAGGAATTCAGAACCAGCTAGACACAGAGCTGAAGGGAATTCCCGACCAACTCCCAAATATCCCGATTCCTCCACTTCAGGTAGATTGCCTACATACTTCTCCCATCCTTTTGGCTTTTATCTAATTCACCCTATTTGTCATAGATCACGCCTTCGTTTCTTTATCATCATCGCATACTTTGAAGATACTCCATCTGCACCGTAACATATCGGATAACGCATTTCGGGAGGGATTCCTCCAAGCATGGCCGGAAGGCATCGAAAATGAGTTGCGAGCAGGTTCGAGCTGGATCATAAGATTCAAAGGCCATCCATGGTCTGCTAATGGTGAACCTGGCTTTTATGGGCGTCGGCTCATGTGTCGTGTCTTTGAATTGTTGGGAAACGGGGTAACGTTTTCGCTGCTAACCCAATTCTCCTTTTTTTAAAAAATTAACGCAGTCTGATAGGGCTACAGCTACGTTTCCACCACAAATTCATCAGACTGCAGTCATAGGGCAACACATATCTTTGCCCTCACGCCGACCTTCTTCACTTCACAATACTTCACCATGTCATTCTCCCGCCGGCGACAAGAGTTATACACAATAGATGCACCTGGACACATAGTGACCACCACCGTTGCTACCGTGCGGAAGATGTTCAGCAAATCCACCGAAGCTAGATTAGTTGCAGACGGTGTTTATGGCATCAAACTTTCCGCTGGAGGCGCACGTGAGTAGTGTTGTCCATCTGTAAAGACCAACATTATGGATCTGGCTATCGTCTAGCTATCCGCTCTGAGGACATTCCGCCAAGATTAGCACCGATGTTACAGGCGGTTAGCGCCCAAGGCTTCCGTTTAGAGGCAACCATTCAGATGGCTCGAGAGGGGTTTTTCGGATTTTTAGGCCGAACAGACGTGTGGATCTTTCGTAGCAATGTTCCTTTGCAGATGTAGAAGAGTTCGGTATTATTCATATTATTTGTGGTAAACACCAGCAATCGGCGACCAAATTACATCGATCATTTTCCTAATTGAGAATGCAGACAAGAGATGATCGACGTCGTGAAAGGAGCGTGTCAGCAAGAAGGAAGAAGTCAAAGGGGTATATTCAGATAGCAAAGAAGAGTATAAAGCAGCACGAAGTGAAGAGAGAGGAAGTTTATTTGTAAAACCCTGTTGCGATCAGGATCAGTAAAGTGTTCAGCTGGGAAGTGCAGGGAACAGGCGCGTACAGTACTGGGCTCCGTAGGGGATACAAATGTCAGGATCTCCCGAATTGCACTGGTCGAATGCACGTCACCGGTCCGAACACGTTTGAAAAACCGGCTTCTCACTCACTGATGACGGGGGTTGACCCCCAGCAGTTTTAACCCGATAAACGAAATTAGCATAGCTCCCTGTCCCAGTTCCTCCTAATTGCAGCCAGTCTACATTGGAGGCGCCATCAGGGGAAGGGATGTTCTGTTGCGAGGACGAACTCAACACCCGCTTGTGTTCAGGGCCAAACATCTAACAACTCACCGCGAGCTTACGCGCAATTATATATTCATCATTACGAACGGTTTTACTCTTTGATAGATCGAAGCGAGGAAGGAGCGCGCCGTTGATGTTGACGAAGTAGTGGTGCCCAGCTGCAAAGCCTTGAACCCAAGAGCTTTCCAGGACTGGGCCGGAGACGAGTCCTTTTGCGAAGGAAGAGAGACTGCGGGAATTCTGATCTCGGATGATGCAGGAGATGTCGAATAATGTGGCTACAGCACCCATGGAACTAAGGAGAGACCAAAAGGTCAGCAGTGGGAACACTCGTGAAAATATGGCTACTAGTACTGACGTATATTTCCCATTGGTGCACGTGTAGTTCTTAAGAGGAAGGCTAAGCTTGACTCTCCTACCCCTCGGGGTCCGCGTTGGTTAACGTACCTGCACCCCAGCACCTAACATCACCGCTTCGGGGTCCGACTTTTGACTTGTCTTTGGGAAAGCACTCGTCTGGTTGGGCATTTTGACGCCCTTCAGCTTGCACGAGGGAAGGGCGCCACCGAGCCACCGAAACCATGGAGGCACCACAGCAGCCCCGAAGATGCAAGGCAAGGAATTGATGACAAGCAGTACAGAGAAGAGCATGTTCTAGTAACAGTGGGGGGTGGACAACTGTATCTCCCTTCAAGCTGCCACCCACTCTTTATAAAACTGGACGAGCATTCTGTCAAGGGTTTGTTTGGGCAACGTCGCCTGAGTTGGTTGCTGTCATTGGGTTAGTGCGGCCTCAGCGCTGTGGCCCAGTTGAATTAAAACCGAGGAACCGGATCCGCAATCAACCGACGATACCGATGTTCGACTCCTGGAGACAGCGGCGATTCCAGCGCCTTGGGCGCGCCAAGCTGTCAGCATTAGATGTCATGGATTGTGGTGGGAATGGTCACGCGAACCCATTAATGGTCTGGGGGTCTATGTTCATTACAGAAGTCCCAAATTAGCTAAAACCATTGGACACACTCCATAGCTCCAGTTCTTCGAGTGGGATGCTATGGGCACAGCACAGGAGAGCTGGTGGCAGCGATTTGCCCGCCTAGTTCCTGATCTGGCTAAACTGGGAGTTACTCAAGTTTGGTTGCCACGTAAGCAGCTGACCCTTTTCCCCTCTTAATCTCCCCTGTCAACCTCCTGTTTTATATTTGGCTCAGCTCCCAACAAAGCATCGGAAAAGGTATGCTGCCGTTCCGCACTCAATTCGTCAATGCGCTTCATATTGTATAGCTTGGTCGTGGTTATGACGCCTATGACTTGGTAGTTATCCTTTACCCATTGCTTGCAGGAAGGCCCGCTGAAACGTCTTCTCTCCTAGTGGGACCTTGGTGAATTCAGTCAGAAGGGAACTATCGCCACCCGGTGGGGAACTAAAGCCCAGCTCCTTAATGCCATTCACATCGCCAAAGGCCATGGCGTCCAGGTGCTGGTTGACGCCGTTCTCAATGTGGGCCGCCATTTCTTTCAACCCGTCCTCAGTTAGAGTGGACTGACGCGGAAGTGCGTAGCATAAGGTGGGGGCGGATGGTGCAGAACAGTGAGCCCAAAGAGTTTCCTGGTGACGGTGCATTGATTCAATCGGCCCAGCGTGGAAGCCATACCTGTGCATCCGCTCAATCGCACCATAGAAGTAGCGCCAAAGAAGACCATCAAGGCAGGCGGGCCGTTCAGGGCACATTCACTTCAAACTGACATCAATGTAGGCGTGGACTGTGTTTGACTTCCCTGGACGGAATGGCAAAGTAGGTCATCCGCGTTGCTGAATGTTATTCTCGGCCCAATAAGTCCTATCTAGTATAGCCCATTCAGGTGGAAACATGAGCATTTCACAGGCAAGTGACCGTCAACATAAAGCTCAGTGCCAGTGCCTTCATCGGCATTTTCCAGGTGTCGACTGGGATGGTAAGGCTCGGGATAAGGGTGTCTTCAAGATAACATCAAATCGTAAGAGGGGCTGGAGCCAGTTTGTATCTAAAGAGCTGGGGAACTACGATTACCTCCTTGGTGCTGATGTAAGAGCCGAGAGCATGCATGGGTTACGATCATGGAGCTGATATGCTGTCTGAAGGTGGATCATCTTCATCCCGAAGTCCGTGCAGATATGCTGGCATGGGCTTCTTGGGTTCTTGGGGTATATTTAGATATCTATGATACATAGATGATGCTGACACTTGCTTGCTGCTAGGAAACCGGGGCCCAGGGGTTCCGACTGGACGCGTGCAAGCACTTTGATCACAGGTTCCTGTGCGAATTCGTGGGTATATTAACATCATTCACAGAATGGCTTGACTTAGCTATAGATTAGGTGAAAACCGCCCGTTCTGCCGGCAGGCCGCAAATGTTTGCAGTTGCTGAGGTATGGAATTCTGAAGTGGGAATTCTGCTTGATTTCATGAATGCGCTCTCAGTTCCTGTATGGTCACCTAATTCCTTTCGAACTGTGGATGCTGAAGTTTTGCTCTACCCACAGATGGCGCTTTTCGATGCTCCATTACACACCACGTTTCACAAGGCATCTATGCTCGGCCCGGATTTTGACTTGAGGACGATTTTCCACGATTCTCTTGTTCAGAGTCGCCCAAGAGATGCTGTCACATTTGTAGAGAACCACGAGTAAGTTTTTACACCATAAGCTAATAGGGTTTAGTAACTGATATCCTTCAAGCACGGTCAGAATCAGTTACATTATTTTCAAGGTCGGCTGTGCTGATTGTATTGCGCCATCAGGTCGAGGGCCAGTCCTTGGAAAGCCCTGTTAGCGGTTTTTTTTTTTTCACCGACTGGCCTCACGTCTGATGCCCAGTTCTCGATATTCTCAGGTATCGCGAGCGTTCGCTCCGATTGCCTACTCGATTATTCTCTTGCGTCCAGAAGGCTACCCGTGAGTCTGGCTAATTTTGTCATCTATCAGTTATTTCACATTTTATCCACTGGAAGTTGTGTGTACCATGCCGATTTGATGGGTCCTCGAGCAATCCCTGAGCTTCCGAAGCTAATGGAGGCCCGCAAAAGATTCGCGTATGGTCGCTGCATAGATCATATCGAAAATAGCAGAGATCCGAACTTCATTGGATTCCTCCGTACCGGAAAGTCAAAGGATGGGCCGGGATGCGCGGTTATTCTCAGCAATGACGTTGCAATAACGTTGGTCGTGGACAGGACTTTGGGATGGGCTAACACTGATGCTTCATAACTAGGGACTCGAGTAAGGTTTTGACTATAAGCGTTGGTACACAGCATACGGGAACAAGGTGGTGCGATTATCTGGGTCGGGAGGGCGAGACCTATATCGATGCTGATGGGAAAGGCCATTTCCCAATTCTCTACGGTACTTGTGTCTATGTAAGAGAGGACACTATGTAACTGGATCCAGATTATGCTTTACATGTCAGACTACATTATAATGCTTGCGCTAATCCCATTCATCGCCGTCTTCATCGTTTTCATCATCATCGCTCTCGCCCAAGCTCTTATTTCGAGCTAATAGGGCTGATGCTAATGCATCCGCAAGCCCTGCACCAGCCACTGCACCAGCACCTGTGGCTGCGGCCGTGGCAGTACTGCTGCCGATCCCATTGCCTGGAGGGCTTTCATCCGGCTTCGGCGTCTTTCGAAGAGTGTGGACACCTTTGCCCTGAATGGATTCCAGCAAAGCGTTTCTGGCTGGAGTAGGAGCAGGCGAACTTGTTGTTACTGACGGTGCACCGCCAGCTGGAGGTGGAGGTGGGAGGTGCCCCCAATCGTCCTGGGGGTGGAGGCGGAGGCGGAGGCGGCGGAGGTGGGACCGATGGGGTGCCAGTCGGAGTGGACGCTTCTACCACTGCGGATGCACCCTGCCTTGGACCAGGTGGCGGTGGCGGTGGCGGAGGGGGAGGGGGTGCTGCAGAAGTTGAACTTGGCGCCGAACGGGTCGGTGGCGGGGGTGGCGGGGTGGCGCCGTAAAGGGGGGAGCTGCTGCAGGAGTTGGCGCCGAACGGGCCGGTGGTGGGGGTGGTGCTGCAGGGGGGGGAGGCGCACTACGAGGCGGTGGAAGGGCAGGAGCCGGGGGGGCAGGGGAGGTAGAGGTGCTCCAACTGGACGAGAAGGCGGTGGCGGTGGCGGAGCAGCTGGACGAGGTGGAGGTGCGGTTTGTCGAGGAAGTCGGAGAGTCGGAGATTGTTGAATAGACTCGGGCTCGGGCTCTGGCTCTGGCTCTGGCTCTGGACTGGGCTTTCGAACGGGGGGGGCAATGGATCGTCGGGGGGCCGGTGGCGGTGGCGGCTTTCTCTTTGTTTTCTGTTCCTCTCGAGGAACGTTCTGGGCCATAAATTGTCTCACGAATTCTTCATCTTCTTTAATCATTTGTGGTGTTACACCACGACTTCCCAATTGGTCTAGAATGGCTTGCCATGAAGAGTCCACTCCCCTGGATGAAAAGCCCAGCTCGGCATCATACCCCATGTGAGCTTTATGCTGGAAATTTGTAGGTGCCGATATCATCGACTTATCAATCTTTCCTCCCTTCTTCTTGCTTGAGGTCGATGACTTGGCTTTAATGGTGAAGCTTTGTCAGATCATCGCATTCCTGGTGGCATTGAAAATGCGAACCTTTGGGCGGTTTGGAACGGTTTTTAATTTTCTTGGAAAATCCACTAGCTTCTCCTTCATCGGAAAACACGAAGGCAATCATGCATTCCTATAACGAAACATGAATAAACCATTGAATAAAAGACTGGAGCCTTTACATCGCCCGCAAAAGTATGGAAGAAGGACCGGTCTTGGTTGTAGATGAAGGGTTCGTAAATCTCGTGCTCCCATATGATGCCGCGGGATCCCTGCAGCATAGACCAGCCAAAGCCAAAGGTGAGGACTAAGCCAGCTGAATGGAAACAGGTCACGCACAACCAGATCGACCAGTCTAAACCAGAACCCCCCCTTCAGCTTATCGGACACGAGCACCAGGGCTCCTTGGAGCCCGGTGTATGACCATGTGTTCGGCGAGGGATATGCGTAGTAGATTCTGACAACCGATGCGGTCAAGATCTTTGAAGTTGTCGATGGAATAACCGATTTGATTCGTTCCTTGTCAGAGGATGTCACAGTGGATGACGCAGGCATGCTGGATGCCCTGGGATTGTGGTAGTGAGAGAGCGCAGGGAAGCGGGGTTACCGCAGTCCAAGACAGGTTGAGGCAGTGAATTTCCCACGCTGCGGACAATTTCCTGCTTCATTCGAAAATCTTATTGAATCGTGTCATAGCAATGTAATGTACAACTGCAGTTTGCCCTGCATCTTCCTTACAATCCAGGTCTGACTGCTGCACCTATATCGGAATCCCGGCGTATTCGTCGAGTCCGAGACTTAGGTTGAGGTTCTGAGAAATTAGGATGAACAGACTGAAGGAACCTTTCAAGCAAATACTTACTTGTACGCATTGGGTAGCAGCACCTTTTAGAAGGTTGTCAAGACCGCCCTGAAGCGAATTTTGAGGTTTAGAAACCGACCGGTTGTAGGAAACTAAAGTGAGGCATACCACGACAACAACCCGTTTACCCGAGCTGTGGACCTGAAATCCACCCGCCCGCCATCCGTGGTGACACTGGACCTCTTGTAACGACGGAACGCCGGTTTGGATTGTGATCAACTTATTTTGTCCATATTTTTCTGTGTAGAGCTGCCGCACGTCTGATGCCTTCAATTCTTCCCTCAGGGGTGCTGAAAGCACTGAGATAATGCCGCTAAACCAAGGGGCAACCGTCGGAATGAACGCTGGCTTCAGGGATGCAGAACCATTGGGAAGGAGACTGGATAAGTGATGGCCAGCTTCTCTCTCGTGGATGTGGTCTGTAATCGAGTATGGTCTGATTCCTCCCGCAAGATCTCCAGGGTCAACTTTGGGCGCCGTTGTCGGTCGTCCAGTTTCCGATTTTTGACCAGCTTTCGTCCCAGCACCACTATAACCCGAAACTCCGAAGACAGTGGGGGGCGCGCTGACGTCTAGATGGGGGAGCAACGGCGCGATAAGCAGTTGGGAAGAGGTTGCATAGCATCCCGGATTGGATATTCTCGATGCGGCCTTTATTTTCTCCCTCCCATAGAGTTCTACAAAGAATTCAAAAAGAAGAAAAGGAAGTATGATTTATTTTAACTCGAGATTATTGTTACAAATGTGCCGCACCCGGGAGTCCATATGTCCACCCATCCTCGAACCGATAGTCAGCACTGAGGTCGATAATGACGCTCGACTTCTCGCCCTCCGAGGCTCGTTTCTCGGCTCCCTTATCGATAGCGTCAACGAAGGGCTTGCACACGCCATTGGGAAGAGCCATGATCCAAGCATCGACGGCGCCACCCTCCTCCATTTTCTCCACATCCTTGGATCCAAGGTTCTCATATTTGAGATTTGAGTTCTCGTGGTAACCATCGACCGTGAATCCGGCGAGCTCACGAGATGAGACATGAGCCAAATCCAGATTGGGGTGACCAGACAGGATGTTGATCAGTGCCTGACCAGTATACCCGCGTGCGCCGATCAAAGCAACCTTCTTCCGAGAGGAATTGGTGGGAATGGGTCTATCTTCGACCGCGGTAGCGTAGCATCGCGACTGAATGCTTGAGAAACCGGTACGTAGACCTGTAGTTTCGGTCCGCCTGGCAAGGGTCGAGAATCTGCGGATGGCGGCGCCGGCCCCTCCACGGGGAGGTGGAGGAACATTGATAGGAAGGTATGCACGTTCAATTCTTCCCTTAGACTCGAAATCCTTCACAGCCTTCTCCACCTGGTTGACATCCTGAATACCATACCAGAAGAGTGTGCGACCAGCCCGGGTGAAGCTGCCGTCAGCACGCTCGTAGTGCCAGGCTCGATTCTCATCCTCTGTTGAAACGCTCCAGAAAAGCTTGCGATGATCTCTCTTGATGGCGCTGAACACGTTGTCGATCACATTGTTTAGGACGCCAGCCCGCGAGTGGAGAAACTTCGTCATTATTGGAACTTCACCCTCTGGGTGGCTGACGATGGCGACCACGTCCAGAGGCTCGTCTGCATAGATGGAATATGGAGTTTTGGAGAGTTCATTCAGAACACCAGTGATGCTCGTGAGACCATTGAGGACGTCAGGATCACGGTCATGGATGATTTGACGTAAACGGTCGGTGCCGACAGCATCGGTCGAGTTGTGTTTGAAGAGCTTGTAGCCTCGTCTAATGAGAGTCCCCGCTCCGTTGTCCGTGAATAGCTCCTTATGCAGGCTATCTGCAGAGATAATTGCCACGGAGGAGGAGCGAGGAAGGTGATCTAAGAGCTCTTTGATTTCGCGCAGCTTTAGTTTGGTTCCAAACTTCACCCATTCTTGCTTCATTAGAGAGTCGAATTCCTGAGAGAATGTCAGGCAGGAACCGTCAATGTTTGTTAGTCACCCACCTCGTCTAAGTTAATAGTGTCCAGCTTTTGGCCGGTAATGCCATGGAAGAGACCACCCTTCTCATTCAGGAAAACGATTTTCATAGGCTCGAGCTCCTTTGCAAGCTCTCCAGCTGCTACATCAGCATTGACATTAAGGATCTGACCGTCAGGCGTTTCGGCTAAGCTGGTGAGGATCGGTAATGCACCAGCTCGGATAGACTCCTCGATCGGCCGCTTGTCAATCTTCATAATTTTTCCGACCAGACCATACTTGTCTCGATCGAGATAGTCAGCGGTGAAGATGCCCGACGTGATGGGACGGGCACGAGTGCCCAGCTTCTCAAGGGCACCGACAAGACGAAGATTTTCCTCCAAAAATACACGACGAGCAATTTGAAGTGTTTTTGCGTCTGATAACGAACCATTCAGTGATCGGAGCAATCGTCAATGAGGCATAGGAACACAAACCCGTAATCCGAATCCCATCAATGTAATCAGGAATGATGCCTTCCCCTTCAATGATAGAGTTCAATTGAGGCCCCCCACCATGCAAAATGACTGGGAAAAGTCCAACACGGTACAGGAAGCTAAAGCTGTGCGCAAGCTCGTCGATCTGATCAAGTACCGCGCCGCCGACTTTGATGACTGCGAATTTCGCGGGATGCGATGGATGAGAGGAAGAGGAAAAGATACGGAGGTAGCGCTCAACCTCTTTTTTTGATCCTATGGAGAATAGAAGACGGGTGATTGTGTCCTAAGGGTAAAAGCCAGAGTCTGAAAAGTGCTAGCGAGGAGCGAAACTAGAGAAGTACCCTGTCAGTTTGTACGCTTCCTGTCTGGATGGACCGGGCGAGCGCTGGGATAGCCCGGCGCTGCCCTGCTATAAAGAGAGCGGGCGGTGGCAGGCCAAGTTTGGAGGGCTTGAGGAGTGACCGAAAAGCTTTCATGATGTCGTGTCTGTGTTCGTGTTTCCCCTCTGAGCGATACCGCAGGTAAGCGCCAGTTCCGTAGTGAAAAAGAGTGTTGATGGGTTTGCAAAGAGGGTTTGTTCCTTTTTACCCTGTCAGGTCTGGTCGGCTGAGCTCGGACGTTGAATTGAAAGAGGTATTTCCCACGGCACACCCCTAGTCTTCTGGCGATTAATTCATCCCATAAGATTGGATCAGGTGAACAAGCCACAAGCATCCCAGTATTCATCGTCGGCTAGGACGTTAACGCCAGCCCTTGTGATGTTTCCGGAGGAAAGCATGGTCATCCATCCCGAGCATTGGACCTTGTAAATGGTCTCTCTTATTCACTGTGTGGAGGGTGTGAGCGACTTTTCTACTTCATGAATAAGCAGATAATAATGGCTTTTCTTCATAAGTCAGCATATGAACGTGGCGTGCTATGGCGTTTGACCGATGGATCACCTACAAAAGCCCTGCAGCCGTCATCGACTCACCCCACTCTGTGTAAAGACTTTGAAAATCTCCTCCATCAGGTCTTATGGTTTCCCAGTTTGCTGTCACGGCCGATCTTTACTATTTGAACCCTCCTGATAACGGAGAGAAGCCCTGGACGAACGTTAATGCGAACAACACCATTCAAGCAATCACCAGTCCTCCAAATTTCCAGGACCGCAACTACAACTTTGTCAAACACTCTCTCCCGATTCACCCAGTTCAGTCTGATGACCCCGACATTACTCTCGATCGTGCTGGCTTTCAGTTCTATCGTCGTCCTAGCAAGGAGAAGACTTTCGATGACGAAGAACAAATTAAGGCCGAATATTACCAAGAGTCCATTGGTCTCATCAAAGAGCTCACTGGAGCCAATCGGGTCGTAGTCTTTGACCATGTATATCCTTAAAACCATAGTATACTTTCAGTCCAAATTCTTATCTGCTGCCTCAACTAGACCATTCGTCGGTCCGGCGCGACAGGTCCCAATACGCCGGACAATCGGCAGCCAGTGAGCTCCGTTCCTGCTTATTTCCACCAAAACATTCATGCTAATCTCCGGTGAAAGGTTACGACCGTTCATGTGGACCAAACCCCAGAAGCAGCCGAAAATAGGGTGAAACGCCATCTTCCTCCTGAAGACGTTTCTGAGCTCCTCAGTAAACGACACCAAATCATTAACCTTTGGCGTCCTTTCAGCCATGTTGCCCAAGACTGGCCACTTGCCTTGGCCGACTACCGCCATCTAGACTACGAAAAGGATCTGACGCCCGTCACGCTCAAATACCCGGATCGTGAAGGCGAGACCTTCGGCGTCAAGTTTAACGAACGACATAAGTGGTATTACATGAAGGACATGACGCCAGATGATCTCGTTCTTATTAAGTGGTGAGGATTTGGAGGACGAGTTTGGGACTTCCGAGCGGTCTTAACTCACAAATGACGCTTATTCTCTAGCTTTGATTCCAAAACGGATGAAGGCATTTCCCGTCTCACTCCTCACACCGCCTTTTTTGATACGGCGGCTCCAACTGACGCTCCCCCGCGTCATTCGATTGAAATACGCGCACTTGTCTTTTATCCTTAACGATTGAGTTAGCGCTTTTCTCCCCAGTTCGATGCGAACCATGAGTTGGGATTGTATTCATTCTGAAGTGGCCAGACTTTGTATAAACAAAACGCACATCCAACATGTATCCACCACTACATACGCTCTCGAAGATAATTGTACTATGACTTTGCATTCACGAGGGTTGCGTTGTTGAATCCGCGGTATCAACGGTTGTTGCGAGGGCGCAGGAAAGGGTATGACGTATGTTCCCGAGATTGGATTGGTACTTTAATGCCTTCCAGATTCCCCGCTTCCTCAGGAGAGCGTGGTTTAATGCCTGTAAGTCGAAGAAGGGCTTTTCGCATAGATTCGAAAACGGCGGAGTGAGGCTCAGGGTATATCGACTCAATGTCATGTTTGTAAATGAGGCCTGAAATGGGGGAGAAGTGGTAGGTTGATGACCTGAAACGAATGAGATACAATAAGCATTACGGATTCGAGAGCTTTGACGCCGCTTACACAGTCCAGGCTGAGATAGTTGACGACAACCTTGCCACTCCCTGCATATTGAGATCAATGCGAACCTTCCTCTCCCTCGGTCCACACGGCAGGATGCTCATTCGCTCTAGGACCACAGTGCAATCAGAGTGCAGGGCCGTAAACGATGACTTCAGTAGCACAGAAGATCCTTGGTACAAAGCCAATCCTACAAGGCGACGCACGGCGCATTCGATATTAGCTTGGCAAAGTCACCATGCGGCTTTTGACATACCCTGTATCCGTAGCGTCTCAGGAAAGGGCGGAGGCAGTCTCGTTGGGGGTCTGTAGGATAGAACTATATCTTTTGAGTATATAGGCTCTTCAGCATCGAGAGTGTCGTCGTGCGATGTGTTCATTATTAACCCGGCGCTAAAGAAGTCAGGCAATGTGCTGGTAAGTACGTAGATCGCACGTCCTACCAGTACCTCCACATCAGAAGGTGCAGCACAAACGTATTTACTGGATAGTACTTGCCGACTCTGATATCCCATTCTGAATCAGACACTCTGGGATATTGCTCTGACACGTTTCCAGATGACGAGGATGGCTGAAACGACGCTGTCGAGCGTTGTTGAAATTGTGAAAGAGATCGAAGTGTCTGCGAGAGCGCCAACGATTTCCTGGAAAAAACTGGCGCCGGACTGCGAAAGGATGCCGACAGCCTCGCGCCTGGACGTATCTTGGCAGATACCGCCGCTCTCATGGAAGTTCTGTGAGTTATGACTCATTGAATTCTTATTGACTCCTTGGCAAGGTCCGATGTCATATTTGAGGACATGAGCAGAAGAAAAGGAAAATTACGGTAACTCGGACAGTATGTGGGTTGGGCGTCATTCATGTTTATTGGTTATACATCGTGTTTGGATAATCATTGCAACGGGGTAAACGAGAAGAATAGATGAGGCGCCAATGTCCGTTGATCGACTCGTGAACAGATGACGTGGGCGAAGGGCAAGAACGTGTAACGATAATAGAGATAGTATCATAGCTCTAGAGGCATGGTAGCTTGCTTTTTGTTCGCAGAGCGCGACGGTGACGAATGTGGTTGAGACCAAGGGATTTAATATGCGCGTTACTGATGTGAAGTTGGCTATTCCCCAACGGGCGGAAGTTGATTCCATTGCGCCAGTAACCGTCCCCCCACCTCGGGTTCCAATTCCGTCCCGTCCCTTGATACTTGGACCCCATGATTTGAATTCCAGGGGTTTCGAAGATGCTTCGTACGGTAGAAGGGTAGGGCTTGCACGCGAATCCATTGGATTGGGAACGGAGTTCCCCAGCTAGCCGTAGCCCCGGGACCGCTTCGCGTGGTGACCTGAGCCAGCGGATTCGTCTCTGGGGAGGTATCATTACTGCTTCCGCCCTGTTCCTGAGGGTGGGTCGGCGAAGAGGATGGAAAATCGATCATTAGGGACCCGAACTCTGGTAAAGGATCATCCGCGTCGTCTCGAGAATGCTGCATCGAACGAAATGCCAAATTTTTCTTCGGCGCTTCGCGCTCTAAATTAAAATGAAACACTTTTGCGTCGTCAAAAGTGCCCGCAACATTACGTGCCTCGGCTGGGCGAGAGATTCGACGGAAGGGTTGATTCATTTCTGGAGGGGCCGAGGAAGCAGCGAGTGAACTCCGTACAGGATCTTCAATGTCAAGTGCTTGCGGTGAGTGGTGGAGGGGGTTGCTTTCGCTGGGTGACAAGAAAAGGGGTTCCGAGTTTAATGTGGAAGTTTCCGGTCCCTTGACGGACTCCTGCCGAGTGCGCGAGGGGCCCTCCGAGCGAGAACTCCAGGGCACATGGCGTGCGTGTGACACATTGATTGGTCCCACCATCCTTATGATTGCCAGAGTGGTTAGGTAGCATTTAGCCAGATGGAGCTTGCACCTTACCTCGCATACCCAAAAAACTCACCACTCTTGTTCGCACTGAAGATCAAGAAAACCTCTTGACTTGTTCGATATGCCTGATCCAAAATTGGCTCGTTGTGCAGTTGTGTCGCCCATAACTTTGTTTCTACACTGAGATCCAAATCATGCTGTTGGGTAAACGGCTCGGTTAAATTCTACACATGATACCTCGGCATAATTGCTTTACCTGTGTTAGCGACTTGAGGATAAAGTACCTCTGTGGGAAATGGGTGGCCAAGAAACTGGAGTCCGTCGAGGCAAAAGATCCAGATGCAGAACTTTCGTCAGTCTCATTAATGTGCGAGTCTTCGGTGGATTGAGAATGCTGTATGTTTTCCGACGATTCGGGTTGTGTAATCTGCGCTAATGCTGGTTGTTCGCCTCTAATGAACGCGTCAACGGGGGAAGAGGGGCTTAGCCTACCCCTTACCAGCGGGCGCATAGTCACTGCACCACTTTCGGTACATTTCTCACGGGCATGCTTCTGCTGAACCCATCTCGTATGCATTCCCGTTCCTCGCTGAGCACCTACGCCAGCCCGAAGGGCGTCCTCCGGCCCTCTAACGGTACACACAAGATTCGGACACCGAGGATCATTAGGCCTGAGTGGATGGCCATTGCAAATTGCGACCGCATGCAATAAGTGTGCCTCCGTGTCATAGTTCACGAATGCACAATGTGACGTAGGCATTAGAAAAATAGACTGAATGCCACTTTTCGAGCGCGTCTCCATTTCAGGGCGGGAGCCAGGGACATGCTGGGGGGAGGGAGTATGAGCACTAACAGACGCAAAAAACCGCTCCAGTTCTTCTTTCGTGCTGTCGGCTGGAACGTTGCCGACCCACATGACCCATTCCGATCGATTGGCCGGTGTATTTGACTGATAGGAGTGGCGATCGATGGTCGACGCACGCTCGGCAAGACGTGGACGCGGTCTCGTTCCAATTTCAGTGCTTCTCAAGGGAGCTATAGGACCGGAGGTTGACGAGGAGGCAGGTTGAGATACAGAGCCAGCGAATCGCGAAAGCCCAGGAGCAGAGGGTTCGCCTGAATGATGTTCAGTGGATGTAGGAAGCATGCAGAATTGTCTTACCATAAGCATGCTGACTGGCAATATGTAATGAACTTGAATAATACCAGAGCTCGGGCCCTTGGTCGGTAGGCAATTGGGTGGGGTAAATATAAGGTCCTGACATGGAAGCCGATGGTGCAACGGGTCCACGTTGGGAGTGCAGGTAAGCAGGAGATTGTGGGTAGACCATGTGGGTGTAAGGCAATTGTGATGGAAGGGAGGGGCCAGGGAAAGACGTCCTGCGAGGGAGAGGACTATGCCTGGATTGGGAGGGACAGATCGCTGCTCGGCATAGATTTCTCGATCAGATGCGTCCATTGACGGACTGTCACCAGATGAATATGCATAATAAGGATCTGTTTGCCGTCCCTGAGCAAAATTGTAGTAATAAGGAGTGTGAACGGTCAGATGAGAAGCCATTGGGAACTGTTGGAGATTTGGTTGGTAAAGGGGAATAGTCCTTGGAGAAACGGTATGTTGTGGATAAGGGACCGCGGGGGAAGCTGGAGGGGAAGAAGTATAGCGGGGCGAATAGTACGGCTGGTGAATTGGATAATGCTCTGGGTACGGGCCAGTTGGTGGAGAATAGTCATGTTGCGGTGGGTGCTGATGCTGGCGCCGGTCATCGTCTGGGTTTCACTCATTTATAAGCTTTTAGATACCAGGGACACGATAAGCCCATACAAGAAAGAGAAGTAAAGAGGTGCGAACTAGATGTTAGGAATCATCGCAGAAAGTTTTCCTGGAGCTAGCAGACAAGTGCACATTTATGCATTCCTGGGCACAGACCGGCACAAGCCGCCCTGGCCAATCCAATTGAACGAAAAGGACCTGAAACACTGCCCGATGCGACTCCAATCGTTCGGATGTGAAGGAATGGGCAGCTAATGCGAACATTAATTGTACTTTCAGATGTGCACATCACGTAATCACTTACAGTGGCGTCTCTTATGACCGAGCCAATCGCCAGCGACAGCCAGGAATAGAACGATAAAGTAGAAATATCAAAGAGAAACAAAAATTGACCGTGCCGAGTGGTGCGAGAACACCTGGAGCGTTCCATATTAATGATTGGAGCAGTCAAACTCTTAGTCATCTTCTATGTCATCATCCTCCAGCCATCCAGCAGAGACCACGTTCCGCTGATGATAACTCTCGTTGATGTCAGGAACCCCTCTCGTGATGGCATGCATCCCATCGAGTTCGCTTTTTTCATCGGTACCTGCGGTTTGGTTTTCAGGTACTGAATGGGGGTATTCAGCCGGGCCTATATTCAATCTCGGAAGAGAATAATTGGGAGAGTTGGAGCCTGGTGGTTCACAGGGCAAATAATCAGACACAACTGCGGATCATACGTAAATGATGGATCAAGTACTTGGCGTGACAGACTGAAAAATCGCGTCATTCAACTCGGTCCGTATATTCCGTGGATTCCGGAGCAAAGCTGTGCCTGAATCTAGGCACATCGCATCCATCCACGATGCGACCGAGTACAATTGCTCTCGGACTTTCCGCAATCTTGATTGAATTTCAAACCAGGAAGGCTTCACCACCTTTTGGTTGCGGCGAGATACGGGTGCGGGCAGACCATGGAGTGTCCCAAGGGACACCAAGTGGAACCTGTGCTCAAAGAGCGAGTTGCGCGGGCTCCACTGGAGTCATCCTTCAGCCGATATTTGCAACATTGGAGAAAGAGATGCAGTTGTCGCCAACTCACCGAGTCCGCGTAATTCTCCCATTGATCTCCAATGCTGAACACATCACAGATCGCATCAGCATGCTCAATACTATCACAAAACTGCGTGTAGTTTTGGTGCAGATACAGTGTCATGAGTGAGGTGTCCACTGGGGAATCACTAAAAAGAACCTTAAGGAAGCATTCCGCACTCAACCAAGTACCACACTGAAGTCGGATCCAATTACTCACATTTGTGTCTACCTTTGACGGAGCGCGGTCGTGTTCGCTGAGGTGCGACGGGTGCGTCAAGGTGGGGGGTATCGGCAATTTGTCCTCTGTTGGATCATCCCCATAGCCTTGACACTCGTAAGCGACACAATACAGAGAAGTTGAGTAGTAATTCACGTTTGCTGTATAAAATCTTCCCCAGCAGATGGAACAGCTCTAAGACGTCTTCTCTCTGTGTGACCACTTCGAGTCTGCGATCTTTAACACAACTAATGTACGGAACGAAGGGATGTGCTTACAAAGACGCCACTTCCTTTCCCCGCTTCATCTTTTCTCCTTTCTTCCTGCTTCCTTCACGAGTTTCCAGGCTCATTAAAGACGAAAATTGTAACGTCATGATGGCGCTCCGAATATCTCCCCCTGATGACTGGATGACTTTGTCAACGATGTCTTTCGGCAAATTGCTGGATGTCGAGGGATCCTTGAATAATTTATCCATAAGATTCATCAATGCTCGTCTCATGTAGGTTGTCGCGATGGGATTAAACCTGTTGTAGAGCATGCCTCACTCAGCACGTTCAACGTAAAGGCCGGAGATGACTTACTCGATACTCGTGATATACATGGACTCGAGCAAGTGTTTAGGGACCACGGTCCGAATATCAATATTCTCTTTCAGTCTGCTTTGCCACGAGCTATCTTCCAGTTCTGCAGATGCGCCGCGCCCCCCCGAATCAGAAACAATGATAACCAAGGGGCAGGAGAAGACAACAGGGGTGGCGAGGAAGTCATCCAGCGCTTGATGGAATGAAAGCCTGGTTCCTTCATGCAGAATATTGGGAAGGTCTTCGATGAGAACCAAACGTCTGCTCCATGCTAAGGATGACTCGGCTCTATGTGAAATATCCACACTAGGGTAAGATGTTGTGCGAGCGAGAAACCGAGAAAACTTCTCCCTCAGAGGGTCTATTTAATGGTCAGCACTCGCGTCTTGACTAGGAAACAATTCACATTACGCACCCCGAAGGTTCCTGCCTCTAACCCTGACGTGTTGTCCGCTGAATTGCTCCATTCAATGATCCGGATATGCATTGACAAAGCCAGCGCCTTCACAGTCGCAGTTTTACCTGAGCCCGCGGGACCAGTGAGGACAAGTATTCTCTGAATCATGCAAGTCAGAAGGCAAAAGTATACAGGGGAGAATATAATAGTCTACTCTATATTCGCGGAGCTTCCCTGAGGCATTCTCTTCGAAAGCCCCAGATAACCAATGAGACACTTCCCCTACCTTCTTCTTGTGTACGGCCAACTCGTCCTATCGAGGGGTAGTGTCAGAGATGCCTTAAATTTTCCAACAGAGATTTACCAAAGAGCCTGGAGCATATGCATCTACCCACAATGCATTTGTACCTGCGCAAGTTTCACGCGTCAATGAGTCCCAGGCCTGACATCGATGCACACCAACGACATTCTTTACTTTTATGCTTCCCTTTGGAAATTGCAGATGTGAGAGAGCCAGGGTCAAAGGGCTGGGCCGTCTTGAGAAGCTGCGTGAACAAAAGGCGCTCATTCGACGTGAATGAAGTGGTGAAACGCGCACCTGAGACAAAGGTCTGGAGCTCGGCCGCGATGCCTTTGTTTTTGGCCCAAAATCAAGCGTACTAGGCTTTGGCTTCGACTTCGAGAGCCTAGTAGCGGGTGGCATAGGCAATGGTATTTCAGGCAACACGAATGCGTTGTCAATTATTGGGACGTCCCGAAGCGCGCATGCGCATTCCTATGTTAGGAATATAAGTTCAGAAGCCGGGTAAACCCGAATGAATCCAGCCGGCGTCTTCTTTCTGTCCACCTGGAAATGCGTCCATACATGTCCAAGTACCATAGAGAGCGAAGAAGATAGGCTAAAGAGGAACAAAATAAAAATAAAAAAAGACCATAAATTGAGAACACTGAGAGGAAGCCTTCAGCCACTGAAAAAGGGAAATTGCTTCGTCAGCAGAGGAACGAGCTCGAACATTGTACGTCCATCTTATAAGACTTTCAAGTTATATCAAGTCAATTTGCCGCTGGTAAGGACTGTGGCGAAGTGGTGTCGAAATTGAGTGACGCTGAATACATCACGGGCAATTTCCGAACCGTAACGCATCGAGCAACTCTTGACCGTTCAACCTACTCACAAATACTTCATGGCAAGTGAGTGGACGAAGAGGTGTTTATCAGGTGGTAAGACGTGGTACTCACCTATTAAATGTAGGCATAGTCTCGAGTCCTCCCAGGCCAGAACATTCAGCTCCGCAAACAAGCAATACCCAACCTTGCGTTCAAAGTGCCGCAGTCTCTGGCGCTATAGCGGGAGATGAGCCAGGCTTGTTCACACCGCGAGCGAATCCCCAGCCTGAAGTTTCCACTTATGATGCATATGCGTTCGATCGGCGTCCTCTGATTCGGTATTCGCGGCGCGTTCTGCTGCATCTGTCCAAGTCCCCACTTGTCGCATTACCTCCCAATATGCCTGAATTCAATATGTGGTACGGGTGAGTTTTCTCTCTCAATCCTTCCCGATCCGGTTTTACCGAGTTCTTTGTCAGTGAGTGGACCGAACCGCACGTCAAGAAGGACGATCATTCGAGCAGTACAACCTCGCCCTCCTCGAATCGACACAGGTATGTTATATCTCTACATTTTCTCAACGTTATGATATAGTGACATATTGTGGCCAGAGCGCGACGGGAGCAATTAGATGATGGTCAGTCAGGCCAAATGACGAATACTAGACTTTCCACTGAACCTGCTTATATAGACACGAGGCACATGTTCAAATCCCAATTTCCTCAGTCCTCTCAGATGGGTAATTTCCGTCACCACTCCTCGCGGTTGGATGACAAAGGTGATCGCGATTCTCATGAGAGATTGAGAAATGTGAGCGCCTACATCCACACATTGTCGAGACGGGGGAGTGATCCCAAAACTTACCTCGCTCTTAGCTCGCGGACTCGTTTGATAGAACCCGCTTACTGAATGGTGCCAGCCGTCGGGATACCGGTTCTCACTCATCCCGTAATGGAACGGGCCTTTCCTCGTCAACTGTGCCCAGTTCCAGCAGACGAGGGGATTCTGACACCCTTGCGGGGAGGGAGAGACGAGAACCAACTCGAGGCGAAAGAAGCGAAGATTGGAGACGAGGCAGTGAGTTTTTTAATTTCATATGCAAAATTTGCTCTTACGTTCTATCTCAGCAGCAGAACGTCCGTCAGAGGCTGAAGCAGATATTAACGATTCAAGGAGGGAAAAGCTTGGGGATCGCTCGCACACGTTACGATCGAGATCCCGAGATATAGCACATGGGCGTTCTGACAGATATCGTGAGCGCGAGAAGGGTGAGACGTTACGTGATGAAGATAAAGACGGGGACCGCGCTGTTCATGGGGGCGGTCGTCGTTCCCCATCTCCTGTCTTGCCTTCGTATCTTCCAGGACTGACAGATGGATTCCGCCGCGCTCTTATGATCGTGATGAGAACAGGGATCGTGAACTTCGTATGAAAACGAACGAGACTGACGATCCTTCTCGGAAACTTGATCGGCGGAACCCAGCAAGCACTCGCGATAGCCGTAGATCTGGGCGTGATGCCGACCGAGAAGACGAGAAAAGATCCGATTTTCGTAACCCCAAAGATCGCGGTCGTGATAAGGATAGAAGCCGGGGCGAGGACAAAGAGCCAGCATGGATGGGCGATTATATTCCAGACCCCAACGACGCTAAGGGCGGTATCCTCGGTGGCCAAAGGACTGATGGTACGATCGACGATCTTCAAGCATGGAAACGCGGCATGAAGGAGAAGAGCGACTCGACCCTGTTTGAAGTTCCTGATATACTATCAGTGGATACCTTGGATGACATCCAAATCTTTAAACGCAAACTCAAAGAGGAACAGGAGAAGCAAGATCGAGCAGCGAAAGACAATGACACTAAAGTAGCCTCCGCTAATCCTCCTCTACCGCCAGGCTTGCCTGCGACCGCTACCAATGACGAGAAGCAAGGCCAATCTGCTGCCCTCGCAGCCTTGCTCTCACCATTGGCCCTTCAACTGCAATCGACTATGGATGTATCTACAGACAATGCGTCGCTCGGCAACGCTTCGCGGTCTCAAAAACCCAATCCAGACAGTTTGCTCTCCTCGGGCCTCGGCAATGCAACATCTCTCTCCTTCAACCGGTATCCGGATATTATGCCTGAATTGACCTCATCACGGGATCCTTTGGCTGTGGCTGGTTTGCCTACTGCAGGACGTGCTCTTGACGAGTTTGGTCTTCGCAACGAGCCCGGCACGAGCAATCCAACTCCTCCTGTTTCCGATATCCGAATCTCGAACCAACAAACATTGTCACTGAATGGTCGGTTAACACCCACCAATTCCAACCCTACATCTACTACCCCCTCTGCGCAATCATCTACTTACAGCGGAGAAGGCTCCCCCAGCTCCGGAAGTGCGCTGCCCGCGTATGCTCAGAGTAAAGGAAGTCGCTTCGCCAAGTTTTGGGACAACAAACCCCGAGAATCAGCCACGTCATTCAACCCATCCCAGCAATCACAGCCGCTGGCGCCCCCATCGAACCCAATGGGCTCATCGCTTGGAACGTGGTCGAGTGGCGCCTCATTATCCAATGATCTTCGTGTTTCACAACCTTCCTCCCCCTTGCGACAAGCCCCTGCGGAATCCAGTGCTTTGAACAATCTTCTCCGGAACATTACCACCCCTTCCTCCGTGATTCCGCCAACTGATAGGCGCGACTTCACAGATCGACCTGCATCCCGAACTCGCCCAGATACAGACAAAATGCAAAGTCTCCTATCCATGCTCAACAATCAACAGGTGAGTGACCCGGTTCATAGTGTAATGAGCCAAAAGTTCATTTGCTCGAATGTTGTTAGCCACGGCCGCCAGCAATGGACAGGAATCGCTCAGTTCCCCCTTTCGCAATGTTCAAAATGGCTCCTTAATTCTAATCTTGGCCAAAGCATAAACGCCACTCAAGCTCCCCCTCAACCACTCTCATTCAGTCCCGTTGGATCACCAGATTTCGATCGTAGCTTCGTACCAGATGGGTTGGTTCCCGGCCTTCGACCTCCCCGTACTCGGGATGTGGAGCAAGGTTATGTCCCAACCCTTCCTCCCACGACCAACAATTCATTGAGCCAATTCCTCATGAACGAGGAGCGTCTAAATATAAATTCCCAACAGCCTTTCGACCACATCAAGGTCGGCCATCGCCAGGTGCATTCCCTGCCCAGGGCGGTATAATTCACCCCGGCGGACGCAACACGACGCTGCTAAATGCCAATATCGGAGGACTTGGCCCCGGGTCCTCGAGTAACCGTCATTCGCCAGGCCTGATGCAAACACCCCAGCATCAACATCAGCGTGGTATTGGAGGCAGCCTGCCCCAAGGAAGGCCATCGGAATTTCTTCTAAACATCCCCTCCGGTATCGGAAATCAGACTTTAGGTGCGCTTTCGCCCAACGGCTCTCTTGGCATCGGGGGTCCTGTTCTCCACAATACTACGCTCCCAGCAAACGTTCTTCGTAGCCTTCCACTCAATTCTATGCCTAACGGAAGTAGCCAGTCTCAGATGGGTATGGCAAATGGCAATACATTTGGAAATGTGCCCAACCAAGAGCATATTTCCAACACCAACACCCTCAAGTTGATCTACAGAGCCGTTTGTTAGGAAACAACCCACATGGATCCCTCCACATCGGTTCTTCATTGACCAGCCGAGGCGGTAGCGCTCAATCCATTGAACCTTTGTCCCAGCGGATGCTTCCCCAACCGCCCTCCCATCATCTACAATTCCAGCAAAATCAACCATCTATGATGCGGCCTCAGTCCCAGGCTCCCCTGCAAGGATTGCCGCAACATCAGCTCAACTCCAGTGGTGGGGGTCTTCCACTCAATTTAATGGGTCTAGGGCAACCGATTCGTCCCCAAATTCCTTCACACAATCACCAAATACCGCAACCCGTACAACATGCACAACTACTACATCATCCACAACTCCAAAACCCAGGGGCAGATTTCAGTCATCAACCCCCTTTCCTTCCTCAGCAACCGCTGCAGCACAACCAACCTCCGAGCTTTAGTGGACTCCAAAATAGCGGCGGGAAATCCCAGGTTCAAGCTCAACAGGAATTGATCGCTCTTCTCATGGGAGGACAAACTGGACACGTCATGCAATAATCAATATTTTCCATACACAATAGTACCTTCCCCCGTTTTCAGTCCTGCTGTTTCCCAATTTTTGCGAACCTTATAAATGGCCGGTCTCTCTATTTTTGCTCTTAGTCATTTCTTTACCTCTTATTTCTCGTGTACGCTTTGATTGGTTGCTTTCACTTTAACCTTCCCGTTTCACCTCAACATGCATCTACGCGGTCCTTTCATTCGCTACACCTCACCCTTCAACCCCGAAAAATCCAGTCAAAATATACGCTGTTTAAGGCATCTACATGGACTTGGGTCCTTCGAGCGTAAAAAAAGGGTCTTACACCTGAATTTGTTGCCTGCTGCAGAGACAGTCAAGTTATGAGCAATGAGCGAAAGGAATGACAAATATCTTCACAACAATACCAGCTGGCCCAAAACTGTACATAAACAAATAGAAGCAAACAACGAACCAATCATCCCAGATGATAGTAAGGAAAAAGTGACAGTGCGACGCGCAGCCCCAGTGTGCGTCGTTGGCGCTAACGAAGTTGCGGAAGTAATGGTAATTGTAGCAAGAGATGGAATGACAGGATTGGGGGTGGGATCAGCAGGTGAAAAGGAAGAAGTGAGCCTCGCGCTTGTTCCCGTTGAAGTCGAGGATGTTGCAATTGCTCCAGAATCTGACGTGGAGGTATTGTGACCACCTGTCGAGGAACCTTTGATGGGTGCGAATCCGACAGATGGTGGGCTTGCCCGATAAACTGAGTAGACATTTTTCTAGATAGAAGCAACGAATAAAATCAAAGAAAACTCCAACAAAGAACCGGGGCTCACCAAAAATGCATCGCCCACGACCCACTGAATACCGTTACCCAGGTCGAGAGGGAAGAAAGCGCCAATACAGGTTTGGTCGCTGTATGCGCGGATGAAGTCCGAAGAGTCCATGAATAAGTGCGGCTGCCGAATGTCAAGCCAACCTTGCAAGCAAAGAAGAGATTAAAGAAAGGAGCCAATATACCCTAATCATCCGCATACCTGGATCTCAGCTGAGCACGCTGTGGAAACGAGAAGTGAGGTATTAGAACAGATGTCGTGCCTATTAAACGCTCTCCTTACGCAAAGTGTAGAAACCCGACAGGTCACCAGTGCCAGGAGCAGCGCCTGGAATGTTCGAATAAATTGAGTCCATCATCGAAGCAGGCCCAGCAACTGCATATATAACCACATCAGAGACACCGTCTGAAAAATAAAGCCGTCATATAGAACGCACTCAGAGAGGTACCAGTATCAATGGCCGCAGGCCCATTGGATGAGAGAGTTTTCCCCTCCACCACGATTGCTGGTGTGCCACGTAAGGACAATTTGAAGATTCCATGACAAGAATTACGCACAAGCCAATGGAATAGACCAATACTGAGGAGCTGCTACGCTGATGTACTCAATCGGTCCATCAAAATACCGGTTATCGGTGAAACTTCCCGCAGAAGTCAGCGAGGTGCCCAACGCTGCACAATCGGAGAACATACCCAATATCCATAGAACCGCCAGGCTCAGTTAGTCCCGCTCCTGGGACATTTGAATAGCGTGTAAGATAAAATGCAAACAAGGGCTGCGTCAATTGACCAGTTTGAAAAAGCTTTTGCCACCAAGGAGTAGAAGACTGTGCGAGAGGTTCCCATGCCAGTCCAAAGATCCCCGAGCTTTATGGAGAAACGTTCAATATGATCATCACAGCGAAGAGTATCGGAAATGTCAACCAGGTCACTTACGTGTTGCCAAAAATTAATCCTGTGCCAGTTAAAGTAGTCACCACGCCTATATACACGACAACCCTCACGTTAATAAACCAGGCGTGTTCCAGAAGGGAGGGAGATATGTTAATACGCACCAAAGCCTTGATTGGGAAGAGTGAATCCAGCCATGGAAACGGTGTCCGTCCCTAGAAGATTGCATTCACCAGTGACGAACCGAGAAACTACCCGGCTCAAGAAGCTCACCCACTGCTCCAGAGGCTCGACCAGAGGCATACTGTATCTCTAATATCCTTCCAGCGGCTTTATAAGTGGTTGAAAGAGAGGAATTAAATGTAGCGGGAATACTGTCACAGCCGGTGTGACAATCAGAAGAAGCAACCCAAAGGTCGGCAGATCCTCTAAAACGCAGCTCCTCATGTAAATACCTTCGGCTAAGAGTGCAGGGGAAACCAAACTAACGTGTCAAGTGCAACATTGAACTGCTGGGCTATCATCCGAGGGAATGAGCGCGTGCCAGTGAAATGGCGAATGATCACATTCCGAACATACGAGGAGTTCCAATAAAGACCGTCCCATAGTATACTAAGTCCACCCCTTGATTCGTAAGTTTCTGGAATGATTGCTTCCTCCTGTTGATTGACGGTGACGCGTACTTGTTTGCGACGCGCTTCCGCTCACTTTTCAACCATGACGCATTCCCCTTGGGTGTAGTGGTCTGGTAGCGCTTACGCGTAAGAGGAATTTTAAGGCCAGTATTTCTGCGCCGCTCGCTGAGGGCCGTCAGAGGCCAGAACATGAATCACCAAAACGTCGAGTGAGCAGAAAACAAAGAGCAAGCAAAGTAGGAGATTCCTGGAGCTCCTCAGGAGCATGTCGCAATAGGGGCTGATAGAAAAGAAGGGTGAGTGGATTGTATGTGAACAGAGACACAAGGGGTATCAGAGGATGGGGATTTTGACCGTTCGCAAAATCAAATTCGATCTGCGTGCCACCAACATACTTGAATTCAATGCTTGTTTGCAAGCCCACATTTCGCAGGAATTGGAACTTTCCCGAGGTCAAGGCAGCGCAGCGGCTCTTCTAGCATATACATGCATGTGTGGTTACTTCCTGGTTGTCCAATATTATACCCCCCCTTGTCCATTCCCAAAATTTGGAACCATTAATTACGTCCTTGCGTCTTTGCCTCGAGCCAAATAGCAGTATCCATATATAATCGAAGCTCCTCGATCGTCGACATTAACTGTCGCCATTTGTTCGGCATCATTTGCTGGTAGAAATGCCCTGGCAAAAGACATTCACCCTCGGTCGCAGACAGAAAGGGTATTGAACGTACCGTCAACTTTGAAGGATCGATTTCTCACCTGGATTCGCAACAGATGCCATCTCATCACGGACGAGGTTGTGAGTCAGATAGAAGAGGGCTTGAAACAGACACCTGTGAGCATGCATGATACTCCAAACAATGGCCATATCTATCCTCAAGAGAACCAACACAAGGTCGGAGTACTGCACCTCTTCATAAAGCATACGTCTGCAGGCTTGACTCTCAACGAGAACTGGGATTCTGGTGAGCACCCGTCCACATCATTCATGGCCGGCACTCATCTATGCTTCGAAAAATCCAAGACGTTCGCATTGGTGCGCAATTCCTCACAGATGATGTCGACATCGCCCTCTACTTCTCTTCATATCAGATATGGACATGGCTCTCGACAACATTGTCCCGGAAACACTCAATTGGAGACACGTAGATGAAGGACCAGAGTAAGTCTTTTTCATAGTCACTCCAGGTATAATCTAAGCGTTTTCCCGGCTATTGGTGGTGAAAGTGACTCGTAAGCGGAAATCCTCCATAATCATACTTAACATTGAACCAATTCACCCTCCATGCGAAGGGTGTCCCACACTAAGGCATCAGTCATTGGAGTGTCGGTATCGATACCCATAACCAATCATACGCTTAACCTCGGTACTTGGCAAGGAATCTATCTGACTGAGGTAGGATCACGAATCACCTCTCGGCAGGATTCTGCCCGCTCAGCGCTTCACCTTACAGTTTCGTTATGTTGCTCATACGCGGACCGTCGTTGCTACAATAATGTAAGCATTACAAGTATGCAATGATACTCGTGCATTCGCTGAGTTGGGCCATTTTTGGATAGTCCCTAATCCAGTTCGAAGAGTAGAATATCAATTATTAGTTCTAATTACCCTTTATCTACGCATGCACGAACTGTTTTGTAGCTTCTGGTATTTGTGATTGCCAGTGTTTGCACGTCGTTGAGCTCAGAACCTCATTGAATTGTTCCCGCGACCGCTTTTGCCACGCGCGGCTTCAATTTTGGACAACAAAGTGCCCGCCGAGCCTCTTTTCTGTCCAGAATGGATCTAACCCCTCCATGGGAGGGAGAAGAATGCGCGAATGATGGCCAGCCTCAACGGGTCTTCTGGCAGAGCTCCCAGAATCCCCAACGCTTTTTGGACCGCGTAATGAACGAGATGGGTGAGTTTTGTGAACGAATAGGATTTCCTGCAAGTTCCTGATGTTCTAGGCTATTCTCAGGTACTTCGAGTCCAGAACCTCAGACATCATCAACGATCCAACGCTCCATCTCTGCACCGTCCATGATGAACATGACCCCAAAGCGAAAACACCCCGATTCTCTATCTGATCTATCTTATTCATCTTGCCCAACATCTGCTGCCGCCCCGGAGGTGAAGCGATCGAGAGCACGCGCTCGGCGCCCTTTTGCAAACCGCGATGGCTCTAGGCAAGCGCAGGGTGGTCAAAGCACAATGGACATAGACATCGACATGGATCGAATCACAATCCTAGTGAATAATGTAGCACAATCGCTCCATTCGAGATCTGTCGCCAATGCCGCTGCTGCTACGGCGTCTCCCGTAACGTCATTACGAACCTCCCAAATGAAAGGACTGACAAAAAAGCTTAAGGACACCACTAATGGCGCCAGCCATGAGCCTCAGTCAATTCCCAAAGAGCCTTCCCTTCCCACAACAGCAAGAAGAGTAGACGCCCTTTCACACCCTGTGCTTTTCTCTCAGTCATACAGGACCGGTGATGTGGGACTACGACCTAAAGACTCGACGAGCAAACCACTCAATCCGGACTCCGTTCCCCCTTCCCTCCCGTCCTCTTCCTTGCAGGTCCATCTGCCGCCATCTCAGACTTCCAACCGACCACGACACATGCCTCCACCTCCGCCACCGCTCACTAAATTCGCCACTCCTACCGCCTCCTCCATCAACTCCTCAAAATCTTCGTCCTCTAACGCACCTCAATCTCGCCCCCCAAACACTCGCAATCTGGGGATGAAAGGCCTCTCCAGGTCAAGTTCCTCGCGCGAAATCATCGCAAAACCGTTCAAAGTCCCCTTCGCAGTGGCGGAGCCGAAGAAAAAAATGGAGCCACCACCACCTCAATCCTCGCAACCTTGCTCCAAAACTGAAGCCTCCTTGCATCCTGAGCCAAAAATTCCAACGTCGTCACAGCTGAAGGATGCGCCTATGGCCAGCCCAAGCGGGAAGGATTTGTATCTGTCACTACCGAACATGTCGAGTTCATCTGATTCCTTCGATATGGACTCTTTCGGAGACGATCAGCAGGCTATCGAGGCGTGCTTATCCCGGTACGACTAGTGGGACAGAATGGACTTGAACTATATTTTGTTGTTTCACGATTGATCTATGTTCTGCCTTCTTTTCCATGTGATGCTCAGACTTCTTCAGCACAAGTTGGGTACCAGACGTCCAACCCTCGTATCGCAGCACGTCCTAAGACTCGAAATTCACCTTTCGCCACATGTATGTATTCATTATTAGAGCATATGATAAACTAGCGTCGATAGGACCAATATTAGACTCCAGAGCCAACAGCGATGAAGACAGCATCCTTCAATTCTAGGAACTATTTGATATGAGCCAGATTCTCGGCAGAGTAGCCTCTCAACGACTGTATGGTGCAGCAACACGGCGAAAACTAATGCTCAACCACCTATCATCAGTGTGTGCAAATTTGCTAACGCGAATGGTTGGATTGTACAGCATGTGCTGCAACAATTCAAAAGGGCTTGGTCCGATTGACGGTGGGAAGCGGGAGAACAGTGATGAACTCGCTAGTACTGGCGAGACCATCCCTGAGTTCGTGGCAACAGTTGACCACACCGCAATTGTACCAAACCACCATCTAAAATGACGTGGAATAAAACTCAAAAGGATTTATTTCCGTAACACCAGTATGAAAAGATGCGAACGCCGAAGATGTTGTTGTCAGAATTCCGGAAATGGTCGAGTGGGAAACCACGCTCGTGACCTGTTTTTATTGTCGGCACAAACAAAGGTAAATTCATCTTTCGAGTACAACTAGAAAGATGTTGGCACAACCGGTCCAAAGTAGCGCGAGGGACTAATTAGCCTGTCAATGGAGATGAGTATCTGAATCCCTTTTAACAGCACATGGCGGGGATCGGTCACAAATTCTCAAACCTGGCTACGTAACGACACATTACACTTGCCAAATGGAGGCACGTATTACTGACAGGGCAGAAAAATTGTGGAGAAGGTGCAATGATGGGGGCAGGTGCCTGACGCAGATAAGATGTACATTGCCCCCTGAAATAAGGAAGCCTCGAGAAGATGCATGTATATGGATGCGATTGCAGCAGTGTCATTTCGTGTAGGGTAATTATGGTGAGAAATGCAATGGAGTCCGAGTTGATTAGAAGTGACAGTTATGTGTATAGCGGCACAGCCGAGCATCCCTCACCACGTCAAGTACGACCGCCTTCTTGCACCGGCAACGGCTCGGGAGGGGTGCTGAAAAATTCAACAAGCCACAAACTCTCGTAATTTTTGCATTCGTCACCCAACCGCTCCTTTATCGATCTATCGAACCGGATACCGCCAAAGTACTTCGGTTCGCCCATATAATGCCACAATGGCTGGGCCTTACTGACGTATCCTTCCGCCTGTGCGACACTGCTTCGCCTCCCCTCTCCTGATGAGCGATGCCGCGAGCGTGAATTACTAATTTCCTCGAGAGCATCTTTTCCTTTCTGGTTGCTGGCTACTTCAACGAGCCCGTCACCAACCCACATGACCTTCTTCGACACAAATCGATAAACTGCACACAGGACATTGCCAAGGGTCACGCCCGTCTCCGATCCCTTAACGGTAATGATGTCTTCCGATCGGTCCCTGCTCCATCGACCAAAAAGAAGGTGCATCACAGGCTCTGGCGGTTCAACGGCCAGTGAATCAAGCTGTTCCACCGTCAGGGGTGCGGGAGCCTGCCAAATTGTTGACCAGAGAGCCGTGGAAGGCAACTCAGATATCTTCCAAATGATTCGGCAATCAGTCAAATAATTTAATGCCGATCGCACTACGGGAACGCCTTTCACTGAAGCTGGGGTCAAAGCGGGACACAAACCTGGAATCGAGGGTATTAAGGAGAAGGCTTTCCAACCAAGACTACAACACTGCATACCATATAACGACTTGGCATGTTCAGGCCTTTGCCACACTTGTCGCCGTACCTGCCAAGGCTCCTTCTCTTTGTCGACTGGAGCCAAAATCTTTCCTGTATGGCTGCTTCTTCGTCCCAATTCCTCGGACTTGTCGACAAAGGCGAGGTCTGGGTCTCCGGTCCCCCTTCCCCAGATGATCTCCGAAGGCGGGGCATGAGTATGTGCATGTGCAGGTTCGCGAGCGCGAGCACGGCGAGCCTCTTCAAGTTGACGGCGTGCTTCTTCTAGTCTCTGCCTGCATACCTCGACATACCGATTGGCCTCTTCGGTCTCCTTACGCATCTGAAGGGTGATACGTTATTTTTCCCGACAGGGGATAACTCCGACTGGAAGAAATTGAAGTCTGCTAACCTGTGCGAGAGTCTTAAAAATTGGGGCGGGGACAGGTCCCTTTGGAGTGGCGTCGTTTGTGTATGGTCCTTTTGTCTCGTAGGACTCCCTTTCTGGACTACTAGATGGGGCTTTGGGACCAGCAGAGCCTGTCCCAAATAGCTTCCCCGAGCTTGGGGATCGAGGTATTTGTTCGTACCCGATCATAGGAGCAGAGTGCCGGCGTGTAGGTTGGAACTGATCAGGAAAAAGCTGTGGATGGAGGTGTGTGAATTCATTAGGAAATACGTGCACTGCACGAGGAACGCCTGGGACTTCAAATGGTATATACCCCCCATGAGAATATGCAAGTGGCGGACACTTAGCACATCGTTGATACGGATAAGGGTGAGGGTAAAGGCAAGGGATTCCCGCCATGATATTGGAAGTATCTTTCAGAAGGACCAATGTAGAAAGAGATGGCGGCTGAAGCACGAAATGAATTGAATGAATTTGGACCAAGGGGACAAGTGGAGAGGTTCCAGCCTTCCGATGAGAGAAAGGTATAGCCTTAGTGTAGCTACAGACTACGCCAACGAATGAGCTGTAACAGGGATGAGATAAAGCAGACGTTCGAATTTAAGAGCTCCCAAATGCGAATCCAGAGAGTGGTTAGCTTACATAATCCGCTCTATCCACGCAAAAACCATTGGAAACCCAGTCCATCGTGATGGACAACTTGCATTTTGTTCCAAGGGACAACCGGAGGGAGGGGAAGATAGAGCGCTTTTACGCATGCTCAGCAACTACCGTCTGCAGTGTCTCCCTCATGGCGTTGTGCCCTCTCTGGTGAACACTGTAAGCACCCTCCTGTTTTGCTTTATGACGAAAAAGAACCCCTTGTACTGGGTATGCAGGGATCGCTTTTTGTGTTGTCCTGCAGATGTCCAGGCGCAATTCTTCGACAGGGAATTGCTTTTTAATCTTCTCTCTGACTCCAACTTCTGTGTCTTCCCCCTGCTTTGCGAGTTGGCCAACTGACTCATGTCTCAAGCTTTATAGGGGATGTCTACTGCACAAGTTACCCATAACCCTCGCCGCTCTCCCATTGATGTGCTTCAAAGACCACTTCTGATGTGACAACGAAGCTGGGGTTAACAACCACTCGCTGAATAACCCCATCCCTGGGTTAAACTGCACATTTCCGAACTGCAAACTGTCCACTGCTCAGCTTGATTTCTCGGGCACCTGCTCCGACGTGACACTCTCAATAAATTCTTTCACCTTGCTCCAGTACTCTGGCTGGACATATGTATCATCTGAATGCAGTTGCATGAACGACAGAAAATATCGATCAAACGTTCAGCTACGTACTGTGCGTACCTCCCGGGAACTCTTCCCACTGCCTCTTGCTTAGGCCTTTCACGTCTCTTCGAGCAATCTCCCAGAGTGCCTTCATCTGTTCTGGTGGGACAAGCTCATCCTTGAGACCGCTCATGAAGAGCATATGTATGATTGCGGGGATTTTCTTCAGTGATTCCTCACTTCGCCACTTCTCTGTGCAGAGAAAGAGGAAAGGGGTTACCCAAGGCATGACTTTCCGCGCCACATGGGACTCCACAAGATATAAATATCAACACAAGCAAACGATGGGAGTGGAGACCGTCGCCTACCACAGACTGGAAAGTATTCTCCAAAATGATAGCATGTATCTGTTGAAAGGTCTTGGGTCCATGACGTGCGGTTGCCCTCACGGATACTATCGTACCTCTTCAGGGTTCCGGCTTGCTAAGTCTATGCAAACAGCACCACCAAGCGATTGGCCGTAGAGGATCTAAAAGGATCGTTCACTTCACTTTATTTAAACAGAATGGGCTGCTCACCACTTGAGTCGAATGCAGTAAGGGGTGTGTACGCAGATAATCAAGTGTGGCTTGTGCGTCAAGGCGAATACCTGTACACGAAGGCATGGACATTGGAGAATAATCGAAATAATCACTGGTTCAGGCTAGTACCTTGTTCTGTTGGATATCCTTCACTGCGGCCATATCTGCAAACAAGTGAGAAAAGCAGAGTCTGAAGGAGCTGAAAGACAGGTTACCCTCTGTAAGACAGCATCAGCACATTGCATCGCATCCTGGCATAGAATACTCTTGCAAGAGGCAGGCGATGGCCAAGATTCCCTATGCCAAATCATTCGATTCGTTGCCGTCGGCGAGTGATCCATGAGAATGGACTTGCCCGCATTGGCATGGAAGAAGATAATGGTAGGACGCGTGCTAGCATACTGAAAACCAATGTTAACGTGGGAACAAAACACAACGTAATTGCGCACCTCATCATCGGTTAACTTAGAGTCAACAGCTCCCAAATCCTGCGGCACAAATGCAGCATTATGTCCTACAAACACCTTTCTCTGCTTGATAAGATAGGCCTTAACCCTTGTTCCGTCAGCAGATTCAAGCTCCAGGTCATCATAAGGGATTTCATAGTCGGCAGGAGTCGAAACCTCTACATGATTAAGTTTATGCGTCAACGGCTCGATTGATCTTAGAGGTGCACAACTCTTACCCTCTCGAGACCTAGGAGGAAGGTAAGCAGGATAAATAAGGTACGTCTGCCCGAAATACAGCCCAACAGCAACTGCGGTAAGGCCAACAATCTGTCGCATTAGAAATGCCCGGTCACACCCGGAGGCTTGGTTTGTCAGATGCCAAAGGTACATTTACCAAGTAAAAGCAAACCGACAGATAGGCATGCTGAGAACTAAACGTGGACAGTGACAGACTTGAGATTCATGCATGTCGTGATGAATTACCTGAATCCTGGCTTACTTTCGCAATGCCACGCACGGAAGGGATGTAGGAAGATAATTGCATTGAGGATGCCAAGCCAGTGGGAAGTAATTCTAGCTGCAATCTTGGGAGAAACAAACCAGCTACCCCGCAACGCTTGGAAGTGACGGGAATCACCGACTCAGCGCTTATTCAATCCTGTAAACAATGCCTTGAGGAACTGAATAATTCAAAGTCTGCATATTCCATTTATGTACATCTGGCTGTGCAAATGAATAGTGTACTCGTCGCGAAGATTCGTTAACGGCGCTAAAGCTTGATAATAAATCATACCGGGTGGATCAGAAAGGGCGGGAGCTGGTCAGCGGTCTGGGCTTAGGATGAAGGCGTCGGATCCGCAAGTTGTTGTTGCGATGTTCCTCGCGATCCGCCACGAATTTTCCAAATGAACACCCTTTTGGGCGCAGCGCCTTCAGTGGGGTGCCACGCGAAGGTGAAATGTTTACCTACCCTCGACTGAATTACTGGTGAGGACCCATTCTCCATTGATCAACTCGTCCGATCGAATGCGTCTCTCCTTAACCTTTCCAGTGGCGAGCATCCAGCGTCGCACAACTCCGTCCAAGCATCCACTTGCCAGTGGAGGAGTCACCCAGGAACCATCTCTCCAGATACAGATGTTACGCATTGACCCGTCAACGACCTACCGGGACAATTAGTACATACCGAGTGACCTAAATAACCTACATACATCAGAATCATGATTGATGAGGAGGACTTCTTCGGGGGAGTTATACGACTCGATTCCAACCCGATCCCGGGCCTCATCATACACATCTCGATTGGTGCTCTTGTGCCGGGTGAACAACGAAGGGGTTGTAGGATCGGTATCCAGAAAGACGTCTAAGATAGGCGCGTAGGCGGTTGGCCAAGTCATGAGCGTATTCGGAGTTAAGGGGACAATATAAGCAGGAGTCATGAATGGTGCCCCAAGAAGATCAAACGGGCGAGGGCCAACAGGTCGAAGGTGTATAGTCAAGTTCCCGTTTCTTCTCAAGACACATCTAATCTACAACCATGCTGACGTGAGAACTATTGAAAATTTCAAAGGAAATGATTACTATCGACCTTGTAGCATTTTTCGCCTTTAGCTTCAGGACTGCCATTCTTCACGACATCTTTCACGACATCCTCAAGCCTGGCTATGAAGTCCGCTGAGAACTCAGGCGTAGACAACTGGCTAGCGACATCATTCCACCCAAACCCGACAGCAGACCTGATAAGACGTTCCAAGTGATAAGGAAGCAAGAGAAATGGGGATCTTGGTTCTGCAGACGAAGTGCTGTGCCAGTCACGATGGTCCTCCAAGAGAACAGGATCCCATCGCATCGTAGTTACTATACGAAAGCCATTCTCTTCAATATCGCTATCACTGTCGTCCGTAGGCACATATGGTATCTCTTTTTTTTCCTCCTCTGGAAAAAGATCGGGTGGTGGCGAGACTTTCCTGGGTGGCGGAGGAGGATTGTGAAGGTGTGCCAGAATATTGCTGAACTGCACTGGTTCATTTGGATCGATCGTAAATCGCGACATCTTTATGATTAAAGGCCCCAACGCAGGAGCTGGGCAAACGGCGGCACGTGCGGGGAATGCCGCCTTAGACTGACTAGGTTCTCATAATCAACTCCTGACTTCATATCATCCTTGCGTCTGCTTCGGATCCTCAAATGGCGTTGCCAAAGGTTAGTACTCTACAGGCGTCATAAAGAGGTCTTCCATGACCGACTTATCGACGTTTAGCGAATCATCAAAGTATGTGAAATAAGCGCGTCGTCGATCTCCTTGCGATCGCCATGCTCACGCGGTGTCGACGCGGGTTCTAATGCCTCGTAGGAAACTGAGAGACTAGTGAACGATCCTGCGCCTGGAATTACTGCCGTTCCTCACGAGGACAATCTTCGGTATTTCAATGTCACAATCGCCGGTCCTGGTGGCAGCCCTTTCGAGGGTAGGAGATCAGATCTCTTAATTCTCGTAGATAAATATCCTGATCATCTTTTGAAGGCGGTATATTCCGCCTTGAGTTGTTCTTACCAGAAGAATACCCCATGAACCCTCCAAAAGTCCGCTTCCTGACCAAGATATACCATCCCAATATAGGTGTGTATTCTGACTTTGAGTTGACATCTACGCTCTCGTTCATATCACTTTTTTAGACAAGCTAGGGAGAATATGTCTTGACATCTTGAAGGGTGGATTTAGGCGTCGGCACAGCTTGAAGTCTTATACTGACTGGACCGTCCTGTGCAGATAAATGGTCACCGGCTCTGCAAATAAGGACAGTTTTACTATCGATCCAGGCTCTCTTGTCAGCTCCTAATCCGGATGACCCGTTGGCAACTGATGTGAGCCACTTGGATTCAAATCCGAACGGCTTACCCGCTTTCTACTCTAACCCCCCCTTTCCCATAGGTCGCCAAACACTACAAGGAGAACGAGGCCGATGCTCACCGAGTAAGCAAGGAGTGGACAGAGACATATGCGACGTAATTTTCTGTTCCTGCTTTCACACCGTCTCTGGTCTCGGACTCCTCACTCTCTTCACATCACTTTCCCTTGTCCAATATCTTACAACTAGTGTTCCCCCTTTGGGCAAACCTGATTCGCTTCCATGTTGTATACTTTCCTTGGTGACCTGCACACTGTTTCCTCTGAATGTCAAGAAAGCCGGTCGAAGCAGCGAAGGGGTTTGTTGTGTCTAATAGTAACAGCCATATTAACGACTAGGGGCGCAAGATAGGGGCGCAAGAAACGACGTAAACATTTCTTTACATGAGATCGAGCTATTTGTTCAATTCTTCTGCCCGCTTCCTGAGCTCCTCACGACTCTGGAAATAGAATCATGGTTGGCTCCCCGTCGATCTCCATGATACTGGTTGGGGGCCGCATGACTCACAAGTGGTTTCTCAAGCTTCGATAGCTGCTCATCTGAAAGGACTTGTGGCCCACCAGCCTTGTATGCCTCGAACCCCGGTCTGTTGCTCAGGTCAGGCCCGGGCTGGGGATTGTTGTCCTTCTCCTTCTAGGTCGAAGATCGAGGGTTGGAATGCCCCGATGGGTAATTCGGTACTACGGCAGAGGATACTCACGGCTGGGTGAGGCTGGATTCTGAAGGTGGGTTCTTCCTTGTTCGACATTATGGGATCGGTGTAGAAGAGGGAGATGAAGTGGGGAATAAGGGGGGCGCTCTTATAAGGGTATGCAATCTGCTGCGGGGCCGCAGTAAGGTGACGATGACGACATCATGATCCCAAGCACTTGAATACAAGGCAAACTGAGAAAATTGACAGCAAGTACAGCAACATTCCAGATATTTCGAAAAATTCGTTGCACCACGCAGAATAGGGAAACCAGACGTAAGGAAACTAGTAGCTTGTGGATCGCTGTGGAGGGATGTGCAATAGGGTGAGTGACTGTGGCTAACAACAACGAGAGTGATGTCTGGGCGTCACCCTCACTGAAGCTGGCCTATAACGACGACATCATCTGCGAGTAATACCATTAGACAACAAATTGATGGAACAAACTTCAGGAAGGTGAACAAACATTGACAAATTCTGTGTGACGTATAATCTCCCAAATAAGCGCCGGGGCTCAATCTCTAGCCAAGCGCTGACAGATACTCACCGTTGAAGTTGATCTGACCATCTCCATCCATATCGGCCTCGCGAATCAACTCATTTATCTCCAACTCGGTTAATTTCTCGCCTTTTAGAATCATCAGCACATCCAATGCGATCGCGACCAGCAAAACATGGCACCTAAACCCGTCATTACGTATTTAACTTCAGAGGCACTTATAAGCCCGTTCCCGTCTCTATCGAACAATTTAAACGCAGCCATCATCTCATCCTCACTGTCCGCATCAGCAGTCTGTTTCGACATCATCGCCAGGAACTCGTCGAAGTCGATGGTCCCGTTACCGTCGGTGTCCGCCTCACGAATCATGTATTGTAGCTCGGCGTCCGTTGGGTTTTGTCCCAGGGAACGCATGACGATTCCCAGTTCAGTTTTCGTTATGCTTCCATCACCATCTTCAAGAGCAGGGGTAACAAGTCCGATTAAGGTTGGCGGGGAATCAATGAAAACAAACCTTTATCAAACAGGGAGAAAGCCCCCCTAAGTTCTTAAAGTTGTATCTTTTCTGTAAACTCATCACCGAGGGACCGATAGACAGAGCCTACCCGAGATTTGTTCTGTCCACAAACGATCAGGAAGAAATAATCAGTTCGAACGGCGTCCCAAGTGTCTCAGGATACAGTACCCACCATCGGACTACCGCGCATGTCAGGGGGACAAACGTGCGTGGGGAAACCGAATCATGGGTGAGGGAAAGGGGGATTGAAGCCACAGTCGGGACGTCGCACAAGCGCGGGAATACGCCATGGGAAAGCAAGGGCGATCGTCGGCAGTGTAGCACTGAAGATCGAAAGGCAACTGGCAGGTCCACTCACCATTTTGTGAGCCATGGTTCAAGTGGGAAGAGAGGGGCGGCTGGGAGAAAGGTTCAAGTGCGCCCATGATACTTGCCCTCCCCTTCAGATTTGCATCCGATCTTAATCCAACGAAGCGCATAATGATAGCGCTCAACTCTATGAATGACTAATACCCTGTATGTGATGGTTGGGAGTCCGGCACTGCGATTGCGGTTTGACGGAGGGTTAGACCCGTACTGGGAGCGATGCAAGGAGGTCGCTACAAGCGCGGGCAGGAGTGACGCAGAACCACCCTGCCAGCATGAATGGCTCCAGCTGCTCAAGGTCATGCATGTCGACAGCTAACTAAGCCGGCGGGAATCGGTTTGGAATCGATTCCTAAATTCCTGAATTCGGGAAACACCGATGACTTTCAAGCATAGGCCGCCAACGCAAAACAGCCATGACCTTCCATGGCCCAAATCCGTTCATTCTGTGGTCCTCATCATACGTGGCAGCAGATTTGAGAATCCACAAGAATGTGGGAATATCCCCTAATTTGGAAAAAGCGATGTGTTCCAAAGCATTGGAGATATGTAGTGCGAAGGTTTCTGATGCCGCAGCAAAACGCGAGGGGCAAGCGGATCAGTTGCAAGTTGGTAATGTCAAAGGACCCACAACGGGGCTAGTGCTTATAAGGGACAGAGGCAGATTGGTGGTGCTGCTTGTTGCGGTTAAGCCGTGACATCTTACCTTGCAGGTTTGAGACTCCACGCAAGTATGGCCTTTTGCTTGTTCCATCTCGCATCCGCCCTCATGTATGATTCTTCAACTGGTCAACACAGGTCATAACCTAATACTAAGCTAGTGGAGGTTCGTGCACTTGCGTAGGATTGAAACGCAGATCCTTTGATGAGATAAGCCTGCGATGTGTTAGAGGACAGTGGCGATTGAGCCGAACGACTCGTAAGGGTTCATGGAACCCGGCATTTGCCTAGAACCTAACCATGGCCTTGGTAGCAACATGTCAGAACCGTCGCTCGGAACATTAAGCTGAAGGAATTGCGATTAAGTCACGTAACATTCGAGGTTTCGCATAATGTAATCCGATTCATCGTACAGGCAAAGCATAAAAGAGCAGCGCCCAGGGGGTGAGGGTGTACAAACAACGAAGGGGACGGATCGATGACGCGGCGGGTCAGGTTCACTTCGATAACATCATCTGTGAAAGAGAGGGTCAGACAAACGATAATAGTCTGAACCGAGCAACGAACCTTGACAAATTCTGCGCAGCGTGGCGGTCATTGTAGTAAGCGCCTGACGCAATATCCAGGCCGTGCTGAGATGGGTGCTTACCATCGTAGTTAATCTGGCCATCACCATCGATATCAGCTTCACGAATCATCTCATCGACCTCACTGTCAGTTAGCTTCTCCCCTATTCCAAATTGTTAGCATACGTACAATTCAAGTTGTAGCTAAATATAAACCCACCAAGGTTCGTCATAACGTGTCTCAGCTCTGCGGCACTGATGTAGCCGTTTCCATCCTTATCAAACACTTTGAACGCCTCCTTGATCTCTTCTTCACTGTCTGTATCCTTCATCTTTCTCGCCATCATCGTCAAGAACTCAGGAAAGTCGATCGTCCCGTTTCCGTCCGCGTCGACTTCATTGATCATGTCCTGGAGCTCCCCCTCTGTTGGATTCTGACCCAATGAGCGCATAACAGTGCCCAACTCCGTCGTAGTTATCGTTCCATCTCCATCTGAAATGAGCGGAATGAAACACCCGATCACCACCCCCAGCCCGTAACTTGGGCTTACCTTTATCGAACAAGGAGAACGCCTCCTTGAACTCTGGAAAGGGATCAGTGTCTCTCCTGACATTCCAAGGTCTTTCTAACCGGAGATTTGCTCTGTACGCATAAACAAGCCGAAAGGGTCAGGTCAAAACATTAATGATCGGGTTATCGCCAGCACAAAACACTCACCCTCGGACTATTGTGCGTGTTTGTTGGGGAATGCGCGCGTCCGCAGGCATAATTTGACCAAGGGAGACGCGATTGATGAAGGATAGATGCAGTCAGATCGGAGCCGCGCAACGGGAGGGACACGAATAGCAATGGGGGAGATCGATGCCGTGAGCACATAAGTTAGCGAATCCCAATAACTATGCGTACCAGTTGGTCAGCCATTGTTGTAAGTAAGAGATGCTTTGGTTGTAGGGGAGTATAGTGAAGCGGTGCTGCTCATATTTGCTTCCGATATCAGCCGCCTGCATTTGTTACAGCCACTCTCAAAAGAAAGTCCACATAATTACTTGATAGTGGGTGAGCTAGCTCGAATGATGAATGATTGTTGTATCTCCAGAGCATTTTATAAACATATTGGGTTGTGGTAGGATGCCAATATTTGCTCCTGCTTGACCTCACGTCACAGGCTAAACGGGCCATGAAACGCTCGATTGCCGATCCCGACTCTGTGTTCGTTCATCTCAATCAAACGAAGCATTTACAGAAACGCTGGGAGCTGTGGGACGGACCTTACGAAATGGAAGCCTTGGAGACAAGAGGAATACAGTTGAAGAATTCCAACGCTAGCCTTCCTTCTCTACCTTTGAGAAACTACTTCCTGAGCCCAGTGAATCGTAATGCGGCAGAAGTGCCTTACCTTTTCTTGGGACATACAGTGTCCAGACACATGTGCCTCTTGAATAGCTCGATCGGAGTTAGTACCCCTTCAATAGCTCAACGATCCCGACTTCTCCGGATTGTCCAGCCTCCAAATGTTCCTCTTGGCTCTGTTGTGGTTCATGCTACCCTCCAAAGAATCTTCATCCGCACTACCTCTCCGATCATCGGCTTCCACAACAGTCAGACGTGGTTTCACACCCAAGATGGCGCACAGAGCCTTGTGGCGAGATCGGATAAGGGTTAGAAGCTTCGCGATATCGACAGATGATTCCGCATGCTGGTTCTCATCTGCATGAGACGAAGCGGAAGCTTCGGAAGTGGGCATCTGGGTCATCTCCTTTTGGGACCCCAGTGGCGTAGACACATTTGAATCAACAACCGATGGGTTTACCGTTGGAAAGCGATCAATAGCAGATAGGATGAACTTGATGTGATGCAAGGCACGCCTCAAAGTACACTCAGTCATCGCTGTGCACGATAAAGAAAAATACTGATTACTTACGAATTGGGATCCTTCGGTGGCCTCTGATATACAGCTCTCCAGAATGATGAAAACCCTTTGTAGTACCCAACCTCTTCCCAAATTTCTAGCCCCTTCTCTTTGCCCAACGCCCGTCCTTCAATGAGGCCGTGAGTCCGTCCGTGAGAATAGCCCTCCTTGTAGCCATGCTGGAAAAATCTGTATCCGATTCAAACAGTAAGAGAGCAAGTGGGTTGAACAACACGTTCCAATCGCAATTGTAGTGGATGGAATAAGATTTGTGACCCAAAAACACAAGGAAGGAATTTTACAGACGTTTCTTCGGGATTAGCAAGGAGACTAAACTCGTCCATCGTTTTCTGATCTTAGCTACAGCACGCTTGCTAGAGATCTGCGGCTGTGCTGAATCGCCACTTTGCGGTCCGTGTTCGGTCCGTTTACCAACCCCTCTCCGTCTTATAAAGAGATGTGAAGAACTTCCTACCACCCTTCGTACTCTATAACTGGAGGGAAGCCTTCGGGAAATATGGCACCCATGAGTGTGCTCATGTGTTAGCCATAATACATTCATTTCATGACACGACGGAAGAGAACTAACGTTATTTTTAGGTGGCACCGGTGAATACACAACTGGATGGACTGGGTCTGGGGCATCAAAATCCGATAAGAAGGTACGATCTAATCCGATGAGAAGTTTGTGTGTGTGCGGATGCTCACATTCTAAATAGGTGGGGGTCGTCGGTCTAACGCTCTTCGATCTCCGTCGTCGTGGGAAGGTGGGGAGGCTAAGCATGGTGGGCGTGAACGGTTCCAAGTTCCCCGCTATTCGGGAGCATTTGAATGAAAATATCGGCAAGGTGTACAAAGATATGAACTTGGAGTGCGTTCTTCTTCCTTTACGTCTTCTGCCCAGCTCTTGACTGAAGGGGAAAAATAACTGCCTGGTTCTCGGATCTTGCAGGTTTGATAATTACCCGGAAGTAGGAAAGACTGACTCCCAAGCTTGTAAGTGAGCCAAATTTTCTGACAGTTAGTCAAAGATCATGAGAAACTCATCTCCCCAGACAAGGCGGCGATTGACGTACTACATCCTGGGGATGCTATCGTCGTATTCACTCCTGACAACACCCATTATCCTATCGCTTTATATGCGTTGGAGCGCAAGATCGTAAGCGAATAGCGCATCCATTCAAGAATAATACCTAATGGCCTCTCGATCAGCATGTGTTATTGACGAAGCCTGCCACGCAGCTTCTTCAGCACCACCAACATCTTGTTCAGGTAGCGGCCCAGAACAATGTTGTGTGTTGGGTGGAACATCACAAACGGTTAGTTGTACCGCTGATCGCCGCAACCATTTTGAAGATCTCATTGTTTGTCGAATAGCTATGATCCCGTCTATTCCGATGCAAAATTCAAAGCTCGTGCTCTCGGAGATTTCAACTTCTTCACTGCATGGATGTCGCAACCCAAATCTCAGCTAGAGACGTTCAAGGCATGGGCAGGAAAGGACTCTGACATCTCGTATTATCTGAGCTCGCACCATATTGACATCCACACCTGGATTGTAAGTGATCGTCAGGTTCCAGTCGCAGAGTCCGCATGCTCATTCCGTCCGGTCTTAGATGGGGGATTCCGGTTACCCGACACGGGTAACGGCCTCCGCCTCTTCTGGTATTGCCACTTCGCCGCCGTACTCCTGCGTCCCAAATACCGAGGACACCATCACACTCCTCGTCGATTGGGCAATCACTGGGAAGGAGAAGACTCACAAGGGTGTAGCAGTCTACACTGCTAGCTGGACCGCACCTACGACTCAAGGTATCCATTCGGCGCAGCATTGGCATTACATGGGGAGCAAGGGGGACGTGGCAGTTGACCAGGCACACCGGGGCTACGATGTCACTGTAGATGGAGAAGGCAAGACAAGGTGAGCGAAGGAAGTCCCCATGCGAGAGGCGCATCTGCGGCGGTCTTACAGGACAAACATTAGCTACAACCCTTTCTATATGAAGTATTCCCCATCAGAAACCGGCCACTTTGATGGCCAGCGTGGATACGGCTACATCTCTATCGAGAGATTCATCGATGCTGCGGTCTCAGTAAACGAAGGCTCCGCTCGGCCTTCCGACTATGACACCTACGACCTCCCAACCATCAAGAATACTGTGTTGACCACTGCTATTCTCGAGGCTGGAAGAAGAAGCCTTGACGAGAAGAGAAGCGTAGGGATTGACCGGGGATCCAGTGGAAACTGGATATTAGTTTAGCAAACAGCCACATCTTTCCCCTACTTACACAGGTGCTACCTTTGTCGCTCATTCGGCTCAGTGCGATCGCTATCAATAGCATTACCCTATCTGATCAGAATTTGCTGCCGGATAGTAATATGGAGTGATTTCTGCCGTGGATGCAAGGGACCTCTCCCCTCCCTGAACCAAGAACGGGCGCGCTGGCGAAGATCATCTGAAAAATCAGGATCGCAAGTGAGCGCAAGCAATGCTTGGTACTTTCACATAGCTATAGTCGATCGCCTTATTTGTGAATATATATATGTAACAAGAGTAACTCCAAAAGTTCGCGAGAATACTGTGCTCTGAGTTAACCTATGGCGAGAATGGCGAGTGAAGAGTAATCCGATCCAACTGGCCGATCAAGACTAGAATCGGGGTCACCACGAAAGGTAAGAAAGAACCCGAGTTAGAGCTGTCAACCATCAAGCCAAGCACGGAAGTCATGAAGTTCTTCCTGTCTTTGCTGCGGATTCATATGAACCTTGGAGGTAAGAAAACGCGATTGATGTTGGACTAATCACGCTTGTATTCATGAGTTACAATTAACGTATTTGGCAAAGAATCTTGGACGATCGATGTGGAGTGATGAGTTCTCTCCTGAGAGATCAGGTGTCCTCCATCTTTTCATCACCCAATTACTCGAAGTGGTGGCGGAGGCCCATATCCGCTTGCTTAGTATTTGTTATGTATCCCCCTGGAATGTTCTTATTAGTTCATATCAAAGGGACCGTCAATTCGGCCTTTCCCCAAAGCTCCGCACTTGCAATTGGACCTGCCTGCCCATCCTCACGCGCTGCTGACCTGTTTTCCCATCGTATCCTCCATGCCATTGTTTTCAGTCGGCCGGCGGAATTTGCTTTTGTAATTTGGGGAACAGCCGCCCGTACACTTATTGACTTGGTGTACGCAAATTGCAAGTTTGTGGACGATGTAAGATAAGAGGTTTCATTTCTGATGGACAGCCGTAAGCGCCGCCTGCAGCATTATTAGTTAACAGGGGTGACGTTTGGCTGTGCGTGGGGAAATCGATAGGAAATTGTTCGTCGTTATCAGTTGGATGCCAACGGCCGGTGCTGCTTGATGCATTACCCGGTTGTTTATCTATTCCCTTTATATGAGCACTTATGCGAGAACAACCCCTGGAATTTCTAGATATTTGCCTGGCGTCGCGTCGCGGTGTTCACACGGAACATGCCGCGTCTCTATGGCTTTCAATTCAGATGCATCAAGTGTGAACGCAAGCTGTCTCGAACCACAACGCACGCTAGCGTCGTTCAATCTAACACTAGTGCCATGTCAAGTGGAAAGTTCTTCGATTTGGCCGACCTGCTTCAACCGCAATTTGCATACAACCCCTCGGCGATGGATGCAGCCGTCAATCTCCATTGCATACCGATCCATGATCCAGGGGAATAGGAGTAGGAGACTAACTAGTCACACTAGACTAAAAATTTGATGAATGGGTGTATGAGAGTCGCCTTTTTTGGATAATGTGATTTATACTGTATAGCAGAGTTCAGGACCGCGATTGGTCAATGTCCTCGGCTCCCAGCTCAAACTCGCGAACCAACGATAGGCGAATGACCGATATTGGCCACGGACATACATAATGAATCTATAGTGGAAGGGAAAGAAAGGGGATGAGCGCACGCTATGTATCTGAGTCTTAGTGTGGCCCTCCGTTTGGTTTAGGAGATGCGACCGAAGACAGGAGCAACGAAGGGATCGTTCTTGTATTTTCCAGATCACAGCCATTAGCTGAATGGTCCCTCCAGATGGTCCGCACAGCGTTAGGTGCGCCGATTTATGTCCAGCGAGACGAGCTCGATGCGCGGCGAGAAGCCCGGAGGCATGACGGCCCTGATCCTACGCCGACCTTCGACTCAGAACGCTCATTCATGGCTTCTGCGTATGTAAATCAGATTGTCAGTGTCTCGAGACCGATATTGGAACGTCTCACACAGGAAAATGGATATGGGAGGTGGAGGGCACCCCAAATTTTTTGCCTCCAACACGTACGTGCCGCCTCTCGGTAATTTGTTTCAGCAAAAGGGGGTCACCGCTGCCTACGATTATCACGTTCCGTCTTGACCCTGCGTATCAGCTAGGTGTCCAAATAATGCGAACCCCACACCAAACTAAAATGGATGCAGAGCTTATTGACAATATTGAACGAGACTATGACTTTTGCCCGAGTTATTTCCTGTGTATTGTGATATTTATCGGTTTATCCGTCCTGGGAGCTCATCTGGTTCACTGTGTAAACATAGGCGAGAGACACACATCGTTGCCACATAAATTCTACAACAAAATTTCTTACTTAAAGGGCAACCCTAATCCTGTCGCATATGGCGCGCCTCCTAACAAAGTAAGCGGATATGTATTGTAGTTTCACGAATAATTTTTCGTTTGCATTCATCAAGGATGTTTGAAAAAATGCTGACCTCCCCCTTTATCCGGCAGGCAAGCGGATTTCAAATCAAGACATGGATACCAAAAAAAGGGCACGTCTTTTTCGATTTCACAACAAGATTGGCTATATGTATGATATGAATGTAGCCTTCGGCTTCGGTTATCTGATTTTCTTTTTTTTTCTCTCCCTCTTTTTTTGGAGGAGTTGGGATGGACGTTATTCCCAGCCTTGCATTCAACTGCTGCCATGGTTAGCTTCCAGCGCAAGCGGCAAACGTAGAAGCCCCCAACGCGTTGTGTCTACGAAGTAATCGATGGAGGCAGATAATATTGCCGGCCGGTAAAACACAGGATAAATAATGCTCATTGGCAATATTTTTGTGGCAGGATCTAAGGGGAACAGAGATGGAAGAAAGACAATACCCTACGAGCCCGACCAGGGAAACCTTTTGAAGCGCCTCCCTTTGCCTCGTCTAACGTTGTTTCACTATGGGGGCGGTCCGTAGCGTCAATAAGTTAGCCACGACCATCAGCTGGAAAGAATTGCGAACAATATGAGATCCCGTGCATGACCGCCAGAGCATATATTCATGTCTGTGTTTGATATATGTATGTCGGGCCCGTAGCTGGACGATCAGGGTTGATGGAGGTTCCATCATGAAGTGATGCACCGACGATTTGGACCGGAAGATGGGTTGCAGGTGTATGCAGAAGTACATAGGGTATTTACGTAGCCACTAGCTCGGTACAAGTTGGGGTAAGAATATGCTGATCCTACCCACAGTGTTGGTCATGCTATGCCAGGCTGCGCTGTGCATCAAAAAATATTCCCTCATGCGGTGCTTGCAATATCTGGGCCCTGTCAAGTCGTCGAGCGGGAGGAAGTATGAGGCCACTGTTCCGAGATCAGCTAGTTACAGCGACGTCGTGGTTGGGCTTGATTATTGCAGTAAATAATGGACGATACCAGTACATAATTATGACTCTCAGGAATAGACGGTTGACCCATCCAACCAAGGTCTGTGGCCGCAGACAAGCAGATGGCCTTACCCACGACGACGTCCCTATGGGTATATGTATATATATACGTGATCAGGGTCATTTGCGGGACAATATGCACAGGCGGTCTATGCAAAGTGAATCGAATGCATATAGCCGTCGGGGAGGTTTCAGCGCAGATGGATGCCTGCCATCTGAAACGAATGGCGTATGATTGCAACCAGATCCAAATCGTAGCAAGTGTCGAAGCGGGCAGCAAACGACAGGTGAACCGTGATTGCAATGGCGATGTATGATCTTTACACGCACACACGACCCTTGAGTTTGTGGGCCGTGCCTTTGCGGGCACGGTCACACGAGGCATGCAAGGACTTGCCCGGCCGTTGTATCAACCCAGCCAAATTGTTACACGTGAACCACGGGAAAAACAGGCTATATTTAAATTGTCCATGCGCGGATCGCCGAGGATCATAGGGTGGTGTGTATAAGTCATAGCGCCATGGCTTCGTGACGGGTACGTACATCCCGCGAGCAGGGCTGACTTTCAGGTAGTGAGTAATCTTCCAGCTGTCAGGGGTGGGCGTCTGGAATCATCGTCACACTGTTATAGGGATCGGAATATGGCCTGACGAAAGGGTTGCCGTCATGATGCTTATGATAAACGCGGTTCAGGTTTGTTCTTCCGTTTGGTTCGTTTCTCGCACTTCGGCCGTGGCCACAGAAGGGCAGAGAAGGTACAAGCAGTTGCGCTCCCCTGTTTCAGTTGTGGATTCGGTTCATCGAACACAACTGTGCCACTTCCTCACTTCCTATCGTTGTTCGCGTAACGGATATGGCATGTTTGGAGAATCGCGGAAGGAGCGCAAGTCAAGTAGTCGCGCGAAGCTGGGTGTTCGTAATCTCGCTGACGGATGGCGGAAAAAAAAAGGGACGGCCACTGCACGACGTTGGTTGCAGGGCCTTTTGATTGAGGCTTGTACACATTAAATTTGAGTCTAATGGTGTTATCTTGATGCCTGTGTTGCTTCTTGTCCGAGCTGATGCCGATCAGGCCGGGAGATGCCAGCTCATGATGTTTGGTGATCGGTCTATCTATATGGGGTATGGAGATGTAAGCACTGTCATACATAATTCGGTATTTGACGGTGTAGCTTGTCCGGTCCCAGTTCGCATGAGGGTGGTTGACAGTTGCATGTACAGACTAGGAAGAGCTATCGTTATGAGTTTCCTCGATGGTGGACTGACGACGTCATTCTCTTATCATCAGGTCAGGGTTCTGACTCAATACTTTTCAAATTTGTCAGGACACTTTTGCATCTCTGTCCCATCGATTGCTCGTTCAATATGCGTATATTATTGCGGTCATGAATCATTGGGTGACGCCGGATGGAAAACGTTCCTCAGCGCTGTTGAACGGATCGATGATTGCTTCTATTCGGGACAGCGAAAGCAGGATAATGCCTCCGTGCGAACGTAGACATATCAGAGAGGGAAGAGTGGACGATAGACGAAGCCCAATGTGAACGTTCCTGAGGGTGCGGCAAGCGCTTTGAGGAGGGGCCAAAGTGTGCAAATTTAAACTCGGCGCTTATAAAGTTGGATGGTGAATAATTGAATAGACAGATTGAGTTGAATTGCGCTTGAAGTGTGTTCTAAATGAATTACCATTCATTCGAGTGCTGCCGACGGAATGGGGTTCATTGATGGTTGCCAAAGATGGAAGAACCAATTCCAGATGAACAGGTGAAAGATGACATAATGAATATATATATTTTTACCTAATGGGGATTGGACATGAAAGCGATTGAGCTCATGAATATCCATAGTAGAATCCCACAGTGGCCAAGATCATGTGATCTTCGCCACTCAACGACAAAGAACCAAGCAACTTTGGCCGGTCCGAATCATGCACGGGACCCAGAGACATGAGCGCTTGATGTTGAATGACTCATTCATATATGGGATTGGGAACGAATGAGATTCGAGCCCGATGTGGAAGTCAGGGGAGCATCAGGGTCTGTTGCCTTTTGAGTTCCTCCATCCAGGCCCAGGTTGGAAAAAAACAATCAGGAAAAAAAAGAAATAATAGGGCCCAATTGAGAAAACACGCTGGACCCACGCCTCCAACACGCGTTCTCACCATCACCATGCCCTTTTCCAGGAATCGCCATTCCCACATTCAGTTTCACCTTGCATCACCATCTGCGAACACGAGGCCTTTATAGTTGCAATAGCAGCTAACAAGGTCCGCACCAGAAACTGTGCAGTTCTTCATTCCTAACAACTCTCTTCTTCATCTCTCTCTCTCTTTCCTCACCTTCGTCGTTCGTTTCATTTCTAGTCTGTGCGTCAAGGCGAGTCCACTTTCCAATCGGTGGCTGGGTGCTCTGCTCTCAGTGGCTGACAAGTGGCAGAGGCGCTGTATTTATATATCATTCCCTTGATAGCTCTCTTCCACTCCTTCAACACTCCTCACATCAAACCGCTTTTCTTCCTCCATTCTGTAAGCCTTCCTATCCTATTTCACTCTTATTTTCTCTGCCATCGAATGCTGCTAGATTTCTGGGATTTTAGTTTATTATTACAATCATCCATCTCTCTCTTGAGTATATTCGGATACAAAATTCGTCCGATAACCCAGCCCGAAGGCTGCCACCTTCTCCTTTCTTTCTTACTTATCCCCCAAAAGCTTTCCAACGAAGCTACCTCCTTCTCCTTCTCCTATACCCGTCGTTGAGCTCTCGTCGTCGCGCCATCCTTGGTTGTGACCCCATTGCTCGTCTATACGACCTCCCCCCAAAAATCATCTCCGTATCTGGAGTTTAGCTGCCACCCTCTCTTCCCCTCCCTGCAGCAAAAGCTCAGCCAGCTTTTCGTCGAGTCTTTCACACGTCTTGGCCGAAACTCATCTATCTAACCGATTGATGAGCAGTAGCTGCTGAACTGCACCAAAGTGAGCCTCGACCCATTCATTGCCATCAACGTCGCTCGTGTTCCGCCCCACAACCGCTCCAAGGGCGGCCCAGTCATCTATCATAACGCCTTGCTGACTTTGTCTGTTTGTGTCGCCACCTCTACTTCGCGTTGCTTGCTTGTCGGCTACCTTGGTCCTCCCGTACTAAAGGCGCAACGGACGGCCATCCCAGAATTCAATTTACATCTCACTCTGACACTCGTTATCAATTGACCTCCAAAGTTTTTTTTTGCTAACTTTGAAACCACTCTCCTTACACTCAGCTCCTCCGAATAACCGTTTCGCAGTCTACGTCGGTCTTCATCCATCCAACTTCGATCCACCACACAATGAGGGCAGAATCAGCTCTGCAGGCCGCCAAGCCTCCCCGCAACTCGATCTACGCCCGACCGACCACAAAACGCGCCGGCTCGACCTACCTCTCCCACAGCAACTCTCAGAACTTCGCCTCCCCTTCCTGTGGTGTGTCCAAGTCTCGTTCAAAAGCCGTGTCTGCATCGCTGGCATCCCCCCGCCATGTCAACGTGTCAAAACGATCGCCAAATACTTTGCTCGCCCTCGAATTCCAGCGACGGCGACAGCTGCAAGTTATCTCTCTTGAAAGACAGGCTCGGACGCTGCTTGAGGAGGAATACCGTGACGATGTGAAATCGTATATGCATCAGATGGAGGTATTGAATGATTTGCCACTCGACTGCACAGCCTCACTCATAAATTCTTCCCCTTGCGCTGTCATGACACTTCTCCTAGTCCCTGACAATGGGCTCCGCCACTTCTATCGACATGCAACCAGAATTGCAGTGGAGTATGCGAGTGTGTCTCATCGAGTTCCTCATTGAGGTTCACATGAGCTTTCGCCTTCGTCCCGAAACGCTCTATCTGACGTGCAACATCGTCGACCGATACGTGTCCCGGCGTGTCGTTTACAAGAAGCACTATCAACTCGTCGGATGTGCTGCTCTTTGGATTGCCGCCAAGTTCGAAGATGCCAAAGAGCGCGTGCCAACTGTTCACGATCTACGGGAAATCTGCCGCGACACTTACGATGAAGCCGCTTTCATTCAAATGGAAGGGCATGTTCTGGCTACGATCGCGTGGAAGGTTGGACACCCTACCGCTGAGGCTTGGCTTCGTCTCGCATGCACTGGTGTTTGCTTTGAGGATCTTCAAACACAACATGTCGCGCGTTTCTTGATGGAGATCACTCTGTTCTACAGGGACTTTGTATCTTTCAAGCCTTCAGTTATTGCGGGCGCCGCTTTGCTACTTGCCCGGTACATCCTGGGGAAACAACGCCGTGTGCGTATCCATTTCCTCTGATGAAACAGTTTCCATCGTTAAATGTGTGCTTTTTTGGTTTTTGATCTTGATACAGCCATTTGAAGAGACTGAGCCGGTTCTCGCTGTCATCCAAATTCTGGATTCCTACTTGGCCGAGCGCTTGAATCAGGTCTCACAGATGATTGTCAAGAAGTATTCGTATTCTTACTTTTCGAAAGCTTCTACACTCGTCTGCCAGTACTATCTGCAAGGTGGTCGCTATCATTATGTCCCTTATCCCATACCTGCCCCTCCTACCCTGCCCGCCACTCCGATTACACCCGTCAGCCGCAGACCGCGTGCTCAGAAATGGCCCAGCTCCACTTCCAGCTCACAGTCGTCTACACCCAGCTTCTCTGGCTCTGACTTTACGGACTTTAGCTCGTCCGAATTCGATGACGATAGTAGCATGCCTGCCACACCGCCGGGTCTTGGCGCCACCTCGACTGGCAGCATTGTCGTGGATCCATTCGTTATGCAAGGAATGACGCTGACGAGTAACACGAGCTTTGGGAATATCTCGAATGTGAATATGGGTGTTGTAACATCACAATCAGCCTCAGCTACTGCTGTAGTTTTCGCCACCAGTACGACGATGACGACAGCTACGACGACGAACGCTTCGTCGAATAAGGAGAATATGCCTGTGTCGGTGTCTATGATGGGTGCGAACCATCATCATGTTGTAGGAGGTTTAAGCTTAGGCGCGAACGGTGGTGGTGCGAATGGAGGTGCGAATCCGCTCGCAGTTGTTCAAGACGGTTCGCGAAGTCGAAAATCCTCGTTGGAAGGATTAGTGGTCGGTTCGATGGATCTCTGTCAACCATCACCTGCTTCGTGTGAGGCGACGTATATTCCCCGTGCGGCGTTACATTCGTTGACACCTAATGGGGCTGCGAGAACGTCTCAGACCAGTCTGAATAGCCTGAATGTGGTTCAGTGACAAATATCTCAGGCATCCTTTGTGACGAAACCTATCGATGATGATTCATGCGAGAGGATATGTTAATACTCTACTCCGACTTTTGCCGTTTATTCCACTCTCATTCCCGCTTGCCCCATCCTCTCTTCCGTCCTTCGTTTTGTGAGTCTCTCTCACATCCAATCTCCATCAATCCATCTCAATCTCTAGACCGTCATCCCATCCCTGTCATACACTTTGTTGCATATCCTTTTTCATCAGTTCAACCCCAAACTCATCATCCATTTCAAACATCTTTTTTCTACCTTGTCACTGTATCACCATCATCTTCGCATAACCACTCCATTATTTCCTTAATCCTTACCACCAACCAAATCCGCCTCGCATCGCCGTCAACCTCAATGCGCTTACAATCCATTCTTGCATCGACTTTCATTTATTCACTAGCATCGTTCTCTCACTGTCTCTCTCTTCGTCTACCTGAACACTTGGAAAGGCACATGGCAAGATTCCAATTCATTCTTCGGCTTCAGGCTACACACAACAGTCATCCCGTATATGTGGTATATCGATTCTACCTAACCTGGACTGGCCACCTCCTACCTCTCTGGCGCCTCCTTTCTGTCTCTCCTCAATATTATGTCTGCATCGAGCATCCCTCCGTTTCTGGCACTCTTCTTGGACCGGCTGCAGCACACATTCGTTTTCTTCCCTTCTTATCCTGGTCCTCGACTGCGTTCCCGTCGTCTCAATTTCCTTTCATCAGCATCATTATCCACCTTGGGCGTCTCCCTGTCGTTTCTCACTCGTGCATTGGCATCAAAGCGAAGAAAAAATACACATTCCACTCATTTCCTTTGTTCCCCATTCTTCAGATTGGGCCGTTCCCTTTTTCCCTTCCCTCCCTTTAAAATCCAAGTCGTTCGACCGGCTCTGAACCATCCCCATCCTAACCACCTCCCCGCATTTCCGCAACTCTCATATCATTCATTCAAAGCATCTCATTCAATCAATCCCGCATCATCGCTTCACTTCCCCACTATCACGAACCCAAACTGTAGTCCTAACCTATTCCGAATTCCTTTCCACCACCTATCACCTCTTCATCACCTTTACTTTGACCGTTAAGTTGAACCGTCTTGTTAAATGTTACATTGCAGCTTTCCCTCGGTTTCTTTTATACGTTATTTTCCTCCTCACTTTCAACATCATTTCTTTATAACATTCAAGGTTGTGGTAAATGCCCTTAAAACCTGTTTGTGTAATATTCCTTTTTCTTTCACTTCCCTTCAATCTGAGCTCGAACATTCTCAATTGGGACTTATCATTGTGTGGCTGGCAGTGTTAAAAACAGTGTGTCGTGTGTTTATACATATGACGGTGCCGCCGCCACCGTTGTTCGGGTTTGGAGGTTGATGTTGAGTTCTCGCCTTATTGGTGTCTTTACTTCATAGATCCTGCGCAAATGCCTTTCGCGTGTTATTTTTTCTCTTAACTTCTATGCGTAGGTTCATATTGTTGACTTGTTACGTAGCTCGACTATTTTTCTTTTACTCCCTTTCTAGCCCGCTGCATGTATACCCCTTCTTCCATCCACTCTCCTACCTTCTTCCAATCTCCCTGTACCGCCTCTCCACACTCCTACTCCGCCGCAAGTGTCCGGTCGATTATCCTGTCCCTTCTCCCTCCAAATGTCTGGGGTTTGAACTCGAACCTTCTTCCTATTTTCCTCTGATTTTTCCTTTACTTTCAATTTCCTATCTGGTTCTAATTTTCTCGCTCCCCTACCTTGTCTCAATGCATCAATTACCAATTCTTGTTCGTCATTCGTATCATATCTTTTTCATTTCTGCATTTCAATACGCCCGTTGTGGTGTGAGATATACATAGGCGATATGATGTTTTTGGGTCCCTGCACCAACTGCAGCGACGAAGCACTTTGGCACCGGTTCGATGTGACGTTCAGATGAACATCATCGAATTTCCGACTAGCTTCGTGCTTGTCCAATGTGTATACGAACCGAACAGTGTCCACTCCCGGGCTAGAACTCTAAACATACGTTTATGGTTGGGCCAAGCCTTCTTTCCTCAAAAATCTAGAAGCTCGTTTCATCTACATAGGCGTGTACAGGCAGGATTTGGGTCCGAGCACGATTCGATCGTTGGGGCCCCTACAAAGTACTGGGATCCCGTTCAACATATCAAGCAATCATTAAGTAAGAGCCTCTCTTTTCGCCTCGCTATCGAAACTGATTCGTGATGATTTGCACACGTACAGTTTTTCGTTGCGCTTACTGCCGTCGACTACCCAGCTTGGTCGGCCGGCCCCAAGATGCCGCGCCACTTTATTGGGAGGAAGGGATAAGAGCACTGTTGGTAATATCGTGGCAAAGCAATGTGTTAAGGGGCCGCATATAATTTTGCTCCCATCCCTACGTACAAGTTGTACACGAGGCTCTTGTGCATGTACCATATTATTGCGCCAATTCGAATTTGGAAGCAACATGCATGCACTGACTTTCAATTGAAATCAAATCCTCCCCCTTTGTGCTGAAGAACGATACTTGCTGCTTTGAGAGTGCAAGGGGGAGGAATGGATGACATTACAATTTTTGCCATTTCGGATGAACCTTCCTTTGTGGGATGGGATAGCGGTGGATCAGGTTGTGGGACCATTGAACCCTGACCGTGCGCTGCGGAGGTGGGAGCGGGGGTTGGGTTTCTTGCAAATCGATTTATGAGCGGGGAACGAAGTACGCGTTCAATTGATGGGGGGTGGTTTTTTGGGTGATATCGATATATTGTTGTTGGGAGCTGCAGTAAGCGCCGGTGCGCCGGAGGATGTTCAGCTGGAAGTCTGTACAGGGGGGAAGACCTGTCAAAGAGGGTTTCTGATTGACAAGGCTCTTCGTTGTAAGCTAGGGTCCGGGGTTGGGTGGGCAGCTGGTTTATCCTGTCATGCAGGTAAGCTAGCTAGTGTGATACGTGGTTGGTCAAATGATGTGGCTTGCCCAGGGGATGATCTTCAATTAAGAAAGGGACGCTAGGGAAGCTGTGTAGGGCTTAGAAGCGCTCTGCACATGTTTTTGATCCAAGTTGATTGCGACCTCCTCTGATTCGGGGATCAGCCGGGCTCCCATTTCTTCAGCATCGCATCGATATCAGGAAGCTCAGGATCCAGGATCCAAGTGCACCCGTGGTGTAACGGATAATTGGGCTGCCTGGAGTCGTGCAAGTGAGCTGCGTCGTTGTGGGACCCGTTCACGGCATCCGGGGTAGTCAGGGTACATCGGATTCAGGGCAATGGAATCGAACGTTGTTTGCCGGCCACCAGGTAAACGGGATTCGCACGAGCTGTAATCTGAATGCGAATGATGTTGGTTGGATGATTACATGGCGTATACATCAGTTTTGGAGCATTGGTGACATGAAGGGTTTGGCGTGATAACGATTCGCTCGAAGTAGCAATTATCTTGGACTTGCCCCTCAAGCAGCTTCCCAACCACGGCCACCCGTTCGGTATTGTTTGGTTGGCGTTGCCGTCCCTTATCAAAGCAAGTCCTTTTGAAAGGTGCATGAATACCGTGTTTTACACGCCAGTGGATTAAGGGATTTTCCGGGTAGATTTTATTCCTCAATTGCAGGGAGGTTCAGGGAGGGCTGGTGATAGGCTGATGAGCCGATGGAAGTTGAAACCGTTCCTTTCTTATCAGTATGTCCGTTGTTTCCCTTTAAGACTGGTCCCATGCAGGCTTCTGATGTGATGTGCGATGAAGCTTGGTTGCTAGTTTACGGGGTGAAATATCTCGGCCAAAAACCGGCTGTCCGTTAGGAAGCAGTGATCAAGGAAGACGGTACCGGTCGAAGTGGTTTCCCCCGTATGCATACCACAGACTGCCACTGATGTGGAAACAAACGGGAGTTGCGTTGCGGCCTGATCATGAGTTGCCAGGTATCCTTCCCTTTCTCATGGACATATCGGATGGACAACGGACAGAGCTTCGCGGAGAGTGACTTGTGTTCATAGGGCTAAAGTTCCAAGCCTAATTTCGAGTTCGATGGCACCGCACGAGTTGGGTCTGCATCAGCATCGCTGCTAAGCGAAGCATCTTGAATCAAAGAGGCTATGGTTGCCCTTCAAGTCGTCTCAGCATTCATAATACTAAGTCAGTTGAAGGCAAATCGACCGAGATGATTGATTGCCCAAACAACTAAGTACCGTCCAAGCTAGTTCAATGGCAGTGATACCCGCACGGCTCCAGGCCATGAGCATCCCTAGCCTGGACATTAAATGCGTACCAGCCCCTGTTGCCACCCAGGGCAGTGACCAGCTATGCTGTGGGGCCACAAGAGAGTGCGCAAATATTCGCACGATCCGGCCGATATGGATCGGCATCACACTAGCCTATTGAAGCCCTAGTGCATGGTTTCCATTCGTCCGAACCCCTGAGATGGGTCTCCTTTATCGCAATCTTCGCATTTACCAACTTTTTGGGGCAAATACGGATGTGGGAAAAACGATATTTGCGACAGCTCTTGTGCGTGGTGCAGCCGCCCGTATTAAGCACTTAGAAAGCGAAGCCCCCAACCCGGAGATAGCACCGTCTGGGGTCTATTATCTCAAACCGTGTAGCACCGGGCCGCCGGACGAAGCAGACGATCGGTGAGATCGATTTTTGGGGAGTGTACTTGCGTCTTGACGTGCATTGTGGACGAGGGATAGACACGTGAAGCGCTTTTCAGGGCCGCATCACTCGAGCATATACACTTCATGTTTGTACCAGCTTCAGGACCCTGTCAGCCCCCATCTAGCAGTAAAGATGGCAAATGCACGGCAAGCAGCCGTATCAAGAGGAAGACCCGTCGTGAGTTCATGCTTCCGCGGCAAATTTTTGTGTTGTGCCACCCACTCAATCCGTTGCGTCTGCGTCAGCCTGGAGGCCAAGATGAATACTCACAGGATGAATTCATCAAACGGATTTCAACCCATGTTAGAGAAGTGGCTAGCCAAAGTGGACCTTTCTCGTGGTTGTTTGTTGAAACAGCCGGGGGTTTGTCAGTTGGTTGATGTGCTACCTCGTGTATTCACACCGTGTCTAGGCGTACACTCCCCTTCGCTCTCCGGTACGCCTCAAGCTGATGCTTATCGACCCCTCTTTCTTCCTACACTTCTGGTTGGGGACTCCCGTTTAGGAGGGATTTCGTCCACCATATCTGCCTATGAATCCCTCACTCTCAGAGGCTACATGATTGAAGCAATTCTGGTCTTCAAAGATGAGTATTACAAAAACTGGGAGTATTTGAAGGAGTACTTTGAGAATGGAAAAGGAAGGGAGAAAGTGGACGTTTTCTCTGTCCCATCACCTCCTCCCAGATCGGACATTCTTAGCAAGGATGTCACGCTACTTGACAAGCATTACGCGGAGCTGGCAGACGAACCATCCCCTAGTTCACCCATGTCAGATCTTCTTAAAAGTCTGGACACTAAGCATATTGCACGGCTGGAGAAGTTGGAATCGATGCCGCAGCGATCGATTGATGCTCTCTGGTGGCCATTCCTTCAACATGAAGGCTTGCGCAAGAGCGATATTGCAATCATTGACAGTGCTCATGGTGATTTCATGAGCATGGCTCAGCCATTCTCGCCGCCCTTGAGAGGAGCTTGGAAATCCCATATCCCCTCGTTCTTCGAGCAGCGGTTTGATGGCTCTGCCTCGTGGTGGACCCAAGCCGTGGGTCATGCTCATCCGTCACTTGCCCTTGCTGCGGCTCGCGCATCGGGACGTTATGGCCACGTCATATTCCCATCAGCAACACATGAGCCAGCTCTTCAACTTGCGGAGAGGCTCTTACACAGGGGACCTGGTGCAGGATGGGCGGACAAAGTATTTTTCTCTGACAACGGGTCGACTGCTGCAGAGGTTGGTTTTCTTTACAATCCAATCGTAAAAATTGGAAACACCTCCCGCATATATTTGATATCTGGACACATCTCAGGTTGCACTGAAGATGGCAATGCGTGCTGCTGCTCTCCGCTATGAGAAGCTGAAAAAGAACGGTCCATGGAAAGGGAAGGAAATGCACGTAATAGGCATAAGCGGCTCCTATCACGGGGATACTATTGGAGCCATGGATGCATGTGAAGGCGGTGTATACAACAGCTCAGTGGAATGGCATCGCGAGCGAGGGTCCTGGATCCAGCCTCCGAAGGTCGCAATCAGAAACGGAAAGCTTGTCATCGCACTTCCTTCATCCTTCCGGTCAGTGGAGACATTGCCAAGGACGATGAAGTCATCCTTGGGCTATGAAGTCAGGGTGCTGGAAGATTCTTCTTCGATATATCTCAGGTTTGATGGCCCAGTGGCTTCCGCGTTGGAATGGGTGTATGATGTGCAGAGTCGTGTGGATTCCCCCATTACAAAGCTATACTTGGAGAGCATTCGCACTACGTTGACAAGCCTTGCCTTAGGCCACGGTTCATTTGGTGCTCTCCTCATCGAGCCGTTAGTGATGGGAGCGGGCGGCATGACCTTTGTGGATCCCCTTTTCCAACGACTGCTGATAACAACGGTACGCTCAGAATGGCCTCTACTTTCAGACTTTAAGCGGAACGCAAGTATTGAATTTTCCGAAGAGTGGCATGGTCTTCCTGTCATTTTTGATGAAGTGTTTGTCGGTTTTTATCGACTCGGATTCCTCAGAGCGTCGGATATTCTTGGAGTAGAGCCCGATATATCCATTCACGCTAAAACTCTGACAGGTGGAGTTGTTCCCCTCTCTGTGACGCTTGCTCGGCAGAGCATCTATAACGCGTTTCTGGGTGATACAAAGCCACAAGCGCTTCTTCATGGACATAGTTACACGGCCCATCCGGTTGGCTGCGCTATTGCTAATGCGTCCCTTGACCTCATCGAGGATATTGTCTCAAATAGCAAAGATTGGAAGGAAGCAAGGACTCGGTGGTCGTCCCGTTCGGACCCTAGACCCCCCGAGGTCCGAGGCGGAATTATGGAGTCTTGTGAGCCCAAGGTTTGGAGTCTGTGGGACCCTGGCTTTGTGACCGAACTTTCGTGCCGCCCTCAAATTCGCGAAGTAATGACGCTAGGCACCGTTCTTGCGTTCCGTCTTCACGACCCTCAATCAAGCGATGAATCCTTCACGCGCGGTTATCAAGCTACATCAGCGGAGCACTTCATGCAAGGAGTGCGGCGTGCAATGAAAGATGATGGCGCGGATTCTCAATATACAATGCACTACCGAACCCTCGGCGACGTTGGGTATGTTATGTGCAGCTTAAACACACCGCCTCGCGTCCTGCGTAATATTGAAAAGGCCATCTCGCGAACCTCACTGCGGTGGTGTTAGTTCGTCGTTGCTGAGATGGGCCACGTTGTCGCCTGCGGCTGGTCATCAACTTCCTTCATCTCGTCCACATCTGGAACTCATACTCCACGTCCTTCTCCTGTTGGCTCCCTTTTGGAACGTCTGAGCCCACCCAGTCGACAAGATCTTGATGTGTGCTCTGTGTCCAGATCCTTTCCCCATTTGCCTCTGTCTGATTACGGAATTCAGGAAGAAACACATCGCAATCGTCGAAATCTGGCTCTGTTATGCGCGTTAGGAGGATACGAGTTAGGGATGATGATGAGAGAGCCTGATTGTAGATCGTAGCGCCACCAATAATGAAAATGCGATTTAAAGACTGTTGCAATGGCTGGGGATTTGATGCATTCGGATCGATTTTCTTCAATGCCTCATCCAGGGAGTGCGCCAAGATGACGCTTCCAGCATTCGGGCCTCTAATCACATGGGTGCACGGGTTTCAATCAGCCAGGATACGGTGGTTACAGAGGGCCATTAGTATACGCAACAAATCGTAAGATGGTTGGTTGGTTATCACTAAATTCAGTCGATTTTTTAGTGGTCGGAATTTAGATGGGATAGATTCCCAGGTCTTTCGACCCATCACGACCGCGTTGATGGATCCCTTCGGGGCCCCAGAAGTGACGTGGGCAAAGTATGCCATTTCGAGAGGCAAGCGCCACGGGAGACCTTGAGACGAGACACCTATCCGATTGGAGCGCGTTGCAGCAACGATAATCGTCACGTTTAGGGCCATTCCTTCACAGCACTGATCGATAAGTAGGAGTAGATCTGCACGCTGACCGGAAGTTGAACAGCAGAGGCGGAAGCAAACCGGTGCTGTGGCGGTTCCTCTCAGAACTTACCATCGTTACAGACCTTCAGCGACGTGTGCATATCATACTCTCCTTAATACAGTATTCTCTTTGTTGTTCTTTAAGAACTCTTGAATCCAATTTGGTCGCAAAAGACGAGCTTGGTCCATCCTTCGCTACTCCTCATCGTCAAGCCACTATCTGAAGGCGCTACCTGGTCCACTTCCCACAATCTCCTCGTCTTCACCATGTCGTATCAGAGACTGGAAACAGATGACCTCCCAATTACCACTAAGCCCAGTGTCCCTTGGATGTCCCGCTCAAGTCACCGGACACGTCTTTTGACGTTTATCGGGACCGCCGTGGCGAGTGGGATCGTTTTCCACCTGTTATTGCTTGGACTTGGCGCTGTCCCGACAGGTGGTACTGTAGTCGAAGAATGGTGGGGAAGACCTAAACCCGGTCCTGTGGACGCACCATCTCCCACTGACATTGTCACGCATCAACCGCCGTCAACGGGTCCTTGTTCGACGGATACGGCGCATCCCTATACTCGTCCAGGTTTGGGCCAGTATATCACACCAGACGAAGATGAATGGACATTGGAGCGGATTCGCACAATGGTCTCCAAGACGAAGGGATATTATGCTCGTGACTATAGTTTGGGACTTGGATGGAATAACGTGAGCCTTCCCGAGATGTTCGCATATCAGCTCAGTTTATGGAAAAATCTCGTAGATGCGGTATATTGTTGAGGCTAGCGTGTTACACGCTCATCTCCTTAACCGGACGTTGGTACTCCCTTCCTTTGTCTATGCACGAGCCTGCGAGCACAACATGTAAGTCCGCCGAAGTATTTATTCAACTGTTTTCTGCTTTCTGAAGTTCCCTATTTTGTCACCAGCACCGTCTGTGCCGCGTTTGCGATCATGGTCAATCGTGGTGATGCGATCGGCTGGGGCGAATGGCGAGAGCTTCCCATTGAGAAACAGATGTGAGCGAACTGTGAACTGTCGGTCCGTCAGCAACTCAGTGCAATTCTCTACGTAACTCAGGGGGTGGCGTATACCTATTGACATCATGCTTGACCTTGACCACCTTCGCAAGGATTACTCCGTTATCACAGTAAGCGAATATCTCAAACTACACAACATGGACCCGGACAAGGAATGGTCCAATGGTGCTTGGCAACGTGAGGCGTATCACGACACTTTCCCAAAGCCCTCTCTCGCTGTCATTCCCAATAATGAGTACGATCCATCTGGTGTCATCCGCGTGGACAAGCTCCAGCCCGCTCCGGAGCAGGCCGAAACAACCATCATCACCACTTCTTTGATGAACGTTCTGGACAAGAACAGTTTCTCAATGAGGCTCGATGACGCAGAGAAGGCACTGGTGAAGAACGGTCTGAAGAGCTGGACGAGTGAGAAGGAACTGGAGGAGTTGCTCGAGAAGGAAGGCTGGGCGATTTTGCATACCTTCGCAGGATAGTTAGTGCAACTTCCTTTTGATTCACAAAGATCTTGATGTTTGACTTGATTCCGATACAGTGCACGGATGGACTTCCTGAAAAGTACTGTTGAGCCATTGAAGCAAATCACTCGACGGGAATTTCTAAAGGGCCTCGTCGACGATTACGATCATCTTACCGAAGACGTCCTGCTCCTTGAGGGCGAGACTCACTTGAGTCGGAAACCTGTCAGTTGTATTCTACCGTCATGTCTCTACTGGTTCCTTAATCTTCTCTTAGGGTGCTCTCCGGTTTACAACTCCAGAGGCTCGCGCACATTTTGCGGATCTTGTCCTTCACAGTATGAGACCAATACCGTCAATTCTTAAGGTGACCGATATCATTGCTGAGCGTATGAGGAAAGTAAATGATGGACGAATGTGGCTTGCTGGTCATATGCGACGTGGCGACTGTAAGTGTTCTTTCTATCCTTTGTGACAACAAATGTCTCAAGCTTTCCGGATCGGTTAGTCGTCAGACTTGGGTGGTCTATGGAAGGACCAGTCGAGAAGCACCTCGAACGGATAAAGGAGCATTTATCGAATGGTGGCGCGTTGATTCGTCAACTCATTAAGGATGGTGTTCATTGGGGAACGTATGACGTGCCAAACGTCAAACCTGACGAGGCTTTTGGCAAGTTAGAACCCCCACGAGTAGACGATAAATTTTATATCGCAACCGATGAGCGAGATCCAGAAGCGTTGAAGTATATCCGTGAGCATGGCGCTATCCTCATCTCGGACCTCCTCACTCCCGAAGACCGACGGCTGGTTGGTTGGCCACTGCTCGTCACGGATGTATTGGCTTTGCTCGAACAAAATGTCATGTCCCACGCCGCGTACTTCTATGCACATGCCATGTCAAGCGTTGCTGGTGGCGTCGTCAACCTAAGAGCCGCGAGAGGCATGGATCCTCGGCTAACGCTCATTGACTGAATGCAACTGACCCTTTATACCCTCACCTTATGTTTGGCTGGAACCCAACCCGTTCTTTGTTCTGCACCACTCGCATGTTTCTTGCATTTCCACCAGGACCACTTCGCATCGTATATACGTCTATTCTGTAAGCATACTGTTAGACGAGCCTATTGAAATGTAGAGAATGCTTTTGAAACAAGGATCAAATTATGTACAAGTGGTCCAATTACCAAAGAGAAGCTAACGGGGGAAATCTCAGTTAGAGACTGATAGGATAAGGAAGGTTGGTCTTTCAAGAGAACAAAGTTCGAGTGGAATTACACCCCAAGGGAAACTTTATGTGTACCCTCGCCCAATATATAGATATCCGCATAAGAGGACAAGACAAGACAAGACAAGACAAGACAAAACAAACAAAAATGGAAGGCATGGTTCATACCAATGAGCTATAGCAACAAGAGGATATCATTGCATGAGTAAACCATGAAAATGAGATTCGATTCGATGGACGTCAGCTGGGACGAAGGTCCGCATGACGGGTAAATTCGGTAGTGAGGGATGCCTCGACGGCGTATGGAAGATGTTGGATGTGTGTAAAGGACGAATGTAACGCAATCAGAAGGTGCAGAAGGGGGTGGATGCTGGTGACGTGGGATGAATGCGTTGGCGGCAACTAATCTAACCGGGGGTCACCGCTAAACTGTGCGAGTTTGATTAACTGAATCGAAAGTTGGGAATGATGGACAAGATGCGTACCTCTTCCGTTTAGCTTTCGTCATTTCTTTCCGTAGAGCAGCGTCATCCAGCGGCTACAATGGATAGGCGTCAACAATGGCAACTGAGAGACAGACTGGGTTTCTCGCCTTCAGTAGCTCGAATGCACACAATAACTCTTCTGACACGCTCATACAAGCACCATAATTATCGAATTCTACCAGAGCCCAAAACCAATATCACTGGCGGTTTAGTCAAACCGAGATAATAATAACTCCATACCTCCGCAATAATTTGGCGCACTAAACACAGTAACAAGCGTCCGGTCATTCCAAAATTCGTACCCATCTTCGACGACCATATGCGCTCGACAGATGAGGTCCATGTCGTACCGCAGTAAGAATTGATTGATGATTGATTTGCCAAAGCAATAGCTAACTCCGCGTTCGTTCTCCTCCCAGTCTGCAGCCGTATCGCTCGGATCAGACCACAACAAGTCATTCAGCAGTCCATAGTCCGGCACATCTGTTGGTCGCTGTATCCGCCTTATATCCTCCAGCGAGTTCATAGATGGTGACAAACCACCGTGGACGCAGAAAATCTTGGAAGCAACAACGGCGGCAATAGGCAGACAATTGAAGACATCAATGAATGTTTTCCAAATCTTGATGTTGCACCGTCTTTTGCACTCGTCGTAGAAACCGTACACTATCATTGTGTGTCAAGTGTCACGATCGGTCAGTCACTGGTTCCCATGAACGAGATCCGGGAAGTATGAGCCTGCGTACCTCGAGTGACGTTCGCACATTCATGATTACCCCTGAGAAGGAAGAAATTCTCTGGGTACTTGACCTTGTAGCATAACAACAGCAAGATAGTCTCCAAGCTCTGTTTACCCCGATCGACGTAGTCGCCAAGAAAGAGGTAGTTCGATGACGGTGGAAAGCCGCACATCTCAAACAATCGTATCAAATCGGTGTATTGACCATGAACATCTCCAACAATCTTCACGGGTGGACTGAGTTCAATTAGGGTTGGTTGTGACAGGAACACCTCCCGGGCAGCCATGCAAAGGGAGGTGATTTCGGTGTTCTTAAGACACACCGACTTACTAATCTTCCCGCTATAGCCTACGTCTAACAGCCGGCTGATCATATCGTCAATGTCCATGGACCGGACCTTTTCTCCATTTGTGCTTGGCGCAACGCTGAGTCCAAGAGCACCATGATTCGTGCCTGCTGGATTCGATAGGATTGTTGCATATGATGAGGACACATCACCCGCGGGGTCTGAGTTTTGGTTAGTATCGGCGGATGGAGGAAATGGAGATGGCGTCTGGTTCACGGAACCTCGCGCAAGCCTGGAAGCATCCGGAGTAGGGATAGGAACCGAATGTGATCCATTGCTATTAGGAACGGAAATATTTGGTACATTGTCCTCATCATCATCGTTGGGAAAGTTTGCGGCATTGACGTGAAGAGGTGAAGGAGATGGATCTCGTGTGCCCTTTCCAGCAAACCCACGAGCTTTGCGCGAGGGTGGGCGGCCACCCGCTTTGCTCAGTGTGTCAGCAAGAGGTTGTTCTTGATGTTTGAAGGACACAGAGTCGGGTGGGCTGTCAGTGTCACCACCGGACTTGGCCCTCTTCCTGGATGGTGTCTGACCCATTTACGCAAGAGATTCCCAAACGAGTTGTTGACTTGTCAGTGAATTAAGGGGAGTTAACAGGATCGCCCACTTGTGCGCCGACTTTAGTTGCACGTTCAGCGCTGTATTCGCTGGACGCCCCGTGGTGGACGCGAGTGTCAGTGTGGACGTTAGCCTGTTTCACTTGTCGATGTGGGTGTCACACCTTCGAACGCCGCGAGTTGCCGCAAAAGTAAACTTCTAATCTGAGATCTCCAAATCAGCTCCCAATAGGAAGGGGGCATAAAAATGTATGGGTACACAACATTCCCAGAGGCTAAATAGCGCACATAATATCATGCAGCATAAAGGACATGGCTGTGACAGTCGGAAAAATATAGAAAATTGGATTGCATGGATCAACCAACTGAGGTCATGGGACAACAATCAATCACCCCTTTCGTGCAACACACTCTCTCAGAACCTCGAGAAGGCTTTCATGTCCGACTTCCTCCTGTTCACCTCAAGGACGTTGAATCGAACAGTCTTGGATAAAGGTCGACATTGTCCTGAGTTCAAAATTAGCCTGAATTTTGTCCTTGACATGTTATAAATAGTACAGACCAACAGTAACAAGGTCACCGACTTCCACACGGAAACAAGGCGAACAGTGGACAGAAATATTAGTGTGGCGCTTTTCATAGCGCTCTAGAAATGGTGATGAACAATTGGATGCAGAATGGCCAAGGGAGGCTCACTATACTTCGGGATGTAGTGCATATATTCCCGACGGATGACAATGGTACGCTGCATCTTTGTTGACACGACCCGCCCAGTTAGGATGCGCCCACGAATGGAGACATTGCCAGTGAATGGGCACTTCTTGTCTGTTGATCGCAAGGGTGGCGAACAACAAATTTTCCGACAGGCAGAGGTGGTATCAATGTCAGTGCCTCAAGTTCTCGCCAAGTCATGGAGGAACGAACCAATGTAGGTCCCGTTGATTGCCTCGGGTGGAACCTTGAAGCCAAGACCGACATTTTTGTACCACCGCTTAAGCTTAGTGACTTTTGGACCTGGAGCATGCATATAACATCAGTAAGCAGTAAAAGCTTTCGGTGTAACAATGCCAGACTACTGGGCATGTTCATGAGCACTGACCAAGCGTCTTAGCATTTTGGAAAATAGGCTGCTTCTGGTAACTTTTCTCGGTCTAGAGGTTACAAGCAGAACGAAAAGCATATCGTTTCTCAGTTCATTCGCACTCTCCTAGGCGAATATGTCCACATACTTGTTCGGACGCCATGATGCCGAGAGGTGGAAGGGGACAACGGAAATAAAGACAAGACTCAAAAACTGTACAGTTCACGTGACCTCACCAACGTCTGTGTTTGGACCATGTCTCTGACTCCTTCGTGTGGATGGCAAACTGCCACCGTTTGATTTCGTATTCGCGACCTTGGGCGGATGGACAGGTTTGCGTTGCGACCATTTTTGTTCGGTTCTACCCTCGAACAATTACTTAGACCACTGGTCATTCTTGAGGAAGGCTTGAATGGACCGGTCTTCAGTTTTTGGTGGGTCTCAACACCAACATGGTGTTGTGGAACAGCTTCAGTGCTGAGTTCAGCCAGGCTCAATTTGGCCTCCGGTCTGTTCACGCTGTCATCATGACAATCTAGTCAGGCTTCTGATTCGATCCTGCAAGCAGTCGATCATTCCATATGGTAGTATACGTGTTGCTTCTTCGTTACTCTTATCCCGCTGCAGCGCTTCTCGCAGCCTAAACTGTTCAAGCTCCCAGCTCCTACATGACTACTCGATGGTATTCTGAAGTCCTTTTGCATGCTCGAGCCGATCCATGCTTGGCCCTAATGCAGACAGTGACTCTGAATGGTGGGGAGAAGAATTATTCAATCAAGGGAATGATAATGGATACGACTACCACTTCTGCGCCTAGAAGCGCTTGCTGCTGAGGCTCATTGTTGAGCGCACAAGCCATTGCATTTTGTGCAGTGTCCATGCGCAAGCTGCTTGTTTCTGCCGCTGAAAACCTCTCTGCTGCAATCCAGCGTGGCTGTAGGCGTTTTCATATTGGCGTAAAGCTGTGTCTTGCCGTGGAGGGGCTGCACTCACGAATCGTCACATTGTTGAAGCAGCCTGATGATAGAGGGAAGCCTGGCTCCACCTTCGTCCAAAACTGACGAAAACAGTCGCCTCAACGTGTTTGCTGTGGGCCTTGAATAGCCTCCTTGGTCCAGTTTAAGTAACGCTACCTGATTTTATAGATTGCAAGACTGTTACGTTGTGCACATCCTCGGCAAACGTATGGGGTTGGTTTGGGAAGGAAGCGCGGCTCCATTCGCAGCCAAAATAATCGTTTCCCAATGTTCTCGTCGTGTTCCACAAGAGCCCCGAGCATCTGTGTCTGGCCCCGGTTGCTTACGTGCCATCACACCGGAGCAGCCCGGCGAGAAATGAAAAAAGAAGGGAGGGCCCCTCCGGCTCCCAGAGCGATTGGCAATAGCCGTCTTCCAAGATTTTTGTCTTGTTCATTACGGGAAAACAGGGCCACGATCACCTTTCCCCCTCTGAACATCTGTAACGGACGGAAGGAATGACTTTTAACATTTAATGTGGAACTCTCACGGCGGCCTACCTATTAACATGCGCAGCAGCATAGGATTGGGCGATTTCTGAGCCTATTTGACCTGGAGAGCATAGGGAAGCTCTTTGCCACTCCGGCCGCTCGGCCCTGGAGAGCCCATCGGCGCCGCCAAGCAAAACGATCCGAGACTTCAATGATTGGAGTAATGTCCAAAATCCAATGTACCCTCATATCAATGGGGCAGCCAATATAGGTGGATAGCAATGACCATTCAGGTGAGAATAGACATTGTGACCGAGCGGAGATGCAGAGAAGAGTCGGAGCCGGGTACGTGTACCCGTAATACTGATTTGATTAATCTTGAAGCTAGTCTGCGACCGGCGCAGGAGAAAAGAAGAGTGAAGCAGAGGCAAGGAAAGAAGTTTGAGAGATGCTGGGGTCTTACGGGCATTTCCACCAACCACCAAAGTTCAGCTCTTATGGCGAGGACGGCAGATCAGCTTTAATGGCCACCAGCATGATGCTTCTAGCCATGGACGCCATCAAAAATGACTTGGCGTCACTTTCTGTTGCGTATCAGCGTGGCAGCTATGTCTTCCCGCTATCTCGATTTATGGAGTTCACTGGCTAACTCGCTTTGCGGTCAGCTGAGGGAGAAGACGTATATGCTTGATATCGGACATGTTGTCTCATTCGATTCTCCGAACCTTCATCAACACTTGGTGGGATCGGTTGTTCAGTGCCTGCCGATCTAGACGGTGTATTTTTTGGGCCTGTTGGCAGTGCGTTAGCACGTGGCTTGCCAAGCATCAAGGGCGGTGATTAAATGTAACACGGGCATACGGTCATCTCAGAGTAGAAGTCTCGCTATTCGATGTGGGTGTGTGCCCTTGGCATGGCCTTGGTCCCTGCGGTGACAGTAGATGGGTATATGCTGTGCGGTCGCGGACACTACCAATTACTCTGTGTGGTAGCCACCGTAGTTGTCCAATTGGGTCTAGACGTGGAGTCACCAATGGAACCCTACCTCCAGTTTCCCATTGCTCTCATTGCTTCCTCCATGTTTAAGAATCAGAGCAGACTCCGTAAGGTTTCGCATGCAGATGTTGATGACACTGCAGAGACTGTAGACTAGCTAGTTCACTGATAATACCACTGTCACGGGGTGAGACCTTCAATTCGACTGATTTCTGATCTCGTTTCGGCCCAGGTGCCCAACATTACATTCAGCATGTTTTGCCTCTTCCATTTTAACATGAATGTGGGACTGCGGATATGATTTACTTGATGCATGTCGGGCGGGCGACGCGCCGCATTCTGCTCTGCTTTACCCCGGGCACCGCTTTTTAAGGAATGGGCCTCAGTTGTTGATAGGTTTTCAGTCTGTCGTTGAATAGATAGAGCTTTTCCGCGTTCCGATCATAACACCAGGATCGATAAAGAAAAAGAGGGAGGAATCAGGCGGGTTGTGCGGACAAGCATTCAACGTCTCCAAAGTGCCTCTGAGGGGCCTAAAAGCATATCATTGTCCATTTCCCATCGATAAACTGAACACATTTTCTTAGATCTACATCTCTTCGACCCGATTTTCGATGCCAAGCATAGACTCAGTCTGAGTTTCAGCAGAAGTCATTGCTTCTCGGAGCCCACCTGGGGCCCCACCATGTGCAACAGGCTGCTCCAGTGAGTTTGTGTTAAGTGGAGCCGAAGGGATCGAGTTTTCCGTTCGAGCAAAAGCGGTTGTCGGTGAACGCGGGGGTTGGATCCTTGTACGGCAGTTTGGACATGAGCGAGAGCTTTGCAACCATTGCTCAAGGCATTCAGAGTGGTAGAAGTGGTTGCATGGATAGGCGGCAAGTACCTGAACATCCGGTAGATACTGCAATACCAATGATTAATTGACCACATCGAGAAAAATGGGATCCTGGACCTACATCGTCGAGACATATTGGACACCGAGTCTCATTGCCAGGGTTCGGGAATCCACTAAAGATGCCTCTACGCAACGAGTTGATTATCGATGACGGCGTATGCTGCGGTCCTGCGAAGCCGATGCGTTCACCCAAGCGCAGAAGACCTTCGTACGAATTGTCTATCTCGCTATCGAACTAGTACATATTGTGCTTCCATGAGAATAGGAATAAATTGCTCCGTAAAACCATCTCACCATGTAATCTCCCATGCGACGTCGTATGACGCCGAATGCTCCGTTTCCCATGTTTGACAGTGAAGGTCGGCCAGAATGATTAACTCGACCTCTGGGACCGAGCGTCCAAGATTCCAGCCCAATTCCTGCGCCTCCGCCGGCAGAAATTTGTGGATAGGCAGTGGGAGATGGTGACTGGGTGCGAAACGATGATGGCGCCAAATTCCCTCCCCTGGACGCCTCCCAAAAAGCAGACGATCTCGGTGACCGCATTGCTGGAGGGTTACGATGGCGTTCCAGATAGTCTGCCCTCGTGTCTCGCTCTCTAGACCCATCCGATAGGTCGATCAAGGGTTCCTCATCCGAATCGCTTGTCATCTCACCGCGCAACCCATTCATCGCTATCTCCCGATCTGAGTGCCCCATGACAGAATCGTATCCGCCCACTGTCGTCGTGCGTCGGCGGATCCCAACAGCGGGCCTTGCATGATGCACACGGAAGGGGGGTGGTGGCGGTGGATGACGGTACTGAGGGCTCCATTGGACATCCCTCGACGAATCGCGCATCGTTTCAGGCCTCATCTGTTGAGCAACACCAAGATTCCTGTTTTGGGTCGACTGTCTACTGCTTGGGTACGGTATAGGCGCACCCAGTAAACCAGATTGGGGGTTCTCGGAGGCGCCTCGTGGAAAGCTGGAACTATTGGCATAAGGGATCGCAATGCTGTCCTGCAAGGTGTCAATTCTGTTGCGCGCTTCGCGTAGAGCGCCATCGAGACTATTCATCTGTTGGTGGAGTCGACTCCGTATCCGCTGAATGCGTCGAACAAACGCTTGATACTCGCTGATAGTGCTCATACGATCCATTGAGGATAAATCCAAAGATTCCTTGGGGGTGGTCAAAATCAAATCGTCGAAACGAGAGAAGTAATGAAGCTCACGGTTTCTTCGCGTGATGCAGAGGGCGCAATGACATAAACTTCCGGAGGCTCATCTGCGCGACGAGTGAACGGGGGGAACAATCCCGCGTTGTGAGTCAGCCGACGCAGAAGCCCTGGTGGCTGACGATGTGAGCGCTGGGCATTCGCGGGCTCAGGCCCAGAACCGCCCGGCATGTCTACGAGATCTCTGAAAACTGGAGTAGCAACACCTGATGATTCAAAGGAGCTAGCCACCACTTCGTCTGAAGTGTTTCTAGTCCTCCGGTCACCAGAGATCGCTTGTGATCGGCGGTAAACAGTAGATAAACCGTCGGATCGTATCCGCGGAGGTATCAGAGAAGGCGAAGGATTCCATTCCTGACGGTTGAGTGAGTCTGCAATGAATGAATTGAAGGAGCCAGGGCGAACCACCGGTTGTTCCCAAGAAGGCGATGGTCGAGAGGAAGAGTTGTGTTGAGAATCCCCCGAAAGATCATTCAACAGCCCAACGTCAACTGCGTCAGTATCTCCTACAGAAGGAATACGGTTTGCCTGGGGGTAGCGTTCGCCGGGGTTGCGAACTAAAGATGCCCATCAGTGCAGGGTTGCGATGAAAAAGCCGGATTCTGCATACCTCCACGAAAAGTGGTCATATCATCCGCGATATCATCCGGGAAAGCTAAAATTATCCGCTTTAGCTACTGATGCGTTTTGGTATTCAACTACTTACAATTCCCGGTCGGATCGTCCCAGTCTTCACCACCAGGTGACCACAGGGAATCGGCCCAGTTGCGGGTACGATCATGAACTGGCCCTTCATGCAACCAATCTCGCCTTTGTGACAACTGAGGCGGATATGGTGCGAGCCTTCGTTGCCATTGTGGAAGTCTAGGTTGAGGGAGTGATGATGAGTGGGAAAGTTGCCGGGGATCGTTATTGGTGCGATTAGGTGAGGGGATATTTTGAGATCGAGATGCAACAGGGCCCAAAGCGGGTGGGAACGGATTATGAAACGAGTCACCATCCTCGAGTCTTATGTGGTTCCGGAACTGATCGGGGACAGGAGATGTCTCTATCACATTCCTCAAGAGGGAAGATCTCCGAGTCCCCGAACGAACCCCCGAGGACATAATGGGCGGACCGTGTGCCAATCCCCCTCTGCTCAACGCTGTCGGACCTGAACCCGGGAGGGGTTGAGGCCGAAATGAAAAGGATCCATCAGAGGCATTACCAGCGTTCACATCCACACTGGCAGGATCTGACCTCAGGGCGGGTGAGTTTGGCACCGGGACAAGCCTTCTCCAATTAGAGTTAGTTGTACCTGCAGACCTGGGATTCTGGTATGTTCGACGCTCTTCAACGGGCATTACCATTCTCGGTGAGGTTGGGGGAGTCGCCATGCGAGACATTGATTCCGATGCCTCATTAGAATCGATTGTTGATGCTGCTGAGGTGAGAGTCTGAGAAAGCACGCGCACTTAGAGAATTACATAAATGTTTCTAAGAACCGGACAATAGCTCACCTCAGCGGATGCAGGAACTTGTGACCAATCCATTGTCGGAGGCGACCCGATCCTTCGCGGTGGGTGTGATCTGAACGGGAGAACAGGTGCGGACCCATTATGCAAGATATTTGCTGCGGGATGCTCGACTGCAGCAATAGACGGCCCAGTAGAGCGGCTCCCCCAATTAGGGACTAGGGGTTGCTCAGAAGCAGACGTCTCAGCTGTCTGGACACGTGCCGTGGCATCCGTTTCATTTCCAGAGCTATCCACAGATTCATACGCTACAGAGGACATGAGGACGCTTCTAGGGCTGTCAAGAGCTATTGGCACAAGCTCCGGCCACCGAGGGGTTGTGGTATGGCGACGTGGCAACGTGGTCCCGGAAGGGTCGCCTGTAGCTCCACGTGTGGGGATTGGTGGCCGGACGCCTTGGGCACTAACAGGTGACTCAAGGATAGCCTGAACGTTTGCTTGAAAATCGCGCGACCTTGCGAGAACAGTTTCTAATGCGTCCAGCTGAGCCTGAGTTGCGCCCTGCCGCGTGCCAGACAACGAGGAAGCATTCGGAAGCGATTGGAGGATTGAAGGCCCGGAAATTGATGTTAGCGTACGATTCTGTCCCGTTGTATCGCGATTTGTTATTTGCCATTCGTCGCGAGTTAAAGATGATCTGTCCTGCAGGGGAGTTGAGCGATCACTCCCATTGACTGCGGCGGGACCAGAAGCCGTGGATATGGGAGTTGTCTCAGAGCCTGTACGAGGCCGTAGGAAAGATGTGGCGAGAGATACGGGTGCATCTAAAAGCATGGACGTGTGTGTTGTGGAATTGGAAGATCCGTCGTCATCGAGAACCCTGCTCGATGACATAGTGGACGGTTGAGATGTGTTGTAAACGTTGGCAAGTGATGAAGGCGCCATCAGCTATCACGAAGCGAGTAAAATGTGTCAACGGCGCGCTGAAGAGGATAGGGGGGGCAATCTTACTGAAGTCTGTCCATGTCCCTGAGCTCTTGTAGGAGAACTACTACGAAGTCTCTTATTTCCATTCCTATCGCTTGCATTAGCATCAGGATTGTGGAGGTTGGAACCAGTTGCTTCGGCATGATCCCCATTGGCGGTGAGCCTGTCAAAATTGCGCTTCAAACTCGCAGACAAAGTATGAGTACTTGAGCCATTCGGAGCCTCAGGAAATTCCTCTCCGTCCATAATTAGATATGTTGGGGTGCGCCGTGGCGTAGTGAAGAAGGAAGAGACTCAACGTGGGCGGGTTACGACTGCCTGCAAGTGATGTTGCACTGTATATCAATTGAATTGGCCAGCCACATTCCCGGAACAAATACATCACAATAAGTCGGCACAATGGAGCAATTGACTTAGCCTGCATGTCTGGCAGGTCCTGGAACATTGTCATCTCATACTCTGAGTGGTTCAGACGAGTCTATGGAGAGGCTGGTAGTAGCACGTAAATTGCCCCATCTGTGTTTTAGCAAATTTCCACAAAATATGTTTCTACTTCCTTGAATTTGTACATAAGCTTCACGAGGAAGTGTCTATCAATGATTCATGTACTGAGAGCACGTGAATCGCCAATTGCCGCTCGCGCAGAAACGCAACAACTCAAACGCTGGGTGAATCGACAATGTTCCGCACTCTTGTGACCAGCTCTCGTGCCGTGGCGCGCGCGAACTCCGCTAACCCTCGTGCGGTTTCTGTCTGTCACCTCTCCACTAGTCTTCAGAGGTATGCTGGCGGCCATCATCCACCGCCAGCCCTCCTGGGAGATGGAGCTCCCCGTGGTACCGTCCCCACCGATGAAAACCAAGCCACCGGTCTTGAGCGTCTCCAGATCCTTGGACATATGGATGGCGTTGATGTTTTCGAGATGCAGCCTTTGGAAGTGACCCGACTCGGGACCAAGGCAGATCCAATTGTCGTCAGGTCTTTTGTGGGTTTATCTATACCTCCATCATTATTAAGACAGGCATCTCAACATCCCTTCAATTTGTATCATTTATGCTTTTGATCACCTTTCCGGGCTTTGAACCGCAGGCTCCTCTCCGACAAGTTGGTTGCACCGGTTTCCCAGTCGATTCTCACGACACAATCTGGCTTAACCTCACTAAAGATAAGCGCAGCCGGTGCCCAGAATGCGGGTCAGGTATGTCTTTTTCGGGCTGGTCCTGTTAGTTTTTTGATTGACGGTTGGCCCTATTGGTATTCTGCAGTCTACTCCATGGACTTCCAGGGTAAGGAAACTCATCACCACTAAGAATGGAAACCCATCACGACCCTACCAAAAATGTTGGTTACGTTGCCCTGAGTGTGTCCAACTTCTGTAGAAAGTGACGGGTAAAAAAATTACTTCAGTGGAGACCAAACACCCCATCTCTCTCAACGTCCATGATACACGCTTTCCCACTATATGCCGTGTGAGATAATTTTCAGTCAATTGCAGTGAATATCATTTGACAGTAGAAGTCACCCTCTGTCTGGCAATCAGTTGCCAATCCATCCTCTTTTAAGTAATTCAACAACACAAGGTAGGTGCGCACTGTATTGACCTCAGCAATTAATCTGCTTTGTGCATTCACCACCTCCTGAATGGCACCACGATGAACAACTAAGAATGAGCGCAATGAGGCAAATGGGTTGATCCACTATTTCCCTAAACAGCGTAGGATTGAGATGTGCCTGCTCACCCCCCAAATGAGAACTTCGTGACCTTGACTGCATCACCCTAATTTCCAACCTGTTTCAGTCCAGGGTTTAGGGCCCACTCACGAAGATGGGGTTGTGCCCTCAGAGGCGATAATACGTACAATCATCTGTAGCCTGGAATTGGCCCTCTGCTCATGGCTGACCCTTCCGCATCAACCATTGCTTCGTCCGAGCCATTTGGCTACCCTCTGAGGGTAGTATGGGATGTAGCGATAAGGCATTAAGAAATACCTTCCAGTGTGATGAAGCCTGTTGCAAGCTGCTAGAAGTTCAACGTCGGACAGTTTCCAGTGTGTAATTCGGGCATTCAGCGCTGCTAATTTAACATGAAGTGAGCCCAGTACGTCAGGCTAAGAATGCGAACAGATCCAAGTGAAGGAGTGAAGAGGGGGTCATTCAATCCGCGAAACGAAGGATGTACCGCTTCATGGGCAATTCTGGCGGCATCCAAGAGGCCGCTCACTTCGGCATCAAAGTATTCGATGGCTTGTTCCGCGCTCCTTGATGCGTAGCTTGTCCCTGCATAGCAGCGGAAGCTGTGCAAGTACAATAAAGACAGAGATCAAAAGCACAAGAGATTCGAACGTATCAGAGGAAGGCACCACTCCGGCATGCCTGTACGGTACAAGACTGATGAGAAGTGCTACCCAAGGCTGCGACCTGCTTGGTGGTACCAGGCAACTTTGGTATGAACACGGACCACAGAAAGTTTCTTCTATATTCGACATTGCGCGCTTGGAGTACCTGCACCCGCTGTTCATCACTGACTACCGACACCGCCGATATCGTGCAAGAGTGTCTGGAGTTGACTTAAGTCCCCCAATTGAGTTGGAGCAGCTGGGATACCATACAGGAACTGGATGATACTCTGAATACTGAAAACCTTCGATCGCTTCGATAAGGGAGCGCATCTTCACAATGTCCCCTGAAGCAAGGCCGGAGTCATAAACACCATATTTTCGCGAGGGTAGAGACGACAATGGAGTCTGACCTAGGCCCAGTGGAGTATGCTGCAACTGGAGTTCGGCTCCTTCGGCCGTCTGGGAATGTGTCAGCGGCGGCGACAATTGGGGGACGAAGAATGGATATATAAACCACCTCATGTATTTTGATGTGGGCTCTAAACTCGCACCCCAGTTCTTCGCCCCGAGTAACATATCCTCACAGTTCTCTTGGAATGTGCCACGATAGATGACGGGGGGCCGGGGCTAGGAGATCTCATACCAAACGGCCAGTGCATAATTTCCCTTAATAGTTTGGAACGTAGGGGCCACTGGAAGTAGGATCGTGAGTGCGGCGAATCATCATGGCACCCGGGGGGCCACCGTGAATCCCCCCGACTGGAGAGTTTCCAGGCGCCCCTGTAAGCATACACCCCTTCTCTTTGTTGACTGATTAGATAGTCACCGCTTTGTGGAGGATTGTCGCAGTTGCACTGCAAGCATGATGCCAGCACCCGAACAATCGGTGCTAGCCAGTTTTATCGCACCAGCATCTACAAGAGTCCCAGATGTCGCATCTCGCATGCCTCATAACCTCCGGGTACATTTCTCGTATGCCGGAAGGCGGTGATTGTTAACCTCAAGCTGGCTGCGGGAAATCGTAAACTTAATCGGACCCATAATTGAAATGACGCGTTCGGTGCATACACACGACAACAACGTGGCCCCCCAATTCAGTCCCTAGCTCCAGCACATACAAGAGTGATTCTCATCATCTCTGCAGCTGATCACGAAGGCGTCTTGAGACCACCCAGTGGACTGACATGGCGTCGCCAACGCCTTCAAGTCAGAGTCCCTCAAGCGCTCAGGCTACACTATCTCCGGCATCCAAGTCAACCTTCCAGCCTCGTCAAGAATTCATCAGGGCGCCCATCGTTCCCCACAATTTTGGGCTTCTAAGTTTCAATGGGAGCGAGATATTGCGCTTAGGCATGTTGATTGTTCCATATGGGATACCTTCTGACATTACTTTCTTCTCCCTTTGTTTTCTTAGCCAATTTCCCTGATAACGTTGTCATTGCCGTTCGGAAAGTCCTCAAGGAGGAAATCCGGCATTACCGCGAAAACAGCGACATATCCGTAGTTGAGATAGTCCTGGCCGGGAAACCATTTTCAGGTCGATCCGTGCGGTAAGGGCTCCGGCTTTGTTTCAACTCATTCTGCTTATCCCAACACGTGGTGCAGCCAGGAGCAAATCCTGCTGGCAATATTCGATGCCATTCTCTCCCAACAGTTCTATCTCGTCAGTTCTATCGATTATGGGCGAATTTACGTATGTCGCTTTGTTATTACGAAACTATTTGATGCGCGACAGTAACTCCGTGATGGCATCTTTTATTAGCTGGATAAACTCACATTAACATTTGCCCGCGCCCTGATCCCCGCCAGCGTCCCACAACCTGAGCGCAGGGTGACATTCGGAATATCTTTCATCTCAATGACACAGTTGCGTGTTGTGTCGCCGCCCTTGTCATTTACGCCTGCGATATTGCAAGTAGTCAGGTCTTCTTGGCCCCATGGCGTCGTCTCCGAGAAACGAGATAGTGAGGGGACTTATACGTTCAAATTAAAGGTAAGTGCCAGGCTATGGTCCCCGGAAAGAACTTAACGAATCTCCACCCTCAACTGACCAGGGATATTCATGTATGCGTTCTAAATGTGCCTTGCGTAACGTCGCACTGGTATGCTAACTGCTCATTTTCGCAGTTCTCCAACCATCAACATTCGACCTGGATTCCTTGTCGAACATTCTGGAAATCCTGAAAGCGATGGATGCGCATGGTCTTAGCCTTTTAACTTCCATAAGCCTTGCAAAGCGTTCTCGTGTCCAGGACTTCTGGATATTTTCGGCTCCAGCTCCAAAACAGCAGCCCGACCCCTCGCCCGTCGAAAGGTTTAACAAGACGTCCATTGAAAATGAACCGGTGGACAATAGTGATACCCAGAGTTACTCATTGCTCCTTGAAGAGGTCTCTAGGAAATCTAAATTGAGTCCGAAGCCAGAGTCAAAGAAAGGTCATGCTCGTTCAACTTCTCAACCAAACAATTACCCGCCACCAGCGGCGCCGGTCACGCTCGCACGAAACGCGACACTGGATACTGCACGCCGCAAAGGGGATATTTCCCCCTCCCCCAAAGATCCGCGGTATCGAGAATATGCAGAACAAAAGAATACGAGCCCTTTCCCACGAGATCCACGCGACGATTCTCGAAGTCGCAATCATGGTCCTTCGCCTTCCCCTCGCCAACAACAGAACTTACCTCCAGAGTTTCCATCCTATCCACCGGATTCGCGCCCTATGCAACCATATTCTGTTGATCATGAACCGTCCGCTCCCCAAATTCTATATACCTCCCCATCTCGCGAGCAGGTTTACCGAACAGTCCCCTCTGCAGCGTTCCACATTCAACCCCCATCTCCAATGGATGCTGAACCACCATCTCAATCACGCCCTCTGAATCGAGTTAAAAGCTGGAGCACTCAGGGGGACTTTATGCCCGATCCGCCAGATGATGACGACGATTTTAACCCAGGCCTTCTCCCTCCTGCTCTCTTCCGGGACACTCGCCTCACAGAAGATACATGGGTTGCTTCTAATGATATATCGTCCACACACGACAGCACCGTGGGGAAGTTGGCGCAAACGACTTGGACAAAGAAAGGACCCATGAAATCTACGACAACAATCGAGCCTATTCTTGAACGAATGGATGCAGAGACGGACAGTCCCGGTTTGGCAAGATCCCCGGAAAAAATTGATCCTGAACTGTCTAAAGAAGATCCTGGACAGAGGAAGAGTGAACAGGCTTCTTTGGATTATATCCCGCCTCCTGTCATGGACCTTCACCCTGAAGATGATGACAGCCCTAAAGATAAGGATAAAGAGGTTACATCCAATACTAGACCGCGTCGCCTCACCACCGAGGCCGCTGCCGCCGAGGTTCTCGCTAAGAGCCGGCACCGTGCAACGGCTGAAGTCCCAATGACCATTCGGAACAGCGATAATCTTAGTCCTGGCGGACCATGGGTCATAATCCATGAACCTGGGACTTTGCCCTCGGACAAGGAAGTCCCCCTTCCCCTCCCCAAAGCACCACCCATTAAGAAGTCACCACCGTTGAAAGTAGTCCCGGCGAGAGTACGTAGTGAGAGCATCCCGATTCCCTCTGCTGGCGATCAAAGCGCGTATCCGGGGACTCCTGCCACGAAAGAGAAGACCAAGAAGTCTGTCTTCCCCTGGTCTCGAAGCAGGAAGAACTCCCGGGAGTCAAAGATGTCGAAGAAGGAAGCTGACGAACATCTCTCCTCACCAAAGAGCCGATTCAAAGAAATCGATCCCGTGCTTTACGGAGAAGATGATGCAACCCGAATGATTGAGAACGAGGATGTTCGAGTTTCGACGAGTTCTGAGGGTTCGAGTCCCTTACACAAAGATCGTGCGCCCACTCCAGTTTTACCTGTCACGCCTTTACGATCGCACCACTCCTCACGACCCAATACGCCTGAAAACCCCGGTCCCAATAAATTGACTCGCCCCAGGAAAGGATCGAGGGGATCGAAGGGGCCCGTCGAAGTCGGTGTTCCAGAAAAACGCCTCATCATCGACTAGCCAAGAATGAGCGAGATTTGCCGCCTTTTCTTTTCCGCCTTTGCTGTATTTTTTTTTTCTTCTCTCAAAAATGGACTCTGGTAGACCCAACCTAATAGGGGTAATGCTTAACGTACGAAACTGTAATGCCTGTTGGTTTGATCTTGGGATGTGTGCCGGCTGCGGTTCTTGCTTGCTCATCGAACATTGATTGATTCCATTTGTCGGTTAGCGAATTCTACAAAACCATCGAACAAAAATTGGACTATTTGCGTGTCGGCGGAGTATATCGAAATGAGACTGTTAACGCTTGACGTGCTCGACCGCCGCTATAACGACTTACCCAGCGTCGATAATAGTCCGAGTCGTTTCAACGCTGCGATCGTTCGTAGGCATCGTACTTCGACGCAACGTTCATACGGCCGCAACGTCTAGCTTGATTATTCGGGTCGCACAGATGCGTTTCACTCGCCGGTCTCCCGCATACAGCCTGCTCCACCTGCTAGAGACTAACGTCAACGACTGTGCGCCACACTGCATGGTGAGCCTTTGCCGTGAGATGCATACGCGACAACCAGCTCGCAAACTGGGGCTAATAATGTGCCGATGAAGAACCTAATGGTAGTCGGTGTCGATATGTGATCACGCGGTACCTGGGAGCATGCAAGGGTGGCGACTTCAGAGTGTGTGGGTCCAACCCATCGATTTCGGAGAAATTCATGACCTAACGGATGCCACTCAGGAGGAAGCCACAGTATCTGTGTCCCAAGTTAAGGCCAAAAAAAACAAAAACTTACTTGTTAAGATGCAAGATATTCAGTATACGAAAGGGGATATACAATTCTAAAATCGCCCCTATGGACAGAAGGACAAACCGTACTAGTAGTAAGAGACCCAGAGATTTGCCTTCCAGGGTCATCATAAAAGCTCTTAGAACCCCTTGTCAATTGGGATCCGGCAAATTACTTCTAGACTGCGGGCGCTTCATGCCATTCTGGGCTTCTCCCAGTTGCCAACTCCCAGTCAGTCGGGATAATGCAACCAGGTTTGTAGGGGGTTGAGTGGGTGGGGGGGGGCCGGAGGGGGCGAGGTTCATCCAGCGATTCGTACAAAAGTTTAGGGGCGGAAAATATTAAAGCTGAACCCAAAAGTAGGAGATGGTCATAAAAAAGACGGGAGGTGATATTGCGAGATTCTATACACAGAGACCAAGAGACGCAAGGCCACCGCCAAGTGTGATTCCAATTATAGGAGACAGTTGGCAAGTCCCCTAACGAATTAGGGACGTAATTTCAAGCGCAACATTTAACGGGGGGCAAGGGCCATTGAGCGCTACACATATATTATAGCGCACAAATAACCAGAATGGAACAATTGCGATTTAATGGAATTGATGCCCCGTAATGCGCGATTTGAGCTATACGTAAACACCAGTCCGTTCCCAGGGGTTTCACACAGATTGGACACTTGAGCGCCCATCGACGGAGGCCCGTATCCAGGTCCCTCTGGATACTTTTTCTTTTTAGCCTTGGTAAGGTACCTGGACTCCGTAGAATCACCGAGAACCCGATGACAAAAAAACGGACACGCTGACGGTTCCGTGGTCCGTGGCCCGTGATAATCTTTCGATACAACGAAATGGACGACCAGAAGACACGGATTAATTGGGCTGAAACGGAGAATGCCCCAAATTGGTGCCAAAGCCCCATGCAGAAATCATAATTCACTGAGCAGGAGTCATGCACCATCTCCGCGACCTCCCTTGGGTGGCCGGTTTCCAATAGCAGCCAGTATCCGGCTTATAGAAAGGTACAAAATCACCCAATAGATCCAGTTTCATATCGCCAAGAAATATACTGATTAGCCACACGAACATGACCTGACCGTGGCGGGTCAATCGGAAAAATATCATGGCAGCTAGCCACAACCCTCGATTCGTGTGAAGACAACTTGCTGGCGGAACCCATAACAAGGGTACAGGGAATCTCCAGTGCTTGCGCGGCACGGAGACAATTTGCGGGGATATTGGTTGATGTTTTCCAATTTCGGATCTATGTGGGAGGAACTGCATAAACGATCTGGTCAGAAGATACAAATGCTGTGCGCCAGAGGGGTTGGGGGGCGCCCGCGCGGCATGGATGTAGTCAAGACTACCTGTGCACTAAGCGAAAGTCTGGTCCCGCGCCATGAGGTTTCCCGGATTTGTAGCTAGCACACCCCCCTCCACCACCTGACTGACAGAACATCAGGAGCCCTTGTTGTATGTTAACGTCCTGGGCCACACACGCACGGACAATCCGCTGAGTTTCAGCTGCCTGACGCCGAAACCCGATGAATATATGGTAACCACAAGATCTCAGGAGTACGTGCGATGGATCTAGTTAAGTCAGCGCATTACGCCATTGATATTGAGTCGAGAACTTAAACTTACTTACTATCACCTGATTGATACTTATGTATGCCCGAATCCACAACAGAGGGGCAAACGGAGATTCCCCTGCCAAGGCTAACCCTTGCATTGGAAAAACAAATCAACAGCGGAATAGGCAAGTGCGCCCTGTGCACTGGCGCGATTCCAAGCGAAGAATCTATTTGAGCGCCATCAAGCGCCAAAGAATCAACAGAGGAAAGCCGCGGGGACTTCACGGAGCTAGTGCTTCAAACACAAAGTGCTAGCTTACCTAACCGGCTGAGAATATCCTTTACAAAAGACACTCTCGCCTTTTCGCAGTGGGATATATAGTCCAGGGCCCACTTTCGGCGTACAAGCCCGACAACAACCTAAAAGGTTGACAGTAACTCTTTGAGGAAGATCATATTGGAATTTTGTGTTTCAAGAAGCAGCGCGTGCACGCAGTGGCAGTTCATGTCAAAATCTTGGGTTTGCGACGTTATTGAAAAAAATTTTGTCAGGCTGGGAAAAGTCTCGCAAAAGAAAGCGATTGATCCAAAATTGGCCAACGGCGCGAAGCCACCATGTAAGGCCCTCGTAACCGAACTCGAAAGGATGGCCCTTTACCGAGGATGCGGAAACAATTTATGCGCCGTGGGCGCGCGCACGTGCGGCACTAAGTAAGTGAAAAACAGCTACGTAAGTAAGAGAGCCTAGGAAAGTGTCTCAGGAAGCTTGCCTCGGGGGAAAGGAACGACGGCGATCGAACAAAGAAAAAGAAAAGAAAAGAAAAGAAAAAAGACTCACCCGGCGGGCATGTCCCCCGAGATGTGTTTCAAGTCGTAATGAGAGAGAAGAAGAGGAAGACTAGTCATACATAGCGGTAATGTTAACGTTGCCAGGTCAGGTGCATGCGGAAGAGTTAATGTTGTTGTTGTTGTTGTCGTTGCATTTCCAAATATGGAATAACTCGCCTGACACGGAAATGAAATGAGAAAAGGAAGTCACAAATCGGGCGCTTACATACAACCGTCATGTCAAAGCTTTCAACCGAAGGAGTATTTCTTTTGAACATCTCGTGTCCCCACGAACGCTCTTCAGTTCTTGATGCCCCCCCCCACCACCACACATGATGGGGATAATAAATCCATGTGTCCCTCGCACCATAACGATCTTACGAGCTCAGTGAAAAACCCCGGGCCCTAACCACGATTTAATCAACGGTTACACTCCACGCGTGGCATCCCCCTTTCCTATATATGCCATGAAATTTCCCGGGGACAATGGCGTTTACACAAAACATAAAATATGAATGATGCGTTCGTTGCGTGGAAATAGCTCATGTGTGGCACGATTGTGATCGGGCTTACATAGTATATCCTGGCCTGAATCGTTATTGCGCCCCAACCAATGCTTAGGACTCCGATGCCAGGACCTTTCGTGTATGCATGGCGAGTTCTCAATCGAAAAATCATCTGGCCACAACTACGATTAGTTTAGTTTGACACATCATGGACCCCCCGGCCCCCGGCCCTCCCCCCCCCCTCAAAATCAAGCCTCCAATACACTGACATGTGGCGTTGTTGATGCGCGCATGGGGATAATGCAAAGGGGGCAATCATTTTATTCAAACATACCCAAAAACGTAGATCATGCGCGGCAAATGTCCATCCGTTCTTCTGATGCGACCACCGACCGATCGTGCATCATCGAAGTCCGGTGATGAATAGATAGTGATTCGCTAGGGCCATACGGAGGTAGTATGTAGTAAGTCGTAGTAAGTACCACGCCGGTAGCTACTTGTACTAGATCACTTCTGCCCGCACATCATCGGATCCAGATCCAACCGGCGGGGGCCATGCATCCATGTACACACACACTACATACACGATTGCGCGGAGGCTGATGACCGTACGTCTTCGATGCATGCTACTATGATAGAAAAGTCCCAAAGGTAACCTCGATTAAGCAAGCTAGTCTACTAGCTGCGGATCCAGAGGTATGGACAGTTGGAAAAACGCATCAATAGTAGTAGTAGTAGTAGTAGCCGGGCATGGAGGCAGCTCCTGGCCTAAAAATGCTGTGTCAAGATCATCGATCGCTCACACACATGACACGATGTACAAACCATTGCAATCGTACAATTCCTATGGCCATATGATATGCCCAATGGCGCAGTTGCTACCATATGCGTTTTTTTTTTGTTTTTAGACGAGCTTTGGTCACGGTGTTGAGACCGGCTCAATAGACTGGTACATGCCAACTTATCCCCATCCGAAGAAGCTTAGAGATTCATAGAATCTTTCGAGTATGACAACTGGTAGGCAGGCGACCAGCCAGCCTCTTATCGGAAGACAACTGGATACCTTGGCTAGCTAGGCCAATTTATCAACTTGATGCAACCGCCACGCGCGCGGGCAGTGTTGGTAGCATTAAAAGAAATGAAAAATTTACTTACTATCTCCGTGATTCCTGCCATATATATACATATATGTCAAATGCCAAGGCGGGATATTATGTACTTACGCACAGTTTAAAGTGCATGAACCTTGATGTAATCGTGAAGTGGTTGGCCCACCCGGCCCAGCACGCACATTTCACAACAGATATATTCGAAAGCGCTTTTACCTTCTAATTGGAAGGCTACATTCTAGATATGTCCACATACCGTGCGTACGGGTGCTCTTGGGTCGGGACCCTATAGTACTACTCACGATAGTATATAGATCCCTGCGCTGCGCGCGCGCGCTATCCAAAATGGGCCATAACGGTGGAGGTATACGTTAGTGCTGCGCATTTCGCGGCAGTTGACTTTGCCATATGCAGGGATGATGATCATCCTCCCATGCAAAACAAAAGAACACGGCCCCCCTAAGCTTGGCCCTAACTTATATCACCGCACGGCTGAAGGAGACGATTGATCGATCGATAGGGTTACTTGGCTCAGTGAGAGGTGTCTTTTGACCCCCCCCCCCCCATCGGTTAAGTACGGCCGCGGGGGATATGGGGTTCATACACCGCGGCTCGATCGATCCAGTTCTTCTACGGTAGTACTACTTTGCAACTTGAACGAACACATATTCCAACCCGACCCAACGACGGGCAAAAAAAAAATGTCTTAGCCATCGTTGATGAATTGTGGTCATGCGGAACGTACCCTTGCTCCAGGGTTCAAGAGACGCGGAACTACTATACTAGTATGGCATGGCATCTAGGGGAAACTGCTGGCTAAAGAATGTGCAAAATGCGCCAATTCTAGCCTTTGCCCAGGGAGATGTTTCACGGAAACCCGGTGCGAATGTGAATGAACCGGACACAAGCGGGTTTGACGGGGTTGGGACCGGGATTGCACATGCGAGGAAGTAAGGAAAGGATGATTCACTATTCATACAGATGACTGGGGAGGAAGTACATAATTGAATTTGCGTTGTAATCAGGTGCGTGTCAACCCCGATTTGGTCGGCCACCCGAGTCAGGGCACATGAATATTGATGTAACCCCATTTACCTTGATTTGGGGAGGGGGGGGGAAAGTACTTGGACATGTATATCAAGGCCGGTAGCCGCAATTACCGTTGCCAGTTAACGGTTGGGCAAAAAAGGACTGCAAAGACGGGACTTTGTGCTTCGATGACCAGTGCGGGTGCGGGTGTTGCGTATGTGTGTAAAAATTACTGTAAACATTTTTCCGGAAAGGAGAAAAAAAAAAATGGCACCTTCCGGCCGCGTTCACGTCACACTAGTCAGGTACTACATACTGCCATGCATAGCGCGCTGATTTAGTGATAGTAATTGTAACCAGCGGAATCGAAGCTCAAGTCTGAGATCGATCTCGATATATTCTACGTCCGAGACATTCGATCATAGAAGGGCGAATCAATGTTCCGTGCTGCTATTTATCGATGGCGAATGATAATGATAAGGACAAAAAAGACGATCAGCAGTACTATATATAGTATCCGACCCTCTGAGTCAAAATAATATTGAGGTACAAGTACGTTTCCAATCACTTGGTGCAAGGTACATTTGCATTGTTAATGTACAGCACGGGAAACTGTCCGGGGGGGAAGCAAAACCAAGGGTGCACGGGCTCGTACTATGAGAGAGAGAGAGAGAGAGAGCGGGAAAGAAGGGGAAGGAAGAAGAAGTGATAAAGCACGTCCAGCTGCGTGCTCAACGTAAGCGGATCGTCTGACCCGCGCGGCCCGGCCTATCCACAAGTAACCGACGATTGACAAGTGAGTATATACATACGGTACTAGTACCCAGCCCATGATTGTTCGTAGCTTTTTCAACTTGGCATCGATACGATCACCCAGTATGCCTGCATTATCATCGCATGTAATGACATGGCCTTGTGACGCGGGTAGTTGATTCATAATTTCAATCACTAGGCAGGCCATTGCGCCACCGGCTGCCTTGCATGGCTCTCCACGCCGTACGGACTACACTTGGATGGCACCCGCATCTCATCTATCCTAGTGGGGTATAGTACAGTTAAGGGTCGCGAAGAAACCCACTAGTAATGTGCAGCTGCAATCGTAAACATCCCCGGGCAATGCCTCTTACGCGTGTACGGTTTATACATACGAACAATTAGTTACCGTGCCATCCTATTCTACCCACGTCATTCTACAACCCGCTAGCAGCTCACCCTTACCCATACATAAGGCATATTACTCAGCCCAACGAAATGGTCCTCCTCCGTTGCCTGCGTCAAAACAATAAGTAATATGAGAAAGAAGAGAAATATGTCTGACCACAGTACTACTGATAGGAATCCGATCCCGCTTTTTGATCGTAGAACTGATTGTTACTTGGGTGTTCCGCTAAAACGTGTGATGGATATAGAAATATGTATATATATATATATATGTCTGCTGTCAAACAAGAAGCAGATGTTGGAAGCTAGCCACGAGGGAAGGGCCGGGTTTCAAGTAGCGTCGGTGGAAAATGATCTGTGATCAGGGTGATTGTTCTTATTGTTCAGGGTCGAGGTTGGGGGGGCGGGGGCGGACTACGGTTTTTGTAAAGATTTGATATGTAATACGAGTTACGTAGTTTGAGTGCTTATCGCACGTTGTTGCATGATGGGAAAAGGAAAACTGTTGATGGTGACAGAAACGAAAGAAGCTAGTACTATAGGTTTTGGGTTTTTGCTTGCTGTTCAGGAGGTTTGTGTATTGACGGGGGGGTCGGTTATATAGAATGAACGGATGGGAGAGCAAAAATGTCCGCATAATTGATTGTGGCACATCCCTCCTCATTCACACGTTTTAGCGTCGTTGACGGTAACTCGGTTCGGTGAACGGAGCGGAGGCTACTAAAAAAAGAAGGCTGTTTACCGTAGCAGTACTAAGTAGTAGTTGCTCCCAGGTAATTGAACACCGTCTCCTCCGCTATGACTTTTATGTCAGAATAAGGATATTTTGTATTGGGATTTCAGGGTACTAGGATGTTGAACGGCGGTGACATAGAGAGAGAGGGAGAGAAATGAAACAAACTTGATTGATCTTCCTCCTCAACCCGTTTTTGGTATGCGGACCGGAGGGGTTTACCGATATACCGACCTTGATGGCGTGGAAAAGATGATTGTTTTCGACCCTGAAAGTAACGAGAGTGAGAGTGCTTCCTAATGTAAGCGATTTGTTGTTAGTGTTGGCGATCATACATACATAAAAGCAATAGGTGAAAATCGATGTCTATATTATGTTTCAAACTCGTTTAGAAGCCAAGCTGTTAGTACCAAGCGTTGTATATATATATGACCGATCTGCCAAGTAAGCGAAGGGGTTTGAGGATAGACAGAAGATTATGGAGGATCACGGACGGGGTTATGTTTTGTGTAACTGTTGCTGTAACTGTTTCAAGTTGTGGGCTCTCCAATTAAGCGCGCGCGCTTCGCAAGAACCCATATACACGATATACACCCTAAATCGGTAACATGCGGAGTGAGTCGCCGACCCGATTCCATGAGATTTATGAACCGTTCACTCTGCTGTGCCCTCTCTCGCTCCCCCAACATGAGCCCCTGACAGGCGCGCTTTTCATTATCGGTAAGCCTGGAGAGGAAATGAGGAGATGCGACATTTTCATCGAGTAAAGCAATAAGGAGAAAAAGTGAGAGTACGTTATGTTATGTGGAGAAAGAAACGAGGGGTGGTTGCCTTGGTTGGATGACGATATTAATGAAGGGTAACGACTGATTCGTGGAGTAAGGAAAGCGCCCCAACCACAGCTCTTTAAGCCGGTGTGATTTCCTTCGGCATGTAACTGTGGATTTCAACGGTAGCTCTGCGTATGTGTGTGTGTGACTGGAGTCTTAACTTTGGCGGCGCTAGCAACGCAAGGCCCCCAAGACAAAAAGCGGACGCAAAGGAAAATCCACTAGAAAATCCCTCATGTCTCAGTTGTGTCGGCATGGGCACGGGGCTGGTAAAATGGGGGGACGAACTTGGCGAGTTTTGTGGAGGAAAGCGGCCCATCCATTTGCACAGCAAAAAAAAGTCACAGGGTGCAGTACGTGCGGGTTGGTTGCCCTGGGGAATTCGGCGGAAGAAGTCCTCTCGCCTCCGAGAAAACGGGATGGGGGCAACTTCCCGGTAAATGGAGCGAGGGAGGAGAGAGAGGAGAGGAGAGATGGGGTCGGTTGACCCAGAAAACTCAAAAGTTGCCTCATTGGTTCGGCGTTGTCAGCATAGAATTGTCAGCGTTCAAAAACAATTGATGGGTCCAGTGTTACTTCCCGAGGGTATAAAAAGTTTTTTTTTTTTTCTTTTCGAGAAAGGGGTATTTTCTTTTTTCTTGATCATACAATCTCAACCCAGATCTTGTTCAGTAAATCCTCTTTCCAATTAAAGGATAATTGGGAAGAAAAAATTTAATTCATTAATTTGCAGACTTAAAAAAGCAAAGTCTAAGCGCTGATGAATAAAATAAAATGGAATCGGTTTTTTTTTTGTGCTACTTAAAATGTATTCAATCGGGTCTTTCCTCATCACATATTCATTCCATCAAAGGCCGGGAGGGTTTGCATTCAATCAATCTAGCATTGGAAATTAAATAAAAAAATATCATGAAACTCCATCGACTGGTCCTTACAAACTCGAGAAAAATTCCGCAATAGCATATATATATATACCTTCTCTCCTCTCTTGCTTTCGCTCTCTCGCCACTCGTTCTCTCCTTTGCCAGTCTTGCCATCGACCCGTTCGAGACCTCCAGCACTGCGAATTCCTCGTTCATCTCGCCACCTTCGTCCCCTCCCCCCCCCCAAATCTCACAAACCTCCCACCCCCACCTCCTCTTATCCCATAAACAATGTCAGAAAAGAAGATCGACAACCATACTCTCGGCATCGCTGCCATTTCTCTCTCAAAATGTCTCGCAGCTGCCCGAATCCCTTACGCGCTTATGGGCGGATATGAACTCGTCTTGTTAGGCGCGAACAGGACTAGCAAAGATCTCGATGTGGAGATTGATTCTTCGTGTACTACGTTTGAACAGGTCATCGATGCTTTCGATGCAGATCCCGAGTTTGCAGTCGTCCCCGGTACTCGACGCGATGCGGTGAGTTAACTACTTACTACTACTCCATCCCTGGCGTTCGATGGAAGAGACTTATTTTTCTATTTCTAATGACAGGTTCGTGTCCTTTGGACATCCCGAGTCGGTATCGACGTCTTCCTTCGACCCGGTCGCTTCCCACCCGAAATACTCCACATCAAAGTCATGAACCCTCACACATCCTACTTCCACTCCGTACCTTTCTTCCAACCGACCGACTTGCTCATCGAAAAGATCAAATGTACCTCCGAACGTCGGAAGGAGATCGATGCGGATGACGTTCGGTTCATCTTCGATACGTTGGCCGTTCAACAGAAGAAGGTCGATATGAGGGTCGTCAGAGCTGGTGTCGCTCCTGCTCAAGTCGAAGGGATGGTGAAGAATCATCCTGCTTTGGGGTATATTGCCCAAAGTTTGCTCAGGAATGCGTGAAGAGAGAGAGAGAGAGAGAGGGTGTTAGGTCGGCATTCCGGACTCTTTTTGTTGCGCTTTGGTAGGGAGGGAGGGAGGGAGGGGGAAAGAAATGACGACATGATTTATCGGGTCACCTCAGGGTCGTTATTCATTCCCTGTGTGTGAATCACAACACTTCGCTCCCCTCCCTCTCCCAACCCGTCCCCTCCCGTCTATCTTTCTTCCCTCCGGTATTGTGATTTGACTCGGCGCTCGCACGGTCGTGTGTCCTCCCATCTCGGAATACCTCCCCCTCCCCCTCAAAAGACCTCAATTTTTTTTTGCTCGCATCAAACGATACCAACGCAACCGCTAGTCGTTTCCCTTTATCATCCTCCCCCCCCCCCTTTTCCAATTGTCACATATTTCCGCCCTCCCGCCCAAACTTTGCCTGTGCATCCTTTGTTTTCTTCATTCCTATTCTATATGTGAGTTTTTCATTTCATCTCGTCCCTCAATCCTTTCTTCCATAACTAACTAACAACCCTTGCAGAATGTAATACGTTTTTTTTGTTTCGTTTTTTTCCCCTTTCTCCCGCTCACGTCCGAATACCCCCAAGTCCAACCCTTTCCCCCTCCCCACCCTTTAACCGTCTCTCGTCTTTTACGTGTATAAAAACTCCGTGGGGTCCCCCTTTTCAAAGGAAAAAAAAAATCTCCTACCTCCCTTCCTATCGTTCTTGCAAATTAGGGGGTTTTTTTTTTTTTCCTTTGCAGGAATCCGGGGGGGTATTTCGTCCCCACTAATCAACTCGCAATACACCAATAATTCGTAATATCCTGTTGCCATTCCTCGTTACCTCTCCTCTTTTCGTCTTCTCCATGTTTAACATCCCAACCGGTCTTGCTCATCAAACTTTTTCCTTTTTTTTTCTTTCACTCATCTCATCCATTCTTGATCTCTTTTACACACGGTACAAAAATTCAAAGTACAAACAAACAGACGCGCCAAGTTCAACTTGCAAATGCCTGCAATGAATGATTTTATGTCACGGCTGTTGTTCAGTGCGGATGGAGGGCTTTGAGTAAATGGTAGAACGATGAATGATGTAGAAGGCGAGAGAAGTGATGGTAAGGGGTTTTGCGTATGATTATGAGAATGGGATGACAGCACTACTATAGTAGTGGAGGGTTGCGGGGGGGGGGGACGTTCGCATGTCATGTCACACCATATCATATCGTGTGGATATTGTGCGTGAATATGCGGTAGGCGGATATGAAGCTGCGGTTGGGATTGATGTGAGCTTGTTACACAGCATTTGTACTAGCTCGTTATATGAAGCTGTATGTATTAACGATGTTAATAGAGGTATAATTGCTGGCGACATGCGACTATGATCTAGGTCAGTTTTGGCCCGGGTGGATGGGGAGGTTGGCGCTGTTTTGCGCTGGCATGCCGGTTGTGGAAAGGAAGGAACATCCGTCGCCACTAACGTAGTACTAACGTTGCATTGGACTTGTGTTACTATATGGAGGTTGGAAAAGTTTTCCGCACATTGTTCAAGGTACCTATCCCAATTATTTTTGCGGGATCAGCGGTGCGACCTGGGCGGTGACAGCACTAGCACTAGACTAGTACTAGTGGCACCGGCAGTACAAGTAACTCGCGAGGTACCAATTCAACAATACAGTCGCGTGACCAAATGGAGCATGAGCTTGCCCAACATCTTCGAATTCAACATTGTATATTGTGGCGCGCGCGCGCCTTCCTTCCACCTCCGGATCCTTCCTTGGTCTTTTTTTCATCTCTTCGAAAAGTTCCTTTTGCGCTAGTGGCGGCTTTCTTTGTACTTCCTTCATTCAGCCAACAACAACGTTGCAGGTATATAGTACGGTATCTAATCCATCCATCCATCTATCTATCTCAGGCCATTGTAGCACCTGGCAGGAACCGGCGAAGGGGATCGAAGGGGGCGGCTTGCGCTGGTTCTATTGTATTCGTATCTGCGCCCGTATCGTATTCGTGGTTGGTATTATATGTAAATGAACGGAGGCGCGGGCGCGGCTATGTATGCATGCATGTGTAAGCGAAGGGAGGGGGGATGCTTCGTCCCGTATAACATCGTACGTACAAATAAGACCCCCTCATACATCAAGTGTTAATTAATTTCTGAACGTGCCATTATTTGCGCCGTCGATTCTGAAAAAGCAGGTTTCATTATGTATATCGCTTCGAAGCCTAGCCCACGCTACGCACTTGCTTCTAGCTTGCTTCTAGTTTGCTTTGTCTAACTGTGGCAAGGCTAGCTAGTGCTGCGCTGGTGTGGAATGTATGTATAGAATTTGTACCTCAGCTGGCGCTGGCGCTGCTAGGCTAGCTTCGCATCTCTTAAACTTCTCGCAACGCGTGCGCGCGGCAAGTGACGAGTTATTATCACGCTCCAAATTTACGCTCAGGCTCGGAGATGTTCTTGCATGCATGCATGGGAGAGTTGCATGCACTGTGTATATCATATAATCTGCCATTCACAGACTCGAAAGTCCGACTAGTTGTTGTTTTTCGGTTGTTATATGTTGCGCTATCGATCTTAGGCGCACCCATACGGGGATATGACTCCATGACATGAGTGTGTGTATGTGTGTGCGTTCGTGCATGATAACACCTGGGACATCCTTTTTCAACCCCTCCCCCCGGAATCGTCGATGCTATATGTGATCCGTGGCCCGACGTTAATTACATACCCAATCAATTCTTCGCGCAAAACCGGGTACGTATGCTCATGATCATGATCAATGCCCAACTTCCTCTCCTCATTATCAGTTCTAGACTTTGATATGTCGCTAATGGTTGCCCTGGCCTGGCTTGGGTGGTTATGCGGCGCCGCGGGGCGGCGACGTTTCGCCAATTTTACTTGAAGGAAAATATTGATTTCCGGATCCGACGTCTTCGTCTGTTCATTTCAACCCGCGCAATTCCACGTCGTAGTGCATGGCTAATTCGGACCCAGGTGAGTACTAGATGAGTTATATTTAGATTATACAGTACCGAGGCCCGTGCATGCCCGCTCGTCAAGGTTGACATGCATGATGGCTTGGAACCAACTTGGGGATGTGCCATTACTATTAGCTCGCGATCATCATGCATGCGCGTAACCATGCCTAAGACAGCTGTGAACATGTTACATAAGTGATTGTCGTAGCTAAATAAAGAAAAAAAGATGATTCGAGTCCGTGGATCCGGAGTTGATCTAGGTCAAAGGTATGTATTACATTACTTATGAGATCTCTCATAAGTTCTGCTGCAAGAAGATAGGTTTTTTTTTTTCGCACGGTCGATTGTTACCCCACGTATGGAACTGCGAATCTTGCATGGGAGATGTGATCCATGGAAGTGTTTTTTTTTTTCACGGTAATATGCTGAGTGGAAGCACATTTATTCAGCTTGCTCCCTGTTCAACTGCAATGTTTTGTTGATCAGTATTTCCTTTCCCGTGGTATGTACTGCATGCAATTTGCCCCCCCCCCCCCTTTGCAAGTTCGGAGAACCCATCGGCCATGCATGTGTTGGTTCATCGTTGTTGTTGTTTTTTTTTTCCCGGCCAATCCTCCGCCGATGGCCACTCTGGCTCAATAGGGTATGTATCTGGTTTCCATGTAATTGTACGATTAGATCTTGGACCCTAAGTAATGTAAGATGATATGTAAACAATATTCATCAGTTTTTTGATGAATGGGGATCGATCGAAAGCTTTCCGCCGAAGTCCGTTCGCAATGCCAAAAAAAAAAAAAAAAAAAAACTCGTCATTTGTGCCTAGGGTACGGCAATCGGTTGCACCCGAGTTACAGTTTTCTTTTTTTTTCCTTCTTCTTTCCCCCCTTTTCCTTTCCACCGCTAAATGCCCAAGTGATCCGAGGGGTTGGGGTTGTTCCATCCATGGACGGAGGGACACGGGTATTTTTAAATTTACTTAAACGCAACAACAACAAAAAATGGTCCGAGCGCGCTGAAGAACCGGGCGCAGCACTTTTTGGTGATGATCAGGGTTAATGACCGGAATGATATTAGATCATGCGTTTGGGGTGAGGGGTCTAGAGCCAGCCTGGTTGTTGCCCTTCCGTATCGTGAGTCAGGTACGGAGACAACCATTCGAAGATCCTTTTTTTATTTTACCCTTGTGTTCATTTGTCTACTACAATTCATTATTTCTCCGACCTCGAATGGTTTTTTTGGTTCAAATGATTCATGGACCAGCTTAGTGACGTCCTTGTCCTTGCCCCCCCCGCTGTCACCCTCATGTCATCATGTTTCCTCGCTCGACACCTTGAGCTCTTTATCCGTTGGTTCGCCATCGTGTTGAATTTGTCTTGATTTTTCCATCACGCATAGTTGACAGGGGATCACGCAAGGGACGTGGACGTGCGCGCTCATATGCCAAAGTAGGGAAGATAAAGTGAGTTCAATGAGACACATCGGCGGAGGCTCACGGAGCTTGAGGACAACAATTGCAACACGATAACGATGTATTGACTGGGGCCACCATGCACGATATCTGCACGATTTAGTGCAAGGGTCGCAATAATAATAATGTTTGAAAGTGAATGGGATCAGAGCGTCCGCCGTCAGGGATGCCATGCAAAACCTTGTGCCATGTATAGACGATTCTCCCCCTTGTACACGTTGTTTACAGCAGTGGTACGAGCGTAGGCGATCCTGTCAGATTTTTGGAATGGGAGCCAGCCTGGCGGAAACGGAATGTTCGTGCAAGGTGATCGATCTCGGAGAGTCCAAAATGAGGTATGCTAGCGCCCATTGATTTTTTTCTGGAAGTTGAGGGTTGTGCATGGACACAGACCCCTAAAAGAGTCTGAAACCCAGGCCAGCGAAAGGATATGGTAGTAATCGTGCTCTTCATTGATAGCAGCCCACCGGAAGTTGTGAGGAGTTTACGTACGGAACGCCTATAATGACTGCGGGGGGGCTTGGCTTGAGAAGGCGATAAAGTGGCCGATGCAAGGATTAGATTCTGACGGACAATAGTCATTGGATAATCAAGGAAATTTGTATGCTAGTTTTATATAAAGGTAGTGACGTTGAGCCTGACCGAGCGGTGGTCGCCGTGACCAAGAGATTGCGATTGATTTGTGAGGTTGTCCAGTCTTCTGGGTTTTTCAGTTTTTTTTTGGGCACTTGCCGGTGGCCGTCGATGGGTTGCTTCCCAGGGTGTTTTCATCGCCATTATTCATCCCATGGAACATGACCAATAGTGGAAAGATTCCCGGGTAGTAGCTGGAGAATCCCTCAAAAGCTTCCTAATGTGTTGTTTCTCACAACTGATGAGGCGCGCGGCTCGCTTGTAAGCGATGGGTGGTAGAGCATACTTTGAATGGTAGGGTTTCCCCAGAGATTGCAATGCACCTTGATCCAAAAATGGATTGAATGAACCAAGAATAGGTGGCCCGGCCTACTTCCCCCCCCTCGATATAGGCGCGAAAAGGAGCCCCGAATAGAGAGGCTCGATGATACGCGTTCACATGGGCTGTGCCCGTCCCTTTCAGTAATGTAGGTAGGCTGATTTGACGCTTCAATCCCTGAATGCTAGCGCTCGCCTCTGGGGGTGAATCGGAGACAGATTGATACTTATAAACTGATCCACAATGGACAAGCATAGACGTAAACAGGAAGCGTGCGACGTTCACTGGCTATTACGTTTCTCCATTAGTTGAGGCGGGCGTCACTATGTATGTCGTTTCCAAGCATCCCTAGGAAATAACAGCCTCTGCTCTTCGGACCGTATTGCGCGACCGCGAGAGCCCCGGGGGGCCTTGTTGACAATTAGGGGAGGCTTTTTTAGGCCCTTCACCTTAACAAACAGATCCGCGGAACAGCTCGGGCATGGTTAAGACAAAAGACCTATCACTGAGTGGTGAGAAGGACGGTGCCCAAATGAACCAATGAACGCTTGATCGGACCGTGGGAATGGCGCGGTGAGTTGGTGGGAAAAAAGAAAATAAAGGTAAACAGAGCCCACGCAAATGTCAAGTTGAACAAGTTCTGCAGTTTGATGCATTCGGGGGGATTGGCACGCAATAGGCTAAGCACCACACCCTCAGAGGCGGAATTGTCCCTAGAACGGTATTATCGTCTATTGCAGGCACCACTTGTGATTCATGTTCTAATCTCACTAGTCTCGTGAAGCTGCATCACCAGGATGAGTTCCTTAGCGAGATATCGCGTGGTTTTGCGGACCGGGTAACTTCGGCGGACCTCCAGGATCCTGAAATCCGTGATTCACGTACGAATCCACGCGTTCTGGAGCACCGAATCAAGAAGCAAAAGGTATATAGATAGCCGCGGTTCCAGTCAGGGTATTTTTTACGGCGTGTGTTTAATGTCAAGCATTAGGGATACGCAAAATGGTACAAACTCAAATACAAGCAAGTGGTCGCAAAGAAAGAATTTCTTCATCTTGTACTATCAGACCCAGAGAGAATAACACACGGGGATAACGAGGATTTCAGTATGCAACTATCTTTCCAGCTGCCGCATGATGAGACTCTGTGCTAATCCGTGCATAAAAAGGAAAGCTCAATCTGCAGCATAGGGCTCAACTTGAGTCTTTGAAGCAGACTGTCGAAGATGTTTGTCTCCAGCTTGACAGAACCTCACACGCCATCAAGGATCGCGAGGATGCTGTCAAGTCCGGACTCGAACTAGGCCGTGCTATCTCCCAGAGGATTAAAGATGCAAAGCTGGAGTTGGCCAGAATGCGAGCTTTGAATCCAAACCACAAGGTGCGAGTGTTTGTTTGTTTGAGGGGGGGGGGGGGTTTGTCATCGCTCACTTATTAGTAAAACCATCCATTTAGAGATTACCAATCTCCAAGGTCAATGAGATGCTGGAAGCGCAAGACGAGCGTTTGGTTCTCCTCCATGACGAGGATTCGAACGTAAAGGCACAAGTAACGAATACGAAGGGATCGATTGCTCTGGCTATGAAAGAACTGGAACGCCTCCGCCCAGAGCGAGCTAGGCTCGAAGGCTCCTTAGCTCAGCACCTCCGCGAGAAAGCACACCAGCAATCTGCAGTCACGAATCTATGCGTCTGGTGAGTTATGACCAGTGAAAAAAAAACGCTTAGCTCAACCCACGACTATAAGGCGCCGAGCTCTAATTGAGCTGTATTCCAAGTCGATCGGGTTAGATGAGGTAACAGTTGCTTCAGAGAACGAGCTGCATCTCGTGTATTCGAGCCCCCTGTCCTACACCTTGTCTATTATATTCAATCCTGCCTCTCAGCGTCTGGTCAGCGCGAGGGTGAGTTGGGGTATTTTAATTTTAATTTTTTTTCTAGACACTCACTTCCGCAGATTCTTGGCCTCGATATTGACATCTCTGAAATGGTTGAAGTCGCCGTGGATGCAAACGACGTTGTTGGATTAATTAATAATGTGCGTAGTCAAGTTGCAGGGACGCAGTCTTGGGATACATAGCTAGCAGATATGTAAGCAATGTGTAATTTACCGTCTCTATTTTACACCCTTGGCCTTGCCGATCACTACGTAGCTGTGCAATCAGCTTCTTGCTCTGAGACACGACCATTTCTATGGTCGTTTCACGCAGTCGATTACCATATAAACTGTACAATTTGGGATGCTAGAGTGCCGTGTGTCTTTCTGCTATCCCTCTGCCGATGTCCCTGCACCCTTAGAAAGTAGTGAGATGTGCATGCCTTTGAACCGGTCTTGACTGGCAGATGAGACAACGTTGAGAGCATCGATAGAAGATATAAATGGAATAAGTGCAGTAATCACATCATCTCCACCTCCTGAGTTCTTGCGTTTCTTGCGTGTCAACACGATGAGGTCGGATTTAATTTCTCCAAAAGAGGAGAAGAATGCGGAAATTGATGAAGAATCGACTAACGTGGGGAACTTTGAGGCATTATATCGAATACGAAGCGGGGTATCTGCAATGATTGTCATGATGTCACGAGATGAGTGGTGTGGACAGGGGAGCGCACCTGTAGCCACAGGTTCAGTGGCACTAGAACGGCTGTCTGCTCTGGATTGAGGGGCATGGCTTTGTAGTTTTTTCATTCTCTCCTCCAGGAGACGCTTGCTCTCCTCTTTTGCTTTAGCCAGTTTCTCGCTGGCTGCCGCCGCACGCTCGACATCACCAGCCCTGAACTTTTTCGCAGCGCGCTCGCCTGCTTCGAGTTCTTCCTGAAGAATCTTCCGCTTGGAGTCGTGAGAGGCTAGGCGAGCTCTTCTAGATTTGGAGATTCGTAGTGATTCGTCTAGCGCTTGTCTCTTAACGGGATCTTGCAATAGTTCGTAGGCGGTTGTCAGCTCATGAAACTTCTGGCCTGGTGCGTGAGTTGGGACAATGATATAATGACAGAGTCATGATAATACGTGCCTGCCTCGGGGTCGTCGGGATGCTTTAAGAGTAACCCCAGTGAGAGGGAGCTTCGGTGGTTTAATCGCTGAAAGACACTTACCCGGTCAGGGTGGTATTTTAAGGATTGGCGCCTATACGCGCGTTTCAAATCACCTTCTGAGACATCCTCAGCAACTCCTAGGATGTCATATGCAGAAAGCGGGTCTGGGTTGCTCATGGGTGGGCACAGCCACTTGCAACAGTGCTCAGTGCTCACGTCACACACGTCACACATGTTAGATATATGCCCTTCGCTGAGAAATATAGACTCAGTCCTATTATAATCGACGCGTAAGAGTAACTGAAGACGCGCAGGGGAGAAGAAGTTGTCTTTAATGACGGTTGGCGTTCCCTCTCGGTGCTACGTTGATGTGTGTGCTGAAACTCCACTCTCTTTAGGTTGACACCGAGGATCCCTTAGACTTCCCTAAACTACCTCACGAGATTCTCCTCCATGTAATTGCACTGTTGGACTCCAAATCTTTAATCGCAGCCATGGGTGTGAACCGCTTCTTCGCCGATGAGATTGAACGCATCATTTACCGTTCGATCTCGGTGAGCTCGACAGACGGCCGTCATGGGAAGATTCGCGCGGCTCTGGTGAAAAAGCATCAGCGAACGGCGTACGTTCAGAAACTCGAGATCATCATGGATAACCCTACGACGTTTACGTCTGAGCTTGTACTCACCACCTTTGTCAATGTCCGTTCGCTCAGCATCATCCCATCTTCGAAAAACCGATCTACGCCTGCACTCACTTCGCTCACCCAGTGCACGTTCCCTCATCTCACTCATTTCCGCTCTACGTGGAGTTTGAACGATCCGAGCTTCCGCACTTTCCTAAAGGCACATTCATCTCTGAAGCGTCTCGAGTTGGGAAAGTCATTCTCGACATTTATGCTTCCTACGTCGTTCCCGCAGTCATTGCTTCCCAAACTTGAAGAGCTAGATGGACACTGGTCAAATGTTGTCCGTCTTGTGAAAGGTCGACCTGTTTCACGCATCTCAATCCGGAGTGCGAACATGGCATCCTACGTTCCTCACCATCGCCTGGAACGGATCTTGCCAATCATTTCTGATGGTTCGGGTTCGGAGCATGGAGTTCAGCGACTTGCGGTACACGTGAAGGAGATCGATCCCTCAGTCGTAAGTCTCATTGCACGGGAACTTCCCAATCTTACTGCGCTGGAGCTCGTGGATTGTTCACATATGGAATTGGAGGACACCGCCACATTACTGAACAAGGTGAACGGTATCGCGGAGGCTATGCGAGGATTCAATGCACTGAAAGAGATCCGAGTAAGTGGTGTCGTGTTGCCAAGTTCCGCCGTTTCGCGAGATCTTGCCGAGGTGTTGGGCCGGTTTTCAAGTGGACTTGAACGCTTTGTGATGGATAGATGTACTTGGGTTCGTCGAGATGATGGTTGGGAACCTTACTAGATTGGAGTCTGTCATCTTTGTTGTCGTGACGATATAGAACTATCCCTGGCTTGGCGCTTCTAGTTACGTTAGTCTTTATGTGTGAATCATAGGCAGTACACAACTTGCATAGGTTTTGTTCGTTGGCGGCAGCTAGCTACTTGCACCTTTTCTCCTTAGGCGTCACATTCTCAACATCGGACGTCGCGATTGAGAAATCCTGTGCCTGCTGTGACGAAAGCAATTTGATAATTGATTCATTGCCATCTCAATTCAATTCAAACCTTACAATCGACGGCAAGTTCCCGTTGATGCAAGCGGCACAGCTGTTTGGGCCGCTGGTTGCTGCACTGTGCTGAGCCTGTGTCTCCTCATCCACTGTCTTTGCGGTCTCTCTGTTGTGACATAGTACCATAACTTGCTCGTTGTACGCGCTCAAACTCTCCAGAATTCTTTTCAATTCACTTGCTCAAGAAGGTAGGAACAGGGTTGTCTTCTTTCCGGTCGCTCAAATGTGTTCTCAGTGCTAGTAGTCATCTTGTCACAGCTCCTATCTTTCTTCCGCTTCCCATCACAGACGACGCTAGGATGTCTTTCTTTCGACGGCATCCGGCACTTGAGGCAGCATCCCAGGAGGACGCTCCTCATGCAAACAACAACGAGGATGACGAAATGATCGATCCAGCCCTTCGCCTTCGAACCGTCCGCACCGCGGCATCTGTCATTGCTGAGTCTGTACGCACCGAAAATCGGCGAGAGAGATGGAGGCGAAGACACGGCTGGAGTATGCGCCGAAAAGGGAGCAGTAAAAGTGGACGAAGCATCCTACGACCATGGGCTCATGAGGATTCTACCCAGGATCCGAGGGATATACCAGCGTCTGAATCTGCCGGAAATCAAGGCGCCAAACATACAGGTTCACGTAGAAATATTTATATGAACACCTCTTTGTCCCCATCCGAATTAGACAACAAAGGAGAGCCTAAAGTGCGATTTCCAAGGAATAAAGTTCGGACGAGCAGTGAGTAAACAGTTTATTTCTGTTATTCTTGTCATACGGGTTCTCACCAATGTTCACATCACAGAGTACACGCTTTTCACTTTCCTCCCTAAGAATTTGGCGGAGCAGTTCAGCCGGTGTGTTGCTTTGTGAAGGGGACTTCGTGATGGATTCTCATTGTATTTTCTGCGTTTAGGATTGCTAATCTGTACTTCTTGGTGATGGTCGTTCTTTCCAGTACGTTTTTCATATTCCAAGATCCTCGGATTTTGTTCCAATGCTCTTGCCGCGCAGTTTTTCCCGCCTTCGGTGCTGCGGCACCCCAAATCTCCATGCTCCCTCTTGTCTTCATCATTAGTGTTACCGCTCTCAAAGATGGTATCGAAGACTACCGACGCGCCCAGCAGGACGACCTCGTGAACAATTCCCCCGCCACCAAGCTCGGTGATTGGAGGAATGTCAATCAACCCAAAGATCCACGCACATGGTTGGAGCGGACTTTCCGACTAGCTCCTCCTCCGGGCACAGTGACTAAGGGTGTACGCAAGCTGCGAGAGAAGGAGGCGTCTGAATCCATTGCTATCATCCTGAGACGTGAGGGTGAATTTCAGATTGAGGGTTCTAATGGGCCAGGTGAAATCCCTGCCCAACATGATCCATCATTCCCATACCCTCCTGGTCATCCGAATGCGAACGTGTCTGTATCAGCAATCATTCCTGATGAATCGGGGCGGTCACCTGTTGCTAATTCTTCACAATATGCCATGTCTACGCGGGCGCAAAGTAGTGACGGCGTCATCGACTGGGATACCCAGATCACAGGGGCAGCTCACTGGGAACGAACCCTCTGGAAGAAGCTGGAGGTCGGCGATGTTATCCTCTTACGGGAGAATGATCAAGTGCCTGCCGACATCGTTGTGCTCTCGACGTCTGACCCCAATGGCTTATGCTATGTCGAGACGAAGAATCTCGATGGAGAAACGAATCTCAAGCCGCGACGTGCATTGAAGGCCACTTCATCCATGTTGTCCGAAGAAGACGTTGAACGGTCTGCCTTCATTCTGGACGCCGAGGCCCCTCATGCTAATTTGTACTCCTTCAACGGCGTGCTCAAATACCGCTTAAAGCCTTCCGCTGTCAATGTTACCCCCTCCGCCCTTTTACAACAGGAGCCCGTGACGATCAACGAACTGCTCCTTCGTGGTTGTGCGGTGCGTAACACAAAGTGGATTATTGGCCTAGTTGCGTTCACCGGATCCGACACTAAAATCATGCTGAACGGTGGGGAAACGCCCCATAAGCGTAGCAAGATTGAGACGGAGACGAATTTCAATGTCATTGTAAACTTTGCCCTATTGATATCACTGTGCTTGATCGCTGCTCTTGGGAATGGGTTTTATTATCAAGACGCGGACACGAGTGGAGATTTTTTCTACGAAACGAACGCCGCCCCGTCGACAATTCCTTTTGTCGACGCAATCTTTACTTTTGCGTATGCACCGCTCATATAAGCCTTGAGTACTCCACGACTCACTGTCTTTGTTTTTTCCTTGTACACAGGTCTGCCCTCATTGCTTTTCAGAATATCGTGCCTATATCTCTCTTCATCTCGATCGAACTCGTTAAGACCATTCAGGCGTACTTCATCAATCAGGATATTGACATGTATCATGAGCCCCTCGACACCTCTTGCGTACCGAAAACATGGAACATCTCCGATGATCTAGGCCAAATAGAGTACATCTTCTCGGACAAAACAGGGACACTGACCCAGAACGTGATGGAGTTCCAGAAGTGCTCAATTAATGGAGTTGCTTATGGGGATGGTATCACAGAGGCCATGCGAGGTGCCGCTGTCCGTGAAGGCGTGACACAAAGTATGACGGTCCAGGAACAAGACGAGCACATCCGACTACTTAAGGTGCAAATGATCTACACCATGGAAGGGGCCTTCAGTAATCGATACCTGCAAAAGGACAAACTCACCCTCATTTCAACCAAGCTTGCGGACGAGATGGCAAATCCGGATTCTCCCCAGCTACCTCACATAATCGCTTTTTTTCGCGCTCTCTCTATCTGTCATACCGTCTTAGCCGAAAAACCGGAACCTCATGAACAACCCTTCCTTGTCACTTACAAGGCTGAATCGCCCGATGAAGCTGCGCTGGTCGGAGCTGCCCGCGATGCTGGTTTCCCATTTATTTACAAAGGAAGCAAGGGCATCGACATCGAGGTTCTGGGTCAATTAGAGCGCTATGCCCCCCTGCGCGTTCTCGAGTTCAATAGCACACGTAAGCGGATGAGCGTCATCGTTCGGAATCCTGAGGGTCGTATTGTCCTTTATTGCAAGGGCGCTGATAGCGTCGTCTACGCCCGTTTGGCGGCTGATCACGATCCTGATACGAAGGAACGCACTGCCAGCGACCTTGATGCTTTTGCAAATGGCGGTCTGCGAACTCTCTGCGTAGCATACCGATACTTAGAGGAAGGAGAGTACGAAAAATGGGTGAGGGCCTATGATGCTGCTGCGTCTGCGGTGGAAGATCGAGAAGAGGAAATCGAGAAGGCCTGCGACATGATTGAGAGAGATCTTCACATCTTAGGTGCCACAGCTTTGGAAGACAAGCTGCAAGTAGGTGTGCCCGAGACCATCAAGACACTCCATCAAGCTGGTATCAAGCTCTGGATCCTCACTGGTGACAAGGTTCAGACCGCTATCGAGATCGGTATGCAATTTTTTGCGCACGTTCTCAATCATATTCACTAACGCCGGCAATATCGCAGGTTTTAGCTGCAATCTTTTGACGAACGCAATGGAGATCATGATCCTTTCAGCTGACTCGTCGGACACGGCAAGACTTCAGATTGAGGCCGGCTTGAACAAAATTGCATCCATGAGTGGACGTGGCAGTGCCAACGGGGAACCTCGGCACAGTGGTGGATTTGCTGTCGTCATAGATGGTGACACGCTGCGATACGCTTTGGATCCCACCTTAAAACCGCTATTCCTCAATCTCGGTATTCAGTGCGAAACTGTTGTCTGTTGCCGTGTATCTCCTGCCCAAAAGGCTCTTACCGTGAAATTAGTGAGTCCTTATCCTTCTGACTTCGTACCTCTTTAAGCATGTTCCGTTAGGTGAAAGAGGGACGCAGTGCAATGACGTTGTCCATTGGAGATGGTATGTATTACGATCGATCAATCTTTCTCTGTATCACTACGAGACTCAAAGTGGCCCATCGCAGGGGCCAACGATGTTGCCATGATTCAAGAAGCTAATATTGGCTGCGGTTTATTTGGACTTGAGGGGTCCCAGGCTGCTATGTCAGCCGATTATGCGTTCGCGCAGTTCCGTTTTCTAGCCAAGTTGGTACTTGTCCATGGAAGATGGTCATATCAGCGCATTGCTGATATGCACAGCAATTTCTTCTACAAGGTTCGTGACTCCATTTCTAGGGTTAGGAGGTTGCTGACAGCCGATAAAGAATGTGATATGGACATTGGCAATGTTTTGGTTCCTCATTTTTTGCAAGTACGTGAGAACCGCATTTATTGGTGGGTGTTTGGAGTTGCTGACTTGGCGTTTAGCTTTGATGCGACGTATCTTTACGATGCATCATTCATCATCTTGTATAATGTTGTGTTTACATCGCTTCCGGTAATAATTCTTGGAGGTGAGCAGGTGATAAGCGCATGTAATCTTAACTTGCTGAACTCGTATTAGCTTTCGATCAAGACCTGAATGCAAAGGCAACACTCGCGTTTCCTCAGCTGTACAAGCGAGGTATTCTCGGACTTGAGTACAGCAGACTCAAGTTTTGGACCTACATGTTTGAGGGCCTGTATCAATCTCTCGTCGTATTCTTCGTCCCATATTTCTTTTGGTCGATTGGTCCAGCTGCGTCGCATAATGGTCGTGGCATTGAATCACTATCTGATTTCGGTACAACTGTTGCTGTGGCCGCGATTTTCTCTGCAAACCTCTTCGTCGGATTGAGTAATCGATAGTAAGTTTTTTGTTCACGTTCACTAAACGTGCATCATCAACTGACCCATTTCTTAGTTGGACCATCTTGACCTGGATAGTGATAATTGGATCAATGCTATCGTGCATTGTGTGGATTGCCGTATATTCTCAGTTTGATACTTTCACCGATGAGATCAACATCCTTTTCAGTACGACGAGCTTCTGGAGTGCTGTCTTTTTCAGCGTTGTTATTGCGATTGGTATGTCTGGTGTCATCACCGGATCGTCTAGGCTAACTAGAAAGTCCAGGCCCTCGCTACCTTGCAAAGGCCTGGTCCCAAATTTATTCCCCCCTAGACAAGGATATCATTAGAGAAGCATGGGTTGCGGGAGACCTCAAAAAGCAATTAGGGATCCGACACCGCTACCGCAAAAACCGTGATCCGGAAGACGCAGGCTTTTTAGACAAGGAGCAATACAGTGATGAGAGCGAGCGTAACTCTAATGCTGAACCAGCCCCGTTGTTCTCAGGGGATACAGGCGGACGTAGAGATAATACATCCCATAGAACCCTGACTCCGGCGCCAGCAGCGTCTCAGAATTCAAGAACATTGACCCCTCTTGGCGGCAGCGGGAACACTGCCTCTCCATCCGCTTCATACAGCTCTGCTTCGGCAATCCCTGTCCCATCCCCACAAATACAGCATGCATCGCCACCGTATCCATCCCCCCAAGTACACTCTGGCATTATTCGTGGTTACGTCCCGGAGGACGTGGAGATGCGCCCGGTTCGGTCAACCGCTGGCTCTCCCCCTTCAGAACCATTGGATCTAGTCCAGCCTTCCTATTATGACCAGCGTGACGTCGGCCTTGCTCACTATCAAGATCCTCCGAATCCTCAACCGCAAGATAATGGTGGATATAGTGTACCTAGAGCGCTGTAGCTTCCAATTTTCGTTGCGCCGGTACCCTCGACCTAGGACATTTCTGTATGTTTTGCACTAAACCGTGAATAGGACTGCTTATGCTTTCAATGCTGTATTTTACTTCGCTTTAGTTGCTTTTTGATATCTATGTTGACCACAAATTTCGTGCCCGTGACCTTCACTGACTCTCCAAAAAGCATTCATCGTACGATTATGAAGGGGCTAGGTTTCGGGGGGCTGGCAATTGGTTGTCGCTGGGTCTAGGAAGTCGAGGTGTGTTTGCTAGCTTTTTGCTTTGTTCCCCAAACACTCCATGGCAAAGGATAGCGCACTGCATCTATGCCTCACTATTGGCATCGCCATCTCCTCATGCCCGGTTCTCTGTGGACGCCCTACGGCTGAAGCATGCGTTATCCACACTTCATGCAACTCCAATACGTGGATGCTGACTGTCTGCCTTGCGCCACTTATAAACTTAGCTATCTGATCAACCACTGATGGGAATGTTAACGTTCAAACGGTGATGGTGTTAGCAAGCTATGCATAATATGTACATGTAAAACCGGGTTCCAAGGCATTGCACAATGCGATGTGATGCCGATCAGCGCGATTGGGCGAAGGACTCATAATGCCAGCAGTCCCTTGGTAATTGCAAGGTGCATGATATGGAACCCTCACATTAATTTCACGCGAGAAAGGTGCAGTATCCCTTGACCTGCACCTTGCCAATTTGTCCGATTCGTGGATCAATTGCCTCGTCACATACCGGGACGGCAGCGTCGTGTTTCGCACCGCAACAGAAGACCTGCCTCGCACTAGCCCTGTGTTGCTTTAGATTGTGTATGATGAATAAAGCGTGTCTGTGATGTTGCGCAATTGCAATCTGAGACAAACAAGCTGCCAAAGACGTTGTGAGTCTTCGTAAAACGGATTCCTGGATTTGAGTGCTTCAGCAAGGTACTAGGCGTCTAAAAAAGAAAAGAATGACCTGAAGCGACGTCTAGCTGCCCATGGAAGATGTTGGATTTCGTCACCAAGGTTGTGGGTCTGTGCTAAAGTTGAGCTAGGCAGCAGTCGAATCCTACGTATGCAAGAAGGGGGTTTTACAGACTTCCGGTCCGCGGAGTGGCGAGCAGTTATGGGTTGAAACTTGCCGGCCAGACACAACGCAAGAGAAAATGGACCTGATAATTTCAGCTTCTGGCAAAATGGTGACGCTTTCATTGCATGTTCCAATCCGCTGACTGCTCATATCAAACGCCCACAATAGCGACTTGTGGATCAGACAAACGATGATTCTACCTCCACCGGCTGCTGGCCGGTGTCGATTTTTGGGGAAGGTTTTCCATCAAATTGAGGGGGGGGGGATGTTCTGGCGCTTGAGACAAGAGGTTCGCAATATCATTCATCCCCAAGCCACATTTCCGAAGTTGCATGGTCGCATGACGTTGTTCACTTCTCAACGGTCGGAGCAATCCGCGCTGCTATGTCTCATAAGAAGAGTCTATGATATTGAGAATCAGAAGCAAAGGGGAGATACGGAGAGAACAGAAGGGTTAAAGAGAGAATGATGGTTGCTTAGATAAGTAGTGATCCCATCGTCACTCGAAGGGTATAAGAGGGGATCCATTTGGCCCTCAACGGGGAGCAGTGCCATATGGCTACCACTTAGCCTTCGCCGATCTGGCGTAAGACCACCCCGTTGTGGCCGTATTCTGGATCTTTCATCGTGTTGTGCTCGGCTAAGGGGTAAGAGGCATTATAAGACGGTATCAGAGGTAGGCTTCTGCAAGGCACGGCTTACGGAGATGGTTGGAGTACGGATGGGAATAAGATTGATCGAACTATTCTGATGGAGGGCCACGAAGTCAAACCTTGGTGCGTAATATATAGAAGAAACCTACCCCAGGTGTGGCGGTATCAGCACGGCCCTCCAAATTCACGGACTCCATGAGCTCCGAATCTGCAGGCTGACATCAGGCATATGTATCAAGTACCGAGTTCTCTCATACCCGGGATATCGTTCGGCAGCACGAAATGGATTGAACTTAACGCCACCGAGCCAGGTGACGGAGAAATCCTATCGTCCATGTCCACATTGCGATCCTGTGGAGTACTCCGTATGATCCGTATGATGGATAAGACGTAGATCATATAATACAGCTAGTAAATTGGGTCCCAGCGTAGGATATCCATGCACATCAGCACTGCGGGAAATTAGACTTACTTGCCCTAGTACCGGGGATATAAAGTCCAAGGCCGGACTGGTGGGCTGAAGAACCAAGAAAACTCAAGGTAAGCAGCGCTCGAAATGTTAATGGCTTGTTACTGACATAGCAAATGATCAAAACCCCCCGCGGCACTTGGAGAACGAAGACGGATAAAAACACCAATATCTATAGTATATAATCGTTAGTGTGCGATCTTGGGATGATATAAGAGGACCTATGTACACATCGGACTGCTGCCCTCGACACAAGACGCTGCATCCTTCCAGCGCTGTGCCCCGAACTTTCTTCAAAATGCTTATTAGCATGATGAAGAAATTGCAGACACGAGGCGCAGGCAATGACGGAGCACAAAGCGTCTGCGAACGCGCCGGCAGCAACCCAGTATCGCCATTTGAGACTCTTTGAGCTGACAGAAGAAGATATTGTTATGGAATCAACTGTGTGGTTAGAGGGCGCGAGACATACGGTGTTTTTATCGTCAGAGCCGCCGCATACGAGAAAACCGCTGAGTATGACAAGCCAGTGAACAAAAGGTCGTATGGATGATGTGAAAATGGCGCACCCGACTGAGCGAGGCACAGAAGAACGATGGCCACCAAACAGAGTCGGAGTCCCCCTTGTATATATCGCTGATACACCGAACATATACACCTTAGGCTAAGCGTACTAGGGATCAGGGGAATAAGTTTCCATAGCGAGAGGAGAATAAGGGGACATACCGAAAACCGAGGTACACTGAGGTGCGGTTGTGTTTAGCTAAAGGTAAAGAACATCGAATCGGTACAACTTACAATATAATGCACACGCAGAGAATATTGACATGATCCAAGAAGAGGCCCCCAGAACGCGCATCACCTCTTCCCTCAGCGGGTAAGCTGGAGAATGGATGAAAAGAAAGTCCTCAAGAGTTGTAGAAAGGTCTCACAGATACCAGCGCAGGATATGAAAATCAACAATCCGACACCTGAAAGGGGAAGAATGAACTTGGATGCCAATCGTGTAATTTTCACTCCGTACCGAGTTGGGCTAATTGGGTTGGGATAAGTCCCAACGCCACGGCATAGTTCCAAGCGGAAACAGGAGCGCAGGTACTTGAACGATGCATGCGAGCGATGAAAAAGAGAGAAAGAGAAAAGAGTGTTACAGTGAGTGTGAACCCCATGACGGCCCAGAGGTTTCTATGCACATATCCTTAAGATCAGATGTGTATCATGCTTGTGGTATCACTCACTGAAGCATTGAGCCCATGAGTACGAAATGGAAGGGAGTGTTGTGTGGTGGTTCAAGGCGGAGTTAGAAATCCGAGAATTTTCGGATACAAATCACCGGATGCTGGAATAATTCTGTCAGGGAGCGTGCAGTCGCAAAGGTCATTTGGGCGGCGTAGGGGGAGCCTCCGGACTTCTAGAGACTAGAGACTGTTGCTGCTCCTCATCTTTTCATGTCCAAGACAACGTGTGGCACGGAATGGACGATAGGACTCATGAAGGTTAGCATTCCAGTTTCTTCAAAGCTTGGAAGTAGTTGATGTTCAACGCAGTTGATGATTTGTTATGATGAAAATACCCACTTAGGGTTAAGATAAGTGTCCAGTTGAAAAATATTCCATCAGTGTCATCTACCCGCTTAGATGTAGAACACTTGTTCACGAACAGCTTGTATGGACACTAGTGGGGGAAGGGAAAGCATACGATATCCCTCGCATCGGAGACTTCAAGGCTGCCTTCAAAAGTGCTCGTACTTTCTGATATTCATAAGTGGGATCTTGATGCCGTCGGGAGGAGCGGGTCCGGAACGGATCAAACGATATGGGTGCGTTTTGTTCAATTACGATCCAGGACCAGTTTATGGGGTTGAATTTCATTTGTCGTTTGTAGCCCATGCTTATATGTTATTTGGTGCAGGACGAGCACAGTTAAGTCCCGAGGAGGGGAAGGCAAAGTAGACAAGCTTTCATTTCCGGATGATAGAGGGTGTCATGTCGCCAATGACGTTGCCATCTTCAAGCACTTCATAAACTTCCAAGACGGATAACAAGGACTTTCTCGTCTCAAAGGCATCATCGAGTTTCAGTGCGAGGTCGTGTTAGTTCAAACTGCGAGTTTTCAGCTGATGAATCTATGATATCTCAAGGTCCTTGCGCCAAAAATATGAATTAGACTCGAGAGTGCTGCAATACTGCAGGGTATGAAAGGTCGTGGGCCCGGGAAGCCCGCAGAGCTCCTCAACATCGCAATCATTGGAGCAGGCTTTAGACAAGGACAAGCAGAAACAGCTAGTGGAGAGGTTGTTTCAGTTTGCTGAAAGAAGCCCCTACACACATGTGAGACGCTACTTTCCAAGGGACGGTCAGAGACTGAGCAGCGCTGTCTAGCAACTCGAAGGGGTCATGGTCTGAGTTGTTGAGGGAGTTCCGATTCCCATCCAATGGTTGGTTTGCGAGCGCTTGCGTGGCAGTGGTCGTTAGGGTTAGCCTCAAACGACCATAAATTCACGTTGGGCTTCGCCCTATTTGATTCGATGGGAAATTGAATACTGATACAGACTGACTCGGCCAACTCCGTCGCAGAAACAAGTGCCAAGGATGAACCCACGCGCAACTATCTGAAGTCTCCAAACGAAGTTTCGGATGCTGCGGCTTGACAATTTTTCTCCATTTTCCCGCACGTTACTTGCCACTCGTGGTGGATAGGTTGTCCCATTCCAACTAACCCGCAGGAGCCTGCCTCTGATACCATTTCACAATGCCTCTGGCCTCTTAGCCAACCTCCACCTAAAGTCAACTATGTGGGGTACCAAAAGCCACAACAGCATGGTCTTACGCTGGATCTTTTAGTCCCAGATCGGCGAAGGCTAAAATGATAACCATACAAACGCTGCTCCTGATTTTGCATGGTAATGGCCGATTCCGAGTGTAATGGACCCCCTTGTACCCTTCGAGTGCCCTTCGAGCGACAACACGGAAGAATACTCTTTTCGCTCCCCCACCCACAATATGGAACACCGATTACCCATCCGTATCTCGCCTTTGCTTCTGATTCCTAATATTCTGTGAGAGATAGCAGTAGATTGCTTCGATTGTTGAGAAGCGGACGTCAGGCGGCCGCACGGCTTCGCGACGTTGGAAACCTGCAGTGTGGATGAACCATATTGCAGACACCCGTATGTTTCAAGCTGTGGCCAATTTGATTGATAGTCCTCCCCAAATTGACACCAGCAAGCAGTCAACAGGGGCCGGGAGGTCGAGTAAGGGACATGCGATCCATCGCTTGTCCAGTGTCGTGTGTCTCTATGGCCGCCGGCGCTTCGTGCCAATGTCCCGCTTTCCTCAGCGAAGGTTTCAGACGCCTTCCCTGTTGAAGGGCTGGAACGATTTCATCATTCACATTACAATCGACAATCCGGACTGCTGGCATCATAAGTCAAATCCTTCCCGCAACCACCGCGCTGATCGGCACGATAATGTTTTGGAATTATATTAGGCTGAAGTCCTCTTATATGCACATGTTATGCATAGCTTACCGACACCATCATCGTTCAAAAGCTAACAATTCCATCGCTAAAAGGCAGAGAGAGCTTAGCATACATATTGCCTTCGCTAGCACGATTCAGTATGGAGCCCAGAGTCACAAGAGCACCGAGCACGCGTGGGGATGGCAGGTGGTTTGACGATGTCTTAAAAGGATTTACGATAATGAAACTAAATTGAAATAGGTACTGTGCGCTGTCATTGGCCGTGCAGTGTTTGGAGGAACAGAGCGGGGGGCAGATCTATTTCAACTGGATCAATGGCCACGAAACCGAGATCCATGGCAGTAACAACCAATCGCCAACCCTTCCCAAGCGACCTAGTCGTATGATGCATACCTCTCGCAGAAGCACAGATAGCCTCATCGAGTAGTACTAGTCGACTGGACCACGTAGGCACACTCGATGGAATATGGAACTAGGGGGGCCACAATGGGCTGACCTTATGATAGTCGAGAGGAAGGAAACCTATTGGCACCAACAGCACCGGAGTGCAGAAGTGCCAGCCAACGTGCAGGCAGTTAGGAGACATGCTAGCCGAAGCGAGTAAAATTACGAGCAAGGGCTCCCAATGTCTTTGGCTCGAGTTTGTTTCCCAACCCTATCAGGGTGCTTTGTTCGCCATGCGCGACCTGAACGACATGCTTGGATTGAAGTTGAAACAGGATGCAAACATGATTACTGCCGTCACGATATGTGACGAGACAATTTATCGCCGAAGGTGCATGTAAAGGATAGCGCATCTCTCATCGTGGTGATGGTGCCATGGGGACATCTGGTGTCTCGAACATATCACATGAATGTCACTCGGCGCCGGATAACATACAGAAAGGTTGGACTACTATAGGCTGACTACACATGACAGGTGAAATTCAACCCCGTAAACTGGCCCCGAATCCTTGTTGAACAAAAACGCACCTGTATAGTTAGATTCTTTCCGGAGCCGCTCTTCCCGCCGGCATCAAGATACCACTCAGAAAATAGGAGCGCACTTGAAGGCAATCTTAAGTCTCCCACGCGAGGGACATCGCGCGCGCGTCCCTTCCCCCCCCCCACTAGGGTCCATAGTGGCCAAGTGCTCTACAGGATATTACTAACAGAATATTTTTTGACTGTACACTTATCTCGGCCCTAAGTGTGCTTATTTTCATCACAACGAACCGTCAAACGCGTTAGCATCAACCATCCTTCAGGCCTTGAATAAGTACATAGGACGCTGACTTTCGTGGGTTCCGCGAACTCTCGCTCACTCTGTGCTAAACGCTGGCACCTATTGATTTTCTGCATGGCATGGGAGAAAAAAATGCGCAGTGGCAATAGTTCTTAGTCCCTACCATTCCGGAAGCCTCCACGGTTACCAGGCTGCTCTTAGACGGCCCTTGTGATGACATGCTCTTTAACCGAATTATTCCAACATCCAATACGAAAACTCTCCTCCGATTTCTACTCCGTCTCATCCTCACTCCTTTCGCTACAACGTGTTCTGCGCTCATGGGGTCAACGCTACAGTGAGTCAACCATGATAAACATTTGGTCTTAGGGATGTGTACGTCGAATCGTCTCGGCCGTCCTAGGCTTCATACTCACTAGCGCAGTGGCGTCAAGGCTTATCCCAACGCAATCAGCTCAATTCGGTACGTGGTTTGTGTGAAATCGCACGGATTGGGTTGAGGGAAGGCCTAGTGCGCATTCTGGGATTCTGGGGGACTGCCCCGGGACGTTTCGGGTGCGGGGGAACTTGGTCCTTGATACCCTCCGCCCACAGATTCGGAGCTCATGGAGTCCGTGGATTCGGGGGATATCCGGATCCCTTCACCCCTGGGGTATGTTTCTTATATATCACATACCCCGCCAGAATAGTTTGGTCCACACCCCAGCCACCCCCGTGGGCAGGGATGAAGGGTCGGGAACAGAAACTGTAGTTGCAAGTCAACAAGTGTAAGATACAGTGGGAGCCGCGCCGGAGGCCAAACACAGAAGTTGTTGTCGAGAGCGTAAGAGTGAGGCCAATCAACTTGGTGCCCATTCCAGTCTCGACAATGTTTCGGAGTTACTGGAGCCGATTGAGGTGGTTGAATTGCTCTCAACCGGCCACCTCAACCAGCCTCGGAGTGATGCATATGTTTGGTATATCACCAATATGCAAAAGGGACTCCGACTCTCCATCATTCTTTTGTGTCTTGCTCAGTCAGGTGCGCCATTTTCACGTTATCCATAGCACCTTTTGTTCACTTACTCAGCGGCTTTCTCGTACGCGGCGGCTCAGACAATAAAACACCGTATGTCTCGCCCTCTAACCACGCAGTCGATTCCATAATAATATCTTCTGTCAGCTCAAAGAGTCTCAAATGGCGATACTGAGTTGCTGCCAGCGCGTTCGCTGATGCGTTATGCTCCATCATTGCTTGCGTGTCTTGCCACCGGCAATTCCTTCACGCTAACAAGCAATTTGAGGAAAGTTCGGCACACAGGGCTGGCAGAATGCAACATCTCGTATCGAGGGCAGCAACTCGATGTGTACATAGGTTCTCCCAAGATCGCACACTACTGGCAGAACGTCCAACGGCCACAGCGGGGTGGTCTCACGCTGGATCTTTAGTCTCAGATAGGCGAAGGCTAAGTAGTAGCCATACGGCACTGCTCTCCGTTTTAGTATGGATCCCCTTTATACCCTTCGGGTAACGATAGGATCACTCGAAGAATACTCTTTGTCGTTCCTACACATCAATTACTTATATTAGCACCCATCATTCTGTCTTTGATTCTTCTGTTCTGTCCCTATCTCCCCTTTGCTTCTGATTCCCAATATCATAGACTCTTCTTATGACACATAACAACGGATTATCCTGACCGTTGAGAAGTGAACAGCGTCATGCGACCACTCAACTTAGCAAAGTTGGAAATATGGCTTGGGGATAATCAATATTGCGGACCCCATATCTCAAGCGCTAGAAAGTTTCCAGCTTCAAATGCAGGAATCCATTTTACGAAGGCACACAACAGCTTTGGCAACTTGAGTTTGTCTCAGATTGTAACACCATAGATCTTATCGGCGTGCCTTCTTCATCATACACGACCTGAAGCGACACGAGCGGAGTTAATATGCAGTATATCGCGTCAACGAACGCGTCAGCAGCGATCCAGTATCGCCACTTGAGACCTTTGTAACTGACCGAAGATAATATTATGAGGGAATCAGTTGCGTGTATAAAGGGCGAGACATATTTGATTGCCTGAGCTGCCGTGCGCGTGAAAATCGCTGAGTATTACAGTGAGTGAACAAAAAGTGCCGATAATACTTGGTCGAGCGAGGCACAGAAGAATAATCGTCATCAAACAGAGTCGGAGTCCCTTTTGTATGTATCAGTGACATCCGCCCGCTTAGATGTAGAACATTTGACCACGGTCGGGGAAGGGAAGGGATAGGATATCGATCCGTCACGTTGGGAACTTTTGCCTTCAAGAACACTCGTACTTTCTGGTATCCGTGACTGAGATTTTCATACCAACAAGAGGAGGGTCCCTAACTATACAGGTACGTTTTTTTCGATAAGATCTGGGGCCAGTTTACGGGTTAAATTTTATCTGTCCTGTGTAGCCAGTCTAGCCCATTTGTGCCTGTATGTTATCCAGTGCAGAGTGGGCGGAGCCAAGTCCCGAAGAGCGAAAACGAGGCAAGCCTACTGAAACACGCAGAAATTCTTTATCCTTTTGGATGATAGACACAGACCCGAGAGCACCGCAACACGACAAAGCACAAAGGGCCATCGGCCACGAGATGGTTGGAGAGTCCCTCAACATCAACGCGCCAGAAGTGAAGCCAACTCTACACAAGCACAGGTAAAAAAAAAACACCAATAGAGGTGGGGATCGATTCAGTTTGCTGAAAAGCCTCTACGCATTAGACGCACGCTGCTTTTCATAAGACGGGAGTCGAGGCTGAGCAGTGCTGTCCAAGGGACACAGTTAAGGACAATTCTCACTCAATAGTTGATAGCGCCTGCATGACAATAGCCGTTCGCGTTGACACCTTGAAGTTGGGGGCTTTGCCACCCGGATTCAATGCAATATTGTATGATCAGCTCGGCCACTTCCGTCACATTGACACTGGCATCTGAATTTCACCATGTCTTGAATGGAATTCTGAGTACAAAGGATGAATTAATGCATGACTACCCACCATTCTCCCAGAACGGAGTCCTGCAGATGATAATTTTTTCTGCACTTTGCTTTCTCGCCTCTCATGTAATACGTTCAAGACACCAGATCTACTTTAGTAGAGGCTGGGATCCTGCCTAGACACCAGACGACCTCGGGACCGTCCCACACTATGAGAGGAGTACTCACATCAATCCTGTGCCATTTCAGGTCGTGTGTGGCGAACAAATAGGCAGCCTCTTACTAAGCGAACGAAGCACTCTGACAGGATTGATCATGCTGAAGTCCGGAAAGTTGATCCATCATGTGAATTGCTGAATTGGAGTGCGGAAATATTGCCGGGTCTAAAGAAGTCTCGTGCCGCAGTAAGCACGGGCAACAGACATCCAGAGCGGAGGACCTGTCTACACCTTAAGCGGGTACGATCTCTTTCGAGTCTTCCATCAGACTGAGGTCAGCTAGCGCGTCTCTCGACTGTCTCGCTCTAGCTCTGGCGCGAGGCTGGCCGGCGCTCCGCACTTCGGTGCCAATATATTCTAGAGTCACCTTCCCCTCGACTTCGAGTATCGTAAGGTTAGTCCGGGTGCCTCCTTAGCTCCATTGTCCACACAGTTCAGCAGAACTGGTATTACTTGGTGACGCTGTCTGTACCATGCATGAACGCTGCCGGCTACTAGGCATCGTCCGATGCTGCGGGTTGAATCTCGTATTTCAAACTTTGTGACTTCGGGGGGCACCTTGGTCGTGGGTTTTCTCTTAGCATCGTCAATTGCTTGCGGTCATGCATGCCTCGCCATTCAAGGCCCTGTGGTCAGCCTATCAAAGCCTTTGCATACAAACTGTACAATGGCGTTTACTCGGCAGAGGCTGGTGACAGTCTGACCCAACCACTATGGCTTCTAACCCGTCGACAGCTGGGAGGATCGCTAGGACCCGGAACATCATCAGGCAGGTGACCAGCCTCCATAGTAGGAATACCATAATTTTGGACATCTGTGCGACTTGGACTTGAACTCTAAGTAGTAGCGCCCTCTCGTTTCGTGATGGAATAACCCCACACGCACGAAACATGCTTTACGAGCGCGGGTAGAAAAGTCGCCAACGTGTGCTTGCCATCTGTTGTTCTTCGCCTACTCATTCCAAACATTATTGTTGTCAGTACCATTTGGGGTGAATGCGTTATAGCTTCTGAGTATCCCGTCATCGGATGTGGCATGCATACCCGGCCAGGGGGCCAAATGCAACGCAACTCAACGCCCCATGTCGAAGGTCGCTGATACCTCGCCTGTTGAAGATGCGAATAGCAGGGGAGTTCTCAATGTATTTCTTGCACACCAAGCACATGCGGGCATGCAATTACTTTTTGTCAGGAAGGAGTACGTCGGAGTTACCAGCTGAGCTCTTACAGGATGATGGAAGCATGACAAGCCAAGTTAGCAAATAACCCGGTGACGCCCGTGCACTTTTACAGGGCTGGGAAATGCTTCAATGGACGAGGTTCTCAGGCGAAAGGAAACCACAAGCACAAATTTGGGGCTCTCGATTCCCCTGCTGCCATTCACATCAATATACCTGCTAGCTTGCCAACAGTGAAACTGTGCCAACACCAGACTCGGCATTGTTGAAAGAGGGCTGGTGATGACTGATTGGGTGTTGATGCACATGTAAATCTTGAATGCTATTTCGATGAAGGAAGTAAAGTACATCCAGCGAATCTCAGCCAGCAAACGCCTGAATTAACCCAAATCATTTACGCTAGAAGGCAATGCTTCAGAGTGTCGAAACAGAAAGCATTGCGATCGTGTCAAACCCGGCAGTCGACGAGAGGTGAAGTAGTGTTCTGATTATTTTCAGGGAATTGTTCGACTCCCTCCTCACTCAGCCTTCGATAAGGGAATTAGATAGGACACATCTAGCTGATTTTGCGGAAGGAACTTACAGGTCATCAATGAGGTCGCGTGAGAAGCTGAGGGAAAGAACTGAGAACGGGACAAACAGTCATAACACACCAACTCACACATGATGGAATACACCGGACAGACCGTGTTCTGCTGGGCCATTCGCGAGTACTTGATCACTAAGTGCTCTCTTGAGCTCACCCTCACTAATTTCTCTCCCGACCCTGGGTCCACGAGCAGGGCCCCTTGAATGACCATCCACAGTGTCAGTGCAGAACAATTCCAAAATTCGGATGAGATACTCACAGCCCGAACATGTTTGGAGGGAAATGGGGAATTACGATTCCTGGGCCCAGTGGTCCGATCTGACGTCCTAGCAACGGTCGTGCAATGCCTGGGCCAAAGAGGTCCGGTCGAATTTCAATTCCTGGGCCCAGTAGTCCGAACCGACGTCCTGGCGGCAGTCGTGCCATAGCTGGGCCATAGCCTAAAAAGGGCAGTGAAATCCCATTATCTTTGAGACTTTCTCGGCGGGCGATTTCCCAAACATGCTCGTCGCGGCTAGATACTTCCGCATTGCGGCCTTGAACACGAGAGAGACCTGGAGGGTAATGGAAAGGTCCAAGTTCTGGGGCGAGTGGTTCTAATCGACGTCCTAGAGGTGGTCGTGGTGCCTTAGCTGGGCCATAGCCGAAAAGTGGCCCGTACCGACGTCCTAGAAACGGCGGTCGCACGAGTGGGCTGAAAGCGCCCGGTGGAAGCCGAGGACCACTAGGAAAAACACCTCCACGTCGTACTGGAAGCGGAACTTCAAGAAGCGGAATATTATGAGGAATAAAAGGAATAAAAGGTTGACGGCGGACGGCGTTATGCTCGTCGCGGCTAGACAGGCCCTGATTGCGGGCATCGACGTCGCGAGGGAGACTAATAAATGCGCTAGTGAGATCCCATGTAGATATTAAACATTATTTTGCGTGGATTTACATTCCAGGGGCTGCCAAAGCCTGGGACACGAACAAGATAGTGACGACAACAGTCGTGAAAGCCCGCATGGTTGAATGATGGTGCAAATGAACGATGCAATAGAAAGCAAATGTGGGTGTGGGTCGAGGTTGTAAAGAGGAAGCTAGGGAATGGGAATCTTTAGCCCGCAGACTGCGAGTTATCCTGCTGCGTACAACAGCAGTTGAGGTTGAACTCACTGCAACCAGCGCACTAGAAAAGAAGAGGACTGAATGCTTGACTGAGACCTGCCAGTGAGGGAACCTGAGAAAAATTTTCCGTCGTTTTAAACGTCATTCACCGCCTTGTCCAATTAAGGAGCCGTGGATCATTCGGTCAACTAACAGCAACGGGCAATCCAAACTCGGGTATATGATTGATGTCGACAACTGTAGTAGTTAGGTTAGGTGGTGAGATGGGGTTACGCCGAGCACATAGTTCTGATATAAACGTGGTCACATCAGGCAGCAGGCGTTCACCGTCCGGTGCAGTGTCAGCATCGAGGCATGATTACGGCTAGTTTACGGGGGCTGGGGCTGAATCTAATCTGAATCATCTGTTGTTTGTAGCCGGGTGCGTGTGACGTCTTCGGAATAAACACATGATATCTCAAGGTCTTGAATATGGGTTGGACCCAAGAACGCTGCAAAATGACGAGGCACGGAAGGTCATCCAACTAACGGGGGTGGGGGTTGGTTCAGCTGGAAAGAAGTCTCCACGCACACAGGCGAGAACGCTACTTTCTGAGAGACGCTCGAGACTGAACAGTACTATCCAGCGGCTTGAAGCGTCATAGTCCCACCCAATGGTTCATTTGTGAGCGCTGGTGTGGTAATAGCCGTTAGCGCAAATTCACTTTGGCGCTGCGAAGTTGGGCTTTGCCCCGTTTAATTCGATGCAAAGCCGGGGACTGAATGCGGAACCACTTCCATCACATTAACAGCAACTGGCGCTGAATTAATGCACGACTGTGTCCATACCGCCTAATTCTCCTAGGATGGAGTCCTGCAGATTACGATTTCCCAACACTTTGCTTTCTCGCCATTCATGCAATGTGCCTGAATCTTCGACAATCCATTCAATCCGTCGATAAACTGTCTCGTCGAATATTGGGACGGCAGCGATCATGGCTGTACCCTGTCACATCAATCCAGTGCTGTAATTTCAAGTGGTGTGACGAACATAAGCACTCTGGTGTCGAAATCTAGAATCAAACTCGAGTCGCCGAAGACATCGATAAAGCGGATTGCTGAAATTGGAGCGCAGGAAACTGAACAACATTACTCGGCCTGGGAGAGGCGGGTTCTCGTGCCGCAATAAGCACTGGCGACAGACTTCCAGAGCCGAGAACCATCTAGACCTTAAGCGGGCACAGTTTTTTCATCAGTTGTCCTACCTGCTTGTCAAGTAAGGCGAGCTCAGTGTGCTTCCTTAGCTCCAGTGTTCCTACACAGTCTAGCCGAACTGGTGAGGCTGTCCGCACTATGAATGCTCCCAACTACTAGGCATCGTCTGATGTCGGTGCTGGGGGGAATGCGTAAAACCTTTGGACGCACCAACTGCTTCGCTTCTCAGCTTCCCGAATTGCGGATTGAGGCTGTATTTCAAACTATGTGACTTCGGGCGTGCCTCGCCATTCCAAACCCCCGCCTGTGAGCCTAATTGAGTTCAAAGCTTTTGCATTATGTATTGTTGTATGAGTCAACTCCGGCGTTCAGGGGCAACACTCGAGCAACGAGAGACAAAGGTATGGAACTAAAGCTATATTATCATTATGTTTAACTACGGTGTTTTATAGTACAACAGGGCGATGCTACAGGATGGACCGCGCGCAGATGCGTCGGAGAGGCGGTGTCGGAATGGGTCAAATTGCCGAAACGGTGTAATTCGACATTGTTCAATGGCGTTTGTTCAGCAGTTCAGCCCAACTATTATGCCCTTTCATAGGTGTTGACCTCGTCGACAGCTGGGAGGGATCGTTAGGACCCGGAACATCATAATGCTGGACACCTGTGCGAGCTGTGCCGGATGGGACTTGATCTCCGAATAGGGTCCTTTCATTGACAACTCTACACGCATGAAACATGCTTTGCGAGCGTAGATGGGAAATTGCAAACGGATGCTTATAATCTATGTATCATATGCAGCATTCGCTTGTTCGCTCCCTCATTCCAAGTAAACAATATTGTCGTCACTACGATCGGCGTGAATGCCCATTTGCTATTTCTATGAAGAGAGTAAAGTACATCCAGCGAAATCTCAGCCAGAAAGTGCCTGGATCAACGTCGATTAATCCGAATCATCTAGCTGCATCAGGGTCGAAACAAAAACATTGTGATAGGGTCAGTCGACGAGAGGTGAAGCAGCGTCCTGACTATCTTCAAGGGACCGTTTGACCCCCTCATCACTCAGCCTTCGAGAAGAGAATCAGATCGGGACACATCTAGCAGGGTTTGCGGAAGGAACTCTTACAGGTCATCAGCGAGGTCGCGTGAGAAGCTAGGGGGAAAGGACTAAGAACGGGATAAACAGCCATAACACACCGACTCACATATGATGGAATATACCGGAAAGACCACTTTGTTCTGGACCATTCGCGAGCACTTGATCACTAAGTGCTCTCTTGAGCTCACCCTCGCTCATTTCTCTCCTGCCGATCGCCCGATAAGGCCCCCTTGAATAAACGCCCAGTGTCAGTGCAAAATAATTCTAAAATTTGGGTTAGATACTCACAGTGGAGGGAAATGGGGGATTGCGATTCCTGGGCCCATTGGTCGGAACTGACGTCCTAGCAACGGTCGTGGGCCGAAGAGGTCCGGTCGAATTGCGATTCCTGGGCCCAGTGGTCCGAACCGACGTCCCAAGGGTCGTGGTGACATAGCTGGGCCATAGCCTAAAAATAGCTCCGCATTGCGGACCGGTAGAGGAGAAACGCCCCCAAATGGCTGTGCATGTGGATGATGGTTGAAAGTGTCCAGTGAAAACTGAGAACCGCTAGGAAAACCATCGCGACGTGATATTGCAATAGGAAACGGAAGATCATGAAAAACATTATGAGGAAGAAAAGGTTGACGGCGGACGAGATCTCCGCCATGCTCGTCGCGGCTAGACAGCTCCTCATTGCGGGCATCGACGTCGCGAGGGGGACTAATAAATGTGCTAGTGAGACTCCATGTAGAACATTATTTTGCGTGGATTTACATTCCAGGGGCCGCCAAAGCCTGAGACGCGAACAAGGTAGCGACGACAACAGCCGTGAAAGCGCGCATGTTTGAAGTGAATCGAGTGATAGTGCAAGTGAATGATAGTGCGAGTCGAGGATGTGGAGAGGAAGCTAGAAAGAATCTTTAGCCCAGAGACTGCGAGTTGCCCTGCTGCGTACAGCAGCTGAACTTACTGCAACCAGCGCACAAATAATGAAATAAAAGAGAAGAAGAGAAGAGAGGACTGAAAGCTTGACTGAAACCTGCCAGTGAGGGAACACGAGAGCGCACTCCCGTGTTTTTAAACATCCTCCCAAGTCATCCACCGCCCTGCCCAGTTAATGAAGCCGTGGATCATTTGGCCAACCAACAGCAACCGGCGGTCCAAACTCGGGTACATGATGCATTGGCAGTGCGATGATGTCGTAGTCAGGTCAGGTGGTAGGCCGGGCACATAGTTCTGATATAACACGGTCGCATCAAATACCAAGAGTTTACCGTGTCCAGTGCAGTGTCGACGTCGAGGCGTTCAATATCCAGGTGACAGGGTATTGTTGATGATTCTCGATTGAGCGAATGCTCTGTAGTATACTACCGAGTCATGGTAGAAGTACGGCATGGAGCAGTGATGCGTTTGAGACTGAGAACAGTGGTGCATGTCGTTTGTTGCTGAGCATGTCGAGTGATGGGTAGGTTACCAACTTCCACTGGAATAGAGTCGATTGATGGAGCGAATACGCGAGATCTGAGTGGCAACCTGGAGCCATTGACGAAAGCTTGATGGTTGCCGAATGCCAACGGGTTATGCGATGCAGTCTCCAGAACTCGGTGATTGATTGACAGAGGGCGCCGATGCGATATGTTCTATTCGTCAGAGGCTGCGGTGGTGACGTGAGGGCAAATCTTGTCTTTGAGCCGTGGGAATCACACTCATGCCTGACACTGAGAGGCAACTCACATTCAGATTTGCAGCGGACGGAGTTAAGATCGACTGAACTCAAACCCACACTAGTATTAAACTCGGTGTGTGGTGTCCAGTTGTGCGTCCGCGAACCGTCTCAATGTCTTTAATCTCTGTCAGCGAGCGTACTATGACGGGGAAAGCTGTATTCGATGCTTTGGATACATTGATCATCAAAGTCTCCGATGTCGTTGCAGAGTTAGAACGTCACAGTGATGTGCTGTGTGCACCGGAGCGTATGTCAGGTGTCTCCCCTGGGATGGTATTAGAAGAGGTTTGTTAGTGTGCCCCAATCTTCCAATTCGTTCGCAATAGACATGCACATTCCTCATTCCATAGACCAGCACCTCAACCAAAACATGGCAGAACTAGAAAAAATAGAGGTGCATACCACTTGTTTTCAGCTTCTTTGACGATATTTACTTTTTGGTCTTCAGCAACGAGTGATGCGTGCACGACGACTCTTGTCACGCCTTCGTAACTGCTCCGTGCACCTTGCTCCTGGTAATATTGTTTGCTCCCCTTCTCAATATTTAAATTGACTCACAGTATAGCAAATAATCTACCACCCGAAATCCTATCCTACATATTTGTTCTTGGCGTTGAACATGCGAAACGCGACCTGGATATGGTGGAGTCTAGCTCTACGGAAGGGAATTACTTCGAAGGAATCCCATTTAATCTCCTCGTATCGCAAGTGTGCAGACGATGGAGGACAATTGCTATCAGTACGGCCACTTTGGTGAGCTCGGCCCGTGCATATCTCCCCCCAATTTGTCAATTATTTAACTCGCTCACAGTGGACAGAAATTTCCCTTTTCTGAGAAACCACCTCACAACCTAACGCGACTCTTTCTTGCACGATCCAAAGGAGCTATTCTGGACGTTACGCTTTCTCTGCCCGACATCGACAGCCTGAAGACTGAGGCACGCATAAAAGAGAGAATTGATGTTCTCTGCGAGCATCTTTCAAGGGTTGATTCTCTTACGATCAATGCAGCTCGACGCACACCACTTGATCACCTCCTTACGACATTTTTGGAGAAGTGCGAGCCACAATGGAATGCTTGTGGTCAGACTCAAACAACTTTGCGGAAGCTCAGGTTGTCAGGCGACTTGCATGCTTTAACGCTAAACGTATCTCAGGACCGCCTTTCCTTCGTTCTTCAGATGCTACGAGGCGTAGAGGATGTTGTATTGGAGGGAACATTACTGCCGTGGCACAGTCCCGCGTTCGAAGGACTGAAGCGGCTGCGCCTGGTGAGGTTGCGCACCAAGGCGTTCCCATTTGAGCGTGAATTTATCTCCATTATCCGGAATTGTCCTTTATTGGAAAGCTTGAAACTCGAAGAGGCGAACTTTAGATTCGGAAATTGGTCCGACATCGCTGACATGCGGCGCGAAACGCACCCAGTCAACCTTAATCGACTCGAGTCGTTGCATCTTTCTATGCTGCCATGGAATGAGATGGAATTCATTCTCCATCTCCTTAATGCTCCAAACCTGAAAAGCCTGCGGGTAATTATGCCCACAGAGAATTTGGATCTAGATGATGATGATACGTATTTCGACGACTACAGCGGACACGAGATTGAAGGTCTATTCCGAGATGAACATGTGCTGAAAAGCGTTGCGGCATTCATCAGCCGTTCCCAAGTAGACACTTTTGAGAAATCTTTGCGCACCCTACACATCGGATCCTTTGATACAGATGATGAGAGTACGAGCCCGCAGTTAGTAGAAGTATTAAAAGTGGTCCCTAATCTCCACACTCTTAAACTTAATGATGTTGCAATGAGGGTTGGTGTTCTGTCATCTCTTTCCGCCATTGCACAGACATCCGGTGCGCCAAGCTCCCCATCGGAGCACCATTCCGTATTCAGTACCGTCAGCATCCCGTCCATCCCTATCTATCCTCCACTAACGTTGTTTGCACAGTGTACGATGAATGTCGACAATGGTGGCTCCACGTCTTACCAGGTCCAGGTCCCCAATTCCAGTCTGCGCGCGAAGATCGTCCCGCTTTGTCCATCACTTCGGGTTCTCAAGCTTTCGAACATTGATGCCATTACTCGAGAAGCTTTGGGTGAATGTAAGTCGGTCGCAGCCCACGTTACCCTCTTAATCTCCATTTCTACCAGTGTTAAGGAACCGAAAAAACAGGGGGCTACCATTGACATTGAAGCTCCACCACATGGCTTGGAACAACCTCGGGCTTCGAGAGGAGCTCGGACCACTTTGCCATTGTGAGTCAAGTGTTGATCGCTGTTCCATCCCCTTCACTCATGCCTCAACGCACAGCCTTAGACATACGGTAGATTTACCAGGTTACTATCAAGCTGATCCATAGTTCTCTTCCTGAGACGCAATGGATGGTGCAGAGTTCATTGCATTTAAAATTTCCTATCATATCGCAAAACGCTATAACGTTTAAACGCCTTAAACGCCAAAAATAATTTATTGATTTCCGAAATGGACTTGGGGAGTTTTTGATACATCTGAGCGTTTATTGAACCACAACCTGAGCAGATTTATCATGCCAGTGAACAGACTCCTACCCAGTGAGTATATATATAATTTTTTAAGTAGCGCACGCAAACCTGATCGACTGCAATAATTGAGCCCTTCTACGTGCAACATTCTGACTCGAGTTTACGAGCATTCCATTTATCCGGAACCGGAAGAGGTAAGGAGTTTGACAGTAAGGTTCGAGCTAGCCGAATCGTGGTACGTGCGATGAATGGGTTTCGAGTAATGGGCCAAATGGCCGTCACGGAATACTTATATGTCGACTGGAAGAGCTTAGAGGGTGGCTTGGGTCAGAATGAATACGCAGGTTTTGGCGAGTGACACGCGGAGCCTAGAACAAGATTATATATAAGGGAACATTGATTGTCGACTTGGGTGTGGCGTCTCCGCCTGCCAGTGCACAAGCCACGGAGATGTCAAGCCACAAATTGAACTGACTCAAAATGATAGGTAATTAACATTGGTGCCAGTTCCAGATCCTCAGGGTGAATTGCTGCTGCTCATGCATCGCGGATTAGGTTGGGTGCCGTGGGAATATAACATATGAAGATCATCGAACGGCACATGCATCTGAGTAACATAAAGTGCATCACAAACAGACGTGAAGATCCGTTGGACAAATGGTGGAAATGGGAAAAGAAAAAATCTAGCTACTAGGACACGACCTTGTGCACATCTTGACAGTGTCCGGGGGTACCCCAAAATATCCATGAGAACGGCCAAACAGAAAAGGCTCTACAAAGCAATTGATACGTTACATAAACATCGTCAGCGTTCATAAACCCAAACACCACCAAAAGTGGCGGCGGAAGACGTCTCCCCTCCAATCAAAAGTTTTTTTTGGTTTGAAAATAATACTGTACTTTGCAAAACTTAAACGGCAAAGATAAACGAAGCACCAAGGAGCATAGCGGCACCCGAGAGCGCACCCATATTTGCATAAGCTAGCAAAGGTGAAGCAGCTCCGCGCCTCGAAGTGCTGGAAGGGGTCGACCCGGACGTCACACCGCTCGTTGCCCCGCTCGTGATGGTGCCACCACCACCTGACGTGTTCACAGGTGTGGTGCCCGTTGTACTTCTAACCGATGAGCCACCAACGATGGAAGTACCGAAGAGGGTCTCTGACGGGGTAGGAGCAGGAGAGTTCACGTTAGGGAGTGTGGCGAAATAGGTGCACTCGGAAGATTTTCCTGGTGGGTGAGGCGAGGGTGTGCTTGGTTGACCTTGGTGGAAGGTAGATGTTACGCCATTGCTGACGTAGACGCCCATAGGAAGAGTCGAGTCACCCTGACAGGAGGAGAACCCCTGGGTATAATTTCCTGGCATGTTCCACTCACACCCCGTACTACACAGGGAAGTCTTCAGGATCCGGAATACAGTACCCACACTAAATCTCGAAGAAACACTTACACATCGTAAACCTAGAGAGATAGAAAGTTCAAGAGACTGATCAAGTGAAGGGAAGGTAATGTTTAAAACCCACATGCTGGCAATACTGCGTGCTACCAGGTTGGTCCTTGCACACGCGGAAGCAGAATTCTTTATCGGCCATGAAGTTGGTCCATTCATGGTACTGACGCAGAACACCACCGTCACCATAACCAAAGACGAGACCACCTGAAGCAAGGGCAGACAATCGAGTCAGTTAAAAATCACTCATTCAAGAAACCGGAAAGGCCGTCTAACCGATTGGATTTCCAAGACCATCGGCACCCTTCAAGCAACAACTTGAGGTGAGTTTCCGGAAAAATCAAGGTTGCCAAAGGGACTTACATGAGGGTCAAGTTCCCCGCCAGAATCGCCCTTGGCAATGTTCAATTTCGTAAGGTCACCTATCCCCGTGACCTGGAGATAGTTCGGCGTCTGAATGAAATGGGCGCCTGTGATAGCTCCAGGCGGAATGAGACGAGTACCATAGCCACTCTGTTCAAATTTAATTGGATGTTGTCTGGATGGGGGGGGGGGGATATGGTACACTACTTACACGAAGACACCAGGCCACTTCCAAACGTTCTGTATTCCCAATGAGACCGTTTGGTGTTGGAGGCGCCTATACAAACACAGGATAATCGTGGCTGTGAGGGCAGCTCCCGAACATGTTCCTGAGCCTGACCCACCCAAAGACAAAAATCGTCGAGTGTGCTCACTGTGGTGGAAGTGCCAGATCACTATGTGTGACAGTGAAGGAAGAGGAATGAAGGGCATACGGTACGAGTTTTGACACACGCTGTCTTGAGAGCTCTTGGTTCCGCACTGAAATGGTCGCACGAGCGTGAACAACAGACTTCCAACAACAAAGTTGATCATGCGACTCCGAACCTGGTTGGTACCGAATTGGCCTTTCTCCGTCCGGTTTGGAGCATTGTAAGGCAAGTATGTGGCGCTGTACCTACAGACTCACAACGTTTCAACGCCTTTTGAGGAAAACTCGCCCATGAGTTCTCTGAACTTACGATGGAACAGGCGCGGTAAACGTTTGAGCTGACACCAAAGAGGCACCAAGCAGGGCGAGGGAGGTCAAAGATAGCATCGTATGCAACAGAGAGAACACAAGGGGGCGAAGACGAAGAGATGGAGGTGCAAAAGCCAAGAACTGTTGAGGCGCTGCCCTTTGAAGGACGTAACGAAATCTGAATTTGAGAATCGCCCATGTTTTGACATGTACATGTGTGGCATGTGAGGCGATGATCTGCTTCGGTCGGCAGTCCCCGGCCCCTGTGTTGCCCCTGTTTTGGGCAAGTCATTCAATTTAGTCAGGGAAAACTTGGTCGAATTGCAATTCCAGCTCTTCTGCCGGTTTCGATTTTAACGTAAATAATCAGGGCAGAGCCACTCACTACCAAAATTGGTATGTTCTGTCAGGGCATTTGAATTGACAGGACTAAATGTGATATTTACAAGGGCGTCCGAATCCCCTAACTGACTATTTGGGAAATTGGTACCATTCATTTGCTGCCATTTTTGGATAATCACATGACCGTGGGGTCATTCATCCGAGGCGGACGTTTTTTGTCTTGTGTCTTCGAGGATGACTCAACGGGAGATTGATCCTTATGACACCGGGAGTGTGTGTGTAATTCTCGATATTTTACTTCCCATAGAGGCTGCCCGTTAGGGCGCCAAGGGGAAGGGGCGAGGCCCAAGGCATATTATCATACATGTTTCTATACTCAAGTTCCACATGATTCTAAGCTCCCGGATAACACCAACATCGTTCGCCAATGCCCGGATTCGCGACTGAACAATCCAAATTCTTCTGAATTGTGACAGTGGTAGACCGTATCACATGAGCCTATTATGCTGCGAGTGATTCCCTATAGAACGTCTGGGTCCATGCCAATTGAACTCCTAACTCCTGGCCGGTTGTGCCCATGAGAGGCCCCTTTCGGGTAGTGAATAGAAGACTTAGTCATATGATATGAACCTTTTCTATACTCAATGTAATCGGTAGTGGAGAAGTTGGTGATCAAGTGATCATGAGACCGGCTCCTCGGCTTGTTGGCCCGACGCATAAACACGTGCCTCTTGAGACTTTGGAGAACCGCGACCTCCCAACAGGTGAGTCGAACCAACGTCCTCTCAATCGGCAAACGCCAGCGAGAGAGTAGGTTGGCGGGTGTTACCACTACACCACCACTCCTCCCCTTATGACACCGGGATGCAACGCGAGGGCGACGTTGGGCACTCAGTATTCATGAAGTGAATGACTACGCCTGCATGATCTCAAAGTCAGATTTGTACCTGCTCAGAAATGAGCTTGAGGCTGACAACAAGCATTGGACAACCTCTAACAAGCTACATAGGCGTCGTCTCACCAGGAGGAAAGTTCATCATCCCCAACCCAAGTATCTTTCTAGGACCCGTGTTCTTTGTGACAAGCCATCAAGCCCGTGGATGGTTCAGGCACTCTAACGTGCTGGTGTTGCTGGTTTTTTCTTGTTCTTCACACATTAAACCGATGACAATGAGGTGCGATGAGTTACCGTAGTCTTCATCATCCTGGGTCCTATGCGCCACGCTGGGTGTCTTCCAGCTCCAAAACCAGGCGTTCTTGTCATATCGAAGTCGTACATAAGAGTCACCCCCGCACTGAAGATTGTTCATTTCAAATAAGGAAATCCTCTTAGCGATGATCTCGCCAACGGTTTTAGGTAGATGATTGGCCTAGGTTTGATAGAGCTCCTCGGAGATATTATACTTCCCTGGTAAGGGTTTATGTACGTAGTCGTGGCCAAAGACACGATCGCTCGTCGCAGCCGTACAGCTGTAGTGAGTGCTAATAGGGCCCTCGATAGGCTATGCCCCGTTCCGGGACTCGCTATTGCTGACCATCTACGGGCTTAGGTGCGCTTCATTCATTGTTTGGACTCCCTGCCTCAAATAGGCGGACGCAGGTGCTGTCAAGGGTGGAATACTAGAAGCCATGCATGCATGGAAAACTAAGCCAATACGGTTTTCTAGTGTCTTTCTGAAGAATCAACTCGCGGCCGGGGCACGCCGTCACTCGTCAGGACATAGGTGATGTCAGCCATGACTTAGACGAAATAGACTAGTCATCGATCGCTAGCAACTCGTCCAACGCCGCATCGCATATATAGATGCCGCCGCCACAAACGCAGGGACAAGGTGTCAGGTGTCAGTGGCTAAGTTGCAAATGAGGATGTGGCGGGAAGCCAGACTAGGGTTTGTGCGTTCGAATCTGCTCGTGATGCACAATTCATGCGCACGAAGCCGCAATGTATATGCAAAGGCCGAGAATCGAATGAAAGAGCAACAAATGCGCCGCGTGCGGCGTGACGTGACTCAGTCTTGGCATCACTTACGGCAACATGACTTTGGCGAAGTAGCTGTCATCTAAGTATAACGTAAGCACGACGCGGTCAAAGATGTGTATACACTTTAGATATACGAGGCGAAATGAAGAAAGATGTCTAGTCAGGATATAATGTTGGAAACCTTCGTGTCCAGAAACCGCAAAACCAGAATACCTCAGGAGACCGAATAAATATGATGGATATTTACGATCACGTTTTAAAAAAAGGGCCATAGATACCCTTGGACGAAGATAGCACTGCGAGCTCAAAGAACAAGAACAAACGAAGCACCAAGGAGCATAGCGGCACTCAAGAGCCCGCTTAAGCCCATGGCAGCTAGCAAAGGCGCGGCTTCACCCTTCGAGCTCCTAGACGTGCTGGATGGTCCCGTCCCACTGCTCGAAGGCTTGCTTGTGATGGTGCTAAGGCTTGGATTGCCAGTCCCCACACTAGAAACACTGGCAACGCTAACACTTGACAAGCTGATGCTAGCGCTGCTATTAAACAGACTCTGAGTGGGAGTGGGAGCGGGTGAATTGACGTTGGGGAGTGTAGCGTAGTAGGAACATTCAGAAGATGATCCTGCTGGATGAGCTGAAGGCGTGACGGGTTCGCCCTGGTGGAAGGTGGATGTCACGCCGTTGCTAACGTATATGCCCATGGGAAGGGTCGAGTCACCCTTGCAACTGGAGAACCCCTGGGAATAATTCCCTGGCATGTTCCAACCACATCCAAGGCTGCGTGGGTTATGAACATCAATACACTCGCTGGACTAAAACTTGATGAACTTACACATCGTAAATCTACGGAGTAGATTGAATTAGTCTGAGGTCTCGGTAAAGAGGAATGCATCGAAACTTACGTGTCCGCAATACTGAGTGTTGCCAGGCTCGTCGATGCAGACGCGGAAACAAAAGTAGTTTGCGCCCATAAAGTTGGTCCATTCATGGTACTGACGCAAAACGCCACCATTCCCATAACCAAAGACGAGACCACCTAAGGCAGAAGCAAAACGGCACAACAATTATAATCAGATCACTTGAAACAACATGACAACTCCCACCGATTGGATTTCCAAGACCGTCAGCACCCTTAAAGGCAGAAATACCCGATTTAACTCCTCACTAGAATGATAATCCCTGGAAAGCACTCACATGAGGGTCAAGTTCCCCGCCGGTATCTCCTGCCGGAATATTCAACTTCGTGAGGTCACCTACCCCAGTGACCTGGAGATAATTTGAAGTTTGGATAAAATGAGCACCCGTAATGGCTCCAGGAGGAATTAAACGAGTGCCGTAACCACTCTATTCAAATTTCAAAGGTTATTGAGCGTCACTCTAGTCTTAGCTGTGGTACGAACGCGGAGGCACCAAGCTACTTCGATACGTTCTGTATTTCCGATAGAAGAATTACCATACTGTGATTTCGTCGATGGGGGTGCCTATGTAGCGATCGATAACGCGGTAATGAGGACGCCATTTGATTGGAATCCCCCTCTTGTCTGGACATACCCAGAGACAGAAATCATCGAGCGTGCTTACTACCCCAAGCATTCAGCGGAATTGCCGCAGATGAAGAAGTTGTGCAACATACGATAAGAATTCTGACACACGCTGTCTTGGGAGCTCTGAGTCCCACACTAAATTATTTGTTGGAATGTTAAATAATGGGCGCTTCGGTTGTTCACGTATGGAATATCCGAACCTCGTTGGTTCCGTATTGACCTTGCTCCGAATGCTGTGGAGTGTTGTAAGGAAGGTATGTGGCAGAATATCTAAGGGTGGCCGCACACGACACGATAATCAACACATGGAACCAAAAAAACATTAGGCGGCGCTAAACTCACGATGGAACTGGCTTGGTGAATGTTTGAGCTGATGTCAAGGAAGCGCCTAGCCCAGCGAGAAGGGAGGTCAGAATGAGCATGCTGAGTAAAAGGTAAGAGCGCGAGGCGAGGGAATTAAGGCAGTCAAGAGTTGAGAGCTTTTAAAAAGAGGGAACAAGGGGAATTTGAATTTTCTCATTGTCAATGTGAAATTACTACATAATTAGCTTGTGGGTGGCACAATACAGTACATGTAATATAAAAACGGTTCGCTAATATTAGAGCCCAGGCAGCTTCGGATGCAAACGTCCACTTCGGGCGCTCGGTTCCTGAGAAATTTGCATGCTGCAATCTGCATCGCGGAGTTGAACGACCCATCCATACATTACTCATGATATTTGCTGACCCTTATTTCGGTGCGATACCCTTTGGTCGATGTGGACTTCCCGCCATTGAACGTTTTAGACTGACCCCCTGACCCAGGGGGGATGAATGAACGATCAGCTTGGCAAGTTACCAATAATATCGGAGACTTGGTTTGCGCTTTCTGACTTCGGAGTGCCAGATCCTGGTTTCGTACTGTGCGTGCATGTATGTATGGCTTGCACACTTGGAAGCCGGATGGGAACAACGGCCAGCAGGCGATATTCCACAAACCGGGATCCAGGGCTTCCAGGGTCAACGTCAGTTGCTCAGCGTTGCAACTAGCCGGCTATTCTTCCTCTAATTGCGGGTTGTTTTCTACAGATTATCTCTAGTGTTTTCGTCCACCCAAAAGCTTGGCTTTTTTTTTGTTGAGCGATCCATTTTAACTTCTCATATCTTTCTATTACAGCAGAGTGTGGAGATATCATTCTGACGGGACTACATGCCTTTGCGTAGACCAATGCCGTATATTCGACACCAATGGCCTTGCGCTCGAGCAGTGTCGAGTTTGTTATTAGCTATATCATTTTTTGTCTCTTTTTTCGGCACTAGTTTCAGTTCATAATAACGTCATTTCCCCCTTCGTTGGCTTTGGGACAAGTGACATATTTGTACACTAGAGCTTAGCTTGAATGATCCGTCTTGGTTTGTGATTAGTGCGCGCTAGTACATGAAGTTCAATTGAAATAAGCGCCAGGTCACCCTTCCTGCTGTTTTCTTGTCGGATGCAGACATCCTCATTCGCACCACTTGGACTCCTACATAGATGACTGGTGCTGTACCCACGGATTCAATAGGTGAGGTTTGAGATTCCATATCTCGTGTGGCACCTGCAGCGCGTGGATTATGGCGTCACGGTCCTCACTCGATCTTAACCTCGAACTCGGTTCTTGTGGTCATCGATAAACTGAGTAAGAGGTGTGGCGGGCGTACTGTTGCTACTGGAATAAGCTTGCAGGCCGACGGCCCACTGCGAGCCCCAAGGTTTGGTACCCCGCTTCGTTGAATCCTTTCAATTCCTTGCTCATTCTATCGTCGACTCTTTCTATGGACACATCCACTTTGGTCATTGCTGATTCTGAGTAGGTGCCTTGCTCTTGGCGACGAAATATCTGGATTGTTTATCGTAGGCCCCGTGATGTCATTCAAGATTGCTAAGGCCTGACTGTCAAGTGTATGCCCTCAAGACATGTTGTGAGGTATGGCTTCGGAACCCAGTGCACCACTCTTGACTCGTCTATACATCTCTATAAGAGACATTGTCCTGGTCTATGTTGATACCGATCCTGACGCGAGGTCTGTGAGCCATTTCCTCTAATTGTCATAACCCGAACATGTATGCACTTCCCAGGACGAACGACACCGCAATCCTTGAACTCGTGGAAGCCTACGGATGCGTCGGTGGAGGGTCTATCCGTATCCTACCAAAAGGCTTCACTGTTGGATTTGGCGGGCCAAGTCAACCTCCGGGCATGGTGCAACATTGTTAAATATCCCTTTGCACACGTTCCTTTCACTCATTCTTCACACTTTCATTATAGCGCTGGGGGGTAAGGTTACCTCATTTATCGAAGCATGCCCGTTCACCTTCTTTCGCATTTTAGACATTCAAGATTGCCTTCCAAGGCTACTTCGCTCATATAATCATATCACCTTCTGACGCCGGAGAAGAGTATTGGGATGTCATCCTAACGGGACTGCGTGTGTCGGACGTCAAAACTACCGCTGTTCCAAGCTCGGAGCTCAAGCGGCATGTGTTCGAACTTGCCGCTGGTGTGCTGCGCAACTTGTAATTCACCAGTTTCGCCATCTTGAGAAACGAATCGACACGATACTGGCACATGGTCGAGTTCAAACCGACGAGTGATGCGTGTAGTATGCGCACTGCAGTTCTGAAGGGCACCTATTGGTAGGGTTCCCCCAGAATAGCGCCAGGGCCGGGACAGGGTGGAGGTTGATGCGGTTGATTGCGGTAGAAGCCGTGCGAGAAGCGATCCTGGATGCACTCAATGGTTGATTTGACGGATTAAAAGCGAGCTTCCCATCGTGTGTGTGCTTAGTTCCCCAACCTTCGAGATAGAGTTGCAGCTGATGTTTATTTATGTAGTGATTGTTCTCCACTCAAACTTATTGACTTGATGATGGTCGGGATGTACACATGACGTGGCGGACATAGTCCTAGGGTGGACAAACTGAACAAGGAGTGATCGAGGTATGAGCGAACGCGTAGCAAGCATGCCACACGTCAGGGCGAGATTCAATGACACAAGGAATATGTAAAGGTGGCAGTTGATTGGATGACGCAAGATAGGTTGAAATCCGCTGAAACCAATGAGAGTTTCTTTGTCAGAGGACAAGAGATGTACGATGATGGCCTCTACTTCGGGCAGCATTAGGGAGCTCCCCTCTACGATCTATCATCCACTGAATACTTCTTCGTATCTATCATTTGTTCGAGTGCTGCGCCTGCGACCTCGAAATTGTTTGCGCTAAACAGCATCACGCTGCCGCACTGAGCCCCCAAGAGATGTAAATCCACAGCCAACTCGATGGAGAGACTTTTGGAGATCATCAACCTTCATGAGGCTCGTTTTCGAAGGACTCTGGCGTAGGAACGAAGGGATATTTGGAGAGAGCGTCAACAAGCCACGGAACTGGTAGGCAAGCCAACAAAGATGTAAGCACAAGCCCGATTGCGAACAGGATATGTATCAACTTGGAGAGCTGCGTCGGAGGCCACAACAGTCACGCCGAACGCGGACGTCGAATAGACCCGCATAGGCACAGGTTCGCAAGATATCTGAGAAATGATAGAGTCCGCCATTGGTTCGCTTTGGGGGTGTTTTCTTTGCAGTTCGAGATGAGAGCTACGGAGGGGGTTTCTTGAACCAGCTGAGCCATAATAATAACCCTAATGGGTATTCAGCGCTAAGGAGGGTTCGTGCGAGTATCGCGTGTCAGCATGCCATCGTTGGGAAGGTTCCCGGAGTGGGCGGGAGTCTTCCACTGGAGAACAACTCGCGTGCGAGTGTTGACCCTGTACTCACTTTCCGTTCTCTGGTGCCCAGGCAGTCAATCCAACCCATTTCAATATCTGTCATCTCGTGCTTGTAATAATCCATGAAATGTGAGTGATTACCAGTCATAGCTCAACTGCGTACGAAACGACAAGTTGGAGGGAAGACCCCCATTATCCATCAAATGAGCCCAGTCTGATGGCGCCATCCCCAACGGGGGAAGGTACAATCGTCCACTCTCAGTGATTGACCAGAGTAACTTGATTCAGTTCACGGCATTATCCGCTCCGACCTCCGAGCAACGGATCGCGGATTGCGCAGCACCTCTGGAATTGCCAGTGGATGATGGTTCACTTTTACTTTGCGGAATAAGATCGGACGCGTGGATCAAATATCAGTAGAGTATCCCATATAAAGGTTTCAAATAGAACTTGAATGGAGCACTCTTGTTCACGACCTGGAGACTAGGAGCCGTATGCCCCTGGGCCCCTGCCCGCATCCCGTCTCCCTCTCACCGCAATGCCTCTGTATCTTTTAACTGGCTTCGTTTGTCCGACCTGTCGATGTACCGCTTTCTGTCTTCCACGAAAAACATCTTCAGACGGCAATGGCAAGCCTGGACGCTTTATTCGGGGCCATGCTCATTGGCGTGATTGTATGCTCAATGTGAGCATTCCCTTCCCTTCTAGCCCAATTTTAGTTAACTGTACATCCACACAATCTACCGTGACGCGTTGCACCTCCGACCAATGGAACATCTTTGCGCATCCATCCTCATCCTGGCGTCGAAAAGCCTCCTCGGTGTTCTCACTGTTCAAGTTTGTAGTTACTATGCTAACTTCAAGAACGATCCGCTATGGATGAAGTTCTGGGTGGCGGCTGCTTATGCGGTCGATGTGTTGCACCAAGTGTTTGGATCCTGGTTATCGTATCGTTATGCCGTGAGTTCAACTCCAATGTCCGCAACTTCCTCATGATCTCATGTCATGGCTTACTTAGGTCAGCCTCTATACTTGTCGACGTTGTCTGGGGGAAGTGCATTGGTCCGTTGGAGTGAGCAACATCTAATTCCTTCACAGCATCCTTTATTAAAATTATCATTGACTTGGAAGGTGGTCGCCTTGCTCGAGGTACTTGTAGCTCAGCCATAGTTTCGTATATCCTAATCTTTTCCCTGTTGAAAATGGAAGCCACTTTCAGCGGGGCTTACACAGCTCTGGTTCGCTCGCAGATTATATCAATGTCAGCCTACTTTCCTCATCCGCCTCCATGCTTCCCCCTGACGAGTTTATTTGGATGTTATCGCAAATAGTCAACAAAAACCAGTTATGGCTCGTGGTTCTGACGGTATGTTCTTACTTGGTTCTTACTACGGCTTTCGCTGAGATACGATTTCATTCCTACGTTTTTGCTCTTCTTCCTCCCTGCCCATGCATATGGTCACTAGGTTGCGCTATCGGTCATATCGATGAGTTTGTATTCCCCCCCCCCCCCCTTTAGCCAATTTGTGAATCTCACTCAATCGGCATCTATATCTTCACTCTTATTTGATGCTTGGGATAATTTACCGGGCGTTTGCACAGTCGCAGGGCTGGCCTCTGCTTCCATCGTATTCCACAGACAATACTTTATCCAGTTTGGTGGTAAAGACGTTGTACGTTTTTCAGTCTCTTCCCAGCCCTTTCCGCCCGAGGGGGGACTGTACTCGACTTTTCGTTTTTCCATACTCTCACCGTGATGCAGAACGCTGATGCTCATGCACTGCATTCAGTGGCATGTAACCATTTGGTTTGTAGCAGGCTTCTTGTGCGATGTCCTTGTTACCGTCCCTGTTGCATGGTCGCTATATCACTCCCGCACGGGATTCCGATCGTGAGTGGTTACTTTTAATTTGTGTTTGCCACCGTCGGTTTGTTTCGATTTATTGGGTAACCCTCACCATGAACCCCGTTTTTATCTTGATTCGCATTCTTTTTTGCTTCCCTGTTCCTTGCTGATCGGATGAAATTCGCTGATGCATAGCTCTTTCATCGCATTGCAGGACAGATCGCTTGTTGACTAGACTTGCCATTTGGATCATCAATACAGGCGCTCTGACTACGTAAGTCTGCTCATGTACCATCTGAGCAACGCATCTCTTGCTGCCATTGCTGCATGAAGGGACCAATTCTTTTTCGCACTTCTCTTCTTCCTTCCATCCGGTTACTGACGTATGTCTCAATTTTCCACGCCGGATATCCCTTTTCACTTAGAACGATCGCTCTCCTCGGTACAGTAGTGGTGAGTTGCTTTTTCCCCCTAGCATTCAGGGGGGAATGGGACTGGAGGCGTAACATCGTTGATGCTGGACCATTCACTTACAGTATTTGGTTTACCCGCATACCCTTATCTACATCTCCCTCCACATCGGTACGTCAAATTATCAGATTTAGGGACTCCGCTTCATCCAATCTCTTTCTCCAACAGTTTTGGCATCATTATACTCAAACTCTCTTGTGGCATTGTGCGTTCAAACTTCTTCCACTCTGCTGTTTCTCATTCATGCGTTCAACACCGTAGCCTCAATCGCCGAGGTCGAGGGATCCGTACGGATTCTCACGTCCACCGGTCAACTAATCTTTATTTGTCGCAGCTGCGCCCCCATCGCACGACTCCTGATGATCGGAGACAGCTGGATGACCTATGGGGAGACCCGTGGGTCGATCCGTGGGGTGATCTTGTCGGTTCTAAGTCTGATAGTGAGGCCCATGATCTAAAACGGGGCATGGGGCCATCACGTACCCGCAAAGGCACGATCGCAAACCCCATTAGTCACGGGGCGATCATGGTGGATATTGTGGAGTTCCAAAATCGGTTGTAGGGTTTGTAGAATGGTGAGATTTTTTATCCTTAGCACTCAGCCAAAATGCCGACCTGCCCCATGGTTATATTGTCCCGACTTCAGTCTGGAGGATGGTTAGCACAAAAGGAATAAGGTATTTTGGACCTATTCCGTTGCTCAAATACATTTTATCTCGCCTAACTTGTCCTCTTTAGGTGGCACATCTATGATGTCTTCATTGAATGTTTGTACTATCAAATTTAGCTGATCCTACGGAGTATAATGTTAAGCGATGCACGTTGCCACCCATTTGTGTCTCCGAACTCTTGGCTCTCCTATCGTTACTATCCGCCGTGCGCATCCTTAAGGTGCTGCACCTAACACGGCCAACCAACAACCCACCATGAAATCACAACTTCCTGACGTTTACGGCTAAGTTTTAAGCGAACCAACCTTACAGATGACCAGGCAGCCGTTTTGGACAAGTTGGCATGCTTTTCTATGGCAAATTTTAGTGTGATCTTGGTGTGATCACAGCTTAGTTAAAATCGTTCCCCCGCTTTTTCCGTCCATTAAGTCTGCAGCGGCATTGAACAAAAATGAACACGCTGTAGAACCTGGGCTAACGAACATAGAACCCCATACTAAACATGGAAACTGGACGGACTGATTCAGTACTAAGTCCGACCTTCAACCCTTCAAACTGTACCAGAATATGAGCCAACCTGTTATTGCGCTTGCAATTTAGGACCTTCGGTTCAGCTCTCCGAACCATGGCACTCCTACAGCCTACGAGCATGATCAACCTAGTACTTATTGGGCCCGTATTTGATCCCGCCTTCCTCAAGAGTGTTCCTGCTCGTCGACAGTCACTGCCTTTGCTTTCATAGGGTTCTTTGCCTGTATGTAGGGCGATTTTGTTTGCCCATGGGCAACATCTTTAGTGGCTGCTCTTAAATTCCGTTTCATAGTACAGGTCTATTCGGTTGCTCTCCTGATCTTCTCAATTATTGCCATGAACAGAGGCAATTCCAGCATCTGGAAAACCCCTGTGACCTAGGCAGATTTCTCCAAGAAGCCCGTCCAAGACCATATTTTCGTATTCCATATCCCCCCCCCAGCAACCACAGTACCCTCCCAATATGCAGTATGCTGGGCAACGCACAGTCGGAAGCCCTGCCTAAGTGCATCTGTTCAACTCATCTGATGAATGGGCCCCGATTCACTGCAAGGCCATGCCTAGCGGATGTCAAATACCCTTATATATTCATGTTTGTGCCCTGTTACGTATATTCATGTACACTAGTTGACTTGCTTTCAGCTTGATGCGAGGTCGATGAATACGCCAAGGCAGACGCAATGATCCTTACTTTGCTCAAACTCGTTCAAATCTCCAGGACTGATAAGGAGGGCCCTCACTATACCAGAGTATTGCAGGGGTCTCGTTAGCGGAACTACCATTGTTCGCGAGTTCCAAGCTCAGTTTGGTCTTGCCAACAAAAATTCTGTAAAGCGAGTCACAAGGGGTGGGGGTATAGTAATATAACCTGATAAAAGCGAACCTGTAGATGTTTTCAAAGCTTGGATCCTTCTCAATTGACCAGTAAAAACGAGGTGTATCCGTTGCTGATAAACGCTTTCCGATTTCGATTAGACCTTCCAGTCCGAGATACTCCCCGGTGCCGTTCTTGACATTGTATAGACCTGCACCAATGCTCTCAAAGGTCCACTACAAATTGACATCGAGAAGTGATGATGCCAGAAGATGGAAGATGGCCAAAGGCATGACGACATTCAGATGTCGGTAACGTCAAAGAGGTACCGGTCTTACCGCCTGCTGGTTTCTGCCTCTGTCCGTTTGGCAACCATTAATGTCCCTGAGAAACGCGAGCTTTATTAGGCCCTTCACACCGGGCGGGGCCGCCACTCACTGGAAGCAACAGAAGTCAAATTAGAGGTGAGGTGAAACGGGATGGTGATAGCATTAGGCTTGGACCAGCAGAGCGCCGAAATAGATGTTCAGAGCAAACCTTGCGGTCATCGAGAGCTGTGTTGCTCTTGGTGTTGATCAACTACGCAGAGACGGCCTCAGCGGATCCGCCTTCCCGTGAGTCTATGGCACGTACAACATAAGGTATTCCTGGTTGGAAGGACATGTTGGAAAGTTGAAGTTGACCCCTCCGATGGAGGAGCCTAGGATCTTTATAGGACTGTGAGGAGCAAAATTCATTTTCGTTTTCACAGCCAGGAATTTCGAGTGCGATTTGTCCTGACATACTGAGAACGATAGAGATAGGCTGTAGATAGGTACTTGATACGCACTGCTTCCTGATTCGGTGACCAAACTTTACGTGATTTGAACGGTATTTCTAGGCACCATTTCTAAAGGATCATGGGGTACACAGCTCTCGATTCATCTACTTGTCATCCTGAGAGAACCCTCTTATCCTGCATGCCTCACGCTAGCAGCAGAAAAAACGAATGAAAGCATACAAAGGACGCAGTATTGCCACAAATGTTGGCAACTCTTTGGTCCACAACCTTGTAGCCCGCGATTCAGACGTGGAGATCCTGGTATTTGATTCGTCGGAAATGTCCTCCGAGCAGTCAGAATCCGCACCCCCCTCCAAAAAGAGGGCAGCAGTATACGGACGCACGATCTAAAGTAGGCAGGACTCCAGCCTAGATCTGAAGGGCAAACATAGTCAGGCTTCAGTGGGTCCGCGTTCTTAGTAATAAAAAATCGAATCAAGGAGCGGCAGTCAATTTTTCTGCTGGTTCTCAAATAATTTCCCCAGAAACTGAACAGTGGCATCCCTTCTCAGCGTTGTTCAAGTTTCCACGTTCGTGAGTGGTGGGGGTTTCCGTTCTTCTTATCGATGATTTGCGATAAGGGATGCGCGTGCTCAAGAACGCACTTGGCCTGTTTCGGGCGATCTGCCCACTACCAGAAGGAGGCCTAAGATAAGCATGAGGGTTCCAGGTCCGCCCTGGCTAGGCCCATATGGCACGAAAACAGTTCACCGACAGAACATGAAGGGAAAATAACCCTGTCCAGCAGCAGGGACTTGTACCATGCGACTACCTCGAGGAGCACGCAGGAAGAGTGCTGTGTGCGCCACTGAACTCATCGCAACAGTCGATGGACGGTACCGGCAGAATCCGGTATCTGCGTTGACACTTTTCATTCACGTGTATGAATTAGCAAAAAAAATCCGCGCCCGATTTGGATCCACATGCAGGCCACGCGATCGTCCAAAATGGCAGCAAATAAATGATGATCGACCGCCAATTTCCTAAATAGGGAAATCACATTTCATCCAAATCGGGCGCGTCCACTTTTCAGGCCCGCCCAAGGTCGAAAGTCACCAATTCGTCCTCCCCACCCATGAATTGCGAAGGAGACTGGAGAATCTAGGAATGAAGTTCCCTAGCAGCCACCAGATCGCTTGATGAGGAAGTATTATTATCATCGAACCAACGCACGAAGCCAGTGGCCTGGTACTATTGAAGGGACGTTTTTGTTCTGATCCTTCTACCGCTTTCCGATTCGTTGGAGGGGTAGTGCTGCCTTGGGAGGGCTGATATGGTAGGCCTTAATTTACAAAGAGCCCCCACCTACTCAAGCCATGCACCACGATTGTCCCCCGGACCGTACGCCCATACATACAATGCAGCCCTCTTTTTGGAGGGGTATATTCTCCACATTTGGGTCTGAATCGCAAGCTGCAAGATTGTGGACCGGAGAGTTGCCCACATTAATGGCACTGCTGCATCCTTTGCGTGATTGCATTCTTGTGCTGCTAGCGTGAGGCATGTGTATCTGCAGGACACGACGCTTCTCTCAGGATGACGAGAGGCTGAATCGAGAACTATGTGTACAAGTTGAAAGCTACACCCCATGACCCTCCAGAGTGATCTAGAAAATCACGTAAAATTTGGCCACCCGGCAAGAAGCAGTGCGTATCAAGTACCTATCTGCAACCTATCTCTATCTATTGGATTCTTCTGAGCATCTTAGGAATTGCCAAACCGCACTCGAAAACTAAAACGAAAATGAAATTCGCTCCTCACAGATCTATAAAAATCTTCGGCTCCTCCAACGGAGGGGTCGACTTCAGCTCCTCCAACGTTGCGGAAACATGTCCTTCCAACCAGGGATACCTTATGTTGTGAGTGCCCACTCGCGAAAGACTCAGCTGGATCCGCTGAAGCCGTCTTTGCACAGTTGATCAACACCAAGAGCAACACAGCTCTTGATCTCCACGGAATCAACCGCAAAGTTTGTTCTGAACTTCTATTCCGACCCTCTGCTGGCGACCCAAAATCTGATGCCACCCCCCGTCCCATTTCACCTACGCCTCTAATTTCTCGCCTGTTGCTTCCAGTGAGTGGCTCACGTCAGTCCCACCTCCAATCAGGCTCACGTTCTTCAGGGACATTAACGCTTTCCAAACGCACAGAGGCAGCAACCAGCAGGTATGGAAATAAGACCGATTTGACGTCATACATAGTCTGAATCCATTTGCTGTCCCCACATTTCTTCATCCACCCCCTGGCACTACCGCTTTTCGACATTATAGTGGACCTTTGAGAGCGTTGGTGCTGGTTTGTACATTGTCAAGAACGGTCTCGGAAAGTACATCGGACTGGAAATTCCAATCGAAACCGGAAAACGTGTATCAACAAACGACACACCTCGTCTCTACTGGTCGGTTGAGAAGGATCCGAGCTCTGACAACGTCTACAGGTTTGCTTTACCAGATATTACTAGCCAACCCCTGTAACTCGCTGATTTCCACCAGAATTTTTCTCGACAAGACCAAACTAAGCCTGGATCTTGCAAACAATGGTAGTTCTGCTAACGAGACCCCTGCGATCATCTGGTACACTGAAGGGCCTCCTTCTCAGTCCTGGAGGTTTGAAAGAGCTTGAGAAGCATCGATATCATTTTCTGTACAATTAAATGGCATAAGAAATCATGCAACAAAAACCAGCAGAAAATCTTCTCCGATAACACAACCGGTACACTTGGCAGATATGAAACTTTTAGAGGAACTTAACGTGAGGTGGAAAAGACAATCACTAAATTTCAAGGAAAATTATCGATTCTCTTCAAAGGTTTCGATCGATCTGAGCCAATGGAACGCAAAGATTATGGGAGTAGGTGAGTCCCTGTCATTAAATTGACAGCCGATGGCAGAAATTTAATACTTGCACGGATGATTGTTCTCCTTCACCACGTGGAGCTGGATCCCGAAGTTGAAGCGTATGACCAACACTCCTCCATTAGTCCCTAACGTACGTTAGTCACTTCACTTGCTGAGGTGCAATTGTTTTCGAAGAAATAGGACTGCGAATAGGGCGATGTGCCGAGCCACTGTAGGCAACATCGATTCGAACGCGGAATAATAATGATAGGCGGAAGCCGATAAATACCTACATACATTACGCATGACGGTCGATTGCTTTTAACTACATCGCGTACAGAATGCACATAAAGGAGAGCTCGATCAGCATCATTATCAACGAAATTTGAAAGATCTGCTTGAAGAAATTAAGCCTACCACCACCCCCGCCTAAAGACCCTTAATGCAATCCATCCTTGTACACTACCTGGAAGCTCTTCCTTTCCAGGATCGTTTCCCAATACTGGACCAGCTTCTCCCCGACCTTCCACTCCTTTGCTTCCTCTCCCTTCGAAATTGCATCATTCTTCCTCACCGCATTGATCCTCTCCCCTACGTTCTTTACGCCTTCCTTATCATTGCTCCCTCCAGAAGCGCTAACGGCTCTCGCCAACCAAGCCATCAAATGCAAATCAGCTAAAGAGATCTGATCCCCTAAGGCGAGAGGACCAATAATCTTGGAGTTGAGCTCGTCCAGGATGGACGGGAGATGAGTAGCCCAGGCCGCTCGTGTCGTTTGGAAAAACTTCTGGGAAGCTGCTACTGCAGCAGCCGCCTCAGAAGCGTCCCATGTAGTTGGGGCATCGGGAAAATTATGGAATATATCATGTGTCGGTGAAATCGATGCTTGTTTCTGCTTGAGAAAATCGACCGTTTTCTGAGAAGATGGAGAGATTGGGACTGGCGAGTCGGAAGGATTAGGGGAAATGAGACCATGGAGGTGAGTTTTGAGAGCCTGAACTTTGTTTGCAAGCAAAGCTTTTGTTAATATCACTTCTGGGGACGAGGCGGCCGCCAGTTCTGACGGAGAAGAGAATGGAAGAGTGGCAGAAGCCAGTCTGAGAAAGCCAGGGTCCGCAGTTGGGGAGTGGAGAAGGGCGATGATCTCATTGTTGAGGTGGGAGAGCCCGACCGAGACAGGTGCTAGAGCTGCACGAAGTTATCAAAGAAGCCTCTGTTAGTGGGGGGCAAGCAGACAGGGGAATCCGGGTCTACCTGGGGCTGGAGCGTTGCTCGTCGTTTTCGTTTTAGATATGACTGTACGGCTCCTGTCGAGAAACTCAATGATTGTCTTGGTTTCCGTGAGAGCTTTGTACCGCACTTCGACATCAGGTGCCGAAAGGGTTTTTTCGAGTGGAACAACGAGAGTGGGGACCGTTCCTGCAATTAAACAACGAGGAAGATGCCACAAGCGTGGGAATGATAATGATAAGGGTGATGTGAAATTATAAGCGGGTCACCATAGGGAGTACGGCGTGGTCGATCAAGGAAATACATACCGTTCGGATTGATTCGAAGATAGGCAGGATCAAAATTCTCTCCCATTACTACATAATATTTTCACGGCATGAATGGACAGGGAGGGCATTCCGTAAGCAAGCCAGGAGCTCAAGAATGAGCCACGTACACAGATCGACAGTTTTTATTGTGATTTCATCTTTCCCGAAGCCTTTCTCCTCACTGGAAACCAGAACAAACCTCAGGCTATGGTACGTGATGGAGAAAGCAATACGGACAGTGCAAGGAGAACTTGAGGGGCGTACAGACAGGTAACCCAACATTCGCCATGGGTTATAGTTCGTATCAGGTGACCCCAAGGGAAAGGGTCGCAGAAGAAGAGAAGGAACGATTGAAGTGCCCAGAATCAGCGAAGTAGAAGCGATGACCACGCCATTCCATGGAGCAAGTTCATAGCCATATCACAAAAAGGGGTATGTGAGATCCGTACGCGAGATCCGACTGCACTCAGCCTCGATAATATGGAGACTCTTTCATTTGGCTTACCAGCAGACGCCCAGATCGAAGGCGGATAGGAGTACAAGATAGCTTTTGGTGCGTCAGACTTTGGCGACATCCTTTGCCTCGAATCCGGATGATCTAATCGTTGTCCCGGAAAGGAGCTGAGAGGGACTCAAAGGGACTGATGAGTTTACGGGTTACAACCAACCGATCGAAGCAAGATGTGCCTGCGCGGGGATGATGTTGGGATGATGCGTTGTGCTGCGTAGAGATGCTATGTAGATTGCAATCAACTTGGCTAACTAGCAGGGACTTTGATGGGAAAAAGCAGTGCCCCTATAAAGATGCGAAGCGTGAGGGTTGTTCATGTAGCCCCTGGCATATTGCACTGCCAGTGAGTCTATGTATATGGCATTCTCCGATCGGACTCCTTCCCACGATCCACGAATTGTGTGCTCCACTCACGCAGCACCTGAATTACTGGTGAACGACTGGGAACGGAACCGGGTCCTCATTAGACGCCTGAACGATCAAATATCATTGATCGCGCGAAATTACTCACATGCACTGTTCAAGTCAAACTCGCTCGGCACGAATGAGAAGCCTTGCGCGCGTATTGGGTCTTAGGAACATGGAGACAAGGAGGTATATTATATACCGCTGTCCCTGGCCGCTTCTCGTCCACTCCTCACCGCGTCGCTTCCGTATCTCATTAACTTGGTCTGGTTTCTTCTGTTGACCCTTGCTTGTCGACATTCCGCTTTCTGTCTGCCATCCAAGCATCTGCTTGCTCTTCGGAATACAATGGCGAGCCTGAATGCTCTATTTGGAGCCATGCTTGTCGGCGTGATTTTGTGTTCAAGGTAAGCATTTTCTTTTCTTTCGACCTCATTTTTACTAATTTAGCATCCACAACAAACCCTGTACCTCCTACCGATGTGAATGATGCTGGGCACACGACCGTGAATGCATCCACTTTCTGACGCCGCGTAGCCTTCTCGGCGTCCTTACCGTCCAAGTTTGTGGCTACTATGCCAGGTTCAAGAACGATCCGCTGTGGATGAAATCCTGGATAGCAGCTGTGTATGTTGTCGACCTGTTGCACCAGCTGTTTGGGTCCTGGTTATCGTATCGTTATGCCGTAGGTTTTGGGTCTGATATCGGTAAATGCCTCCTGACTTCATGTTCGTTTCATGGCGTAGATCAGCATCTATACATGTCCGACTTGTCTGGGCCGGGTGCATTGGTATGTAGGCAACCTTTCGTTGATAATGTCTAATTGACCCTTTCGTTTGATGTCGAATAGGTCTGTTGGGGTGAGCAATATCTAACCCTTCACGAAATCCCTCATCACAATATTTCCATTCACTTGGAAGGTTATCGCCCTGCTCGAGGTACGTACCGCCCAGCCCTGATTTCATTTTTTTTGCTCACTTAATCGGGTTGAAAATGGAAGCCACTCTCAGCTGCGCTCACACAGCTCTGGTTCGCTCGCAGATTATATCAATGTCAGCCTATCTGCCCCCGTGCTTCCCTTGACCTGGCCTTACGCACATGACTATTATTGCAAACAGTCAACAAGAATCAGATGTGGCTTGTGATTTTGACGGTACAAGTCCTTGCCTCGGTCTTTGTATGAGAGATACTGAGATGTATTTTCTCCCCTTTCCCCTACCCATGCATATCGTCACTAGGTCGCACTGTCCATCATGTCAATGGGTCCGTATTTCTTCCCCATATCGCTCCCATATGTGACTGATAACTTACCGGGCTCGCTCGCGCAGTTGCGGGGCTGGCATCTGCAATCATCATATTCTCCAGACAAACTTTCGCCCAGTTTGGTGGGAAAGATACTGTACGTTCTTCCAGCTTTGCCTCGTTATCTTCCCACCTCCCCACCGCCCTTTTTACTTCAAACAGAGATGTTGCGGACTTCGCGCTTCTCTCCTTTTTTTTGACGCTCTCACGTTGGCACATGATGCACGGCGCTGATCTTTGTTGTTGCACCTCATTCAGTGGCATGTAACCATATGGTTTGCAGCAGGCTTTCTATGTGATGTCCTCGTTACTGTCCCTGTCGCATGGTCGTTATATCGCTCCCGCACGGGTTTCCGAACGTAAGTGTGTTCTTGAGGTTTTATTCCTTGGATTTGTGTTTTGCTCTTATCATTTTGTTTTCGACTTACGAACTTCCGGCCTCAACCCATTCGTGATGTCCTCCCTTTTTGTTTTTGGTTGCTTCGTTATCCCCCTTTCCTTCCCCTTGGGCCGTTCCACACTGCAGGTGGATAAACATAACCACACCATCAGATCTCCCATCACACATTCCTGCTGATTGGATGGATTCGGCTAATATATTGCTCTTTTCATCGTGTTCCAGGACGGATCGCCTGATGACGAGGCTTGCTATTTGGGTCATCAATACGGGCGCTCTGACTGCGTAAGTATGCACATTTGTCCCCTCATTTCTTCCTGGATACCTCTCCTGGATGAGGAGATAACTTCTCAGCATCCCCTTCTCCTTTTCCAATACTGATTATTCCCTTTCGTTGCACGCTCGATATACTTTCCCGGATGGGACGCGCTGTGCACTTAGTACATTCGCCCTCCTCGTTACGGCACTGGTGAGTCATTTTAGGGGTCTCTCCTGCATGCAGCGACGGAGGGAATGGGGACCGGAGATTTGACATCGCTGGCACTCGTAGTTTTTGGTCTATCCGCATACCCTCGTCTACGTCTCCCTTAACCTCAGTACGTTAAGTTCTTTATCTCATATGGGGGTTTTGCCTAAACCTCCTCAACAGTTTTAGCATCGTTATACTCAAACTCTCTGGTGGCGTTGTACGTTCACTCCCTTCCATTTAATCGTTTCTCGTTCAGACCTTTGAACATCGTAGCCTCAATCGCCGGGGTCGGTGGGAGAATGGGTTACGTAGGGACTCTCATATCCATTGGACAACCACTTTTCCTTTATCACGACTGCGACGCCATGTCCTGAATGCCTCTGATCCTTCATCCAAATGTGGTTCTGAGGCTTTGAGTTCTAACACTGGATTGGACGACCAAATATTGGAAGAACGGACAGCGGAGGATGATTTTTGGGGGAGAGATCAATGGGACGATCCGTGTGATGATCTTGTCCCTGGGTGTGCCCATGAGGCGCATGATCCACAAGGGACCACAAAGATGTTCCATCGCGGTGAAAACACGATCGAAAACCCCAGTAATCAAAGAACTCACGGGACAATCACGGTAGATATTGAAGAGTCCCAATATCGGTCTTAAGGGTTCGCAGGATGGTGAGATTTCAAGTCTTCATTCCCGCTTGACCCTTAGCCGGGGCTTAACTCTCGGTCCTGTTGCCCTGACTTCAGTTTAGAAGGATGGCTAGCACAAGGGGGTGGAGCGTCCTGGACCTATTGCGTAGCTCAGGTATATTCTTACCCCGCCTAATTTATCATTTCACATCCCTTTTGTTGTTTTATACGGAAGTCCCCATGAAACGTTTTGACTATCAGATTAGTTTGTGGCCCATGTCCGTGGAGCACAATATTAAGGCAATGAATGATGCCGCCCTTTCCACGGCGTCCAAGTCCCGGGCTCTTGCATCGGTGCTATTCGCGTGTGAGCATCTCCAAGATGATATTGCCATTGTGGCGGATCATTGGCAGGGAGTATCCGATGAAGGACCTAGCGCTGGTCACTCACTAAAGTGCTCAGGTCAATGTGGAGATTCATGAGGAATCCCATAGTTAGACGAGATCCAGCCCACATTTTCGGTGCAAGTTGTTTGCGATTGAGTGCGTGCGGCGAGTGGGGTTCGTAGGAGTCGGAACCGCATGGCTAGAGAGAGATCACATCTAAATTTCCAAATTGGACACGGGGGTGGGTCGGCATGCTGCATCCCATGATGACCACGCGCGAACAACCATTAGAATTCTACTTGAGTAGCAGCCGGGGCACTTCCAAGAGATTTCCGCCAGAAAATGCCATCTAGTTCATGCGTGTCCTCTGAGCTACCTATCACCGAAGTGCACAGGACACGTTGGTTATCTCTGAGTCGGAAATCAATGCGATTTAGTCGGTGAGAATCCTAGAGTACTATTAGGGTTGTCAGATGTTGATCGCATGTGACATGCAAAACTGACATCCACGTGGCTGTGAGAATTCCTCTTGACGGCCTCTGACTCCACTTCCACTCGTCGACACACCCCTCAAGAACAATGGTGAGATTCCTGCTTTCTGCAGGCCTGATGAAGAGGACCCTTCCATGCAATCCTTGCACAGCTAGGTGGGAGATGACAGATGAGTAACGCTGGATGCATCCAGAGGAACATGGATGCAAGATCTGCGTTGACTCGAAACTCCGCTGCTGCACGAGATGATCCAATGCTGAGATCAGTGCATGCCCACCGATCAATGAGGCTGTATGGGCGTTGGCATCAGGGAACTTCTCGAGGTTTCTCGATGCTAACATTAGAGCGGGGTCCTCGTTCAGGCCTCGTCTCAATGACCCCAATTATTGAAGACATTTCATGTCTGTCTAGCCCCCCAAGACCAAATCCTCGAAGGTCCCAGCCCCAGCTCCAGATGCTGTTGAGGACGTTAAGAAAGATGTTCCCAAAAATCCCCTGTTCATAGCTCGTCCCAAAAATTTCCGAATCGGTGCGTGGCAAACTGAGTTTCCTTCCGCTCGGTTCGTTGATGTTCCCTTACTTTAGGCAATGCTGTTCAGCACAAGCGCGATCTTACTCATTTCGTCAAGTGGCCCAAATATGTTCAACTGCAGAGGAAGAAGATGATCCTAAAGCAACGGATGAAGATCCCTCCAACTATTGCGCAGTTCAGCCATACACTCGACAAGAACACTGCCACCCAATTGTTCAGATTTTTGAACAAGTACCGTCCTGAGAGCAAGCAGGAGAAAAAAGCCCGTTTGAATGCTATCGCTACTGCAACCGCAGAGTCAGGGGAAACCCAGGACAAGGTACATTTCTTTTTACTTGTTGTCGATCAATCACTGATCACATGCACTGTTACAGCGAACCCCAAAGCCTTTGTTCGTCAAGTATGGTCTCAAACACGTCGTCGCTCTCATTGAGGCCAAGCAGGCGAACTTGGTCGTCCTTCCACATGACGTTGATCCTATTGAACTTGTTCTCTACATTCCTACTCTGTGTCGTAAGATGGGCGTTCCGTATGTTATTGTTAAGGGAAAATCTCGACTTGGGACGGTCGTGCACAAGAAGACAGCTACTATCCTTGCCATTCAAGACGTGAAGAGTGAGGACGAACGGGAACTTGCTACACTTGTCGCTGCCGCCAAGGCCAACTTGTGAGTCTGCACCCCATTTGCCTGCAAGAGGATCCATCTGACGTAACTTTCCGTTAGCACTGACAAATATGAGGAGCAGCGACGTCATTGGGGCGGTGGTATCCGCGGTAGAAAATCGGCAGCCAGGCTCATCAAGCGCTCCAAGGAAACTGGCATCACCATTGCCAGCCCGTATTCGCTGTGAATCTTTTGCCTCGTCATTTATCGGTGGTTCTTGGAGTGCAAGGTGGTACATGAACATTTATGTCCAATGGCATCGACAGGATGCTATCATGCCTCCATGTCTATACCTCATGAATACATGTCTGCTGTTCGTTTCTTCGCGTCCTCCTTCCCTAGTATTGTTCAGTCCCCCCTGTCGACAAGAACTGCGCCACTGGAAATCTTAATATATGGCTGAGCTGGTTGCGCGAAAATTAAAAGATGTGCCTGCACTGCAGAATTGCAGCTGCTTCGCAGCACAATTTGGGAAGCTAGGCTTTGAGTGGTGCGCAAGGATCCTTATAGGCATGCATGACGTAACACGGTGTGTTGGCACTACGCTGCTGTGAGTTGCCTCCGGAATGGACGCTGTCAGTGTCAGGCATGAGTGTGATTCCCACGGCTCAAGACAAGGTTTGATGCCTCAGCAGCCTCTGACGCCATCAAGCGTTTGTCAATGGCTCTAGGTTGCCACTCAGATCTCGCGTATTCACTCCATCAATCGACTCTATTCTAGTGGAGGTTGGTAACCTATCTGTCATTCGGCATGCTCAGCAACAAATAACATGCACCACTGTCCCCAGTCTCAAACGCATCACTGCTCCATGCCGTACATCTACTATGATTCGGTATGCTACAGAGCATTCGCTCAATCATCAACAATATCCTGTCACCTGGATATTGTGAACGCCTCGATGTCGACACTGCACTGAACACGGTAAACTCCTGATATTTGATGTGACCGCGTCATAACAGAATTATGTGCCCGGCCTACCACCTGACCTGACCACTACAATTGTCGACATCATCGCACTGCCAATGTATCATGTACCCGAGTTTGGGCCGCCGGCTGTTGTTGGTTGGCCGAATGATCCACGGCTTCATTAACTGGGCAGGGCGGTGAATGACTTGGGAGGATGTTTAAAAACACGGGAATGCTCTCTTGTGTTCCCTCACTGGCAGGTTTCAGTCGGGCTTTCAGTCCTCTCTTCTCTTTCCTTATTTGTGCGCTGGTTGCAGTAAGTTCAGCTGCTCTACGCAGCAGGGCGACTCGCAGTCTCTGGGCTAAAGATTCTTTCTAGCTTCCTCTCCACATCCGCGACTCGCATTATCATTCACTTGCACTACCACTCGATTCGCCTCAAACATGCGCGCTTTCACGGCTGTTGTCGTCGCTACCTTGTTCGCGTCTCAGGCTTTGGCGGCCCCTGGAATGTAAATCTACGCAAAATAATGTTTTACACGGAGTCTCACTAGCACATTTATTAGTCACCCTCGCGACGTCGATGCCCAAAATGAGGAGCTGTCTAGCCGCGACGAGCATGGCGAGGATCCCGTCCGCCGTCAACCTTTTCTTCCTCATAATGTTTTTCATGATCTATTGCAATACCACGGCGCGATGGTTTTCCTAGCGGTTCTCAGTTTTCCCTGGGCACTTTCAACTCTCACTTTCCACATGCACAACCGTTTGGGGGCGCTTCTCATCTACCGGTCCGCAATGCGGAGCTATCTAACCGCGACGAGCACGACTGGGAAATCGGCCGCCGTGAAAGTGCTAGGGATCTTGGGATTTCACTGCCCTTTTTAGGCTATGGCCCATCTATGTCACCACGACCCTTGGGACGTCGGTTCGGACCACTGGGCCCAGGAATCGCAATCCCCCATTTCCCACCACAATTTGGGCTGTGAGTATCTAACCCGAATTTTAGAATTATTTTGCACTAACACCGAGCAGTTATTCAAGGGGACCTTATCGTGGACCGATCGACAGGAGAGAAATGAGTCAGGGTGAGCTCAAAAGAGCATTTGGGGGTCAAGTACTCGCGAATGGTCCAGAACAAAGTGGTTTTTCCGGTATACCCCATCAGATGTGAGTTAGTGTGTTACTAGAGTGCGTGTTTACACACTCGCTGACCTTTTCCAGTAATAGAGTCAGTTGTATTATGTCTGAACGTCTTTAACCATATTTCAATACTCAAGTGCAGTACAAAGCATGCAATGAAGACATGAAAATGATTTGTTAAGTGGCGGACTTATGATATAAAGTATTTATAAATCATACAACGGCATGCTTGTTTGGAAATGCAAGCAAGAAGTCGGAAAAAAAATCGAGGATAGAAGGTTCTGATGAAGGAAGCCAGTGTTGAAGTATAAATATTAAGATGTGTAGGTGTAGTCACAGCTGCATTGGCGCCCGAGCTAGTGATTACAGTCGACTCCTTATCCTCAAGCATTCAATTGGATACGTGCACACACCATTATCGACCCATTGCTGAGCCGGGCGCCCCTTCCTTATTCGGTGGGTTCTCGCGATTAGTGCCGGGCAATACCAGGGGAATGTCATGGAGTAAATATAGGGCAGCACATCGATGAACGCCAGCTGTAGCTAGTCAGCTACCCTATTAGAGGGAAAGTCCCGGCCCTCGGTAGCGAACGGCCCACCTTCACGGTTCTTGGGTGGCACTAATTAAGTAACATCCCTCGCGGAGATGGTCTGTGCCAGCCGGACCATAACGTGGCCAATCTGGAAGAATGCTGCCCAAATCCTCTCCCGCGACGATGATCGCATAGGGGTTACCATTTAATCTGGCAAGCTAGTACGAATCCCGAGAAGCCGAATGCAACCGTAACGTTCTGACGTCAAGACCGAATATTTCTCGTTTTCTCTAATTTACATTTTGTGCACATCCACTTCCCATAGCTGTGTCGTATTTGTGACTGACTTGACCAAAGGGACATCATGGACAACGAAGACTTTCGTGCTTCCTTGGATCTTTCAACGATTCGTCCCATCATCCTGCCGTTCACCAGTTGTTTGTCACTCATGAGCCATAGCACAACCACGGTGCAATGTAATGTTTACCCACACCTAGTTTTCTGTCAGGACTTGCATCGACAACTGGACGTCCTTTTTGCCCGTATGGTAGCTATGTGGTCCAAGATACTAGTTTCATTTGGTCTGAACTTATGTACAGGATCAACGCTGTGCTAAGAAGTGAGCAAGATAGGATCATGCAGCCATGTCACCACTGACGGGTGGATGGAGACCTGAGTTTGAAGAGACACCCTTTCTCCCGGGGGAGAATCCGAAATGTCTGCCCGTGCAATACCACAAGATCACGTTGAGGGCTCCCCACGAAGAAAAAATGGCATAAGGCCAGGTCCACCAACTGGGAATAGATTGGCGACCAGGTGGCATCGCGAACTGGAGGATTGCATAATGAGGTACAATGACGATGAGATACGCTGGAATAAGAGTGATAAGCTTGAGGGCGTGGTTGGGTGACAGTTTGTACCCACCAATAGGATACCATCCCATGGCGATAGCGTCCCGTTTCAAGTCACGATCAGCGTCAAAAGATGCTTGACGTAGCCACTTGTACACTACTGTCCCGTATGTGAAAATGGTTACTGGGACGGCAAGCCATATCCAGATTTATTCGCCTGCTATGAATCAAGATTTCAAAATCACAGTTTGCAGGCGCTAGATTTTCCTACCAATTCGCATGGTTCTGTGACGCCTCGAGATCCAGCACCACATACTGGAATGCAGAATTAGATCGTCTATGAATATCGTAGGTAAATCTCACCCTGTATTTCCATAAAATGGCCGAATGATGGAAGAGGGGATTATGACAATTAATGTGATGAATATGGTTATGAAGCAAACAGATAACGCTGCGAAAGTCTTCGCTCCTCTCTTTCCAAGCCATTTCGAGTGGAAGACTTGAAGGTAGGTCAACACTGCGATTGCAATGCTGTACAACGCTAGTGACCAGCAGTAGAATTGGAAGATCGGAGTTCGAGCAAGAGTTAACTACGTACCAACACCCTGATTCCCAATATGTTTCAGCACCGCTTGCGTGGTACAATATGGACCCTCAGTGACTTCACCGGCGAGCGCCCATTTAATCGACAAAATATTCGATATCCCATGACTATAGCAAATTAACCGAGGGTTAGCCACTGATGGGTTACCGTTCTCGCACTGATATAGTGGAACTTCCATTGTGTCCATGAAAATAGCGCAAAGGAACAATACAGATATGGGCTGAAGCCGTTTCCCGACACCAGAGCCAGATGAGCCATATCTGGATCTACGTCGACGCTTGTACGCTTGTCTCTGTTGGGGTTCGTGGACAAACTGTTGTTTTGAGTATCCCAACGGATGCGTGCTAAATGCTCACCAGAGAGTACGTAAAAAGGGAGGACGCAAGGACAAAGGCCACTGCGCCAGTTTCGGAGATAAGCTTCAAAGGATGTTAGACGATCTCGCAAAAAGCAGGGAAAACTCACAAGGAGGCCAGCACGGAGGTGAAAGTTGTTTCTAAGGGGCTGGTCGAATTCGCTGTTAGTATTGTCACCTGGGCATGTGCTAGCCATGTTTGAAGTATGCTGGATAAGGCTAGTGGGGGGTGACTTTGCATACTTGTACAAACTCGAAAAGACTCGCCTCCCGATTCTCAGAATCTGCATTAGGTGAGAAGTGGCGGTCTCCCAATCTGAACCGTGCTTGCTTCCAGCCGCCAGCCACTCGCCACGAAAGCGTCCCATCAACACTCGCCCCGAGTCTAATCAGACGTGCGCGCGTGATCTAGAGCAGGTTTCGCATAATATAATCGCCTTCATGAAATTGGATTTATGACAGCCGCCGCCATCACCCCTACGACGAGCCTACATGTGGAGATCATCAGGACATAAAATAAAAAGAAGCAAGCCCAGTTACGCATCTCTCATTGGTATTGGTACCCGTTCTATTTATGATTGTTTGTATGTACAGAATTAGGAGGATCAACAACAATAAACAGAGGGGTTATTCCCGTTACATAAGTAGAGGCTAGTAACCTTGAACCCGGTCGTAATAGACCTCAGTACCATCTTAGCTCTAACTCCAACCACATACCTTCACAAGCATCGACTCTTCTACGTTACTTCATTCGTCCACTAGGCATGCCGTTCGATCACATGCTGTACGCCACTTTCTTTGAAGAATACACACACATCTCGCCAAGTGAAGCGCCACATCCCCTCCCTCCAAATCATTGGTTGGAATCAAGCCAGATCCCTGAAATTCCCACCATGATCGTCAAAGTGCTCTTCTGTCAAAAACCGACTTCAAACCGTACGACCAGAAGGGGAAATTTTCTATATTCGCACTCTATTGTTTCATCACCCGGCTCGATCTTTTGTGGAATTACGCACAATTCACGACATTGTATATCCCACTTTTCAACGCGCTGCACAAGCTGCTGGTCTATTCCAAGAAAAAGAAGAAGGAATTCTGGCAATGCAAGATGCCGAACTTCGATTTCTATTTTGTCTACTCATCCTGGAAGGGAGTGACGCTGGTTTGTGAAATGCAATGCAGCGCTTGAATTGCTCTGAGCTTCTCTGAGAGCGGATGCTGATGCTGTTTAATCCTTCTCCAGCATACTGGAGTACGTTACTGCGATATCGCAGGGGTATTTTCTGTGGCGTTCCCGACATCTACATGGCTATGTGTCGGCACCCGAGCCGGGTATACCTCTAATTTTGGACATGATGCACATGCTTCATCAGCGACCCGTCACTGAGCCCCTCATCGTAGCCGCACTTTCTCTTGTTTGGCTGATTCTCGCGATCAGGACCAACCAGAACAGGAAAAAGTGAGAGTAAACGTGAGGGAGCAAGACCAATGTTCCTTGTTTTCCCTGATTTGCCGTCGATTATGTTGCACTGCTTTCCTCCCAATCATCCTTCACTGGATCGAACAAGCACACCGACATAGACATATCCTGCACATCCGCTTCCCGAAGCGGCATCCTATTTGTGCCTGACTTGGGCACAGGGGACAGCAAAAACTATGCTCCCTCGATCCTCCAATGATCCGTCTTTTCATTTTATCGTTCATCAGTTGCTGGTCACAACTACAATGTAACATCTGGTCACACGTCCTTTTCTGTCAAACTTTTAACTGGGCGCTCTTTTTGCTCATATTGTAACTGCGTTGTCCAAGACACTGGTTTCATTAGTCTGAACCTAGTACGGGATCAACGCGATGCTAGAAAACGAGTAAGCTAGGATCATGCAGTCATCCCAACATCGATGGGCAGATGGAGACCCGGGTTTGAGCTCCTGGGGGAGAACCCGAAATGTCTGCCTGTGCAAAACCACAGGATCACATTGAGGGCCCCCCATGAAGAATAAAAGGCGTAAGGCCAGATCACCCAACCCAGAACTAACGGACCCGGAGGTGACCTGATGAAACGAATTAAATAATATGGTACAATGACGACAGTGTACACTGGAATAAGAATGATGAGCTTGGGTGCACGGTGGTGCGATGATTTTCACCCACCAACGGGATACCATCCCATGGAAATAGCGTCCCGTTTCAAGTCCTGATCGGCATCAAAAGAAGCTTGACGTAGCCACTTGTACACTACTGTGCTGTACGTGAGAATGGTTATTGGGGCGGCAAGGCACATCCAGACAGTTTCATTTGCTGTGAATCCAGATTTTAAAACGCGGTTCGCAGGAGCTAGGTTTTCTTATATACCAATTCGCCAGATTCCACGATAATGCTTCGAGACCCAGCACCACATACTAGAATGCAGAATTAGATCATTCACGTATGCCGCGGGTAAATCTCACCCAGAATCTCCATAATATGACTGAATGGTAGAGGCAGGGATTGCAACACTTAAAATTATAAATAGAGTTATGAAGCAAACGGACGCCGCTGCGAAGATCTTCGCTCCTCTCTTTCCTAGCCATTTCGAGTGGAGTACCTGAAGGTAGGTCAGCATTGCAATTGCAATGGTATACAATGCTAGTGACCAGTCCATTTGGGAAATTGGGGTTTGAAGCAAGAGATCGACTACGTACCTACACCATAGTTCCCAACCTGTTTCAGCGCCGCTTGTGTTGTACAATATGGACCCTCAGTGACTTCACCGGTGAGCACCCATCTGAAGGACAAAATATTTGATGTCGCATGACTACAGATAATAAAGCAGGGGGCGACCACTAAGTAATGTGTTGATTTTATTGAGGTGGGACTCACATTGTATCCATCAAGATAGCGCACAGAAACAATAAAGATATGGGCTGAAGTGGAGGCTCGACACTGGGATCCGATTCGCCATATCTGAATCTACATCGACGCTCGTAGACCTGTCTCTATTGGGATCGTAGGGAAACTATTGTTTTGAGTATCCAAAGGGGTGCGCGCTGAATGCTCACAAGACAGTATGTGAAGAAGGAGAATGCAAGAACGAAAGACACTAAGCCAATTTCGGAGACAAGCTTTAAGAGATGTTAGACAAGCCTACATTTGTCAGTGGAAGCTTACAAGAAGGCCGGCATGTACGCTAAAGTTGTTAAGGGGATGATCATTAGGATGGTTGCTAGCCATAGCTTATGATGAGGGGAGTGGAGGGGAGTAGGGGAGTGGAAATTTTAGAGATGGAAGGTGACCCATGTTATAGTGACAAGCCCAGCCATTTGACAATCGATAGCCACACAGCCTTGGCAGAAGCGCAATTCGGAGACCACCGCTTCGCGCCTAACGCTGATCTATGAGGCAGCTTTTCGTTAAAAATAGTGCCAGGGTCTCAATTACCTTTGCTTGCAAGGTCACTTCGAAACCTCACAATTGCGTGGGAACCATGTCACTAAAATTGTTCCTGGTTTTCCCACATTCCTTGCACGTGTCCCTGGGAGATCATATGGTGGCAAGTAAGCACTGGCAAACGAATCCACCATATGCATATCGTGAGGGCACAGAGGGAGCGCCCTTTCTGAATACGAAAGTGCATCCTGACTACTGGCTTGCCATCTGATCGGAGGACCTGAAGGACAACGCGCGACATCTTCTACCCAAATTGGCGAAATTGTTGTGTTGAAAGCGCCCGAAGTTATAGCAAGTGGCCGTGGAGAGAATGGCCATCCCTTGAATCGTACATACTCAGGACCATCTTTCTCGAAAGCAAAGCGGCAGCATCGTGAGTGGAAATAATGGCCGTACGCGACCATATCACATCCTCCGCCAGGTAGTCAGCGTTGGGTCAACCAGATCAATCATGCTCTGAGGGTTCCTGCAATGGACAGAGAACGTGAATCTCCACCCCACAATTATTGCTCCACGCACCCACAGCAGATAGTCACGTCGGTTCGTGAATCGCAAACAGCGCTTGAATCGGCATCAACTTGCTTTGAGCTTCCCTGGGGGGCAATTTGAATGCCGATGCTAGTTCCTGGTTTTTCTCCAGCACCCTGGGATTGGTGGAACCGGGTTGGGTTATGATAAAGCGCACGAGTTGATGAAACCAGTAGCCGGTGTTCGTAACATTCTCGTAGTTCGCAGGCTACCTCATTAAGACCCTCACAACCTGGTTCGCGTCCAGCCCAAGGCTCAGCCGCGAGCAATCCAGCCCGTATATCCTCGGTGTCGGTACATCAAACCGGTCTTTGATGGATGAAACCACAACAATGTTCCGCAGGTTCAGGCCCTGTACCGGAGTTTGTCGGGAAAGATTCGCGTGCAGTGTCGGCTTAAGAATCCTCTCAATTGATTCACCTCGACCCCCATTCTAAGCCGGGGTTTCGCAGATCAAGATACATCAATTGAGATGGGAACGAAGTATCTAAGAGGCAACGTGGAAGTAAAGACCAACTCAAATCAAAGTTCAAGGCAGTGATCAACGTTCCCTGGAGGATTTCCCCACCAGTTTGGGAATGGACGGGGTGTCCCACTTGCTCCGTAAACGGCGAAGCTTAGGATAAAAATGACTGTCTGGGCTCCACCATCGAGAGCACCTGGCGAGGACAGACGGGATTCAATTTGCGCCATGGTATTGCTAGAGTTATCTGGCGGTACTTACCACCGAGAATGTAATTGTACTCCTGGTACCAGCCCTGCGGTGCGGATCAGGATGCATCTAAATACCATCTCCTAACTGAAAACAAATATTCACCGGGTGATATCGACGAAGCCAAACTTGAGAGACAACCCCGGTGATCACTGAGCTGAGCACAATGGAGTTGACGCCTGCGTTCAGGGAACCTGCGTACTATAAAACATAGGGAGTGAATATCCTAACCCCTCATCACAAACGCATTAATGACGAGGACTCACCATATAGATAACAGGCGAGATGATGCGATCCACATGAATTCCTTTGATTACAGGCCAGCGCTGACACCCAGGCACATGAGTCAGGACCAAACAATAAGGTAGTTACAAACCTTGAAAATCAAGTATTGGATTCCTGTAGGAATCATTCCAAACAGCAAACCAACAGGCACCTGCAGAATAGCACGTCAACCCAAAGTTACCTTGCTTGCAAGGTCTCTTGCATGTCCACAATTCGTGGGAATTCTGCAAATATATTGGTGGGAATTCTGCAAATGTATTGACCGCTTTTCTGCACGTGTCCTTTCCTCCGACGGCTCATTTGTCCCGCAAACTCTGTAGCGCAAATTTAGGCCCCAAAGGTGCTGTGCACAAGATCGTCTGTAACCTAGGGTCACCATGACAATATGACATATAATTCGGACCACTTTCACTATAGTACCGCTCAGGCGGTAAGGCAAGCCACCTGGCCCCTCTGCAAACAATCGATTGTTATCTTGAGCGCTTGTAGCTAAAACTGTGACAACTATGTTAACTCAGACTTCAGACACCCAGTCGGCTCCTGTAAGTACGAGTTTGACTCACTGCGCATTCGTCTTCACTCATTACTGCCGTTTTCAGTTGATTTGTCGCGTGACGGATTTCTTGCTTCCGTATGAATCCTGGTGCTTGAACAGTGCCAAACTTCATCCCCCATTTACTCCACAACAACACCGCTTTTTTCCAAACAGATTGTTGGATCATGTTCATGGAGCTGATATCTAGCGACGTTTTTTTCCGATTGTGCGTAGCGTTGATATTTAAAATTCCCGGCAGCTGAACTTCATCCCCACTTTTCACCTCAATGGCTGCATGGAATTGGCTGAAAATTTGGCAGCAGAGTGTTGGGGAAAAAACACAGGAGCTTTTTTTTGGATGGAACAATTTGATGAATTTTTGAGAATTTGGATAATGGGGCAGCTACGGCGACGGACTAGTGTCTAGGGTACAGCAGCAGCTAACTCCTCTTATACTTTATTTGGTGTAGATTTAATATACAAGCAGTGAATCCCATTGGCTTTTTATATGCATGTGTTTTGAAGTCGCTGCGAGTGTCTCTTCTGGTGCATACGGAATTCCCCGATGTGGTACTCGTTCTGGAATTTTGATTTTTAACTTTCCTTCCAACCAACAGTATCGCATGGCTCGCAAAACCAAAACCTCTCAGAAGCAACAATCTCGCCTTAATAGTCTTGACCCCCCTCAAGGATCAAGGGAGGAGCAATCTGAAGATGTGGAAAGGCCCTCATCTCCAGACACCACAATTCAACATCAGACTCAATCCCGCCGACGGCCTCCTCCCTTGCCCATCCCTCAGCACACCTCTGAGCACAACCATATCTCAGAGGACGCTTCCAATCATTTTCACCCCACTATTCCTGATTCCGTGTCTGCACAAACACTGAATGGGCTCGATTTTTTGCTGGCAGCTCTTGAGTCTCAGAATACAACCCACCCTGGGCCTGTGCAGCAACCAGTGATCAGTAGGGCCCAGCCGATTACTGCCGGAACTCCTGAAACCGTCTATGATAATAGTTACTCCATTGAGAAAATACAAGGTGTGTGTGTGTATTTCATTTTCGAGTGTCTCTTTTCTCAGGAGCAACAGCCCCTAAAGCAGCCCAGCCTAGCGCCAGAGCAAGCAGAGTAGCCCGAAACAAGGCTCCCACTAAAACAAAGCAAGTGGAAACTGATTCCGCGACAGCAGAAGCCTGGCCATTGCCTGGACTTATCACATACAAAGTAAATGTGGGAGGGAAAGCGAAGCCCCAGCTGCTTTCACTTGATCTAGAATACGAAGATTGGAAGAGTGCCATTTCTGCGACACCTGGATTACCGGAGAACAAACGCTTCAGGCCAGAGATCACTTGGAAGCTGGGCACAGCTCCGAAGATGCAAGACCCGCAGACAGTTGATGATAATCAAGAATACCAGCTGATGGTGCACGAAATAGTCACGCAGCATGAGAAGGATGGGAAGCAGCCAGAGGTTGTCATCACCATTCGAAATTTGGTCTGTTGCACTTTCATACTATCACAAAATCTGCTTGTTTGTTGAAGCTAAATGCGGCTTCCAGCCAGAGAAAGATCGAAGAAAGACTGGCCAGAAAAGTACAAAGAAGAAGCAAGGATCACGGAAAGCCAGGAAGAAAAGATCAAAGACTGGCCGGGATGACTCCAGCTCCTCTGACAGTGAGACTGACTCTGGCTCCACGGACTCAACCACGGATGAATCCGATTCTGATCATTCACGTCGTGCATGGCGCAAGAAGCCAGCAAAGCTGGTGCTTTGGCAAATTGAAGACTTACTCCATGAGAAGCACCATTTCTGTGAGCAGCACCTCAAGAACTGCTATGTCATGCCAAGTGGAAAGCACCTTTCCCTCACAAAGGCAGTTGCCAAGCGATGGGCTGGAGCAATTGTAAGATTTTCACTAATACAAATATATGTTCGGTACTGAATGACACTAGGAAAGTGGAATTGCTACACTCGAAAAGCCGCCCGCATCAGTCCTTTCTACTGCTGATGGAATTATTCCCCCACCGCTAGGTCATCGCTCCAATGCAAAATCAGTTTCTGCTCCTCTGCCACAGCCACCTCTGCCAGCCTCATCTATGCCACAAATGGTTGTACTACAACCCCCCCCTCCATACCATGGTCTGTACCCTAGTCATGCATTCCAGAATGCATATGGACATCAGTGTACCACCTGTGAGCATGCTGCCAGATATCATGGATGCCATGACTATCATCGACCACACCTGCACTTGGAACAAAATTTCGGCTCTCAGGCTGTGCATTCCCAACGCGGTGCCCCAGATCTTGCACCAGACAGTGATGATTTTTCCCCTCCATCAGCAATATTCCCATCAATCACGGAATGGTTCGAGAGACTTGAATGTGATAGGAATATTTTCCCTGATCCTGTCCCCCTTGCTGTATTTTCGGAGCCATTGGCCGTACTGGGCTATTTCCATCTTGATGATCTTGATCGCGCATGCAGAAATCTGGGAGGCTTGGAGTCATTAAATGTTGGATTTGCCCGTGGCATTGCTGAAAAGCTTGGAAAGCTTGTCCGGCATGAAGTCAAGCACATTATTAATAAGTATAATGCACCTAGCCACCACTAGCTTTCGTAGTCGTTTAATAGTGCAACTCTAGATAGCGTACAATGTCTATAATGTTTAAAAATAACTAGTCTTCCTCTTCTACATCATAGCCAGCGTTAAAGAACCAGCCAAATGCATCCTCAGCTGTAATAGAATAGAATAAATCACATAGATGTGCTTTAACTGCCTGTTCATTTTGCTGTCTTTGCATAAGATGTCGCAGAGATGGTCCACTATGCCGAATTCTTGCTTTGAATGCAGCAAAAGCCTCCTCAATTGGGTTCAAGTCGGGTGAGTATGGTGGGAGAAATATGAGCCGGCATCCACTGCCAAAATGAGGAAATTAAAAAGTGTTAATCATAACATAAACTCATACATACTTGTGTTCAACCAGATGACGGATAGAAGGATGCTTATGGATTGAGCAGTTATCAAGGACAATAGTGGAATTTGGCTGGGGGAAAGGGTTCATCTCACGTAACAGCCTTCGAATGAAATGGCGAAATGTAATTGTTGTATATGCACCTATGCGTGCCTCGGCATATAGTGGTCCTTCAAGAGAAAGTGCTGGAAGCAGTGAATATCTAACAGAATCAGTGACAACACACTCTAAATCAGAGCTGAGGCAGCATACCGTTTTCCACGGATCCGACTTGCACGAACCTGAGGTCGGTGGCCTTTCCGAGCCCATCCTCGCAACCGGTTAGTATTGCGACTGTCCACTGCAGTTTCATCCACAAAAACAAGCTGATCAGGCAAGTAATTATCCCGAATTAAGCGACGATATCTATCCCGGTCTCTCTCATTTCTTTCAGCAGCCACTTGGTGGATCTAGATGTCGGTGATGGATTGGGTTATCAAGCTTAGGGTCACCACTGTTGACTCACTGATTTCATACAGAAACCATTACGTCGAAGTGTTCTCCATATACACGATTGGGATACAAGCCTTCCCCGTTGCATTTTGAGCTTGCCTTGAATTTCATCCAAATACAAATCTGGTCGTGCAGCAAGCAAACCTTTGATAAACTATGATATAGTCAGAACCCAGGGCAAATGTGCAAGGGAATATAATTACATGCTCATCTGCATCACTTAGGGCCCTCTGACCGCTGGCTGCCCTCGTATTTGGTGCATCAAAGCCACCATGTTGTGCATATTGCTCTCTCCAGCGTTGAATTGAGCGTGTACTCACACCAGTCAAGAATTGAACCCCATGTGGTTCCAAATATGCATTCATGCGAACTATGAGGGCTTTGAGATCACTACTAAAGTGGCAAGGGGCCATTGTTCACTTTGAGTTGAGCACGGGAGTTGGAGTGCAACATCGGGAAATTCCGTAGGCGCCATCAAAGTGATGCCTGCGACATCCTCAAAACATACACAGATAACTTCCATTGTTCATATGTTAAATTTACGACAATATAGGACTATAAAATACAGCAACCGTTGACCAACACTGAACCCTAGACACTAGTCCACTGCCGTAGCTGCCCCATTATCCAAATTCTCAAAAATTCATCAAATCGTTCCGTCAAAAACGCTCCTGTGTTTTTTCCCCAACACTCTGCTGCCAAATTTTCAGCCAATTCCATGCAGCCGTTGAGGTGAAAAGTGGGGATGAAGTTCAGCTGCCGGGAATTTTAAATATCGACACTACGCACAATCGGAAAAAAACGTCGCTAGATATCAGCTCCATGAACATGATCCAACAATCCGTTTGGAAAAAAGCGGTGTTGTTGTGGAGTAAATGGGGGATGAAGTTTGGCGCTGTTCAAGTGCCAGGATTCATATGGAAGCAAGAAATCCGTCACGCAACAAATCAACTGAAAACGGCAGTATTCCAATCTCAGTTCGAAACTCACGCGCATCTCTCCAGACACGATTGTACGCTCTAGAAACCTTTCCTACACGCAATCCACACGTGTGCGACTCTCAGATGTGCGACTGTGCTGATTAAGCCGTTCTCACTCGAAATTCAAATGCCTGTGCACACCTAGAAACACGCGCTTGCACCCACTCCACTTTCTTCTCTGTGTTCACAGCTCCCCAGGCTCAGACACACGACTTTTGGGCCCCCACACACATTTTCCACGTCCCCCACCTGCTTTTTTGGCAACACACATGATATTTGCGCCTGCGCACACTGAGAAACTCGTGCCAGCACATCCTAGTCCAGCCACACATGATATTCACGTGCTGACGGCACTCTACCTGTGTATTTGCCCTCCGACACACTCTCTCGCACACGGCTGTGGACACTCGCCATGTACTGGCTTGATGGTAGGGATATGATTCTGCCTCGGGGCGGTGAGGAATACTGGGAGACACCTGAATGCGATGAGGTGATAGAGAAGGCTCACAATGCGATAGGAGTCCTTGCTGACAATCTCAAGGCTTCTGTTGTTTTGGGTGATCGCATGCGGTGGTGGATTTCTGCATGTGAATATATTGACACTGTCATTGGGATCGTGCATTGCACGGCTTTGTGGAGTTATAGGGACAAGGGTGTCAGGTATAACACATGTAAGGATATGTTTGAGTGGCTGGACGCCATTTACGCTGAGTGGACTTCTATTCCTATGGTCCGCTTGTATGAGCTCGCACGCGAGCGCTATCTGAAGTCCCTTCCAACGGATCTCATTGTCCCTCTAGCCTTTGCCACATTTCGCCCATCCCTCTTCCCCTTGATCTTGTGGCCGACTCTGCACAAGCCGACAACGAGCCAGAATCGGATAAGAAAAACAAAGGTGGGAAAAGTACTTAGTGTGCTCTTGCCACCACAGGTGGCATCCACCAATCATATGCCAGTGTAAAGTGGGCATGAGACAACATGACACCAGTTGGTTTGATGGGGTATAGGAAGTGCAAAGTGCATTCGTTTAATTGGATAAAGCTAGGGGAGTGAAGAGCATTGGCAAAGCTAACTGGTGGCAGGTAATGGTGAATGTAGCGTGCTTATGGCAGACAAAAAGAAAAGGGAAAAGAACACCCGTGTGCAGAAAGATATTACCAGTTTGAGGGAAAGATCGATGATGTTGGCAGAAAACATTCCTGTTCCGCTAACTTCACATGCAAAAGCTTTATCATAAGCAAGGTCAGGGCTGCACAGCAGTCATTTCTAGTCCACAATTCGTGGGAATTCTGCAAATGTGTTGACTGCTTTTCTGCATGTGTCCTTTCCTCTGACGGATCTTTCTGGCTCATTTGTCCTGCAAACTCTGTAGCGCAAATTTAGGCCCCAAAGGTGCTGTGCACAAGATCCTCTGTAACCTAGGGTCACCATGACAATATGACATATAATTCGGACCACTTTCACTATCATACTGGTAAGGCAGGCCACCTGGCCCCTCTGCAAACAATCAATTGTTATCTTTGAGCGCTTGTAGCTAAAACTGTTACAACTATGTTAACTCAGACTTCAGACACCCAATTGGCTCCTGTAAGTGCGAGTTTGACTCACTGCACATTCCTCTTCACTCATTATTCCAATCTCAGTTCGAAACTCATGCGCATCTCTCCAGATGCAATTGTACACTCTAGAAACCTTTCCTACATGCAATCCACACATGTGCGACTCTCAGACATGCGCCTGTGCTGATTAAGCCATTCTCACTCGAAATTCACATGCCCGCTGTAGGAGAAATAACGGCCACACTATGGAAACCCATTATGGAAATATGCCAGATAAATCACAAAAACCTCATACGACAAGTAGATATGAGAAAATAGAAGGACCTGAATTTTAACGAATTTTACGAATTTTTACGAATTATTATGACTATACACGATAAATCGAAAGAAAGAAAAATAGCAAAAATACTTCAAGCTTACTATCAATGAGACGGAATTCTTGGGGGAATTTATAGCAAATATTAAACCAAGAATTAGGACAATCGACCAAGATTTGACTATAAAAAATAATCAGAGAACCTCCATGGAAACTACTTTCCCACGTCCGAACACGTAGCCAAGGATGGAAGTACCACGGAACGAAGATTCCTCAGGAACTAATGCAAAAGTCAGAGTCGTGTTTACAATAGGAAATGTAGATGTCCTCCAAACGGAACCAATGAGAGTAATTACAGGGGAAACTACCCATAAACGATGGAGATATGACTAAAACTCCTGCAAAACGAGGATAATGCCTAAAAGGGAAGCGCGAAGATTAACCAGTAACGACCGAGACAAGCTTGATAACCCATTAGAAAGGAAGGGATCCAATCTTAATCCTCCCAAATTTTCATAATAAAAGGATCATGTGTTAATGAGATATCCAATAACGGGAATAGTGACATCGAAAGTCCGAGCTTAGGG